TCGATTTTTGATATCCTGGCGCGTTGCAAATGTATGCGAGCTTTCGAAGAGTGAATCACTTGCTCTTGGGCATATTTTGCACCCCTGACCTGACATATCTTACATGAAGACAAGCAAAAATAAAACATTGAATTGAAACAGCTACATACAAGTCGAATGAGACTCCTGACAAGGTACCATATTCCCTATAGAGTCCCGTAGCACATTGCAGAAGACCGGCTTTGTCCTCGGTGAGCGGCCTCGTGGAGAACCCTGCGCATATGCAAAGCTGGCTGATGGATTAGTCCACTGCTCTGCTGGAACCTTGAATAGATGCCCAATGCTGCCAGTGCTACTTGTGCGTGGATACTCAATGATAGCACCTTCACGATATCGCAGGAGCTCCTCCACAAAGGTCTTGCGGGTGACGTATACATTGAACTCGACATCCATAACGTCGTCCAGGAGGTGGGGAGGGCTATTGCATGGGGTTGATACTGGTATTGCGAGATCATGAGAAGTCGAGTTTGGCGAGTCCAGTATTGGGTTAAGCAGTGCATGTAAGGGTAACATTGTCAGGTTGTGGTAAGGTAGTACGGGGAGATGGGGGGTCTGGACGAGAAAATGAATATCAAAGCTACTACTTCGAGCAAACTGAGCTGACTGTGGAATGCTACTTGGCATCGCTCCGTTGCGAGGGTTGAGCTTAGTGCAGGGCTAACAGCATTCGGCTGCAGTGTATGGCCACTGCGCACATGGCATTCGACTTACATTGTGAGCCTGGAACAGGTTGCGAAGGGCGAAATAATCAGGTCAGACAAATTACTCATTTGTTTCACGCTAACAATACCGTAATAGCTCGTGTAGGTAGAGCATGTGGTGATCTCATTTGTGAATTGTAGTTGCGCGAAATCGAGTGTGTGTGACAGAACAATTCCGCAGGCTGTAAACTATGATCTCAGGTTAAAGACATACCAAGCATGTACAAACAAGGCACGCTGCACCGTCGCCGGCCGGTAGCTGCTTGTCGGTGATCCAGTCAGCCAAATTCGCATTTCGCCGAGCTCTGCGCTTCCTGGGCGGCAATCGAATCCGACCAATCGACCGTACTCTCGGTCTTTGGGAGAGCACTGCCGCGGGATAGATCGGTGCACACCGGCAGCCCAAAATGGCAGGTCACGTAGTTTGATCGTGCTCTGAAAAGTGCAGGAGATATTCCTAGCGCGTTGACGTAGAAGGTCAAATTTATGCATAGACTGAGTCTCTAGCTACAAAAAGACCATGCTGTATCTTGGGCCGCACTTGAGGTTCGGCTGTCTTCGCGGAGCGTATTTGTATTGGAAAACGCCCTGACCAAGATACACTTGCAGCGAATGCATAGTCATAACTCGGGACCCTAAGGCCTGGTTATGCGTTCTGTAATAAGTATGCACCCAGGAGCCGATCTTGTTGTAGTGATAATATGCAAAGTATGAGATATTGTGTATGATCTTGCACAGATTAGAGCAGAAATAGCACGATATCGACGTCTGGGGAAATGGCGACGGCTCATGTGATAACTCGACCGATCGGGTCACGCGCCACGAGCGCCTGTTCATATGGGATAAAGTCGCTGGTTCAACTTCACTCTGAACCACGACATAGTGCAGGGCACTTATAAAACAGTTTCTAAACTATAGCCTCTAATACAGTCTCTCCTTCCTTCTGTCCTTACGCAATGCTAGCCTTCACGTTACTCATTTCGCTCAGCCTTGTTGTCTCCACTCAAGGCCAGACATACACCGCGACTTACCTCCCATCTGATGCCCCGGACCACACTCAGGACGGGCAGTATGGAACAAACCAGTGCGGCACTGATTCTAGTCAGACGTCGTTATGTCAAAACGCATATAGTAAGCACCTCCATCGTCCAAAATGTATGCCATTGAATCACAGTCCTGGCCCATAGTAAATTCGGTAGACGACTTCTGCCTCTTCGCGCCGCCCTACTCAGGATCCAACGCGACGATTGGTGACACAGAGCGCATTGAAGTCTCATGGTGTCTCAAGGACGGCTATGGCACGCGCGTCATTCCTGACGGCAGCATTAGCGGCGCGCACTTCGTGCAGACGCCAGACTACGTCCAGATCACCGGTGTGGGCGACCTCACGCGCCTGAATATCCCCGCTGGGGATACTGGTGGCGAGCTTGATCCTCACGGTGCAGACGGCAATGGCAATCCTATCGGAGGGCTTGTCTTCTCGAATGCGTTCGGCGAGCTCGAGCAGCTGCACGAATGGACGGTGCGTAGTGCCCGCGATTCACCTGCTCTCCTTTGGTTTCGATGGTTGACTTCTGTTGCGCAGAACTTCATGTCGGATACTGAGTTCTGCTTTCGCGCCTGCAAGGCTGGTCCGGACGCAACTGCGTTCTGCCAGCATATCTACGACGTCATGGGCTGTGCGTGGAACATGCCTGCGAACTACGATGCGGGGGTCTTTGAACGATGCATGGGCGATTCTGGCGAGGTAACTCATCTTGATCATATCCTCGCCCACATCCCGCTGAGCTCATCTGACGGATGACTAGCCTATGGGTGTATACGGGACGTCGACGTTCAAGCAGGGTCATCCCCCCACACCGACTCCTCATCCAGAGCCGTCTTCATCGCTCTGCACAACATTGTCTACTGTAGGCAATGGTCTACTCGTACGTAGCATCCCGACAGCGTCGAGCAACATGTCAGCAACCCCAACCCTGACAACAGCCTTCGGATCCGCGGCCATGTCTGCCACAGCGGTGCGTCCATGGTCATTTCTCTTTTGCAGCAACGATAGGACAATTTGATAACCTGCTTTGCTGACCCTCACGTCACTCGTACAGCGGCCGACCTCCAGCCCGACCGACATGTCACAGAGCACTACACCTACAGGTATCACAAGAAATACTCACTCGGGCACTCGGCCCAGTGTTCGTGTCGCTGCTGGCTGGCACATCCCCGCAGTTCTCGGCGCCCTCGTTCTCAGCGTGTTCTTGTGTTCTTGACAATATCTGTGATGACTGGTCTTCTGTGTCGCCTCCTGGATATTGTCTTGGCCTGGGTTTCGTCTCGTATAGGCTGGCTATCTCGACTTACGCTTAGACTATGAGGAGAGCTAATACGGCAGGACCGACCATCTTTCAAGCTTATAAAATACCCGAACAGGCTACAAAACTGGAACAACCATAACTAGACTTCATCCCCTTCCCTCGCCTCAGATCACTGTAGCATGTATGGATTCTCTGATTATCTCTGTAATCTGCATAGAATGTCATCTATGCTATCCTCTCATCCTATTGCATGATCTCCCGGTGGCAGTCGCAGCAGTCAATCGAATTCTCCAACAACACTGCTAGACGCAGAAATTGATTCTCGGCCACTGCTGATGCATCTCGACCCCTCAGGATGCTTACCGATGCTTGATACAAGCAAAAAGTCAATGCATAACAGGAATGGTGTACAAGATGGTTGGCAGCGGCGATGTAGGCCATATGGTACAGTCATGGGATAATACGGATACAGGGCGTGCTTAAGTGAACGTCAGTCACTGGTCGAGAGGCAGAATGTCAGGGATGGGCCCAACGGGAACGATCCTGTGCGGATTGATCTACGCATGGCACGTCAGCGCGCACGCCCCCGACGAGGCTGGTCGCACGCACCATCGGGTGAGACCAGTAGTAGTGCATTTTGATGTGCGCAAAGTTGCACGTGTCCTTGAACGCAGGCACCGTCCAGTACAGCTTACGCACCCAGCGGTGGAGCTCGGGGTACCCGTCGCGGATCGTGCGGATGTTGCACTTGAAGTGCCCGACGTACACAGGGTCGAAGCGGATCTGACGCATCGCGGGCGTTAGTGCTCGTGCGCTACAACTGCGTGGCCGGCGGGGTACGCACGATGGTCACGAAGAGGCGGATGTCTGCCTCGGTCAGCTGGTCGCCGACGATGTACTCCTTGCCCTTGAGCATGCCCTCGAGGCGGTCGAGCGAGTCGAACAGCGCGCGCACCGCCGTCTCGTACGCCGCCTGCGACGTCGCGAAGCCCGAGCGGTACACGCCGTTGTTGACCGTGTCGTACACCCAGCCGTTCACCTCGTCGATCTGCGCGCGCAGCGGCCCCGGGTAGAAGTCGCGCGCGGCCGCATCCCCGGGGAGCAGGTCGTTGAATGCGCTGTTGAACATGCGGATGATCTCGGAGCTCTCGTTGTTCACAATCGCGCCCGTGTGCTTGTCCCAGAGGATGGGCACGGTGAAGCGGCCGTCGTACTCGGGGTTCACGCGCAGGTAAAGGTCCTTGATGTGCTGCGCGCCGAAGAGCGGGTCCGCGTCGGCGTCCGGGAACGCGTCCGCGGTGGCGAAGGGCCAGCCGTCGGAGCCCATCCGCGGGGAGACGACGGAGACATCTGGGGAGCCCTGGTCAGTGGTGCAGGCAGGGGTACGTGAGCGAGATCTACCGATGAAGTCTTCGAGATCCTTGAGCTTGCGCATGATCAGGGCGCGAGTCGCCCACGCTGCCATAAGACGTTAATCTCGGCGGGCTGGTCCCATTCAAACCAGACACTCACGGCAGGCATACGAGACGTAGAGATGGTAGCGGCCTGTGTGGAAGCTGATCAGCTGGTATTCAGGGTAACAATGGTGATGATGAAGAATTAAGGAAAGGTATGTCAGGACGCTGCCCGCACTAGCCGAAGAACGCCGCGACAAAGGGGCACGACGAATCGCGCGCCCTGCAATAACCTTCGCGCGTGAACAACGACACGCAAATAACAACTCACCTTTCTCGGGCTCAAACTTTCCACCCTTCTCGATGAAGTTGCGGAAGGTGGACGGCTTGCGGTTGAACGAACCGTCGCTGCTGCTCGGCATCTTGCCAATGTCGGACAAGTGAGAGACGTCCTTGGTGCTCATACTGCGATAGACGATTTGCGGTGTGGGGCGGGAGAGGGGCTTTTGGTCAAAAGTCGAGACGGACAGAGAACGAACTGAGGGAGGAGACCTTGCGCGGGTGAGATGGCGGGACAGGAGTATGCGGGGAGGGGTGAGGAACATGGGGTATGCACTCACGAGGCGCTTTATGTGCCGGAAGGTGCGAACGCAGACCCTTTGCGGGTGGCTGATGAGGAATGGATGAGCAAGCCCCTGCACGCGTACGACAATATTGATTACGGGGACGATGTCATCGAGCGCGTCGTGATCGACCTCGATGTGGAGATGCGTTCAGGCCGATCGAAGCGCTCGCCGTCGGCGCCTGTGCCCACCTGGCTCCGACGTCGGTGGTCACGCTTCTAGTGTCATTGTCCGCTTGCATGCGCACTATTGCTACCGCCAAGGCAGCCCACAGGCACTATCCCAGCCCATCTCCGACTCGAAAGTGCCGCATGTCTTATGCAATCAAATAGCGTCTTGAAGCGACACCCACCGGTCAATTTTGTTAAAAGGTGGAAGACGGCAGGTTACACTCGGGACTCGTGGTGCGGTACGAGATTGAGAAGTAAGTGGTGGTTTGGGATAAAGGAGAGAGTACTCGACTACGACGTGCGCGCGCGAAGACACCGAATACACTGACAGGTTTTTGATTACATGACGTCAGTAGGTGGTTTGGCGTCCGAATCGGGAAGTCGAGGTAAGTCCAGGCTTACAGTGACCTGTCGTTTTGTTCTCTGACCTATATGCAGCTCCGCAAGATTTCAGAGTTACAAGAGTTGCATGACGATTTGACGGACGCCCCGTAGCGCCGGACCACAACAGGAGATGGTGACACCGAGTTCGAATTTCAGCTTTGGATGACAGCCACAGTAGATTATCATGTGTAAGCATTGATAGAAGGCATAGCCATAAACACTGCACAACTTTGCGCGCAGAGCATATAAACGCGATCCTGGGATCATACTAATGCCTATACGTCTATCGCGGGCTGCAAGCAGCTCGCTCAAAAGAATTTGTCCCTTGTTCGTACGCAGAGGTGCCGGCCAGTAAGTGCCACAGGATATCCTCCCGAGACGTTCTGACAAGCAATGCACAGCTTCGTTCCGTGTAAAATCGAAGAACTGGTAGTGTTCGCTCGATGAAGGCCTTCCAAACGGCATTGGCGCTATTCTGTGCCATCCATATGACGACGGAGAATCCATGCCTTGGTGCTCCGATTAGGTATATTTTGCATGAGTACCCATATGCATCCTCGGGATTTTCTAACGTTGGCATCCGCGAAGGGGTGGCTACGAGCCTTCGACGGTACAATCCGACTACTTGTACGTGGTCCGCGTGCTGATTCTTTTGCATCAAGCTCATCACAGACGTGTCAGGATGGATCGTGCTGCCGCCGGTGGACTCCGGAGCTCAGTGAGCAGCTGGCAGCCTCGACGGCCCCATGGGATGCAGATCCAGGTGAGCGATGAATGCTTCCCCTCCGCCCCTCCCCCTGGCGTGCAAACTGACAAGGCGCTGACTTTCCCCAACCTCTGCGACGGCATAGGACAAACGTGAGCCGCAATGGCTCACCTTGAAACAGCTGGAGGAACTAGGCTTCGGGGCGTGGATCGATGAGGACAAGTCAAACAGCGTTCTTGTCGGTTCGGATAGACGGACCTAGGCTAGTACTTGCTGTACCGAAAATAGCTGTGAAACAGCCACGGCAGATCATGTGTAAGCCTTCAAATATTGATGCATGATGGGAGGCACAGCCGTGCACAGCTATGAACGCGGCATTACCTCAGAGACGTGCCTTGCGCGGAGATCATATAAAGGCGATCTTGGGTTGCCTGCGCGTTTGTTACGGGCTGCAAGCAGCTCGCTCACAAAGTTCGTCTCTTTCGTATACAGAGGTGCCGGCCAGTAAGTGACCCGTGGGATGTCCTCCTGAGACGTTCTGACAAACATGTCACAGCTTCTTTGCGTGCCATTATAACGAAGGACTACTTAGTGTCCACTCGATGAGGGCCTCCCAGACTCCATTAGCGCTATTCTATGTCGTCCTTATGACGATGGCGCATCTATGTCTTGGTGCTCCGATGAGGTATATTTTGGGCGAATGCTGATCAACATCCTCGGAATTTTTGCTGATGGTGGCGTTTGTGCAGGCGTGGCTACGAGTCGACGAGACAATTCGATTACTTGTGCGTGGGTCTGCGTGCTGGGTCGCTGCATCATCTTATGCTCATCACAACTGTGCCAGAATGGACCGTGCGGCAGATGAACTCCAGCCTAGCTCAGCGAGCAGCTGGCAGCCTCGACGGCCCCATGGTATGCAAACTCAGGTGAGTGGTGGATGCCCCCTCCCCTCCCCTCCCCCGTGCCGTGCAAACTGACATGACACCGACTCTCCCCAACTTCTGCGACGGCATAGGACAAACGTGAGCCGCAACAACTCACCATAGAACAGCTGGAGGAACTAGGCTTCGGGACGTTGGTTGATGGGGACAAGAAGGGCAAATTTGTGTTCACGCCCATGCCAGTGCCGAGCGATCCGGCGGCTGCCCTGAGGGCTTACCTGAAAAGGGTAGGGTCGTGACACGACGGGAATGGACGCACTGCTGTTGTTCTGCTTTGTATTTCACCAGCCAGTGGGAATCGGAAATTTACAGATCGTCCGAGAGACCAGTGGAGATTGAGGCTGAAGCGCTGAAGGCCCAAGCGAGATTGTATGTGGCTTATCGTAAGCAGGCTAATCTAGTACGGTGAGCTGTTGCAATAACTGTGCAACATGTGCACTTGGTTTACCTGAAACAGTATGACGAATTGAAAGGTGCCCTGAGGAACATGCCAGCTGCGGCGGGCAGGTCGCACATGCATTTTGTGACGACACTGAAAGACGACGCGTTCGAGACGCATGTTCGCAGGTAGCCACCCCCGCTGTTCTCGGAGAAACATGTAGAGGGAGTGAGCTTCTGAGTGCCGGTCTCTCCTTCTCCGTGGAACAAGCGAAAAGGCGCAGGTGTTAACCTACGTGTCTTGTTGTACTTGAGATGTGTATCACGTACTGTGAGTTTGACAGTCTGTATTCCGTACAGAGTGCAGGGACAGTCCACTACACGAAGTAGTCTGATTCACCACTCCCTGCCAACACTCCTGCCCATCTCTATGCACGCGCCCACACTCACGCCCCCCACCTCCGCACCCACGACCTCTGCACATGCGCCCCAGTACTTCCCCACCGCTCCCCTGAGCTCAGCCATGCGCGCCTCGTGGCCCACCGCCGGCGTCGGAATGCACGCCGTATGGCGATGCACGCGCACGAGGAGAGGCCGCGGCAAAGGCGGCCCCGCCAGCTGTCGTGCGAGCTCGCGCAGCAACCTGTCGAGGAACGCGGGGTCGTCGCTGTCCGGCATGCCATACGGGCCGCCCAGCATCACGGTCATCTTCGTGATGGGCGCGCCCGCGTCCTGCGCGCCCACCGCACACGAGTCGAACACGGTGCCCAGGATCCCCATCGGGTTGTCCCCGTGCGCATGGTAGTCGCCGCCGGCCGGGCGCGGGATGAGAAAGCCGAATCCCGGCGGATGTAGAGCAGGTGCACCAGGAGGGGAAGCGAAAACCAGATTGACGACGGCGACGGATGAGGAGAGATTGGATGCGAGATGTGGCAGGGGCGGCCGGGTGGTTGATGGGAGTGTCTGCAGCAAGGTGTCCAGGGCGCGGAGAGGGATCGCCGAAACGAGATGTGAAGACTCGATGGATAGACCACATTCCGTCACGAGCTGTGAGAGTGAGCGTCGTTTGACATGAAAGTGAATCGCAGCCGCACGTACCTTAAACCCGCCGTCGTTGCTTGACACTTGCGACACTTTAGCGTCCTGGATGATCTGGACGTTCTCCGCGCGCTCGAGCGCTGCCTTCAAAGCACCGACAAGTGCGCCCATGCCATCCCTGAACGAGTACACGCTCACGCCCTGCATCATATCTGCGACATTTCCTACCTCATATTCCTCATTTCGTTCCCCGCCCGAGTGCTCATGAAACATGCTCGAGATTGCGCCCCGTACGACGCTTCCCCTGCCCCGCGCTTCGAGGTCGAGAAGTGACGGGAAGGCAGCCCGCATGCTGAGCACTCGCGAGTCCGTCGCATATATGCCATGCACCAAGGCGCTTCCAAACGTGCGCGCGAATCCAGGTCCGAAGCGACGGGAGAGGAACGAGTCGACGGACTCGTCGTCTGACGCGGTTACTGCGACAATATAAGTATATGATCAATACAAGGAGGGCGCTCGGCCTGAAGAGGAGACGAACCTGCTCTATTGCTGCCCCGGATCACATCCCTGAATACCGCTGGGATAAGGATCCTCGCGAGCGGCGAGATCAGAAGCGCAGGAAGGGACGACGGGATGCGGATGAGACCAGTGCTGCCCGGAAGGTGCAGGAAACGGTTGCGGGCGGCGGGGGCAGACCGAGGGACAGTGATGACCGAAGAGGACAAGCCTAGCAAATTGATCTGCGGATCAAGAAACAATCATATACTGGTGAGGATACAGGCGTTAACGTATTGAGCCCATGCAGGCTTGGGTTTGTACGAGGCAACCGGCCGTCGGCCAAGAAAAGGCTGGCCTCTCGTAGGAGGTAGCGAGTCATGAGCACGAGACGTTCTCATACACAGGGCTCTCGCTGTGTGTCCGAAGTCCTTGAACAATCGTTGAAAGGCTTGCAGACCACATGAAAGAACCCTGGCTATGGAACAACAGCGCCACTGACGTTACTTTACATCGGAAGTAGCCAACATATATGATCAGTCCGTGAAAACATGAGCAACTGGAAAGCCGACAAATACCCAATCAAAGGAAAGACACTCACCAGCTCTAGCACGGCCAAACTGTTCGGTCTCAACGTCCTTGGGCCCGATTCAAGCAGCATACTCGCGCTCGATGCCCCGCCCAAGTTCACCTGGACGCGCTCGCTGTGCACCCACCCACCTAGTCGTTGGGCCTTCTCAACGAGAGTAATACGCGAGCTGGGGAATCGCCTGGACAGGTGGAAGGCGGACGACAAGCCTGTCAGACCGCCACCAATGATGGCGATGTGCTTGGGTGGCATTGGCACAAGGTCGCTGCTGGTCACAGTTGGATGACTTAGCGGTGTATGCAAGTCAATATATCCTGGTTGGTGTAGCCATAGAGGCTGCTTAGCAGGGCTGGGTTTGGCTAACAGGGTGTGGTGGCCGAGATCAAGTGTTGGGCGCTTCGTGTCTGTCCCCTGCGACAGTCCGCAAAGCTACTGCGACTGCGACTATATACAAGACGTTTTGGTGATATTCGCATTCTTTGCATTATGCTACTGATCCCCCCCTCAATGGATTAAACACCTTATTCTTTCGCATCAAGCTCCTTGTAATACCTGAACAGCCCGTCGCTGAACGGCTGCCTGCGCCCGCTCGCGATGTACTCTTTGATGCCCTTCTCTCCCTGCACGCGCTGGTGCAGCGCGAATACATGCTTATGCTTCCCACTCTCCTCGAGCACGCCCATACGCTCTGGAAACGCGAAGAGGAGCCCATCCAACACCTGTACAGCGGCGCTGTCAGTACCCGCCGGGCAGCTAGTACGAAGGGTGCTCACATGGAAGAGGACCAGGTCCGCAGTGGTCGTCTGCTTTCCGACCAGGTACGCCTGCTCGCCCTCCTTCGTCGCCGGGTTGCTCGTGAGCACGTTCTCGAAGTGCGTCAGGAACTTGGGGATGCGGTTCGCGCGGAAGTCGGCCGCGCGCTCGCGCGCCGCCGCCTTCTGGTCGTCGTAATACTTCGAGACCGCGATGGGGTGGTGCACGTCGTGCGCCTCGTTGTTCACGTCGAGCGCGGTGCAGACGAGCTGGCTCACCGTGCTGCGCTCCTCCTCCGCCTTCTCGCGCTCCGCCTCGCTGAGGTCGCTCTTCACGACCGTGCTGCCCAGCGCGCCGGCAAGCCCGAGCTTGGGCGCGATGTGGTTCAGGATCACCGCCGTCTGCGAGAGCATGCGCCCCGAGGGCAGCTCGAGTGCGGGCGGCGCGAAGTGGGGCGGATGCCCGACTTTGCTCGCGTTGGTGATGGTCGGGAGCAGTTTCCCCGCGTCCGACATCTCTGTGTAAGGGTGTCCAGCGTATTCGAAGGCGAGGCGGATGTACTCTCCGCGGCCGGGAATCCCTGGCCACTGTTGCAAGCGTGAGCTCACGAGTGCCAGTCGCTCAGTTATCGAGATGACGAACGTAGTAGAGCGTGTAGCCCGCGGACCTGGACTTTTTCTCTGGCGGCGACATCTTGAGAGACAGACTTCGAGCGAATATGTGTCTATAATCACGACACAGGCGCAGTGGGGTGCTCAGAGCAGAGATGATGGGTATCATCGGGATTGACTATCGCCTCGCCTGTTATGTGCCAGACGGGCCGCGGTAGTGACGTCAACATCATTATGGGTTGGAGAGCGCTTGCCAGCGATACACCCTAGACATGTCAGCTTAGCGTAAATCTGCAGTGCGCAGAATTACAGAATCGTCTCTCCCTGGCTGACCAAGCTGAACTCTTTAAGTTGTATCAGTCATCATGATGGCTCGGATGCGTCGCATTATGTAAATGAGCCGGTATGTTCAGACATTGGTTCTGGGAGCGTAGGCCCAGTCCTTTAGCCTCCGGTACTATGTCCCAAGACCTCCTTGTCCTCTTTCGTCGAATTTATCGTCGAGATTCCTCTTCACGACTATGCACCAGCATGACCGAGCTTCGGCAACATGCGGCTCAGGATCCCAGCCATGTGAGATATCAAGCGTCTTGCCGGCATTGGTGTGTGCCTACTTCGGTGGCGCTCGAGAACAATTCAAATATGCTTGCCGAGACCCGAACAACATTAATGTATGATCAACTCACGACCATAGTGGAGGACGTGAATTGGAAATGGTCACACTGCATTGGCACCTTGGGCAACGGACATGCAACTTACTGTTCGCACAGCTGGATCTGGTACGTCAGGCTAGCTGTTGAAGGCGTGCGCCATCGGCCCTGAGATCCGGCACCTTCACGACGAACAGGCTGGAATATCATACTTTTTGCATTGCCATGAGACCTCGTAGGGTATTAATAATCATCCTCGTAACTCTAGATCTTGCCTATCAGTATGTTCTTGAGCATCTCGCGCGCCGATATCCTGACTGTGTGATACAGCGACCAATAATCAAGCGTCGAAGAAAACACGTCCATGAGCCCGAATGGCATCATCAATGGGATCCAGCCTGTAGTGCGTCAGAACGCGTGCACGGTACCGGGTGGATGTCGACGTACCTCTCGCATACTCCAGCGCAAAGCAGCCCTCGTGCATCTTGTATTGCTTCACCTTCCCACGCGGGAGGTGGTGCACGCTCCCGGGGCGGTACACCTCCATTTCGAGCTGCGGCGGGTTGAAAGCCCACTGCTCGCCGACGAGGATGTTGAAGTAGTCGTCTGCGGTGTGCATCCCCGTGTGCCCCTCCGTGCCCAGCGGCGTGCCGAACACAATCAGGTACTCGGTGACGCTCGCGTGGATGACGTACATCGCGCCCATGGCGCCGCCCGCGTTGCTGAGCACCCATTCGGAGGCGTTCGTGTTGAGTGCAATCACGTCGGACGGGTATGTCGCGGTGAGGTTGTCTACGATGTACTGGGCCATGAAGGCCGTGTCGTTGGGTGCAGGCGCAGCCGCGATGGCCGCCTGCGCGAGCTCGTGCAGGCTCTCGGGCGTGAAGACGTACCACCGATCCTGTCATTCATTGAGCAATGCAATCCGGGCATGCGCATGTGTCCGCTGACGCACCTTGATCGTGTCAAGCCAGCCACACACTGCAGCGAAGAGTGCCAGCCATGCTCCCCGGAGAACCCATTTCACGAACCATCCGCTCTCGGATGCCTTCGCCGTTTTCGCCTTTGCCGATACCATGTCGTCCTCTCGCAGGCACAGCAGAAGACGCGGAGAAGTTGGTAACAAGAGAGCGTGAGGAGATTACCCTCGCGCTGTGGCCTTTTAACTGTAAGGAAGCAGCCACAAGCGCGCGCACGATCGTACGAGCAGGCGCGTGTCAACCGTTCGACGCGCCTTGCGAACCGATCACGGATCGAATCGGGCTGCGTCGAGTCTGCGGGAAACGCCTAAGCCTCTTTCTTTATACTATGCGTACATGGCAAATGCTACTGTTATTATTACATGTGTCGATGTTCTACCGCTCGTACACCAGCATTCCCTTCGTTCCTGTGCTCACTGGACTCAGAACTGCTTATCGCGGTCGGTCAGAGGCACATACTACGGTGCCTGTATGAGCGAGGAGCGAATGTCACAGGTGCAGGACAACTCACTACGACGTTGAACAGTTCCTTCTGTGTGACGTTCCCGTCGGCGTCTTTATCAACCTTGAAATCAATTCAGTCTTGCCATCCCCAAGGCGAGAGCATCAAGCTTCAGCTTCAGGGGCAGCCCAGGATATGTTGGGCGTTGCCACAAGCTGACAGGGTAGACCGAATTTATAGTATTGCACGCCACTTACCTGGATAACTTGCTGCATGCCTGTCCCCACAGGAATGAACATACGCCCAGGGGATTTGAGTTGATTGATGAGGAGCTCAGGCACCATGGGTGCAGCGGCACCTACATGGATCGCGTCGAAAGGTGCTGCGAGGCTCAACCATAACTTCTCGATAGCTGACGACTAGCAACACACTGACCTGAAGGGGGATAGCCTGCGAGCAGCGCACGGTCGGCGTATTAATCCTTACTGAAGACGAACGATGACACCGACTTACCTGCTCTGCCATCACCCACGACCATTTTGATCAGCTCGCTGTCCACCTCGGCGCCAAGATTGTCACGGCGCAGATTGTCGACAGACCACTCCACAAGCTCCGGGATGTGGTCGATGCCAACGACAGTGCCAGTTACACCCGTGTCGGTGTCAGTGACGAGGTAGTGCAAGACGGCGGCAAGGTACCCAGATCCAGAGCCGACGTCGAGAACGCGTGAGCCGGGTTGGAGGAAGGGGAGGAGGTTCTCAAGTGCATGGGCGTGCTGGTAGATGTCGGTCAGTGAATACCTAAGGACACCACGTTCTGCGCGAGACGCACCATGTGGGGCGCAGAGATTGTCGCGCCATGCCCAATCACTCTTGCCGGTCGTGAGGTGCACGCATTCTATACGGGAGACCAGACTGCTTACTGCGGAGAGTCTTCATATGCGCTTGCTTTGCTACGGACGTAGTGCGCCCTGTCTACTTTGCTCATCGCCTGTATTTCCTCAGCAGTGCCGCACACTCTGGCCCCTCATACTTACCGCCTGCACGCGTTCTGAGTTGATGAGCCCATGTCCTGCCATGTTCTTGATTAAGGCTTCATTCGTCGCTCCTGTGCACTTCCAGGCCATGATGGTCTAAGATCAAGTTGTTTGGTGGATACGTCGACTGTCACTCGGTATGTAGTTCTGGGGCAAGTTCTGACACAAGACGACGATGGCCACCAGCCAGCTACGTAACCTGTGGAATCCAACTGTCCATACCGGGTGACCTTAGAATAGCAGGATCGGCTCTGGTGCAGCCTGCATCGAACCGAACCGAATGCGGACAATGACTTGGATCATGGCCAGCGCATCCCTGAACGGCATCACACGCCAAACGCGCCATTTGCGGACGCCGTCCCTCTTCGTCCTCTCCACCGCACTCCTCCAGCCATCCTACACGCGACCTGTGTATACCTTTACTCCTCATCTTTGGTCTCTGTATCAATCTCGAATTCCTGTGTTTCAGGTCATATCTCTGAACTCTGACAATCTCGTGCGGCACGACCACCCTTCGCCCACGATTCCGATACCTAAAAGCTGCACAGCACTAGCCATCTGCACCACACGCACTCATGGCACCGCGAAGTCGCAAGCCTAAAGCAGAGAATGGCGAGCACGTAGCACACCCATCGTCTTCGAGCTCGACCCCGGAGCGAGATGGCTCACCGACGTCGAACGGCGATAGTGTTCTGGCACGCGCCCTCCAGCCCTCACCGGAGGGGCGCGAGGTGGTGAAGGTGAACAACGCGAGTGTATCGGAGATGAAGCATGCATGCGATGATGCACTGAAGAGGGTGAGTGCTGCGTCTCTTCGCGTGATTTGCGCGTATTTCACCGGTCGCGTGCGTATGAAGCAGTTGTTCGTCGATACTGTTCATCAGGGATGTTACGACCGAGGACGGCCGTAAATCCGTGGTGCAATATGTGTTTGCGCGCCCCGACTTGATGACGCACAGCCTCCGTGCTCGTTACTTTCCTGTGCATTAGAATACGCTTTCCTTTCCGCGATCGGCCACTTGATGGTAGATCCGCACATGCACAGTCGACGTACATCATATCCCAACCTGTGCTTTACTGACATTCCCCTGCGCTCACAGTTTCTGTCACGACCCGAGCTCTTCAAGCAAATATATACACATACAGACGTACGACTGGCCCTCGGGTGGGCAAGCGTTTTCGTAGCGGGAGGAACAGCACTGTATGGCTACAAGGTGGAATTCGAGAAAAGCAAACCTGTCATATGGGCAGGCCTCATCCTGTATGTACATGCTTTTTTGTCTATGGTCGGAGCTCATCATGTTGGACGAAAGGTATATCCTGCTGACAACAATCCAAACACTGTATGCATTCTTCGTCGAGGGTAACGTGGTGTTCGTCGGGAAGCGGAAGACATTTGACAAGCGTGTATGTCGGCCCATCCCCTTAAGTTCGTTGCATTGACCGACCGCGATTCCGCAGATTGTGACGGAACGGATAACGATCACATCAACTAGCAAGCCTTCCACGCCAAGCTCGCCACCCGCGTACAAGTTGGGCCTCACGTGCGTGCGCTCAACGTCAGGAGGCAAGTCGCTACTTGGCCGGGGACGTGCGCTGGGTGAGCGGGGGTTCAACACGTTCTTCGACTCGCATGGCGTGATGGATCAGGAGGGCTTCGAACAGTGGGCTGGTGAGCTCGTTGGGCGAGTGATGGAGGGCAAGGGCGAATGAGTACGCCTGCGCACGCGTGTATTGGGTGTCCGTTTGTCCATTAGTCCATTCTTCGGTTTGGTCGTTGTGCGTTGTGCGTGGCGCACAGTCTCACTCTGCCGGTAAATAACGATGGTAGGTAATGTTCTTTATAGTGGTTTTGTACGTGTATGGATGGATTCTATGGAAGGTAGTGTACATACCATATATGCATTTGGAGTACTGCTCTGGGCGTCACTGGACTGGTTGAGATTTTCAAGGGTTCACAACTCCACCTTCACGTATACGATTAGCTACACTTGTCTTACCGCGAGTCGGCCGCAGCGGGATTCGGGGTACGTACCTCCGTATTCCAGAATGTTGCGTACTTGGATGGGGGTTCACAACTCTTTTAATTTGAACAGTTTGAAGCTCGTGTAGATGTGCAGCGTGAACTGTAGATCGTGCGCTGTGTTTTGACCCGGTGTTCAGGTCATCGGGCCTCCAGGTCTAGGAAGCTGCAAGCCTGCTGGGTCGTTCTCAACTTCAATATTCAATGCTGGCCGCTTGGCCGCTCTTTTTTTTTTAATTGGACAGACCGGGACGATTTTGATGTCCAGAGACGCCCACTCTTTCATAGCCCACCGCTCGGGCACATGTGCGTGACACCTTCAATGAAAGCACTTCACTACCATCTGTCTAATGTCGTTGATGTACCATCAGTTGATGAGGTGACGGCCAAGTCATGATCGTTAGGAGCATGCATATAGGCGCAGTCGCCTACTGAAAGGAACACTCGTATGCATTTCATGATCCACTAGGTTAATGGTTGCATACTTACGATCGCAACGATAGAAGCACTGTAAAGACTGACTTGCCATAGCCATAGAAGCGGCGTACAAGCCTTCCTGACGCAACACGATTTGGCGCCACAGGACGTCCATCATAGCTGCGCTCTCGCCTAGGCGCCGTCGTGGAGATTCTGTCAATTTCGGATCTGACATACCTGTGATGTCTCCTGAGGGCGTATATAATAGTGCGACGGTACTCATTGACGTGACCACAAGGTCGCACATTCAATCATGGAGAGCCAACATCCGTTCAACAGGAATAGGCAAGTAATCCTATCATTTGTCCAATTATGATCATACCCACGTTGATCGTCGGAAGGGCTGCAACCTACATGATGACGAGTGTGTTGAATGCGGTATTGTCTGTTTCTTTAGCTTAGCTCATCTTATGAGTCCTAGCTTTAGTTGTCTATGAATATTGCGTCACTCTCGAGACCGAGATACGGCTCTTCTGGAGGCGCAAGGCTACAAGATCGAATGTTCTCTTCTTTTTTAATCGCTATGTATGCCTCGCGAACAGGGTCACTGTTCTTGGAGTGGAAGCACTAAGTCAGCACGCCGTGACAGTAAGTGAATCATCATGGGTGGCTGTGTTACTGAGCTCATCGTGGTCCGGTAGAGGTTGGATACACCGACTGATCTGTTCTGTCTTGCTGAACGTCATGTTCTAGGTGTACTGGTTTGGAGTGGCTGTTGATAATGACGTCTTGTGCAGGACTTGTTACAATGTCTCGTGAGCGTTCTTATCCTGCCCGTTATCATCATATACCACTCATTGCATCTGCGAAGTGATTTCAGCGAGCAGAATCTACGCTTTATGGTCGCGCAACGCGTGGCTATTTGCTCTGATTGCCTTGCTAGGATTAGCACTCCCGATAACGACACTGGTAAGTTCCTGCTAATCTTGTGGTTCATGTACTCAAACCTGTCCACAGTATGAAACAGCTAGGGTACAAACTGTACCCGGACTTATGGACCATGAATGTTCACTGGACTATGTATATGGGTGAGGTAGTATCCACCATCATGGCCACTGTATGCTCACCTGAATCTACATGACAATAGGTTGCCTGGAGAATTAGGTGAGTTGGAGGTCCCCTTGTAGCGGTATAAACCTGAAACCAGAGACAGGGTCAGCTGTCTGGCTGGGCCGTATCATCAACATTCTTGACGATGTGCTTGTTGTCCTTTTAACATGGTCAAGAACCGTACGAGTCTGGAGAGCTGCTGTCAAAGAACACGTGCAAGCAAATCTTACATATTTGGTACTGCGAGATGGTGAGTGTCACTATCATAGCATGCATCTGTGTTTCTACTCACTTGGCGACGCTTAGGCACATTCATTTTCGTGTGAGATTTGTTGCGGAGCGGGAGTCTTGGACAATGCACTGATATATGGACAGCGCCGTCGCTGCTTTTGGCAGTGCTTCTCTGCTGCTTGGTATTGTGCGTGGACATAGTCTGCGTATCGGCATCCGTTTTCATCTCCATTGCACCTTTCTGCAGGCTGACTACTACACTATCAACATTGCTGATATATCAGCGTAACAATCCTTTACTCCAGATAAATTTCGTGCTTTCTAACGTCGTCGCCATGTATAGCCTCGGAACAATATTGCTCTCCCGGTTCATGCTCGATCTTCGTCGGACCGCAGACAGTATGGACAAGACTGGGGGCACAATGTGGGCTAGCGATATGGAACTGTCGACTATGCAGCCTCAAGACGACCTTGTATTCCGGAATGAGCGGTCAGAAGGCAGTGCGCCTGATGGACTGGGTATTGGTTGGGAAGAGTGAAGAGTGACATAGAAAGGTATGTCGCTAGTCCGTTTATACGTGTCCAAATGCTTCAATACATTATCCAAGGGAACAGCCTCTTTGTGTGCCGTGGAATCGTGCAAGAAATATAATATCTTTCGGTATTGCGGTACTTCGAGCCAACGACATAGACCCGAGATGACCAGTCAGTTCAGACACATGGCGCACTGGGCCGATAACTGGAACTATTTGCAAGCAAGGCTCGTCTACTTCGTCCCGTCGTAGTCCAAGTGCATACCAACGTACCCGGTGGATGGTGCGTATCCATGCATAGTGGATCACCTTCAGTTGCTTGCAGTGTCCTAGCAATTTTGACGTACCTTCAGCGCTGGCTACTACACTCAACGTTGACGCTCAGGTGTACTACAAGCAGCCATGCCTTTTGCATAGCACCACCTTCATCGTCGTTGAGAGCTTTGGACCTGGGGTCTGAGGGCCGGGCGTCCAATCGCCAAAGCCCGACCTTGGACAGCAACTTACCTTGACCGCATACTGAGCATGCTGACAGTAGGCTATTCAAGTTAGCCTTTTTGGTGATGATTAGCGATTCTCGGGTTCCGCCTAGATTCCTCTCCCTTGGTCGGTTCCTCCATTTGTGGTCCCCGTTCCCGAAGGCTCCTGGCTGCACAATCTCGGCGTCCGCAGTCTGTGCTTGGCGTGCTAGCACAAATACTATCATACTTGGAGAACTCAATACTGCCAACTTGTTGTATGCAAGCTATCCCGTACTCCTCCGGAAGGACAGTCATGAGGGCACACCGCTTACTGCTTCTCACCCAGTGCTTCTTGCTTCTAGTCTATGCGCAAACCTCGACTATGGGGGGAATCGTGTACTGCCATCGTGATGCGGCTGTACAAGGCGCCTTTTCCTCGATGCTAAAACACTTATCGACGGCGAGGCGTCATGCATTTGTCGAGATCGCTAATACTGCAGAATTCGAATGGGGCCCCGGGTGCTGATCCTTTACCCTGCATTCTACCTAGCATGCGCGGTACGTCGCGGTCTGAGCTCGTCACGTACACGGACGCGTATGTCGGTCGTCAAGTCCTGTTGCGCTTACCTCTTGCTCACCTCGAATTTGATGTGCCAGTCACGCCGTGCCCTATGTGCCCTATGCAAAGAGCTGCATCAATGTGGCAGTAACAGGTCAGATCCTGTCACTCCAAGGCTTGTGCTATGATTGGCCGCAACCTTGACGCTCGCGTCACAGGCCTGGTGTTCTACGAGTACTGTTTGACTCTGCACACTGAAGTCCAAGAGTACTGGGATCGGGAGCTGACGACGTCGTCTATACTGTTCTTCGTGAACCGCTACGCGAGTCTGGCGAACAGGGTCGCTGTGATCTCCGCGTATATCTTGCTCGCGCACGGCTGGAGCATGTAGGTGAGTGCCTCGATCACTGGTGTACGTTTACTTCGAAAGGCTATCAATTGTCTTGACCCTCATGTCTAGAGGTGGGTGGGATATCATTATGGTGTGTGCCACTCATACTCGTATGCTGAAAAGAAGCTTAGCTGCACGGCCCTCTTCTGGCTGGTGACGATCTTATCCTGCATAGGCCTGATCACAAACACACGTCCGTCTTCTCCACATCCTGCGCTGTCCACGCTCTCAAGTTTGTGGTCTCTGTGACACAGTCATCTCCGCAGTGCGCGTCTACGCCCTCTGGGCGCATAATCTCAACCTCTTCATCCTTATACTCATGCTTGGGCTCATCCTCCCCTGTACAACACTGGTAGGTGTCCTCGTGCTCTCCGCAGCCTCGTACGCGCTCATGACCTGCCCTCCGCCCCAGTATTTCTCGACGAACCCTGGCGCCGCGCCGGTCGTCTTCCAGTGCGGAGTGCGTCCTAGTCCTACGATTTCCAGCCGGAGACCTACACTGACAGCCCTCTCTCTTCGTGGTCGCGCCGGCCCTCTGCAGCCACACCACCACTGAGTCCCGTCCCTCGTCCGGCCTCCCCCCTCCGTGCACTCACTATCGTGAACGTAAACAGCCGTCGCAATCACGACTCCGCGCGCGCGTTCAACATCCTAAACGAGCTCCTCGTGCTACTCTTCACCTGGAAGCGCACGCTGCACGTCTACCGCTCCGCCGCCCGCGCGCGTATCCGCGCCGACCTCTCACGGCTGCTCCTCCGCGATGGTGCGCCCACCCCCGCTTCATGCTTCCCGCTCCCACGCGCTGACCCCGAGTCCGCCCCCTCCGGACGCAGGCACGCTGCACTTCTCGCCAGTCTCTGTCCTGTCCGCGGCCGCGTGCGGTGTCCCGTCGTGCGTGCCGACGCCCTGGTTATGCAACCCCCACGCGCAGCGCCGTCGTCGGCTTCAACGCGTTCTCGCTCGCATGCAACCTCGTGCGTCCCTCCCGCCGTGCATGTCTCTCCACCTCTCTGCTCACTGTGCGCCGCTCGCTGTCCGCTGTCCGCTGTCCGCTGTGCGCTGTGCGCCGCCACCCCCACCGCCCGCGCGCAGGCCATCGGCAACACCATGAACATCGCTGACCTCTCTGCGTGCGTCCCCCGTTCCCCGTCCCTCCTCACGCGCCCCTCCTCACGCGCCCCTCCTCACGCGCCCCTCCTCACGCGCCCCTCCTCACGCGCCCGCCCTCTCCCACACCCGCTCGCGTCCCGCCCATGCACCGATCTCACATGCGCCGCGCGCCCCTCACACAGGCTCGCCGCGATCCTGCTGTCGCGCTTCATGCTCGACCTGCGCCACGCCGTGCGTGACCCCGCGCGGGTCTGCGGGCCCGACAACCTCGACCTCAACCTCAACCTCGACCTCAACCTCGACCTCGACCTCAGCCGCAACCTCAACCTCGACCTCGACCTCGACCTCGACCGCAGCCGCAGCCGCAGCTTCGGCGACATGGGCGCGCACCCGGGCGACGCGCTCGGGGCAGGACTCGTCGCGGCTGCACCAGCGTCTGAGGCGCGCGCGGGGCCAGAGAAGGCCGCAGCGTCAACGTCCGAGGAGCGCGTGGAGGGCCTGGCGTGAACGCACGCAAAAGACGAAGCCGCAAAATGAACAGATTCCTCATGCTTACATGATCGCACATAATGGTGGGTCAATTAGCTGCTACATGTATCAAGCGTTTGTCACGGACCAGCAGTATCTCATACATCACATTGACAGGATCGCCTGGTAGTGTTACAATCTATTCGAATACACGTGTGTGCGCTGTGCTGTGTGCTGGTATTGCCTTGGCTCTCACTACCTGCAGCGGCCAGACCCGGATCTGTGTGTCAGGAGGAGGCAAAGCTGCAGACACGCCAGCCGCCTCTGCCAACTGTCTGTCCCGGGGATGCTCTGATATGTGGTAAAACCCGGGAGACGTGTCGTTCATGGATGTCCCGACGCCACCAGCACATTAAGGACTGTACACGAGCCGGAGTAGCGCATACACGCGTGCCGCAGCGCACGGCCGTCTCACCGCACGTCCGTGCCCGCCCAGGGCACCTCGACCGTGCCGAGCACGTACTCGCCGAGGCCAGCGCCGCCCTCCGGGCCCGGGGTGTCCGCGCACGCACGGTCCTTGCCCGCCGAGGTGGTGAGCGCCCCCTCGGCGCGTCCCGCGAGCGGCGGCGCGGCAGCACCGGCGGGCATGGCGACGAGCACGGCGACGCGCGCGGCGCGCACGGGCGGCGGGGGTGCGAGGGGCGCGCCGACGTCGGCGAAGGCGGAGAAGGCCTCGGGGGGGACGGCGCCGGGGCGGCGCATGGTGCGCACGACGAGGAGGAGGGAGAGGATGGGGATGCAGTCGAGGACGCGGAGGTGGAGCGGGAGGCGCGGCGGCGGAGAGGGCGGCGAGGGCGGCCGTGGGGCGGACGGCGGGGCGCGGACGTAGGTGAGGGAGAGGGGCTGCGCGCGCAGGGGTGAGCACGGGGGCGCGTGTATGCGCGGGGGCTCACCATGATGTCGGCCCACTTTGCGGGGAGTGTGTGGTGCGGGGAGGCGGGGTATACGTCGAGGAGCGGGGGAGGGGTGGGCGGGGCGGAGAGGGCGGGGACAGGGAGGCCGAGGCGGTGGCGGAGCTCGAGGGAGAGGCGGCGGGAGCAGAAGCCGCACGCGAGGAAGAAGAGGAAGACGGCGACGAAGGTGATGAGGAAGCTGAACGGGAGCGAGCCGCTGGGCATGCCGCTGCCGCTGCCGGTGCTGGTGCTGGTGCTTGTGGCGGAGGCGGAGGCGGATGTAGCTGAGGCTGAGATGGAGGACATGCTGGACATGCTGGGGTCGTCTTGGGTCGTGGCTCTGGGAGCTGGGCGTGATCACGCGTCGGGGCGAGGCTGCGGATGGGCGAACACGAACATGGGAGGGCAAGGGAGGAGAGGAGGGTGTGGGAGGCGGCGGTGGCTGGGATGAGTCGACTCAGTCGAGTTGGGCGGGCGCTCGCACGCGACCTCCCTGATCCTGATGCGTCATATGTTAAGTATAGCACGCCAATCACGACCCGTGACGCCATCTACGCACTCCTCGACAAGCCCACAGGAATACACAGGCGACATCAACATCCATGCAGAGCACTGCACTGTGGCTCTTCATTCTCGCGATCAGCGATCTCTGGATGCGTGCACACCGCCATATTCCAATTCGGCGTCCGCCGGTGCGATCCATTTCATAAATTGGCACGGCAGATGGCTTTGCCTTCGCCCGTCGGCCGGTTTCGACACGGACCTGCGACTCGGAGGCTTGGATGATGCTCCTTGAGAATCAACAGGACAGACTTCCTGTGGATCGCAGAAACGTCAGGAGCACGATCTCTGGTTTTTAGCGTCCGCGGTCGATAAGTATCAGAATGGGCCTATTTCCTACTGACAAAAGTCGCAATGCCATCAACGCGTTCCTCTGGGTCCCGCAAGCACCTTCCCACGCGATGACGCACACTGGTAGACCTCGTTATAAGCATGGAGGCGCTCTCCCGCGCGGCCACCGACGCTCATGCTTCCTTTCTTAGTACTCAATATACCTTGTGTTTTCCGTCAAACGTATGGTCTTGCTCAGCCCTACACTTAGCCCCTCACCCACGCCTTGTATGTGTACATCACCTACAACCTATGGAATGAAGGCACCATCTAGGCCCGAAAACATGCAGTCTGCATCGATATTTGCATTTTGGTTGAAATACTCGCATCTATCAGAAACACGAACAGCCTGGGCTGCCTTAACCGTGACAAACGAGAGAGAAATACACATAACATCGCCTAAACGTCCCCATAAAGAACACCAAGAACCGACAGCATGAACCCAGACACGCCATACCCAGCCCCAGCACCAAGCAGCACACAGACGAGCATCACCGCACACGGCACGGCGAGAGCCACGCCCCGACCCGGCGCGCGACTCGCGCCAGGAGTCACGAGCTGTCCGGCCCGCCGAGGACCCCGCGCGGGAGCAGCCCCGCAAAGCGGTGTGCGCGCGGGTTCGCCCAGTACATTTTGAACGTGCGCGCCGCCGCGCTCTCGGGCCCGGCCGTCACGCACGCCACCTCCCACGCGCGCCGCGCCCACGCCTTGGCGTTCGCAAAGTCGGACACCTGCATATGCGCGCACGGGTCAGCGATCAAAACCAGTGGCGGCCCGCACCACACGGCACAGCGCACAGCGCACAGCACGCAGCACGGGACAGAGCGGACGGACGTACGAGGACGCAGAACTGGAAGGCGTCGAAGCAGAAGGACGCCTCCGCGTGCACCAGGCCCTCCTCCTTCAGCATCCGCAGCGCGATCTTCACCTGCAGCACCCGCATCAGCGATCGCGCACATACCTCCCCCCTCCCCCGCGCGCGCACACGCACGCCGCCGCCGCACTCACCTTGCGCATCCCCAGCGTCGGCTCCTTCGTGCACGCGCCCACCTCGTCGTACAGCCGCCGCGCCGTCTCCCGCCGCCGCTCGCTCTCCTCCAGCGCCGCGCCCTCCAGCACGCACACGCCGCACGCGCACTCGAAGCCGAAGCGCGCACGCAGCGCCGCCCGCCGCGCCGCCCGCACGCCCAGCACGTCGCCGTACGCCACGCACAGCTCCTCGCCCGGCGCGATCGCCCGCAGCGCGCGGAACACCATCGTCTGCGCGCCCGCGTCCCACGCGCGCGCGAGGTTCGGCGCGCACGCGTGGTTCAGGCGCGCCGCGGTGAGGAACACGCCCCGCCGCTCCTCCAGCCCCACCCCCGCGCCCGCGCCCGCGCCGTCGCAGCGCAGCGCGTTCGTCTCGAACACGCCGAGCGCGGGCAGCACGCGCGCGTCGCCGCGGTGCGCGTTCGCGAGCGCGAAGTAGTCGCGCTGCTGCTCGCGCGTGCAGGGCGCGAGCGCGGTGAGGATGCTCGAGTTCGTGCAGCGCGCGGGCGCCGCGGGCTGCGTGAAGAGCGGGCGCTCGGCGAGGACGACGGTGCCGCGCGCGAGGGCGCGGGCCGCGCGGAGGCCCTTGCCCTTGGGCGGGGCGTCGGCGAGGTGGAAGGCCGGGGTGGCGGGGGCGGAGGAGGACGCGCTTTCGGAGTCGGAGGGGGCGGGCGTGGAGGAGGGCGAGGGCGAGGCTGTGGGGGTGTCTGGGCGGGCATGAGCGGACACATGGGCTGCCAGTGGGGCGGCGACGCACCAGAATTGTTCCGAGTGTGGCTGTGTCGTGCGAGGACGAGCCGTTTGGCGCGGGTTTGTTCTGCGCCGGCACGGGTGGAGGGGTCGACGGTGCCTGTGGGCGCGAGTGAGTGACGAGTGCGGGTGCATCGGAGAGACGGGTACCGTGGCTTCCTGTGGAGTGAGCGCGTCTTACGGCGGTGGGCCGCCTGGCAGCGGGCTGCTTCTCGTTGGCGGAGCCGAAGGACGTGTCGCTGGCTGCTGCGAATGTTTCAGAGTGAGACATGAGTGCCGGCGGGAGGAGCAGCGCGAAAAGGCCGCCGATGGCACCGAAACACACCATGGCTCGCTGCCGTAGTATGCTGCGCGCGTCGCCCAGCGAGAGCGGGCGTCGGGCGTGTGGAACGTGGGGGCTCTGAATCGTGGCGGGGACTCGGAGGGCCCGCGGCGTCCAGCGTCTCGCCGCCTTTTGTGTGTGCCATCGCGCGGCCGCGTGTGTGGGCGTGTGCGCGGGGGCAGGGCACTCGCTGCGCGGGCTAGCGGGGAAAGACGGTGCGCGCCGTGCTGTGCGGCCTCGCGGTGGACATCGAGGGCTGGGTCGTGCCGGACAGCATCAGGAAGCTGCACGGTATCATACAGCACCCAGGTGCGTGCCTGATAGGCCCAATATTAATGTCCGCCGAGGCATACGGCTGCCGCGAGCGGAGAGTAGTCCCAGAAGGCCGTCCCTCCTGCCTTCTCGTCGGTAGCAGCTTCTGCTTCTGCGTCGCGGCCGGTTGGTCTCGCCGTTCGAGACGACGTGCAGCGCAGGGAATGGCCCCCGCTCAGGGCCGCTCTCTGTGAAATGAAATCCCAGAATCGTCATTGATGCCAACAGCCGCTCGCCGCCAGCGGCCGCTCTCGCAGTGATCATGTTGCGCCTTCTCCATCTTCGGCGAGAATGATAGCGGAACCGAGAAGCGAAGTGTAAAGTATATATACGCTTATCTGTATCTGACGCACGCACGATACGCGATGACGAACCTGTTCAGTGCTTGGATGTTTGGGTACAGATTACTGTAAAAGTGCATACATACCATAGATAGGACGATTTAGTTGGGTGCATTTGTTCAAGTTGAGCCTACCAGACGTCATGCTAAGGCTATGATGCAGTATATCTTGTATATTTATGCAGCTAAATCAGCCCATCGGAGGTCTAGCTTATATACAGGCCCGACTATCGGACTCTCAGGTTCCTAGAAAAAGTAGCGTCTCCCAAGTCCGGTTTAGCTCAGTTCAGAGGCCTCTTGCCCTGAACGTTGAACCGAAACTACCCATAATCTGTTCCGTTCTGCAAGAGATCTTGGAGATTGACAGCCATGGCGTTCCTCGGTTCTCTCAATGCGTCGAAGAAGATACATATAGGTATAAACTAGAGTACAGACGATGCTTCAAGCAGTATGGACTGGTGTCGGTAGTAATAGCTGAATGTGGCGCTCGTCGTGCCAAGCATTTAATCTGACATGCCTAATCAGGAATTTCAGCACTTCAACTAAAACACTTACCTCAGTCGCAGAGCTTCGCTGGTGCTTGTGGACAACTTCGTCGACCTTCCGCCATCTCCCCACTTTCCCCTTATTTCGCAACATGGCGGATGCTGGTGAGGTGCCCGTGATATGCCGCGTTGCTTTCCCTAACGAGAGAGACTCTTAGGCTTCTTCAAAGGAACGTCGGCGGACCAGGACCGCAGGTTCTCGGACAAGGAGCTCAAGCTCCTCAAGTCGATGAAGTTTCCCTCAGAGTTTGACAAAAAGGCAAGCCCAGCGAGGTGGGGCTCTCGCATCATAGCTCATGTCCGCACAGGTTGATATGCGCAAAGTCAATTTAACCGTTATCCGACCGTGGGTGGTCAAAAAGATCATCGAACTCGTCGGGTTTGAGGACGAGGTAGTTGTAGAGTATGCCATGGGACTGCTAGAGGACGACTCACAACCGGTGCGGCGTCTTAGAGCCTGACATTCGCCTTATCGACTCATTGTGACCTCCAGACCCCAGATCCCAGGAAAATGCAGATCAACCTCACGGGATTCCTGACCAAACACACCCCGGAGTTCATGTCGGCCCTGTGGAAACTCCTTCTCGAGGCTCAGGAGTCTCCAGCTGGCGTTCCACGTACGTTCGTTGAAGAGAAGAAGGAAGAGATGCGTCAAGCCAAAATGGGCGACACTCGGGCATTGGAAGAGAACGACAGGCGTGCCCGCCTTGACGAGATCCGCGACCGCGAACGGGAGACACGGGGAGGTCGTGGCCGGGGTCGTGGTCGCGGTCGGGGCCGAGGCGGAGGCGGCTTTGAAGACGACCGCGGTGGCAGGCCTCGCGACAGCGGATGGGGAGGCCGAGGTGGCGGGGTGAGTCCCAAGTGACACTCCCTATACGTCCACTGATAACCGTGGCATGAAGCGGCCGGGACGTCGTCGTACTCCATCCCCTTCGCCTCCGCCGCGCCGCAGCTCGCGCACGCCCGCGAGTTCTCGCTCCCGTTCTCCCGCTTCCACCCCACGCAACAAGCGCCGGTTCAACCCTCGCGGCCGCTCCCCTTCTCGCTCGCCCCCTCCCTACGGCCGTGACCGCGACCGCGACCGCGGCTCGCCCCCGCCCCGCCGTCTTTCCCCGCCCCGCCGATCTGTCTCCCGCTCGCCCCCGCCTTCCCGCCGCCGGCGCCGCTCGCCTTCGTACACGCCCCCGCCTGACCGCGATCGCCGCGCCAGGGACTCGCGCAGTCCGCCCCAGAGGAGGCGCCGGCTGTCCCCGCCACCCCGGTCCCGATCGCGTAGCCCCCCGCGTGGATATGGGCGGCGCCGAAGCCCAAGCCGTAGCAAAAGCCGCTCCGCTACGCCCCCCCAGAGCCGACGGAGACGACCCAGCCCGACCCGATCGAGGACGCCTCCGCGCCGGCGGCGGGGTATCTCGAGGGACAGAAGCCCTGACAGAGACGCGGAGCGCAACAACGGGCGCCGCGGACAGGTGGAAAGGAGTCAAACACTGAGCAGGAGCAGCAGTCGGGGCCGTGTGCCTGATGATGATAAGCGAGGCAAACAGGCGAACAACAGGGACAACCGCGACTCTGTTACGTCCTTTGCAAACGGCGGTGCGCGGGAGAAAGGGGGCGAACTGAAGATCAAGGGACAAGCCGACGCGGGGAAGAAAAAGAGCAAATGGGAAGAGGAGCGTGAGCAGGTGAGTAAGTTGGCATCCGCGTGTTGTTTGGCTTGATCGAGACATCCTACAGTCCTTGCCCGATCAAGGTGAACTCGAGAGAAGAGAGAGCGAACTCAAAGAAAGGGCTTTGCGCAACAAGGTCGTGAGGACTAGGAAAGGCAGTACCAACGTTGCTGCAGGCAACTAAGATCAACTGTTGTGTGAGATGGATCGCGCAAAATTCGATTTGTATGATTCCTTGATCTCAAGGGTGGAGCTCGTGCTTATGCTTTCAAATTGTGCGATGGACAGTTTTACGACGCATCTCAACCCCCTTACTCCAGACGACTCTGTGTATTTTCCGAAGTGCCATTCCTTCGCTACTCTGTTCCAGTCTGATGTATGTTATCTTCTCACCCAGACAGGTCGTTCCTGGTCCCATAGTGTGCTTTCGGAAGGCAGTGGATGAATGCCATCGCTGTGCTTACCATCACCCTTCCCCCCTTTTGTTCCACACGTATGGCTGACAAGTAGAATCTTGCAGATCTCATAATGCCGTATCATGTCTGCTTGTGTCCGCAATCAGCACACCGGCACAACAATATGCCAGATCAGCATACTCAGCATACTTGTGTGTCTTTGGTGAGTGCATCAGAGCGTACCGTGAGACAGCTGTCGCGAAAATAGACTTCGCGAGTCTCTCGTGGTTGTTTGGTGGGATTTGCACCATCGTGAGGACACCAGCTCGCCAGGATGGCGTCGGAACGGGCATCAACTTGCGTTCCCACCCTCCTCGCTGTATTAAACGTCTTCACAATGAGGCCATGAAAAGATACAGTGTCCCTGTGATGTGCAATGATGTCAACTCTACACACAATCTAATGTCCTAGACTCGGCTTGAAGGTGCCTAGAATAAAGATGGCTTTCTCATAGGTGCGCGCCGCACCGCAAACCGCCCTTCGACATGGTCACGGGCCACCGGACCGACCATTATTGACCGCACGAGTACAGCTGACCCTGCAGCCGCACATACCGATACTCCTACGTCTGGAATGCACATATATAAGATCATGGCAGATGGGAACAGTATTCAGTCGTCTCTGCCATCATGTCGTCTACCATAACAAAGATTGAGGTGACTACACCCAATCGTGGCATTGAAAGACTCGATAGATAATTGACGCTTATAATCTACATTCCACTTAGATATTCCGCGTGCCTCCACGCTGGCTGTTTGTCCGCGTGGAGACACAAGGCGGAATAGTCGGCTGGGGAGAAGGCACTCTGGAAGGCCACACTGAAGCAGTCGAAGGAGCATACCAGGACCTCGTCAGGCGGTTCGTCGGATGGGACGCGGATAAGATCCAAGACATCTGGCAACATGCATACAGAGCCAGATTTTACAGAGGTGGACCCGTCTTAATGGTGAATATCTCGAGCATCGTTTATCGGCTCTGGTGACTGACGACGAGTACGGAACGTAGTCCGCTCTCTCGGGTCTGGACATTGCTCTGTGGGACATCAAAGGCAAGCGCCTGGGCGTCCCAGTCTGGCAGCTGCTTGGTGGGAAGGTGCGCGACCGCTTGAAAGTATACGGGTGGATCGGTGGGGACAAGCCCAGCGCCGTCATTGAAGGGGCGCAAGCTCGGAAAGAGCAGGGCTTCACGGCCGTCAAGATGAACGGGACAGGCAAGTCGGAACCGGCTGAAAGCACTCTACGTCTGCTAATCGAAGTATGCAGAGGCAATCAGCTGGATTGACTCACCCGCCCTCCTCCTCGAGACGGTCGCCCGAGTTAGCGAAGTCAAGTCGATCGGCCTGGACGTGGGTATCGATTTCCACGGTCGTGTCCACAAGGGCATGGCGAAACAGCTCGCACGCCTCCTTGAGCCACTGCAGCCGCTGTTCATCGAGGGTGCCCACAGTTCACGCATTCGGTGCGACTCCATACTGATACATCTCCGCAGAACCCCTTCTGCCAACGCAGCCGCTGGAGATCACCGACCTGAAGCACCTTGTGTCGACACCCATAGCGCTCGGTGAACGGCTCTATGGGCGCAACGACTTCAGACCATATCTAGAGGCTCGTGCAATCGACATTGCTCAACCTGATGTTCGTTTTGACATTGTATGCATTGGCGCAAATTTGAAGCTCAACCCTACCGTCACATACAGGTCGCACATTGCGGCGGGATCAGTGAGTTGCACAGGATAGCGACGCTCGTCGAAACGTACGATGTAGCTCTCGCGCCGCACTGTCCGCTCGGTCCAATCGCGCTGGCCGCTTGTATGCAGGTTGATATTGCCTCACCCAACTGTGAGTGCTTTGATCTACGAATTCAGACGGATGACATGATTGCTCTTAAGTCTTCATTCAGGAGCTGAGTCTGCAGGTTGGTGACTTTGCATAGATATCAACAGATGGTCACCCCATGATCATGCTCTTTGTGAACTGGTAGATGCATTACAACGAGGGTGCGGACCTGCTCACTTACCTCGTGGACCCATCGGTGTTTGCTATCAAGGAAGGACACGTCGAAGCCCTACAAGGTAATTCATCTCGTTTCAATTATGTTCATATGCTCACTCCCGGCCTGCAGGTCCTGGACTCGGCATCGAGATCAACGAAAGGCTTGTGCGCGAATATGCAGAGAAGTACAAGCAGGATCAGCCCTGGATCAACGCCATTTGGACAGGCGCGGACGGCTCGCTGCGCGAATGGTAGTTGCTTATTAGCCTGAAATGACATTCCTCTTGCCACAATATGTAACTATATTTCAACCTGTGCGATCCTTGTACAATTATAACCGAGCGGTGCATAATCACTGGCGACTATGAACTCGACACTCGCAAGGGGGCGCAATAGTCAGCTCACCTCAATCAGGACCGCCGAGCCTTTGCTTGCGCAGCATGCCGAACGAGAGATGAGCGCGTGGGTCCCGCGAGTAGTTCTCCATCTTTTTTGCCTCCGGGCAGTCAGGACCTTTGTTCCTGCACTCCGCTTCCCATGCCTTTCGCGCCCAAGCTTTCGCGCTTGCTATATCAGAGACCGCTATACCAGATGAAGGTCATTGGGGTACGTCGTTATATGCACGGGGATGCGAGCGTACAGGTGCAAAACTGGAATGCATCGTAGTAGTATGACTGGTCGAGGAATCCGAGGAGCCCTTCTTCCTTGAGCAATGTCAGTGCGTGCTTCACCTAATGATGTAACGTATCAGGGCTACCGCCCAACTCGAATACTGTCCGACTGTACATGCCTTTCTAATGCCCAGCGCAGGGTTCATGCCGCACCCAGCTATCTCTTGGTACAGCTGACGAAGTCGCGAGCGGCGTCCGTCACTCGCCTCCAGCTGGGCACCAGATAGCGAGCATGCAGTGCAATGACACTCAAATGCGAACTTCTCGTGCAGCTCGCGTCTGCGTTCATCTCGCACAGAGAGAAGATCGGTGTATGCTATGCATAGTTCCTCCCCAGCTACGATGTCTCTAACGGCGCGAAACGATATCTGACGGAGCTGCTCGTCCCAGTAATTGTTTATATTCGGGACGCAAGACGAATTGAACCGCGAGCCTATGACGAAGATGCCACCCTCAGTCGCCGCATGGCCCGTTGTATTGCTATTGTAGCCGCAGGGAAGGACGTTGGTATTGAATGTCCCCAGCGCCGGGGGCAGTTTCCCGCGAAGGCTATTCGCGAGGGCGAAGAATTGCCGTTGCTGTGAATCCGTGAGAGCAGACACAGCTGTTAGGATTTTTGTGTTGGTGCGGGAGAGTGTCATAGTAAAGAGAGGCGACTCGAGCAGTACGAGGTCGCCGCTGCTGATGGCTCTTGCTGCGATAACGCCCTTCCCTTTGCCAGGAATGTCTTGTATAATGAAGTCGTCTACTATGCGTCATTATACATTGGTGAGTTTCACTGGAGACACGACGTACCGTCCATTTGCTAAAATTCGGACCTTGACTGCGGATAAGAGGGCAAAAGTAGGAATTCTGTGGTCCTTACGAACGATTCAAACCTTTTTATATAAGTACATGAGGCATTCGCCGTTAATTTCATATCGCCACGGGGCCAGCCAGAACAGGATCTTGCTCCAATACCTAATGATAGCAACTGTTGAGCTCTGTGGGCGCGCCAGTAGCAGCACATGAACGCGGCCACCCTGATAGCTACGAGGAACGTGCTCAATCGAAGCGCTCGCCGAAGACGACGTTCCAAGTCCTTGGAAGTACGCTCTTGACTTGTACGACGTCGCTTTTTCACTACAGCTCTTACGCCCACTGACATAGAGCTCCAAAAGATAGATCGCTGGCGCAACATTATTCCATGTACCCGGATAGCCATGATATATTGAAGCCCCCGATACGATACGTACTAGCATGTATTATCCGGTATAGGGCGTCGTCCTCCAGCGGAAACAAAACTGGATTGTGGAAAAAGAGAGCTCTTGATCACGAAGAGGTGTACCTTCCTCAAATGATCCCCAAGCACTACGCATCTACAATTCATCACTGATGCAGGGACTGTAAGGTGCATTTACCGAAGTTGTAGACTCATGCTAGACAGGTCTGTCCTGCAGCATTGATCCAAAACATCATAAATGCCCTCATTCCTGGCGACTTGCTAGTTTAACGATGGCTACGTATCGCAAGATTCGGAGGAATGGTTCAATGAAAGAATATGACGCACACTAAACAACCGTGCCGTGCAGGACTTGAACGATGGTGCAATGTGATAAAATGCACACGGGACGTATTGCGTCGATAATGAATGACACGGATATCGTCACACATCCCAGGAGACAAATGTACGTATGTAATGGGTAGATTAAGGATGCAGAGAACATCCGGCAGCTCGGATAGACCAGCGAACAAGCAGAATATATTGGCTTAGAAAATAGCTGCCCAGAGGTCAAAAGCATGAAGCTGTGCGAGGTCAGAGGCAGAGTTGGGCGAGGCGATGACACGTGAGCGGCACGCGTCTCGCTGTCCTCGACCACGACAACCACGGTCTCTCCGACCACCTGCCGCCTTGGCACTCGACTGCACCCTTAAACATATACCCTCGTTCATTCTGCTGCACGGCCCTTCTGTAATGCTCTCGCATTTACGAGGAAAACTACCTTGGCCTCGGGGGGTCACAGGCCTGCCATTCCTCGTTCTCGTTAGCTGCCTCTTGCTTCTCAGCCAGCCAGCGCACGCCATCAAATTCGCATTACAAGCCAGTCGATTTCCAGCAGCTAAATGCATATGGAACGCAGCGCATCCCGGCGCGCTGGTCATCGTGACAGCAAATATCGGTCCAGGGGAACACCAGCGCGTGGACATTGAAATCCTGGACTCGGGCCAGCAGCGGAACGTCTACTTGAGCAAGAAGAACATCAGCGGAGAGAAGCGGTTCGCTATAACATCACACTCTGAGGAGGACGTTGGAGTATGTTTCAGGAATTACTTGGAGCCAGGTCAGCAAGGTATGTGCATTGCCCAAGCCGCATGTCAGCGCATGTCTAACTACAATATTTACCGTGTGCACAGGAGGCCCTGTAGAAGCCAAGCCGCGCTCACGCGTCATTGACCTGGACATCGACATCGGCGCTGACGCAGTAGACTACAAGTAAGTGGTGGCGATATATGACGTCTTTACACACTCACCCATGTGTATGTAGTGCCATTGCAAATCAAGAGTCATTATCCGGGCTCGAGACCGAGATGCGCAAGCTGGAAGGCGTCGTAAAAGAGGTAGTTGATGAGTTGGACTACCTCAAGGCACGTGAGGAGCGATTTCAGTCTACAAACAGTGCGTACCGCGACTTTGTTGTCACCAACCAATGGCACACTGAGATGTTGTTATCCCCCTTCCAGTGTCAACGAACGTGCGAGTGCAGAGCTTCGCGTGGTTCACTATCTTCTCCCTCATCGGGCTGGGGCTGTGGCAGATTTTCCACTTGCGGGCGTTCTTCAAGCGGAAATACCTCATCGACTGAGACATCTTGGATCGGTGCTATGTATCGAGTACTACTAATGGGAGCTGCGGTGCCATCCATGTTGCCGTTCGAGTAAGCTGACGTGTTCCCGGTCCTCGGGTATAGTGTGCCTTGTGGGCGGTATCCTGAACATGCCCGAGTGGCCCGGAGATTTTACCCTTGAGATGTCCCTTGACAGCTCTCTTGCATGCCATCTTGATAATTTACTGGTACAGCGCCCCTTGGGTTTTGATAGGCTACAGCCCCGAGGCATGTGACTGACAGCGAAGGCAGCCAATAAGTGTAAGTGTATTGATCTTCAAGTGGTCGCGTCGTTGATGTCTTGATGAATCTGGCAAGCTAGGATCGTTGGTATTGGCCGACAGTCGACTGAGAGACAACTGTTCGACTGATGAGCAGATACTCGACGTTGCGTTGTTTTACTGTGAACCATCAATCATCTCCTATCCATTGACAGTCGACATCGGCTAGCCTAACTAATAGTCTCGGAAGGCCCTTATACAGGAGCACACATGTCCTGGTAAATCTCGTTGGTATCCGAGAGCAATTGTATGGCTTCCAATATGTAGGCACAACTCGATCCTACCATGGCTACGACATAAGTTTCTTTCTGAATATGTACGGATTGTGGGTCTCCATGGTGAGTGTCACATATGGGGCCTGTTAATCATCAAGTTGTCATGCGTGTTGTATTGCTCTCGCGCTGTCCGTATGGCTGATCTGTATGTCTCATCCCATTGGCTATTGCCTGCGGTCCAATAAATGTGGTCGTTCCCGCCAGACGATGTCAAACCGTTGTCGTAAATGCCAGAAGACCACGACATACACACTGACGATTAGGATATAATAGTGCCCGCACGCCCAAGATGCATTCACTTTCCTCCCTCCTTGCGTCGTTATTTCATTCCCAGGTACTGGATAGTAAGCACAACGTTTTACATCATGTAGCTGGTGTAGGGCCAGTCCATTGAGCGTTGTTCGCACAGCCTCCAGATTTCGGTACTCGGTGCCCCAGTTGTCTAATCGTCGGCACGATGGTTGCGTTGACATATGTGTTCCTCGTCATCCTTCCTCTGTGTCGTTCAATATTCGGCGCGCCTCTCCCGTATGTGACATACTTATTGCGTGAATGCTGTTGGGTGTTGAGTAGGTCTGCTTTTTATGCGGCGTCCAGAAGTCCTGTTACTCCCGGGGTCACGAGAAGTTTGTGCGCGCTCTCCCATCACTCCTCCATGCACTGTGCCTGATGGTTTCTTGACAGAGCGTACAATCGCGACGACTTTGACGGGAGCGAAGGGATAGCTGCGTTGAACTTTGGGTCGATGGTGGACTGGGAATCAGTGGAAGACAGCGCGGCCAAACATCCTTAGATCAGGGTGTGACATTCCATAGTGTATAGTGCACCGAGGTCTTCTCGAATCGGAGTAGCTAACAGCTTGTCCATTGGCCTGTTTTGTGCACTAATATATGTCCGGCTGGCGTGCTGGATCCCCTTTCGCTTGAATATTCCGACATCAGACTGCGTCTTAGATTTGAGTGGGTCACTATACACGTGACAATGTCCATCTAGAATCATTGAAGTCTCATTTAACTGGAGTTGTTGGACGCAGTCGATCGTCGTGACTCTCTTGATAGACGCCCGTTATTCGAGGTAAGACAATGGTATTGCCAACGCGCCATCCACACAGACTCATGTAACGCAAACATTTATTCAGTGCAGGTCAATTGCACATACCTGAATATCATAATCAATTTACACTAGCGCGGCGGCCACACGCCTGCACTGATCATAAAAACCACTTGCCGTTCGATCGAGCGGTTTCGATCAAATCGTACAAATCGATCCTACATCTCCACCAACAGCATCCAACAGCCGCAAACATGTCTTCGGTCCTCGGTCACAACAAGTCCTACATCGCAGCACCGATGGTCAACCAGAGCGATCTGCCCTTCCGTCGCCTCGTCCGCCGCTACAATGCCACACTCGTCTACACTCAGATGCTGCTTTCCGACAGGCTGCTCAATGACCATGACTACCTACAATTCCACCTACGCGGTCTTGGCGAACCGAACGATAGGCCTGTCGTCGTCCAATTATGTGGAAATGATCCCGAACTTGTTGTGCGTGCTGGTAAACAAGTGCAGAGCCATTGTGATGCAATAGGTGATACTGCGGTTCCAGCAGTGAGCGCGGCGACATTACTTACACACCCGCGAAGCATCCAGATTTCAACCTCGGTTGTCCACAAGAGGCTGCGCGGGATGCTCACTATGGCGCGTATTTGCTTGGCCAGAACGACTGGCCTTTGGTTGAGAACATTGGTACGTGGTGCCATGCGGAGAAACAAGCGACCCCGTCTCACGAAAGACCAGCGGCTTCAATGTCAAATTCTCTCACCGTACCGGTGTCTGCTAAGTTGCGTCTCTGTCAGCCGGCGTCTGCCACCCTGGACCTTGCGCGTCGCCTCGAGCACGCTGGGGCTTCCTGGGTCACTCTTCACGCGCGAACTGTTTCCGTCCGACGGCGACGCCAGGGAGCTGCGGATCTTGAGCAAATCAAAACGCTGAAGGACAATCTGTCCATCCCCGTTATCAGCAACGGCAATGTGCGGGTGTGGGAGGATGTGGAGCGCAATCTCGCATTGACTGGCGCGGACGGTATAATGGTGGGCGAGAGCCTATTGGCGAATCCATGGTGCGCGGAGAGAAGCGCGGTATACTTGCGTCCATGCTCACGATCGCCGCCTGCTAGCCTCTTCGCGGACATCACGCCTGATCCGGTCGCAATCTCGCTTGAGTATCTGGATCTGTGCAGAGAATACCCGGACACCGCGACCATGCAGACAGTACAAACGCATGTCAGACATTTCGTCGATCACCAGTGGTGCGTGTTGATTGGCCCCCGGATGCTTATCTCCGCCCTCGAGGGTCCTGACTACAGCCTCCGATAGTGGCCGGAGACCATGGTTCAACAAGTTCCGTGCTGCGTTGAATGGCTGTAAGACAGTCGACGACATTGATGCGGTGTTGCGGAAGGTACAAAGATGGCGGGGGCTTTTTCAGTCCTCAATAGATACCTGCGTAAGACAGGACCCGAGCAACGACGAAAAAGGCCACGAAATTCCGGGCGATGCCCTCGCAGCCATGCTATATTGAACATATACGTCGCGAAAAACATCGTGTCATCTCTTTCCCAGAGAGAACCCTCAATGAGCTGCAATATATTGTGTCGGGTCCGGACGGCCTCTTTACGTGTTGCCTCTCGGTGGCATTTGGAACCACATCCGTGGTGATCCCACAGATGGTGCTCTTAGCCCTACAGGAACCAACATGGCGATCCCCGACACGGTGCGTGCTTTCCCCACTGGCGTTGTTTTCCCTTGGGCTGTTCTGTCAGTGCATATTGGACTGTCGGGTCTCACACCCACGCCATGCCTGGCACGCATGATGAGGTGTGTCTGACTCGAACCGTGTGCTTGTGTGCCGCTGCACATCAACTGAGCATACTCGGCCGTCAGGGTGAGCCATCCAGTATCTTGGTGGACAGCCTCCGATTGCTGACATCATGCTGCATGCGGGTCCCCTCGCAGTTACCTATCTAGCAGTAACCAGGCCATCTCTATGCCTCGAATGCCACGAGAAACAACTTTCAATGCCCGCATAGCGGCGTTCCATCTCTCCCTCCCGTCCGTCACCCAAATCGTCGCGGACTCTTCGCGCTGATCTGGATTTCAAAGGCGATGGCACGATCACTCAGACACCCGCGTGAATCAAAGATAGTGGTGCGTCTGCCTGCGGCTTCCCTAGTTCCATCGGATCCCATTTCAAATTTTGAGCTTGTTCTTCCCTTGTTCTCGCGGCTTGCTCCACCAATAAGATGCATTCGGGGACTGTCTGCAACCGACGGAAGGTCTGTGAGATCGGGCAGCGGAGATGCAGTTGGTTCACATCCGCAACGACGCTTCCGTGTATTGAGATGGCACTCTTCCTCCTGTGGTTGGTCTCTACAAAAAGCACGCCTGTGATCCCATTGTTGGCAATCCGACAGGATGTCTAGCGCGGATACTGGAAGAGTAGCAATCGCAGTCTTCGCCGATACTAAAGCTTGCAGTATTCAAGGGTTTCAGATCCAAGTGCCTGCGCAGTCTTCATATCGGGACGATATCGTGGTGTTTTACGATGGCATCCTCGTGATGAAGGAATGTCCTGGATGACTCAGATTATTCTTTGTATAAGCTCAAGGCGTTCCACTCTTTCTCCGCGAGTCACACCCCTTATTATCTCAATGAGGAAGTCTCCCTGTATGTGGAATGCCTCGCTTCTCTCGCTCTGCCGGTTGTACAAGTTGCGACCGGTATTTGCGATGCCCCCATCTCATATCGATCGTATTGCGCTGCGCCTCTCACGCGCAGATGTTCGTGGGTGTCTGGTGTGGTGAAACTTCCCCCCAGGACGATCTTATTAGATACGGACCGAAACATTGTCTGGGCAGAAAGACAAATGCTCGTGCTCGTCCAGACCACCTGTCTGGCGGATGTTCCACGCCGGCCATTTCAAGACGATCATCGTTAATTCCAGACTCAGTGAAGCAAGCCGCATCCGAGACTCAAGTACATTGAGCATACCAAAACCATTATACATGGTTCTGAGCATTGTCAAGAGAACTGACATCTTGCTGTATCGCGGTCAGACGCACAGGTCAAATGCAAAAGAAAGTCTGCTATCACCTACGTATCACCGACGATACCGTCCAGCAATGTCGTGTGTTATCGGATTGACTTCAGTTTTACATGTCGACATCGTACTACCTGACCTATATTTATTGCTTGGACAACAAGAAGGGACTCGGAGTCACATCCACCTCGATAGCTATGTTTAGATGTCGTATTTGTGTTACTTGACTTCCTTTCTAAAAGAGTTTCTCAATTCAAAGTTCTGCTCATCATGTCTTGATTCCGCGGAGGGGTGTCACTTGATGAACACACAATGTCAAGTGCTCATGTGTAGCCTAGTCGTTGGCATTCACTTCAAGATAAGATATATACCCAAGTTCATCCATCGTGGTGTACGATCATCCCCGGCGAGCGTCTGTTCAGAAACACCGTCGCGACCGGGCTCGCGCGAGTGTACGAAGGTCGCGGGGCTTGAGCAACGTTCGTACTGTTTCGCTGCCCACATGACCGACGTGATGACTACATTTTTCCGAGAGCACTCAGTACTAGAAGCTGGTTCGCTCACGATGTCATCCCAGCTTATCGACCTGGTAGTAATATATACCTCTTTTGTCTTACAAGTCGGCATTCTATCTTGCCGCTCCTTTGCGCATGTGTCCTAGCCGCAACGCTTCGTTGACAGTTCTGCAGAGCTGACACCTCCAGCATCATTTGGAAGATCTCCGACACGGTGGGCGGCAGTATCCTCTTGCAGCACGCAGCGTGGTGTCCAGGACTTCGATGAAAAATGCCTGGGGATCTTCCGGGAGTAGCTTAACTTGTGTGTCCGACGAAGACTTCGCCCTTAGTACTTCTGCCGCGCGAGCGTTGCACTGAGGCTTCTCGACCAACCACACAGGTGCAGGTCGCATACACACTTGCCAGTCGGCGGAGTACTCGACAAGTGGCAATTAATCGGTTCTTGGTTTCAATTGGCGGAAGTGAGGATCAGAACCAAGAGAACATTTCATGCGCTCGTATCACTTACGACACGATGAGAATTGTCACGTATTGTCTAGACTGGCGCTCGGATGGTCCAGTCTGGTCGCTCGAAGCCCTCGGGTGAACCGCAGTAAGTCGAGGAGGCGAGCTCGGACCGAATGTTTCCCATCACGCATGGCTGGCCGCTGCATTCCAGGGCCAACGACCACCCCGTTTCTGCTGCCCGCATGTCGGTCCTCGGAAGCCATCAAACACAGCAACACCAATGGCCGAATAAGGGACGCACGTGTTCTTCCGGTGCCGGGCCGAGGAGCCCCGGGATCACACGCCGACTCTAGGTTGATCTGAAAATCGGGAGAGCAGATCTCAATGCCTAGGTCTGATCGAATATTAATTTCCCGGGAATGGTTTGGCTGGCCGTATCTCGGGGCCGACCCTCCGAAGGCACGGATCGAGGCCCGCCGACCGGCGCAGCAGGTCTCGCAGATCGTCTGCTCAGCGGCGGTGATCGTCGCGGGGCGGAAGTACTGATATCTGTGTTCCGCACGTTACGCGTGTTGGTGCACGCATGGCCAGGTCGTTTGTTGTGTAGGTTGGATCAAGTATAGGAACATTTGATTTGCACGTTCGGAATTCGTTACGGTCTTGGAGCTCGTTACGGTTACAGCAAACTTCTTCAAGCGACTAGTACACAGGCAGTCTCCACTTGCGCCGCATTAGAGGGTGTAAGATGCTACCGCCCCATCCACCCCTATATAGTTTTTGAAGTCAGTTGATGATTGGAGTGCTCAGGTGGTGCACCATGGGCGACAACTTACTCCATCAACGACCACGAGCTCTCCACAGACATACTGGCTTGCCTTGCTAGCCAGGAATATAACAGGGCCCGCGAAATCCTGCGGGGTGCCCCATCTACCAGCAGGGATACGCTCCGAGATCTGGCGGAGACGTGCAGGGTCCTGGAGCAGCTTCTCGTTCCTGCCGCATTGAAACAAGTAGTCAGATGTCAATGATGTGTCCATAATAACGTAGAACTGAGAACCCTTGAAGTGACAAGGTTATGTTCAGCAGAGCCACGCGGTGCACGCGTGGGGAGAACACTCTGTTGGATGGCAGGAGCAACGTATTGATGCCGTATTTTGAGCTGGACGCTCTGATCTGGCGGCTTAGAAGCCAACATCGCAGTCGCGTCACAAACGCATCCTGACCTCCGCATCAGATACGCGCAGTTTGGAAATGCGTGCGGAGGCGCACACGGCGCCTGCCCACTGCCCTTGACGCCGCTTCTCCCCACACACGCGCGATCGAACGGATGTCAATCGGAAACTTACATGTCCGTCGCAATATACCCAGGGCATATCCCATTCACCTGCACGTTCTCTTTGCTCCACTCATTGCTGAGGGCCTTTGTGAGCTGTCCCAGCGCTCCCTTCGCCGCAGCGTACGCGGGCACGGTGAATCCGCCCTGTCGATAAATACAGTATGACAACCACAATAAACCGCTGGCAGCAGGGTGAATGGGGACGAGCGTGTACATGCCTGGAATGTCAGGAGAGAGCAGAAGTTAATTATCTTGCCCCGCCGGCGAGGCACCATATGCTGCCCGGCGGCCTGTGAAAGAATCCAGACCGATTTCAGATTGACGTTGATGACCTGTCAAAAGTGACGATTTCGTTAGCGAGCCGCAGGGGGACAACGAGGTGATGCGCGAGGCAGGCCACAGCCAAATACATCGGAAATTGGTGCCCGTCACTAGCCGTCTCTGAAGATACGATTGCTGCAAGCGGGGTGCCAGATAGGATGTAAAATAAATGGCGTCTCCACGCTCGTCGCACTCATGCAACGTCGAGCACCGGACCGCGGTCAATTGTGAGCGCGAGACTTCTGAACCGGATACGCCAGAAAATCCGCCACGGATGCAAACGACCGCCACTGCCCCGTCCCCGAGCGAATCAGCGGTAAATTAATCTCGCCCGTCAGACGAAGTTAGTCAGGGCACTTCTAGCGCAAGCATCTCAGACATCGACGATCCCGGCCAGCCCAAGTAAGACAGCGCATGCACTGACGTCAACGCAGCTGTGCTGGCAACCAATGGCGGCCGGTGCCTTCGTGAATCGTCGACAGGCCGAGGCGCATCGCCGAGACACGGGCGAGGCTGCGTGTACAGGGCGAGGGAACCCGCGCAAACGACGAGGAAACCAGCCGAAGCACACAAGGCCTAGAACACGGATAGGCGACGGAGTATGGACAAGGCGAGAAGACACGTTGCCAACAAGGAGCAGTGTGGGTGCAGATACAGATGGAGATGAGCCTGCGATCCGCGATCAGGGGGGTGGAAGGCCGCTCGCGCGAGGGGCGAGAAGGCGAAGCGCGCGCAAGGGAAGGCGAAGATGCAAGGGGAAACATGTTGGATGAGGACGCGATGACGAGCGTGCGGCAATGATGCGCGCTCGCCGCGATAGGGCAATGACGCGGACGCGCGGAGGTACGCCGATAGACGTTTTTGAACGAATAGGGGCGCAGCATGCGCGGGCGTATCGGGCGCGGGGAGTGAGGAGCGACACGATAAGCAGCGAAGAGCCCGTACATCCACATCCTCTGTGTGGACGTGGGTATCGAGTGCAGCGATGTGCGAGTATAAAAGTCCACCCAGGAGGGTGGGTAGGGAACAGAGTGGATGAGTCACCGAATTGAGCTACCAAGGGAATGCCAGCATCCCAGGCAGACAATTTTTATGTACACCTGGGCGATATTCGGGCGACGCTCACATGTCCTCGCATCTTTCTCACAATCGAGCAACGGTAAGCAAGATGGAAGACGCAGGGAGATACCGAACGCCGCGGTTCGAGATAATGGTACCCGCAATTCAGTTGCAGAACACGAGGCGCCGACCAAGACGGTGCAAGTGAAGGGTTTCTATTTTGCCGGTGCGCGCCAGGCGAAACGCGAGACCAGAACGAAATAGGGAACGATGATGCAAACGGAGTACCTGCGGGCCGAGCGCAGAAATGCGAAGGCAGTCCTGCGGGGAAAGGGAGGAGAAATGCAAGCGCGAGAGTGACAACGCACAGAAGCTGTCGGACGTCACACGCAACCCAAAACTTTGTAGCAAGCCCAATCGGATCCGAGAGACGGCACGAGGCGAAAGAACACGAGAAGACGGAGAAAGGCAAACGCACGTCGTCCCAATCACGCTCTGTGAACTGAACAGCCGGAGATCTCCTCTGGATACCTGCACAGTTGACGAGGATGTGTATTTCACCACCCATGGCCTCCAGCGCGCTCGGGAATATCTGCTTGACGGCTTCCAGATCTTCGAGGTCACATTGAACAGACTTTACGGTGCGTCCGAGAGCGGCGATTGCGTTGTAGGTTGGGCTGTTTGCCGAAGCCGTAGACGGGCGTTGAACGAGACAGATGTCTGCGCCGGCTTCGGCAAGGGCGATAGCACAGGCGGCCCCGATACCTGGGGGAGATAAGCGGACATTTGAGGGCGGTAGGCATGGCGCCAATGAGAAGATTGAGGCGTGGGGGTATGTGGGTGAAATTGGGCATGAGTAGACCTCATGAAGACGCACCGCGACTAGCGCCTGTGATGAGCACGTTCTGGCCAGCGAGGGAGAAGAGACCGGGTGCGGGGATTGCGGGAGTGGGGTCCATGTCGGGGGCTGTGGAGGAGGAGAGTCGACGGCATGGGTTGCGATATAAATGAGGAGAGGATGGGGAGGGGGACAGCCTGGACGAGGGCCGGACGGTGGCGGCAAGGATGGCGGGGAGACCGCCGGACTGGAATTACCCCAGACCGACTATTTCCCCGGATCGGGCATGAGGGCCGGACATCCGCACAGGCCTCAGGCTGCCGCGGCTGCCTGTTCATTTTCGCTTGCTCGGTCTTCACACACGCAAGATCAGGAAATTCGGAGGACCGCTGGGGGACAGAGTGCGCTATCATGGGTGCACCGTGGTGCTCGCAGCGTCCGCAGATGGGGCAGGAGGGACCCGGGGGAAGGGGGGCGAGAGGAGAAGCACTGGGCGCGACCACGTGTGGCACGGAAAGGAGTCTGTTTACGTAATCTGCCGCTGTCGATCACACCCACGGAGGGTCGGTCCGGGTCAAAGCAGCTATGCGCGGTCCAGCTCAGAACGCGCTCCTCACGAGACTCCAGCGCAAGCGATATAAATTCCAGCCGTATGTCTTCTCCACCCTCTCCGCCACGCCCCAGCATACGCTCCTCCCCGCTCTCATCATATTATGTCTCCAGTCGCACTCCCCACCCAGCACGCAGCAGTCCTCCATGGTGCCAAGGACCTCCGCTTCGAAGAGCGTGCCCTCTGGCCGCCACAGCAAGGCCAGGTGCAGGTCGCCGTAGCCGCGACAGGCCTCTGCGGCAGTGACTGTGAGTTCTCGGACCAAACGCACCGCTATCTATTCCCTTACCTATTTTTGAACAGTGCACTACTACATGCACGGCCGGAACGGCGACTTCGTGGTACAGCAGCCGCTCGTCCTCGGCCACGAGGCAGGGGGCATTGTCACTGCCGTTGGACCAGGCGTAAAGAACCTCGTTCCCGGCCAGCGCGTCGCTATTGAGGCCGGCATCATGTGTAACGACTGCTCCTATTGCGCCAAGGGCCGCTACAACCTCTGCAAGAACATGCGCTTCTGCAGCAGCGCGAAGACTTTCCCGCACCTGGACGGAACGCTTCAAGAACGCATGAACCACCCCGCACATGTCCTGCACCCGTACGTCTATTAACCGTGACCTTCCCGAGCGCCCGACATTCCTCCTCGCCGCGCGTCACGTGACCGCACAAGCTAGCATACCGTTCTCATACTGTCCGCACATAGATTGCCGGATGACTGCACGTTCGAGCAAGCAGCACTCGCAGAGCCGCTCTCTGTGCTCCTCCACGCATCACGCCGCGCGGACCTTACAACTGACCACCCCTCCACCGTTCTCGTCTTTGGCGTCGGCGCGATCGGGCTCCTTGCATGTGCGCTGGCAAAGTCATATGGCGCGTCGCGCGTCGTCGCGATTGACATCAATCGTGCGCGGCTCGACTTCGCGCTTGAGCAGGGCTTTGCGCAGCAAGTATACTGCCTGCCCATGGTCGACAAGGCGAAAACGACGGACGAGCAACTCCGCCGCGCTAAGGAGACCGTCAGCACCGCGCTCAGCGAGTTCAACATGCCCGATGGCTTCGACGTCGTCTTCGAATGCACAGGCGCAGAGCCTTGCATCCAAATGTCCGTTCATGTGAGTGCCCTCCAGTACGTGCCCGGTAACAAGTCCATGTACTCATTAGGCGTGCATATACAGGCCGCAGTAACAGGCGGAAAGGTCATGCTCGTCGGCATGGGCGCACGCAACGTCACGCTTCCGCTCTCGACCGCCGCGACGCGCGAGGTCGACATCCACGGCTCGTTCCGCTACGCCAACACGTACCCGACGGCCCTCGCGCTCCTCGCGTCCGGCAAGTTGCCGAACATCGAGAGCATCATTACGCATCGCTTCCCGCTCGCAGAGAGCGCGCGCGCGTTTGATTTGCTCGCCAAGGGCCGCGACGAGGACGGACGCATGGTCCTCAAGGTCATGGTGGGCGGTCAATAGGGCAGCATTGTGCGCTCTGACGGCGGCGTGGGCCCGGAGAGGCCGGGCGCGCCGAAGAAAACGCCCCATGTTGCGGCTGACGTTTAAGTTTCTTTTACGGCGCTGTCACGACCACCATAGAAAGAATCCTCCGCGCGCACGCGGCAGGGCTGGGTATATCGCGTCTCCCTCACCTTTCCACCTGTTCTCTTACTCACCCTGACCCGTATGCCCTTGTAACATCCTGAGCTATCTCCCCGCGCGCGTTAGAGGACGTTGTTAATGTGTATCAGTACTCTACGCTGGGTCGCATGCATCACTGCTTGTCCGCATTCTATCTATCTCTCATTGTCGTACATCTCGCACTAAGCACACATATTTTCAGGCTACGAGGATACCTTTAGCAATACATTTCCGTCGTGTACTCGTGCTTACTGCGTGCGTCCTGTGAGCTGCACCGTGTCGCGCAACCGCAACCCTCAAGGTTACTGTCAAGGAAGTGTACATCATGTGGCACAAACTACCTACGTACGAAGCTGACGGCGAACATATTCGCGGCAAGCCTAATCTGCATTGGGCACCTCCGCTGCCATTTTCACGGACGAAGCCTCTGATATGGAAACGCCCAGCGTTCTGGCGAACGTTCTCCTATCGCGACGGGGCCTTGGAGCCGGGGGAACGGGCCCATCCGTACCATTAGTGCTCGGGGAGATACCAGATGCGTTCCTGGCCGTTTCTCCGTGTTCGCTCCCGGCAGCCAGGCTACAGCCTGGCGCACTGTGCCGGGTGCGCGCCTCGGTACGCGAGGTATCCGAAGGAGCCCCCCCCGCGCTTGAAGTTGATCGATGGTGCACGGTGGGATTGTGGTGTCCATTGTAGGCGCAGGTCTGCCCCGTTGGTCCAGGCACTCCAAGATTTGGCCGATCTACAGTATTGGGAGCCTCGTGCCTGCGACGAGCGGCGGGAACCATGCCTGCTTTGAAGAGGAAACATGGAGCGAGGAGTGCTGAGGAGCATCATGCTATCAGATCGCCGTCGTAAGATGGAACGGGCAACCGGTCCGGGGGAGGGTTACACCAGTGTTCGTTTGAGTGCACCTCCGCAGCGGCCAGCAGATGGATTGTGGCCTGATGCACTCAGCGCGCCGTCTAGACCCACCGGCAAGGCCATTGAGCAAGATCCGGGCGAAGCAATAGCACCTATCGTACAGAATGACGGCATCCCTGTCGATGAGCGGGTCCCGGAGGAATTGTCTGGGAATGAACGCCATAGCTATTGGTAGTGACAGAGGATGTCCGAGACCTCCGCGGCTTCTCCGATGAATGAAGTCGGTCGGAAATGTGTATGAAGATACCTGAGCGGATCGCTAGACGGTGCATTCGCTGGTCACTAGGTTTGTCCGGGCGGGCCTTCAGCCCTCGAGGAATGAAGTGCCGTCGAGAGATGAACGGGTCTTCGTTCTTCCTCGATCTGGAGATCTCTGTCGTATAATCCGTGCTTCCCGAAGCAGCATGACGAAAGGATTCGGGTTAACCGCTCTTGAGGTGCTGTTGATACGACGGCCGGCCCGTATGGCCTCTTGATGCCTAGCCGCGCATATCTGCTAGATTGAGCACTTCTGGTTGTCCGGACGCTGCAACGCAAATTAATTCTGCACCAAAAATTGCATTACAAGTCGTCCATCAAGCGATGCCGTGCGGGTACAGTCAATGAGCGCAGAGGGCACTACTTTGTGCGCCCTGAGCGGTAGCACGTTCTTCAATTGAACGAGCACGTCTAGCAAACTCCGTCTATTGACCACAACCTAGAGTGGAAGAAACGCATTGCGTCAGCAGATGTCTAGATATCAAAGAACAGCGGGGAACTTGCTATCACTACCCATGTGTGGTATGCCTGGTCATCTGCAGGCACGCTGAGGAGGCAATCAATAGTCAAAGAAGTATGATATATGTCTGCCTGCTAGACTGTTGAATATAGACATACCAACCGCGGCGACCCTATTGGCTTATACAATGAACGGGAGGTCAACTGCTCTCAACAAGCTCAACGTGCGAGGCTCGTTTCCTTACAAACCATGAACTGACCCCGACTTGATGGAGGCAGATGGTGCAAGCGGTCTGATAGATGCTGGAAGACACCGGAGCACCGGGGGAAATGGCCGAACGAAGTCGCAGAACAGCGTGAGCTAAACGACAATATGGGACGGTAATGAGGTCAACAAGCATGCTACAGGCAGCTACGCGAAGGATAAATAGCGATGGTATACTCATGGCTCAGGAAATTAGATGCCATTCACTCACCTTGACGTAAAAAAGGAGGATGGTGGTCAATCATCGCAACGTCCACGAGACCCGACTTCCCGACCGAGGTGGTCACCAGACCATTCAAATCATTTTTGCGCTCGGAAAGGAAATGGGCGCAGTCAGTCCTGAAACGCTAACGTGGAATTCAAAGCCCCATTTTAGCCGTGTTCCATGTATGATTGAGGGCCAGTCAAAGATGTGAGGCCGCGATAGGTGCATCTACATAATGATTACCGCCTTGGCGCATATCACGATCTCGTCTCCCACCTGAAAATCGTTCGTCTTGTTCAGATCGTGCTTGGAAACGTTCTCAGACGTAGCGTCATAACGGCATAAGGACACGTCCTCTTTCTACGAGCGCCGAGTTTCTCTAGGTGCCTCGGCCTCGCACACACCGAGGCTTAGCTATTTTCGGCTATGCAAAGGTCTTCATATATAACAACAGCGGCCCAATGCGGATGGCTCACGTCAAATGTACCTGCGCGTGTGAGAGTACGTAACTATTGCCTCACGTATAATTCCGTGGCACAAGATGATGTGTTAATGGCTCCACGACACGATATCTTCTCAGCGGTTTTGAGCGAAAGCGGAGACAGCCTGCTTCTAGCACGATCTGTGTACGGTTCCAGTCACACTTGCTGGAACCCCGGGACAGAGATCGTGAGGACACATTATTTCTTGACGGGCGCCATCATTATAAAAATCTATACTGGTCGTCATCATGGTTTGAGAAGGGCCTGTCATGAGATTCAATCATCGGATAGTAATCTAGGATGCGAGCGGTACTTCTCCTCATCACGAGCACTGCAGCATCGGTCCGCGTGCCTCTCTCTTAGCTGTTGCGACATCTTTAGCGAGCGCACGAGGCAGACATAATATTCGATCAAAGCAGTAATTCCGTGGCGATTTGCTTTGGGAATATATCCACTACCACCATTTACGGAGCCATTGACCTATGAAACGTCCAGTTTGCGTTCGAGTTTTGAATATTGACCTGCATCCGGGAGGGGATTCGTGGGCAGAGGGTAGAATACCCACTGAGCCGAAGTGTGGTCTGCGCCTACAACCCCGTGTCCGATCCGATGTTGCAGGGATAGTGAATGCAGGTCCCTTGACGTAACATCACCTTGTTGTTTGGAAGATGTTGCAAAAGCAACGTAAACTCGATCTGCGATAGTGCGCAAGGCGAATTGGATATTCCTGAAGGAGCAACTGACTGGCACAGGGGCAGCAACAGCCCTAAGATAGTCGTTGCGGCGTTACGGTGCGGGAACAAGTGCTCAGTATAACGTATGATCACTGATGGCGCCCAATCTTTGTGAATTGAGCCATCCGAAAACCGGATCGTACCGTCAGTGTGAATGGGGCGCTCCGTGCAAGTGTTGCATGACAAATGGTTGCGAGCGTGCTGTCTGTTGGTGGATACAATGATTCTAGAAAAGGACTCTAATGGACAACAAGACTGAAAAGAGACATGTATGAAGGTGGAAAGTAGATACCTGAGGCGTCGATTTATGATCGATGAGGCAGCCTCATTTTCCAACCTTGGGATGACGGCACCGCGATCGTGTCTCCTCAACTGTGCGTTAAATGTATAGCAAGGATGGTGGGTTTTCAATGCCCCATCATGGAGTTGAGACAACGCGGCAGAGCTCATATGAGAGCTCTCGGAGACGAGATGCGATACGCAGTGTGCCCGAGTAGAATGTCTCCGACTGCTGATGCTGAAGCACAGTAGATTGAGCATAACTGCAAAACCACTCCCTTTACATAATAGTCAACCTAGAAGTGACACTCACCCTTGATATGTATGTAAATGGTCAAGAACACAACGTCGCGATTCGCGGGAGCGTGACGAAAGAGGAATAGACAAATAATGCTACACGTGATTGACGCGTCGCGCTGTCTGATAAGCGGTAAGTAAAATGTAGTACTTACATTCAACCTCTTCTCCTAGGTAGATTAGGCCTACAACAATGCTTAGTGTGCCGCAATCTACTCATTGATCTGCGGCAATCATAAGTGGTATCGTCCTCAAGGTTCTCTTCATCATCAACTTTGAGCTAGCAATCACATCAATGGGTTTAAGGTCCAGTCTGCCAGAAGTTAATCTCAATAGCGTCCTCACTAGTTTCGTGATATGAATGGGAATAAGGGTGCGTTTACCAATTGACATTCGATGTGTTCCTCTGATTGCTCAAATAGGCAACCGTAGTCGTTCATGACTTGGTTCCTTTCTTGCCATTGCAAGGAGAAGCGTTCCACGCGGACCGGTATTGTTGGCTAGACACATAGCACCCAGCTGAAAGAGGATCGTATGGATCAATTAACTATGTACCCATGGAGTTCACGGTCCGAAGTTTCGACCCTCCCACTTCTGTGGTCTTTGAGACGCCCGTGATGTGATTGAACATTCAACGCAAGCGGCCACAGACGGAGCACTTTATCGAGAGGAAACGGTTTCTGTACATCGATGAAACTACAGAAATTTCTTGCTTTCCAGCATGGATTCAACATGTACGTATGTGGCACACACCCATAAGATTGCTGAGCCGCACTCACGTCGTAGCAAGACACTGATTGTTACGTGGTGAAGAATCAGTCTGCTGTCACTATCTACTCTGGTCCAAGGGACGCGGGTAGTACTGCGGGCTCCGTGCTTCCTAACACTAATCATCAAGCTTGCAGTCAAATCGATCAAGGAGATTGAAACTCTGTTAGGGAAGGGAAACATAGACGGCCTTTCTTCTCCAATTTAGGTGAGGTGGATATTAGCATGGGAATCTTGAAATATCATTTGATGTTGATAGAGACCACCTCGTCTGACAGGATATGCGAAAATATCAATTACTCTACGCACTTCGCTAATCAGACATTCAGCTTCCGCATAGGCAAGGCGACGCCTATGTTTCGAGATTTCTTGACCAGACTTACCAAGATGCTGCCGTCTCTGACTCGAAATGAATGGTCCTATAGTCCTTGCGTGGAATCTTTGTTCGTGCTGCGAACGAAGTTCAGGGACCCTTACCGTGAATCACCGTGAGTGAAATCTTCGAGATGTCAGGATAATGACAGCAATAATTGTCAGACAAACGTCCATGCCTGAAATGCTGGGAACCAGACGTCCGTTTGAGGTGAGGCGCTTGGCTACAAACGTCAGGCCGCTTGATGCTCATCTCTACAGACCTAGCTCGATGCACCACATCGGGTTAACTCCGTGAACACCACGTTTTTACGGCACACCACCATCCGAAGAAGGTGGACTTTACTGAATCATATCAACCCTTATGTGCGCAGTCGAATCATCGGAAACCGGCGCGCGGCATGTAACTTCTGAGCGCGAGAAGGCAAAGACGGCTTAGCAGCCTCACCCGTCCCCCATTCGATGGCATCGCGGGGCCCTCACCCGCCACATCTTCCGAACCTCTCGTCATGTCGACCGATATTTGCTTGCGAATTTCCAATGTCACAGCAATGAGTGCTGACAGCAGCGACAGATTATAGCCGCGAGTGAAATTTCGCAAGGGCGAGACACAGGTGCGTCGGGCCATAGTCACCGGTTTGACGCTGCAGAACGACGGGTCCTGACACATATAGTATCGTGATACGGCATTCGCAACAGCCGTTGTCTCTTGCGTACGGCTGACGGTCCGATTCAGTATAAGCATTCAACGAAAGGTGGCCTCCGGGAACGCTCGAAGGATTCTTTCGGGGTACACGGCCTGTATCCGTTCAGGGATTCGGCTGCCTCGTTCCCGGCGTGTATGTCTCAATTCTCATTGTAAATACAATGCACAGGTGCACATATGAGTTCTCATCCTTTAACGCACACTCATTGATAACCAGGGCCCTGTGTTCGCGCCGCAGGCCCATGCAGAAAGTCACTGTCACAACTACTCGGCCAGAATGACGTTACGTTAGTTGATGAATGTTATGGCTCAAAGTTCAGCTCCAGAGCTCTGTCTGGGAGAAACGACGACCGCTGCGGATTTCATTGATGAGCAATAAGCAAAGCATATTCACAGCTTGCTGACTAATATTCCACTGACATTGAATATCACTGCATGTCTTGGCAAATATGAGCGAAAGCCACCATTCTCGACGATTGTCAGGAAGCATGAAATGAGCAGGGTAAGGTAAGGTGATGCCGTTGGGATGTGTGAGCACTCTGTGCACATCCTAGGATGTATGAACGCAAAACGCGTTTACAGATATATAATCGATAAATGCATTCAAAAATCAGCGGCTCTTGATATCAGCGTGTCTATTGATGTCTGTCTCTCGTCGCGAACGAACGCACGTAATAAAGGACTAGTAGACGGGAAGAATCGGAACTGTATTGAACTGGGGACGAACAAGGAACAGCATTCATTAATCATTGCGACGTTGAAGTTCTTTGCATTGGCCAGTGGTAATGTTACATTCTACAGATACATATGAACGATGAAACAGTGGTTGAACACGACGACGACTCTTTTCCCGAAGCCCCCTAGCACGCGCCGGTGAATATGGCGAAAGCTAACACGTCATCCCTGTTAGATGATTATATAGGGACAGCCACGATCTGCGGCAGCCAGCTCTGGTGTGCTTGGTGAACCTCGACGATCTTGAATCCCGCTGGCCCGAGCAGGTCGGCGAACTCTGGGACGGTCCTCTCGCAGGCGTTGTGGTTACTCAGCATCTAAATATGATGGGACTAAGTCGATATGGCGCAACCTGAAAGGGATCACATGCACGTACGTTGATGTCCTGCTTGTATGAGAGAGAGTTAGCGGCACCCCAGTTAGCGAGCAGCGGTTCCGGAGCAAGAGCATCTGGGTCTTGTGCGCCGACGTCTGCGCCTTCCACTGTCTGATCCCGCGACGCGTACAGCATAATGTTGTCGACAATGACGATACGTGTGTTTGGGGTGCAGGCTGCGCGCACGCGCTTCAGGATCTGCACACACTCAGCGTCTGGCCAGTTGTGCATGATCATGCGGAGCAGGTAGACGGCAATGTTGGTGTTCTCGGCGGGTTGAGGTTCGAAGAAGTTGTGCGCTGTACACGCATATGAATGTAGTTCTTCGCCAGGCTGTACGGCATCCTCACTCACCCTGGAACGACACTCTTCCCTGAGCGAGAGCTTCCGGCTGGTTGGCTTTCCAGAACTACGCACGAATTCATGTAAGCGAGGAGTATTAACGGCAAAGCGTCTATTCTTACCGCAGGGGCTTCCGCCACCACAGGGCCCGTGTCCTGCACAATGAGATGGATCTGTGGGCATGTTTGAACGATGGGCAGCGAGACAGAGCCGACGCCTCCTCCACAGTCAACAACAATGCTTCCGGGCGCCAGGCTGGACCAATTGAAACCTGCGACCAAAAGAAGAGGTTCGTCAAGCCAATAAGAATGTAAGCAAAGCGCGTACCACGGAGAATGGCATCCGGAGGCGTCATGCTGTTCATTCCGTTCATTGCCATACCGAACCGCTTCAATCGCGGCTTGTTCTCAGGCAGGTTCAACCAGTCATACATCTTGATGTTTCGTGTCCCAGGCCAAGCAATCGAGAATGGAGCATCGAACGGTGAGAACGAATTGGTGGTTTCAGGGCTTTTCAGGATTTCGGCGATGCCGACGGAGTTGTGCATGGTCTCGTCGGAGCTGAATGCACACGACATCATTTAGTACGAACTGCAGATGAGGTGGGCTCTGATACGCACAAGAGACCAACCAAGGCTGCGATGCCGTTGGAACCATCGTACTTCTCTTCAGGAGCAGCCTCCAGCTGAGCGAGTGACTTGCCAGTGTCCATGGCCAACGAGATGGTGTTGTTAGCGAATACATTGGGCGAAACCTCCTCAAAGACATGGTGTGTGGCGAGAAGGCGCATAACCCTGCCTGTTCACACAAGAACCCTGTCGATCAGGACGCAGATCCAGGGTAACCGGTGACCTTCGATGACGTACCGAGCTTCAGGTAGTTGACGCGGTTGTAAGCGCCGATCTCCTTTATGTGCAGCGCTTTCTTTGGTCCCTTGCCCTTTTCCCGCAGGATTTCGACAACATTTGTCTCAACAACAACACGAAGTGATGAGCTCAATTGGTGCTACAAAGGGTGGTTAGAGCGCACGCAACCAGTCATGGCTTTAGGCCTACTCCAGTCGACATGTCCATGAGGTAACGCTCAGGAGTGCGCACTAGAGCGATCAGCTGGGATGCAGCTGCCACGACCTCCAAGGAGGGCTTCAAGAATTCCGCACGCGCAGTAGAAGCAGAGTGCTGGGTCGTTTTGAGGGAATCCTGCAGCTCCTTGAGCTGAGCAGCCGAGGCCGAGATCACAGAGGACAGCGCCTCGATTTGCTTGATATCCATGGCAAGTTATGGGTTGCAGGTACGAGGCTTGTCATGCGAAAACGTGAAGATATCAATCTCAATATCACTGCAAAGGTCGATGCAAGGGGAGCACTCACCTAGTTTGAGGATAGGTGGAAGTATGTCCAGACCCGGGGGGAGACCCGTGAAGACCATATAAATAGGACTGGTTAGCTTTTCCATGGAGATCTGACTGCACCCAGAAGCAGCATCTGAGCGACCGGTCTCGCCCTTGGGAGTGCGTCCATTCCTTCGCGTGCGAAGACCGGCACCGCAAGCTGCACGGATAGATGGTTGAGAGCTAGCGAAAGGAAGCAATATAGAGCCATGTAAATGAACCCGCAATTTCATCGAGCATAGGTATTCCCATGGCCGCGGGATCGTTGGCACGGTTTGTTCTGATACCATGCAGGAGGAAAGCTGCGCCTCACGATCTAAGGCACTTGGCGGCCATAAAAGGCGTCTGCTCTCGCGTCCAAGGTGGAGTATTCTCACAATAGCACCTGCAGTTCCCGTGATGGTGAGCTTCGCCATCAGAATCTCGGCATCTCTCCAAGTCCGATTTGGCTGCGGATAAATCAACGTCACATACCTCTTTATAAGACAGCCCTGTAGACGTCTTCTACGCAGAGGACGCACAAGGCAATAACTCGAAAGCATGATAGCATCCAAAAAACAGATCTAATCATACAATTGCCTGCAGTCAGCGTAAACGAATTACCCGAAAGCTCCCAGAAACAGTGGATAATCGGGTCTACCATGGACACGTGAAGGTGCGAGTCGCATGTTCACAGGACGCTCTTCGCGACTAGCTCCCAGATGGCAAGCGGATTGTTGACACTGCAAAAACGCCCCGTGAGTACGTGATCCCATAGGCGTGAACAGAAATTCCCTTACATGTCGATTGTCAGGGGAAGATTCACATCTGCCGGGTGATTTTGCCACTCTGTGAATATGCGCAGCGGTTGAGACGTGATCTCAACGTAAGAGTTTACCGCGGTGTTCACCTTCAGGTTCTGAAGGGTCGTCAAGACCCATCCCTAGACGCCAGGTGATTCCCTGTACACTGTTTGTTTTGCTACAGACAGACAATGCCAGTCAGCCACAATTGTTTCCCCGGTACGTCGAACATGGCAAATAATACATACAAATCAGGTGGTGCTAGGGTGTGATTCTTCAGCCGGGCAGACTACATTGCCATTCACATCGTTAGCTCCCGTGTACAACAAATGGTCAAGACCCGCATACCTTGATCTCAGTATCAACCTGCGAGAAGCGGGTGGACTGGCCGCCGACGATTCCACAGTATTGCTGTTGAACACCTGCTTTGCCACCGACGAACACAGTCTTGGAGCCTTCTCCCTTGGCCATAGTGATCTGTCCAAGGTTTAACACGGCGGCAGAATGAGTGCAGCCAGCTGAACAACTCACGCTGAAGAGCGAACACGAGCTTGCGCACCTGTATCGATGCAGGCGATAGTATCCCGTAATTCGAGTAAACGCACGCGGCTCATAACCACTCACCTGCCGTTATTGATGATAGCAACTTTCTTCGGGTCGAACAGTGCCTCGGCTGGCGGGTCCATCTCAAATGGCTGGCACTCGTCTCCAAGTCTATGATTCGTCGTTGATCCATGGTGATGCAAATCAGCGGAACGGCACTTACATCTGACTGAACGCGTCGGCCTGTCCATTGATCACTTTCTCTACGGGTAGCCGAAGCCAGTTCAGCGTCGCCGGGAATGGCGTGTTATTGGCGAACTCCCAGCTCAGCGGATTGTATAGCGAGAGCCCGTCCGGATCCGCTCCTTTCACGATCTCCTCCACGATTAGCTGCGCGAGCGGGCCCGCACGTGTCACCGTTTGTAAGCCTGCTTGAGGGATTGTAGTATCCTTCGGGCCCGCAATCTATTACTGGCTATCTCAGCTGGGTCCACTCGAAGAGGAGATCTGCTGCACATACAATCCTATGCAACCACTGCTCGAGCCACAATGACGTTTACGTCATTTCAGACTCGCAGTGAAAATGAATCACCTACGTGAGCGATGCATATATACCCTGGAGAACGATGACGTGGGTCAGTACGACCTCAGAGGAATGCGTCAGACAAGAGCCCACCGCCGCCATTGTTTGTCTGCAAAATGAGAGGAATCAGCGCGCAATCTTTGCGATACGCTGAAAGCAACATACGACGTCGACAATCAGCCTATTCGCGCCCCGCTCCCTCAGCTCGAGCAGGCCTACGAGCAAGGACTCCTGCAGGACATCGAATGCGCTCTCCGCGAAGCTCCCCAGTACAAGGACGCCCGTCTCCGTGTCGTTCAGCATGTAGAACTGCGCGACGCCGGCGCTCCCGTTTAGCGGCGAGCTCGGCGTCAGCTCTGGCGGGAGCTCAACGTCTTGCTGTGGCGTGGCATCGAGCAGCTCGTTCACGAGATGCCTGCGGGGCCGCCGGGGGAGCGCGAATGGTTGCTGGGGGCCCGGAGGCAGGGCGAAGAGGGAGGGCTCCGCGTACAGGTCGATGCCGTTTGTATACTCGGTTGCGACGCAGTTGTTACCGCGGAAGGACACCGAGTCTGTCCACGGCTTCGCGCCCGGAGAGACGCGCGAGCGGTACGGAAGCTGTGTCGCAGGTTACACTATGTCACAATGTGCGTGGGATGCCTGCGCACCGTGATGTTCTCGCTCTCGTCGCTGTCCTGCCGCCGGATGGTCAGGTTGACCGAGTCCACGAGCGGCAGACTCTGCTGTGCGAAGTTGCCCATCATATAGACCCATCCATCGTCGGCACGGCGGTAGCTGGAGAAGAACCTGCGACGTGGGATTTTGAGCAGTGCGTACCCGAGCAGAGGGAGAACATGCGTACGAATTCAGCCGGGTCCCGTACCCCTGGTAGCTGCCAGTGATGAGAGAGTTCGCGTGGGCTGCAACCCAGGGGTCCTCGCCGTCGATCAGTAGGACTTCCGCCCCAGAGAGCTGCCAGGGGCACAAATGAAGGAGGAGTACTCGTCATTCACTGAAAACACTAACCGAACTCAGCTTGCCCTTTAGCTTATCTGGCAGCGCGTTCTGCCACACGTCAATTTCATCACCAAACTCGGCAGAGGACACGTTGAATGCCTCTGGTGTGATGTGTACATGCTGCGAGCCATCGATGTCGGTTAGCAGAACGAGGGGGGTGGGAAGGAACGACGTGAATAGTGCTGTGGGCACGTCAGCACGGCACGACCACCTCAGAAGCAATCTCACAGTCATAGCAGAGACTGTAATATACGCAGTGGCCGTCATTCAGTCTCTTGACTGCCCTTGAAATGTCGATGTGTAGGTCGAAATCAGACGCGTACTCCTGGGAGCTGATGCGCGCAAGGTCGCCCAGAACGTCCTCGTGCACATCGTCCGCGAACGGCGGGGGAGCTTGCTTCTGGTAGTTGACGGACGTGTGGAAAGCGAGCGTCTTGTTGATGACCTCGATGATCTGCGCACGCGAGCGTGGCACTGGTTAGCATCCCTGTGGACGCATCAATGAATCCGGCGTACATTGCTCTTGATCTCAGACTGTACCGGAAGCGATGTAAAGCACGCCCTGACATCCTGTGGGGCGATCCAAGTTTTGTTGGCAATTGCAGCGCAAGGGTCAAGAGATGAGGCATTGGAGACCGCGACAAGAGCTAGTAAGGAATACGCGACAACTCCGCTCGGCCAGTGTAGCATACTGCTCTTCCTCAACGTCGACATTGCCGAATCCCTTACGAGGAATAGGCCTATCTCTGCTGGCCGCTGCCAGGCGTGGTATGAGTCGGGCTCGCGAGAACGACTGCACACGAGTCGGAGCCTGAGACTCCCATGCTTATGAGAGTGTGCCGGCACGTACCACGTGACAGACGCGTCGCGACGCGAGGGATCGCGTAGAATGAATGGCGCCCTTCGAAGTTTCCTTGCATATCGAAATGAAACCACGAAATATGAAACTCCCGCGCATAAAAATCACGCTGTGCACCGCATCGAGTGCAATGTCAGCGATGTGTTGACATTTCAACTTAGACACTGTCGAAAACGCCACACACGGACTAGGCTGCGTTGCCAGCCATACGTTCACACGGACATAACTGACGAACTTGGACGTGGCGGCCAGGGGACTAATACCCTCCCGTACTGTAAGTCCCCTCTGGTTGGCATCAATAGGTTTCAAACATGGTCACAGTCTCAACACCTGTCCAGTGCCGCCGGCATTCGTGCCAGTGTATTGAGGGAATGATGATGGAGGTGTGCACTCGTGGATGCTGGGCTCATGCATGCAAATCGCGCTCACGCCAAGCGTCCGTGCCTGAGGTGACCATTCCTGATGATCAAACTTGAGCGGGGACACGGCATCCAGCATAGCCTTCGCTGCTCATAGAGTGGCTGCGACTCAGTGCTGAGAAGTTCACTACCCGCGAGCATAGATCCCCGAGGTGTAAAGGATACTCAGCTCGCGTCATTCCGCCGAGCAGGAGACTCTCTGACGATACATCGTTGTTAGGAGACGAGCGAATGACTTCCCCATTAAGTGACAACTGACCACCCGCCGCCTGTGAGCAAAGACGTTACATGTTGCCCCCATCTGCATAGCCATATCCGTGCAGTCTAGTTGACGTTGTTTAAGATCCCTACGCCCCAAGCGTTCGAGCCAAAGTACAGCTGCGACAAATTGAGGTATTGGCGGCGGTGGGCCGAGGAGACGGGATGGGTGACCTCCACGAAGTCACTCTCTTCCTCGTCAGGCAGACGGCCTTGCGCCGGGGCTGGCGCTAGTGGATGCTCGAGCAGCAAACCGTTAGCCGCGACGCCGAGCTGGAGATCCTTGTCCGAGTAAGGGTCCGCTTTGTTGACGACGTAGGTTCGGTGTACGTATCCATCGCCTGCGCCCCATTGGTGGTATGTATCTACAGGGTGTCCCCTAAACCTTCATCAGATATGTGTACTTGTCACAGTCGCAAAGGTTGATTGGCTCACAAAAGAGGTGCAGCGTGACCTATCATGCATACCACAAGGAAGAAATAACATACAGCCACCAGCGCGGTTGCCATGTTGAGGGCCCAAGAAAGAAATGACTGGAAGAAGGCTGACTGTTATCAGGGCGAGTTACTACAAGCGAGACAGAGCCGGTACTTACTACCCAGTACCTCTTGGCTGTGACAGGAGAATCGCCCGCGATGATCCACGACGAACGGATTGAAATCGCTGCTCTTTATGGGGTCGCATATGACAACATGATTTTGACACCGTTGCATCATTATTACTGGCTGTGGTCCACCCGAGATCTCCGTCGATCGGCAGTTGCATTGAGTGATTATTCCAGCCAACTCCACAGCGCCAGGCTTCCTGATGCTCGATTTCGAATTCCACATCAACCCCGCCTGTACACGATTTTTCTCGAATATGTTTATTGATATAGAATCGGTTGTTAGTGCTCATAGTGTCGCACTGCTTCTGTTGCGGCCCAAGTCCGGGACCCTGCCAGGGCCCAGCGCTGCGTGTTCGCGGCTTGAAGGCATCTTGATCGAGACGTAAGAGGGAATGATCAACGTTTCAACGCCCGGTGAGCGTCGCGGGGCGGCTTTGTTGTCGAATACTTGATGGTGAGAGGCAAGGAGATGGAGCGGTTCGTAATTATTGATCGCCGCCTTAACTCTCGATCAACTTGAATGCGATCGTCGGACGAGCGGATTGGTTGTAAGAGCAGCCTTGCCTATGTTTGTCTCATCAGACAGCAGACATATGTTCACTCTATACGGCGGGTAGATGGTATACATTTATTGTATATCCCAAGGCATCACGGATAACAAGCATGCCACATCCTATACGCGACTAATGCACATGCCCTTTCGATGACATCCAATCTTTCTACCACATTCGCTGTGCAAGAGCTACCGATTCAACAGAGCGTGAGCTGCGATGTTTTCAGTTCAATATTACATCTGCCGTAGGGGTTCCCTCAGAACAGCAGTCCTCAACCCACTCATACAGGGTGCTCTATTTGCAGGCTGTCTAGGGACGAATTGGCTTCGCCACATGTAATATAATGCATTGTGTATGTATCTTAGTTGATCTACCGACAACGAGGATCTTTCAGGCCGCACGTAGCAGCCAGAGTGTTCCCCATGGTCCCGAACCAAGGCAGACCCATGCTGGAATACTGTCTCCGAGCCCTCGGGTTGCTGGCTGTACCAGACGACACACCACCTGTATCCCTGACCACCATGTGGGAATTGAGATGTCGAACACTGTCGCTGTGCGAGGTTGGTCTGACAAAGGAGTGCTGAGGCGAAGGTGAAGTGTATAAGGCAAGCGGGTGTTTCGTGATAGTCTTTTGGAACTCCCTGGACGTCATACCAGATTGGATCTCATCGATATTGTAGCCGCGCTATGTCAAGGTACGGGGATGTTCAAGTCGGAGGATATCGTTATCCCCGACACCAAATTGGAGATCCTTGACATAAGAATCCAGTCTGAAGACGTGGGCTTGATGTACTGGTTGTACAACATATACGTGCTCTAGAGGATGACTTTGTGGTCGTTCGTGAGGGCTCGGTTATCAATGAAGATAGACCAAAATGATCGGCAACTTACATACAAGGCAGAGCACGGTCAGCTGTGCTTAACAATAATGTCACAAGGGCATAAAATACACATGTAAGCCTCGTCATCATGTTGAATTCGGGAATACACTAGGAAGGTGGAACAAAACAAGGCTACTACTCATTAGAATTGGGGAAGGTAAGGCAAGACTTCGACACTTACTATCCAGTACCTCGAGCTGGGATTTTGGAGGATTGTCGCTCGCGACTGCCTACAGAAATCGTTACGAGATCAAGCCCTTCATAAGCTAGGTATACTTGACATGCACGTCATCGCGGTCTCAGGACGGGCATCACCGTGATAGAACAAGATTAGCAGGATCGCATCGCGCAGTCGTGTCTGATAATCGATTGGGCGTGTCTATCTGACCTTGTCGCTCAGTTTCAAGTATCTGTGCTACGGTCAGTCAAAGCCAACATGGGGATGAAGTGAAGGCGAACCAGGCCGATATGTGCTCGCGATCAGGCGTGATTGACAAGGGTGTGCTCGGAATGACTGTGATTCTTGGATTTTGGTGCAGAGACTTCATGTTTCCGTGGCATCCGCAGGAAACGACTGCAGGATTTTACCTAGTCTAACTTTCTCACCACTCACCACTTTGCAACTTTCATGACTTGCTGGTCGCCATAGTTTGCAGATTGCCGAGACGCTGTAGTGTGAACGCTAGTCCGTGTACCCAATTAGGCTGAAATACGACACTGGAATCCCTTTGCGGACATCATGGTCGCACCGCAGTGCTGATATCCGTTCTGGTGGATTTCCCTTCGGCGCTCCCGTATCCTGCTTTGCAGGTGATGGATGCTACTGGAGCAAGTGACAGCCTCTGCGACACTCTCGGTAATTGCGTTTGTGAAGGCTAATTTCCCATCACTGTCTGCGAACTATTGCACTTAGCAAACGAGTAGAGAAAGGTTACTGAGATGTGTTGAGTATGTACGGGAGCTGTAGGCCCACAGTAGCGGGTTCGTGATCAGTCGATGAGAATAAAATGGAGGATCTGATATTAAGTATTGAAAACCGCGATGAGACGATGACACAGGGTTTCACGAAGCGCACCGGACACACGGATGCGCTCTATCCACGTCGCATTCGCCCTATGCGGGGAATTCGGGTATACCGGCCAGTCGTTCAATGGTGCATGGTATGGCCTGTCGAAATTCCCGGCAAACATACAGGAGCCCTGCTGCTTCCAGACCCATGCATTGCTCGACGACAGCATGACATCGAGCGCACAGGTCCCCGCCTACACGGAACCACGAAAATGCTTAGCTGGTACATCTTCACATTGCGAGGGGTATGGTCCGAAGCTCCGAGGAGCATGTGCCGAAACAGATGTTGAATATTGGGGGTAGTAGGAAGTCCTGGCGGCGGTATCGATAGCGTTGCAGAATATTGTGGTACCGTACAGATGCACGGACGCGCTCCGTCGCGTTGAAACAGCGCTTGCACGACAAGTAGCCGGTGTTGTCTGGGTCCACAGAGCTTGTCATGGTATTTGCCACGTCCCCGAATCTCCGAGTCGGTCTGGAGTGGACGTAGTCGTGGTACCTTCGGCGCCCCGGCTTTCGCGCAGAAGAGGCGAGGTGGGAAGCGTGCCACTCGAGTGGCTGTGGCGAGAAGTGTTGCAATCATTCTCCCATCGCCGTGCCGAAGTAGAGAGAGTCGAGGTCGGTGTCGCGTCGCATAGGCGGGCCCTTGAGGAGGATCCCGTCGGCGGTGACGCCGAACTGGAGATCATTTTCATAGACATCTAGGCTGTCTGTAACGAAGGACCGGTGGGACGGCGGAAGCATAGCAAAGTCAGCGACCGCACTGGTTGGTCGCTCCCTGAGACTACATCAGTGTCTTGACGAAGTGAAGCGTGCGAAATGACCGACGTACATCGAGGGCGCCGCCCGCCCTATCGCGCAAAACCCGAGGAAGATATAGTATACAGGCATAATCATAAGCATCATCATCATCTAGGGAATTGAGCGGCCTAGGGCTAGCGATCGTCAGCTCAGTCGGATTGGGCAAAGAAGGCTCGGGACTTACTATCCAGTACCTTAAGTCCCTTGCGACTGTCCGAGGTGCTTCAATGCGAGACCATTGTACTTATATGTTGTACTATTCCCTTGACACGATGTCTCAGGCCGTCCTTTCATTGGTCAAAGTGGAAAGCATGCCGTACCTCCTTTGACAACACTGTGATAGGATCACTGATACATGGTGATATAGCACTGGCTGAGTCTTATTGGGCGTGTATATCTGAGTTGACAGTGTCGCTCGATTTCAGGAGCTTATGCTTAGAAGCAGGTGGTCAGACGAAGCCTACGTAAATAATACTCGATCGGATGCAAGACTCAGTGCAGCCGCCGAAACACGCAAGGCAAAGAGATCCGATCAATCTTGTGATAAAGTTAAAGAAAAGCGTGCCTGACTTTAAAGCACCACAGGGTTGCAGGAAGAAATGTGATTGCTGTAGATTCAGATGCTTTCCGCGACATTTTTCATGTGGGCTCTTCAGAAGCTAGTAATCCCACCCCCCACGACGGATATAACGTGGGCGAGCTCGACGTTTCCCAGTAGTATTCGTAGAAGTCCAACGCTGCTCACCCGAAGGCGCCACAGAGCAACCTGTGAGCAAAAGAACAGCTGTGGTAATTGCATGTCACGGCAGCTATGGGATAGCTGCGAAGTCTAGCGGGCGAGCATAAGCATCGCGACGAATATGAGGTGCAGAGAAAACTTATAAGATAAGCTGGATCACGTCAAGAGGAGACTGAAACGAACATAGATCCAATAGTTACTACCCAGTACCTCTATGTTCTCTAGCAGATACGCTCACGGCAACCCGAGGGACATTGCTCTATATGGGTTGTAATTTATATGGAATCATATGATGTCCCATTGTCACCTGCTTGAGGGACACGCATTGATCTCAGCTGAGACGGTGCTGTGCTCCAATGCAAGGGGTTATAGCACTGGTTTACACGCTATAATGAACGCTGGTTGAAGGCGATGGCGGAAGGAAATCAGGCGACGAGTCCTTGTCAATCATGTGATCGACAAGCGGACCAATGCAGCTGAGACTCTGAAAGTCGACTACGCTGTTTCACATGTTCACCGAAAGCCACGAGCAACCTCTAAGACAAGCCAGCAATGGCGACGTAACGTGTTAACACTCGGAATAATTGAGTCTCATTATTCGGCCAATGGTCAGCTCCTTATAATGGGATTAGACACCGCACTCAAACACCGCACTCATCCCCCATTGTGAAAAGCACACGGAAACGACGTCTCTTACTGACGGACATCAAGCACACATGGTGGAATCGCCAGACGCACCGGCGTCCGAATTGTGGAAGGCCCTCGATCTCCCCACGGAGGTTCTGTCGCACCTGCATCTTAGCCCCGTGCCAGATCCTGCGGTAAACTCGTCCTTCAAACTGGGAACAGCGGCACAGGTAAGATTATGTCCAACGACGGGCATGAAACCATGTTCACGGCCATGGAAAGACAGCGATTGGATTGTCAGGTCTCAGCGCCGCACACTTCCATCAGCTGCGCACAGGCCTGAAACAGGATGTAACGGTGGATGCACGACATGCCATCCTAAGTTTCAGTGAGCGCCACAGTTACTGGCGGACTCATCCTCGTCGCCTGACCCTGTCTCACGTGCGTGCAGAGAGCGAGGTGTACTACACCGTCGACGGGGAGCTCCCCGCGAACACTCTCCTTAACAACCTCTGGGGGCTGTACAAGACCAAGGACAACAGCTATGTCCGTCTGCACACGAACTTCCCTCAGTGAGCAAGCCTTTCCCACCTTGCGCGCGCAGATACCGTTGTCCGAGGGCCGGACATGTTCCCGACACCATCAGGATAAAATGTCAAAATTTGGGGACCGGCTTCCGGACAACGGGCTCTGCGCATGGGGTACTCATCTTAGTTCTTGTTAAATTTACCCTCCCGGCAGTCACCATCAAGGCATTCTCGACATCCTGCAATGCGCACCCACAAAGGACGCCGTTGCTGCCGCGCTCTTACAGTGGAATGCCATCGAGTTCGAGACCACGGCCTCCGCACGCAAGATGGTCGCCACCGCGCTCCGCTCGTTCAACGAGTGGGATACGCAGCCGCAGGGCGCTGCACTCGAGAACACTCCGCCTGTGCAGCTGCTCAAGATCGCAGATGCCCCGCGGCGCGAGCTCCGAGGGAATCCGAGCCGCCCGCTCGATGGCATCCGCGTGCTCGACCTCACGCGCGTCCTCGCGGGCCCAGTTTGTGGACGTACGCTCGCCGGTGCGCGCGACCTACCTTTCTCCACCCATGTCTACACTGGGATTGACACGCATGACTGACGAAATCCCGTAGCACACGGCGCAGACGTCCTGCTCATCACCTCGCCCAATCTCCCTGCGCTCCCCTTCCTCGACGCCGACACTTCCCGCGGGAAGCGCACCACGCAGCTCGACTTGACGACCGTAGCTGGACGTGACGCGCTCGCGGGGCTTGCCAAGGACGCCGATGTCTTCCTCCAGGGGTACCGCCCTGGCGGGCTGGCGGCCAAGGGCTTCGGGCCGGCAGACGTCGCGGCCGCGCGCCCAGGTGTCGTGTACGCGAGTTTGACGGCGTACGGCTGGGAGGGCCCGTGGGCCGAACGCCGTGGCGTAAGTGTTCTGTGCACTCGAAGAGCAGACGCTGACTAGACCATGCGCGGGGTGCACTAGTTTGACTCGCTCGTGCAGACCGCCTCAGGGTTCAACGTCGCGGAGGGCGAGGCCCACGCGGCGTTCAACGGATCGCCGTTCGCACCGCGGCCACTCCCAATGCAGGCGCTCGACCATGCCGCAGGCTACTTGCTCGCTTTCGGGATCAACGCGGCGCTCTGCAGGACCATAACAGTGCGACGAATTTCATGAATTGCGAGTCGAGGTGACGCTGACCTTGTGGCGAACGAATGCAGGAAGGAGGCTCGTGGGAGGTGCGCGTGTCTCTGGCTGCTGTTGGACGGTGGATACGCTCGCTTGGCCGACTTCAGCCTGCCGTCGCGTTCGGCGAAGGTGCACCGCTGCCTCCGCGCACGATTCCGCAGGACCTTGAGATTTTCAGGGCATCCGCGTCGTTAGCGCAGAAGACGGGAGATAAGAACTTACCTGAGCGTGTAAAGGCGATATCCGCGATTCGCCATGCTGCCGTGCTATCGGAGACACCAGTCCGGGAGGAGGGGTCGCCATTATCCCTGGATGCGGACCTTGCAAAGTGGCTTCCACAGGAGTGAGTGTTGACGCTGCAGTACGGAGTCTTCGTACGATAATAGCACCTCATAAATGAACTGAATGGCACGTACCAAAGCACAATGAACCTGATGAGCGATTAAACCTGCGATTTTGCATTATTCGCTGTACACACCAAGTATCTCGTGAATGAGGCTCCATTACGAAATAAGAGTACGGATAAATAGGAAATACAAGACTAGGAATACAACAGAGCAACCCGAAATGAGACAATCTACTTCGCTCCCGCACTCGAGAACTGTAAAGTTCCGATCAGCTCCAAATACTTCTGTCAGGAAACTAAGACTGACCTTCGTTACTGACTTGGTACCCTCTGAAATAGCGTGCTTCGCGAGCTCCCCTGGCAGGATGAGACGGACAGCGGTCTGGATTTCCCGCGAAGAGATGGTGGACTTCTTGGAGTACGATGCAAGTTCTACAACGGGGTCAGAACAACTCATAGAAGGCACACATGATTACTCACTTGATGCCTCCGTCGCAATGCGTTCAAAAATGTCATTGACGAACGAGTTAAGAATCGCCATCGCCTTGTTGGAGATACCAGTGTCTGGATGGACCTGCTTGAGGACTGCACAGAACATGAGTTGCATTCGCGCAAACCAGGGAACGCTACGAACCCTTGTAGATGTAAGATGAGTAGGTCTCCTTGCGAGTCTTTCTCCTCTTCTTCTTCCCGTCCTCACCGCCTGCAGAAGCGGGCTTCGAAGTCTTCTTAGCAGCCTTCGCGCCCTCGGTGGATTTAGCGGGTGCTTTAGAGGCGGTGGATGCGGGGGCCTTTCCGGCAGTGGAAGCGGGCTTGGGGGCCATTGCGACGACTTGCGGCAGTTTAGGGAGGTAAGGGGGCGACGACGAGGATGCGGGAAGCGATAGAGATATGGATGAGAGCCAAAGTGCATGCGACGGTATTTATAAGGACGCGTTACGCTTGTTTGGCTGCGTCGCGTCAACGCGCTGAACCTTATTTTGTTGAAAGGCGGTAAACGCCATCCACGTGATCTTTCCCGCGCTAAACGCGTCCGTGGCGGGTGGCCTCGCTCCTGTATAAATACCACTTTCACCATGGTTATCGTGTCCTCATCTTTGCGTTTGCCCACCACCACCAGCCCTCACCGCCTCATCAACCACCCAACCAGCCTTTTAGCTCTATTAGCACAATGTCCGGCAAGACCAGCGGAAAGTCCAAATCCGGCAAGGCTTCAGGCGAGCCCGCTACCAAGTCGCAGTCTCGCTCTGCGAAGGCCGGCCTTCAATTCCCTGTTGGCCGTGTTCACCGTCTCTTGAAGAAGGGCAACTATGCTCAGCGAGTGGGTGCTGGTGCGCCAGGTAAGCTTTTCAGTGCTCAAAGGTCGCGTTGTTGTTAATTTTCCTTCAGTCTACCTCGCTGCCGTTCTCGAATACCTGGCGGCCGAGATTCTCGAGCTTGCGGGCAACGCAGCGCGCGACAACAAGAAGCAACGTATCATCCCGAGACATCTTCAGCTCGCAATCCGTAACGACGAAGAGTGAGCACTATCCGTTGTTGCTAGATGACTCATGGCTTATCGGACTACAGATTGCAAAAGCTTCTCGGTGACGTGATCATCTCGCAGGGTGGTGTCGTACCATTCATCAGCCCGGAGGTATGTGGCATTCATGATTTGCTTGCAATGCGCCTCTTCTGACAAATACTCTGTAGCTCCTGCCCAGCAAAACACAAAAGGGCAAGAAGGACAGCCAGGAGGTTTAGATGGGATCTTGGATGCTTTTTATTATCTGTTGTATTACTGGTGTATAGTACTTGCATCCTATTTTATATCTCCTATTCGTGTCTGCTTGACTAGTGAATGATGGAGATGCTACGTATGCCTCGCCTTGCTTCACTGTTACGCATCATCTGAGATCTGCAAAGCGGTCAGCCAAGTAACTGAGCAGTATCGTGGGTGGTATGGTCTCGCAATTGCATTGGGACGCGGGAAGAGAAACTCTATGAATGTCCGAAGCCTGACATAGTACATTGCTCAACGAGAGTCAACGTTCCCCTAGTAAAAGTACGGTCAAGACCTAACCAACAACCCATCTAACCTACAGATAACAGGTGAGACCAACAGACAAGGCCTGCCTACGCGCGTTGCAGCCACCCGACGTCCAAGCCAGTCATCGTGCGCATGCTCTCCGGATACGCCGTATTGCTCTCCTTGAGCAGGCTTGCCAGGCGCCGGCAGATATCCATGGGGTAATATAAATGCTCAGCCTGCGGGAACCCGGGATACCTGTTCGCGATCCTGGACCGAAAACCCAGTCAGAACAACTGACAACACAAAAGAAACATCGACTCTGCTTACGTTTGAATGTCCGTAGGTGTCGATGGCCCCAGGATCTTGAAGAGCACTTTCGCGGCGTGGATGGAGCCGCTCTTCGGTATCACATACTCCGTGGGTGTCGTGTATGCTATGCGCATGCTGGGCTTGAAGAGCCAGATCTAACCAATCGCGCATCAGCCAGAGAACGGGGATGACATGGAAGAAGACGGACCAGGAGTCGTGGCCGTTCCTCCTCTTCGTCGACGATAATGAAGCGATATGTTGCATGCGCGTGCACGAACTCGTTCATGTCTTCGGCGATGAAGGCCGATAGAGGGATCCGACAAGGCCTGCAAAAGATGAGCTCAAGAATGACAGAAGACATACGATTAGACAGAACTCACTCGGCGGTTGGGCTCACTGGCCGGATGGCATACTTGGCGAGCCTATAAATGAGAGCAGATGGCGCGTCCTTGGCTTGATGTTCTTGCCGCCGGCCAACGATAGCACCGCAAATACAGCGTACACGTTGCCAGTCATCGTCGTGCTGTAAGCGATTCTCAATGTCAGCATTCAGCCCGAGCGTGATCCACGATAAATAAGTAACGGGAAAAGTCTGTGCCCTCACGCGTAGCTCCCGAGACGTAGACCTCAGTAACTCGAGAGTTGTTTGGCGAGTGACTAAACATGCACGCATGCCTTTTCTCTAGGACGCTTTGTATCAGCCGAAGGACATCGTCCTGCCGCCGCCTCGCATGCCAACACCACACCGAGCTCAACGACCGAAACCTGCAAGGGCTTCGGCCGCACGCATACGATGCACGCACGCACACAACGCAAGCAGCCGTTGGTAGGAGTCCAACGCCGGCCTTCTCTATGTCCAGCAGTAATGTGAAAATGAACAGATGGAAGACGACTGACCTTCCGCTCCGGGTATCCCTCCTCCGGCCACAGGTGTTGCTTCATTACGACAGACTGCTCAAACAGAAGGTAGCTTCCACCAACGAGCGCATACTCCGGCGTCGGCCAAAAGCCCTCGTTAGAGTGTCGCGTGACGTGCTCGTGAAGCTTCTGGTCCGAGTGACACATCCACGCGTCGACGAGCTCTGCCCAGTGCTCCGATGGTAGGTCGCGGTAGTCCTGCATCCGCGAGCAGTGCACAAGCGGCAGGGAACACGACGCACAGATGTAACTTGTGGGTCGGTCCTGCATGAGTCGCGTCGCATCCAGGAGTGGCGAAGGCACACTCGTAGCTGTCGATGGCGAAGCCGCCAGCTTGATCTGGAAGTGCTGCCCATCGACCTTCACATCTTTCTTGCCGGGTGCTACACGCGCCGGTAGGCGTAGGAACGATGATGTGCTGAGGCCGCACTTCAGATGCAGATATCCGTATAGGTCACTGCTCTGTGGGACCTGCGAGGCAGGAACGACTTCTGCTTCCAGGTTGACGCCTGCCGTCATCCCAGAGGCGGTCAAGAACACAAGGACATGCTGGAGATTTTCGTGATACTCGGCGACGTAGTTCACGTCCAGGGTAGCTATAATTCGCAATGAGAATCCTGTACGTTTGAGATATGACCATGGACCTACTTCGCAGCTGGGGTATCGAGATGATGGAAGAGCCCACTCTCCGTATCCTCGATGGGCGACTCTTCTTTGGCTCCACAGGTGATGACGGACTCGTAGAAGACGGCGACGATGGTCGCGACGCTAGCAGCCACGCAAGAGGAGGTGCCGACAAGCTCCTGCTCCTCATACCCTTCATCGACCGTGTTCGCCGGGGCAACGGCGAAACCATGCTCTTTGGCACAGGCTCCTTGACGAACTCCGGGAGGCTAAGTAATGCACGTGGATCCTCCATCTGCATCTTGAGCTCCATAGGCTCAGGAATGGCCTCTCGAATGAACTCCGGCAATGACAACATTGCATCTGGGTCCTTCTCTCTATGCTGCGCAGAGCCGGGGGGAGAAAGGACAGCGTCTTGGGAGTGCAGTCGTCCTGCGTCTGAATGCCGGGCTAGTTGCTCGACAAACGCTTCTCGCTGTAAGAGGCATTGGAAAGATCCAGCACACAAGTCTGCAATGCGGGCCCACCTTGGCAACATCCCTCTGGCGAGCCTGCTCTAGCCGCATCTTCAGTCCACCCTCCAGCACCACCGCTTGATTCGCGAACTTCCTGCCCGATGCACGCCCAATGAGCTCAACCATACGCTCCAGCTCATGGGCATCTCTCGCGTCCCCCGCGCGCTGCTTGCCCTCCCTGACTCTCGACCTAGTTGATGTCCCTGAGAGCCGGGCTTTCTCCATCTGCTCAAGCTTAGACTTCTTGAGCTCTACCCGCTGGTCGTGCAACTGCGGCGCGACGAGGTATAGCCGGTCAATCGCGAGCGTGACTGCCTCTAGGTCCATACGCATCTTCTCACCCATGGTACCTCCTACAGAGAATCGGCTTTCTGAGCTCGGGGAGTCAGCGGACTTTTCGCTGTTTGGAGAGACGCCAGCCTTCGCAACTGCAGCCATCGTACTGCCAGGCTCATACTGCGGCAAGCCTTCGCCCTCGCCTTGCGCATCGTACCAAGCAATGTCGTAGTCCGGAGGTAATGATTCGGAGTCGAGCATCGGATTTGCAAAGGGATCCTCGAATGTTCGTGCGTGACAGAGGGATAGGACCTGCTCCAGCTCTTCGTCGACCTGCGACCAGAGCAAAGCGGTCTGAACCTGCTGCACCGGACTGCCGTCCCGTCTGACAGGCCTTGAGGCCGCATCTCCTCTCGCTAGCTGGAAGTCGTTCACCTGGCGACGCAAAGTGGTTAAGGGATCCGCAGGAGAAACAGGCTGCGACGAACTCCAGGATGCTACGCGTGGCGAAGATGGAGAGACAGAGTACTGGAGTGCCGCAAGGTGATGAAAATGGCGGATGAGAGAAGCGAGAGTTCGGACGAGAGCAGCGTCCTGGGGCGATAACACGGAAGTCTCTGCAAGGCGCTCAATGCGTGACTGTAGCTCGCGAACCAACGCGGCATCATCGGTAGCATCTGAGGAGGAAGAGCCAGCTGATGCATGTTCGGCCGAGGGATCTTGTGCACGGAGGTTGAGTACTAGGGTGTGGAGAGCGGACGAGTGTTCGGAAGTCACAATAGGCGTTACAGAGGAGGGCGGCAGGGAACGGCGGCGGTCGGGGACGATAGGTTTCCATCGGGGAGAGGTCGACAGAAGATCATTGAGCATCGTAAGGCATGATTTCTGTACGTCTAGCATTGAAGGTGTGAGATCCTCCTGTTCAACGCCAGCGCACATAGACGAGATGTCAGCGACGAGGCGTAAAACACAAAATAGAACTACACGTCATGAACAGCAAGGAGAAAATTACTCACCAACTGCGCATTTCTAGCTCCTAACCGTCGCAGGTCTGCGAGTACGCCCTGTGCACTAGAAGACGAAGTACCAGCGACTGCGCCTCCTCCCTCGTCCGTATTTGCATGGTTCGGATAGTTGGTGTCACGCACGAGAAGCGAGCTGGCATCCTCTAGTTGTAACTCTTCCGCCTCGAGTTCTTGCAAAAGCTCGTCTCGCTCGCGTTCAGCCTCGCTCGGGAAGGGTGCAGGTATGTTAGCGTTTATGTTCGAGTACGTCCTGTCGGAAGCCGTAGCAGCTGGTGCCGTATGCGTACGGATGAGTGTCGCCATTTACAACCAGAAAAAGACTCTAGAATGAGGTGTCGGTTGCTGACGACGCGTTTATAACGCGGAGGAGGGAGGGGGCGCGGAAACAATCAGATGGATGGTGTAGCGCAGAGCAAGCAGTTCGGCAGTGCTGAGTCCCAAAAGGTCAATCCAATTGGTCACCAATTTGACATTGTCTCAGACTCGTCGAATTCACATAATTTACCAACAAGTTGGCCTCGTCAAAACGAACATGAAGCTAGCAGCCGTCATCTCGTCGTTATGTATGCCCTTCTGAGCCTAACGATTGAAGTGAACCTTTGCACAGCTGTTTGTCGCGGCAAGCACTCAATATGATACATTTTCTATCGACTTTTGACACGCTTCCAATGTTATAACACAGCTTGAGCTGTGCACAAAGAAAGAACGTATCAGGCAAAGATTGAGCACTGAACGAGGCAACTGTCAGGACACACCCACATGCTGAGTGTAGCACAGCTCTGTACCGCTTTTGGCCAATCCGGATGATACCCGCCGTCATACAAGCTTCAACAAATCGCTCATGACACCCATTGCGGTGACAGCCGCGCCTGCACCCGCGCCCTGCACAACCAACGGTCTTGCTCCGTACCGTTCTGTGTGAAACATGACGATGTTATCCGAGCCTCCTAAGGCAGTCGCGAACGGGTGAGTGGTAGGATATCTACTATGCTGTCAGCATCGAAGGATGGCGAAGATGCAGATGTCCTCGTACTTTTCGAGGTCTGCCTTGATGACACCGGATTCGACATCAATCACGCCAGCAAAACGAAGCACCTTGCCTTCCTTGAACGCGTCTGCTCGCATCTGGTTGAACTGCGCATCGAACTCGGGAAGTCGCCTGATAAATTCGCCGCCAGTCTCGACGTCCTCCAGCTGCGGAGGCACCAATGACTTGGTACTAACAGATTTATACCCGTCCTTCAGAGCGCTACGAAGCGAGGGGACATAGCGCGAGAGAATGGTCAGTTTGCGCGCGACGTCGGCTCCGTTCAGATCGTCTGCAGGGTGTGGCTCCTGTAGATGGGCGTAAGGAATGTAAGAGCTGCGAGAAACGAGTGACATACAGTGTACCCCTTCTCGCGTGCGATCTTTACTACCGACGAGAAGCTAGGTCCGCCCTCCTTGCCCGAAGAGAACTCGTTGAAGATGTAGCTCATCGTGCCTGAAAAGACACCCTCGATTTTGGTCACCTAGCACAGCCATCGACGTCATCGAGGGGACATCGACCGCAGCAACTGCTTGACTACCTTATCCCCCGTAGCCACCAAGTCTTTAAGGGTGGAGATGATAGGCAAGCCAGCACCGACTGTGGCTTCGTTCAAGAATCGCGCACCGCTTTCCAGACTGGCAGACATGATACTTTCGTGAAGAGACAGCTCCGCAGAGAACGCCTTTTTGTTGGGCGTGATAACATGTACGCCATATTTCAGGAAGCGAGGGTAGAGCGCAGCGACCTCGTTCGACGAAGTGTTGTCGACGAAGACCACATCCTGACCCGGCTTTACTAAGGATAAGAGCTGGCGACTGAGGAAGTCTAGATCAGGCTTCAAGCCCGACTGGGTCAAGCTCTGCTTCCAGGTGGATGGTGAAAGATCAAGACCATCCGGAGAAAACAGTGTGGTCTTCGTGGACGAGAGCGAGACGATCCGGAAAGGATTTGACCGCGGGAAGCTGAGCAGCTGGTCCACAAACTCGCCTCCGACAAGCCCCACTCCGACCACTGCGACGCGTAGGACCCTAGGGCTCGATGACACAACAGACTGCGACGCCATTCTGCAGAATCGGACTTTGCATTATTTCGACATCGATAGCGTCGAGCAACGCACCTTGTTCCAATACCAATAGAAGGTGTGACCCGGCGGCAGATCACTGGATTCGTCGTGCACCGTTTCGGCGGTGTGGTGAAGAGCGACCAAATGCCTCGATTCGAGTCACGACGTAGAAGTGGGTGAAATTTCGACTCGGAGTCATGCTGCCACATCCAATACCCTCAATACTGTACAGCTTCATTTATCATTGACTTCAGAAACGCTCAGCGATACACAAGTACTTATCGCTATGCCTGGCTCCACCGTCCGCAAGACGGCCATGACATATAGTGACGGCGGAAGACGCGCAGTCACCGGTTACTACCTTCTATCAGGACGGTGGTTACCCCGGGGTTACCCCGCAGGTAGCGTCACGGTGTGGTAGGGCCAAGTGGTTCACTGGCAAAATCCGCAGGAAGATGACTTGCAAGCGCGGGTCGCGCGCTTCGTGTTCGGAACCATGATCGCTCCGTCTCAGTCTCCATCGCTAGACTACCCCGACCTCCTCACACCATCTCAATCTCTTCACCTCGTACTCTACAACCGGACGAAGACGCATCGCACCTCACGTAGGAGCCGGCACAGCGTGCGAAGACCAAGGACAATAAGATAAGACACGCGCATAAGGCGTGCAGGTCGGCAGAAGATAGCTTGTTCATTCTTTTCTTCTTCTCTTCACTCCTGTAACCTTCGTCCTGGACAGCCCGAGCGACGCGGATTGCACGCGGGACGTAGGGTCGAGCGCGTGATCATGCCTCCTCCGCTTGTTGGGGGGCAACGCGTTCGTAAATAGAGTCGAGAATCGTCACGCTGACTCCCCGAACGTAGCCCGCGATCGCATGAAGCTGAGCGACGGTATTGTTCTTTCCCGGCACACCACGACTGATGCTCATGTACTCGACTACTTCATGTGAAGGTTTCTAGGTTGCGGGTATATATGGAGAGGAAACGGGCCTGTACGAGCCAGCGAACCACGCGCAATTCACAATTCCTTAATCTAATATTCGAACCTTTGCTGGATCCTTGGCGACGCTCTCGCTCCTCCTCAAAGTCTACGAAATCCTCCAGGTACGCGATCCTCTCTTCGCGATTCACTCCTTCCAGTCTCAGCTAGCGCTGGGGCTATTCTATCTAATCTGATCCCGAACTCTCAGTCCACGAGGAGGCTGTACTAACGTCGACAACACCCGGGTTCCGATCCCACGAGCACAAAACCCCCACTACGACAACGGGCAGAGGTTTCCTGTTCTACTTCTCTCCTTCGAAGAGCTACCAGCCGTATGGAGCACCGTACTCATATACTCCTGAGGTCGGTGCTAGATTCAGTACCTCTCCCATGCACACTGACCCATCCTCCACAGTATGGTAGCTCGACAAACACAAGCCGTCCGTTGTTAGATGTCTTCGATTGAAAGGCTTTACATCAAAGACATAGGACAACGGTCGTGTTGTCGGCTACAACCCAAGATATCTGGGTCGACGCTCATCGTGCTCATCGCGACGGTTCACGACTCCTGCAGCCTGGGCAACAGCTCTTCGACTGGTCCATCCCTCTTCGCTAGCCACACCGTCCGCCCGGAGCAAGTCGACCAGTACTGGGGCTTTGCAGTGTCGTTGTATCCGTCAAGGGTGACCTAGAAGGATAGATGACACTGCAAAGCTGAGCAGCCCGAACACAAGCGCGATCCCTCTACCTAGATGGGTGGACCGGTCGCGCCCGATATTGTACCACTCGTCAAAAGGGCCAATGCACCATTCCAGGCATCAGTCAGGCTCGGACTATTGGGCCCTGTGGCTTAAGTATTTCCTGCGTTCAAACCGCATTCCGTGCTGTATTCGAATGCAAGCCTTTCAATATTATTCCTGGTGTGTAGCACTCTTGGCCACAACTTGCGAATCATCTAGACGGTGCAGCCTGTCTTGCGGATTTCTGTAGGCTACGGTTCTCGACCCAAACACGTCGCATGTTGGAAAATACCATATATATTCAAGCGACGGGATGTACAGTAATAAGAGACTTCCGTAGACGATGTACACTGCCTGTAAATTCCACGGCTAGAAGATCAGTATCGTGTTGACTGCCGCGTAAGTGATCCCACTGAGGGACGAAATCGAGGCATGCGGTGAGCCTACACAGAACTACTCGCCTGCATTTTGCGGGATGTCGCAGATGACAGCGCCTTGATGGGACGTGCCAGTTTAGGAGGACATTCTGGCGATCATCATGAACTCACCTCGACATGGAAAGGCAAGGGCCTCTCGCGCTGGCGACGAGACCAACAGACAAAAACACTATGTCCTGCCGTATCCACTGGCGCATACCGTGATCAGACCTGACGGAGGAACCGCATCCCGTTTGCCGCCCTGAGGATGCACGAGGCATGGTATCGACTTCGTTCCTTTTCAAGTACGAGGTCCATAAGACTTCTCGTCTTGAATTCCGGGCAGAAGATCTCACAGCTCAGCAGTTATGTCGTTCCCATTTCATCCAGACAGTTCAGTTCGAGTCGAAGTCATTTTCGAGACTAGAGGTTTTCTCATCTCCATCAAATACCTCATCTCTTTCAACAAGTGCCTCGACCCAATCTTGTAGCTCGTCGCCTCCTTCATGTTGATCTTCAGCAGCCAGTGGTTTCTCCATCTCCCTCCATGTGAAGCAAGGACCGCGTGCACCTTCAACGAAATAGGGCTTGAGCTGAAGGAGCTTCTCTATGTATGGCCTTTCTTGCCTGCCATGCTCTGCCAGTAAGGGTTGTGAGGCCAGCAACGCCTTGAATCGGTCCTTGTTCGGGACGATACAGATGTTGAAAATCTGTGGGGAACACCCAACGACAGAAATCCAGTATCGAGGGCTCGTTGATTGGAGACCGCTATGGGTCTGGCATGCTGGAATGACGGGATCCCGCTTCACCTTCATCGAAGGTGACAGAAACATCGCCGTAATTTGCGAGTCACCGGGGGCACCACCAGGACTGAGCACTGACGCCTGCGCCGGAGGAGCTGCTATACTATGTGCGCCCTGCGCCCCTAAATCGAGGACGATGATCATATGAGGCCTCTCGTTGAACGGCACGTTGGGGGAGCCGTAGAGGACGTTCGATGACACAGATACCGCCTGCTCCCGGAGCGTATTCTTAATCTGAATCACGATCCTAGAGACCGCCATCTTCTCAATAGGGGTGTCTTTGTCGCCATGCACGCACTCAAGGAGAAAATCAATGTCTTGCTGCGCATCGCGACATTGCCACGCTGCGCCCCTCGCTATGATAGCGCCTGCCAAGTTGGGTTCCAGGATAGATGAGTCCCCCGCACGAGCGAAGTGGCTGATCCGTATCCAGGCCTCAGAGAAGGCGGCTTCGAGCTTCGGACCGTTCGGGTCGTTGCTGGGAGGCGCGGAAAGGATCTTTTCGGCCACTTCGGCGGAGAACAACTTGCGAAGGAGATCCACAACGGGTACAAATTGGTGGTATCGTGCCTTCTCACTTCCGATTTTCCGAACCCGTTTGTCATGAATACATTCGTCGTAAGCCCGTATGAAGAGGAACTGGCACACCACCTCCCCGCGGTCACCCTTGCGGATGAGGCCGTCTTCAAGATAATTTTCTAAGTGCGAGAGGGCATCAAAGCCGGAAGTGTTCCACAAGATCGCGGCGGCTTCGACCAGTGGAGGCTCAGAGGGATAACTCGACCTTAAGTACTGTAAATGGGAAGGTCCCGAGTAGGCGACACGCATGTGGCTTGCCACAAGCTTGTCCTCCAACATGCGATTCGCCTCCCTCCGAGGCTCAATCTCGAGAATGAGGCGGTTGCTTAGTATCGCCAGAGCAGTATATCCCTTGGGTTTCAAAGGCTTCCAGTCGGCTGCACTCATAGAAAGAAGTTTCGTCTGAGCGAATAAGAATATGTCGTTAAGCATGCCGAGATTGTCCTGCACGCGTGTCCACCATCTAACGAGAGTAGACAAACATCAGGACCAAGTCTGCTCATTTTCTAGGCGAAGAACGAACACTTACAGAGGTCGACCAAAGCGACAAATATATTCAGGCTCACAGACGCTTTTCAACGTGTCTTTCCCGTGAGAGAAGATGGCCTTGCCGTTCCAAGTATCAAACGGCAATTCGACATACGGGGCTTGGCGGGCACTGTTTGAACTGCTGGCATTGGGCTCGTCAATCTCTCGTAGAGACGCTGCTAGGTCCCGGGGACGGGAGATCTTGTGCAGGCCGGAGTTGGTGGAGAGAAAGACAGCGAAAACGTGATCATCTTTCACATAATCGAGCACGTTGAGCAAGGCGTCTAGTGGAGTTCGAACGACATCTCTCGATGGATCTTTCAAGTCCTCAGACAATGAGCCCATGTCCGAAAGTTCGTGGGCTTCGTCAAAGGAAAAGAGAATCCAAGGCTGATGCTCTCTGTGCGGGACCACCTTGCACAGATCTTGACATGCACGGGAAAACGCGTCTTTCATTTTCGCCGCATCCGAAAGTTTATCTGTCTCTGGCGATGGCGGTGTCACTAGCTACAATAGGATGTCAGACACAGATACGAATTAGCTTTGAGACATCAAGATGCTTACCAATTCCAATCCTTCTGTTACTCCTCGTACATACAACTCAGATCGGACTCTGAGAAGGTGTTTACGCCACTTGCTAGCGAAATCCTGGCCCGAATTGTCATTCCTCACCGACAAGGTTCCAGATTTCGTAAGCTTCTCTACTTCCTTGTGAATGACTCCAACGACACCAGCGAGGATTGCGGCGTAACGCGCCTGCAGGTCAGACATCGCAGAATCCACTTGCTTGTGTTCCGATGACCTCGCCAAGGAAGCAAACCCTTCTGTCTGCTCCGCGGACGCCTTGCTCATAAGCAATGCGTTTCGGACAGATTCATCTGCGCCAGGATATCCTGTGTTAGGGTGAAAAGCAAAGGGAGTCAGCTTCCACTACAACGAGCACGCTCGCCATTGGCCGTACCTTTCGTCGTCCGGAGATTGATGGGAATCGTGAAAATCAGCGTCGAGACTTGATCCACCAGACGAGACTTCCCCATGCCAGAGCTCTGAACTATGGGGAGGTAGTTCCAATAGATTTTCCCTCGGACCCTCTCCGGGTTGGTCATTGCATCGATCGCACGCAGAAATAACTCGTGATGGTCACCAACGTATTTGACTTGCCAAGCCTCAGCCGTTGCTGTTCAACAAGAAAGAGTTAGTGACTTTGGTTGAGTGCATAAAGTGTGGACCGCCCACACCTTTACCTGAAGGGAGGAAAGGGCAGACAATCAGTCCATTAGCCAGGACAAAGGCGTCAAGAAAGCTCACCTTGGTCAGACAAATCTGAACGTGGGATTACCGTTGTACGGTTCTTGTTGAGCAGCTCTGAGGTTTGTACAGGGGTTGTATATGGATGATATGACGTAAAGGATCAGTTGCAGAACAAATTTCAGCAAGGTCCGTCACCATGTATCATGATTGACAGTTAGACACGTACTAAGCAACCGTATTTGTCGAAACTCTCTGTTTTTCCACGCTGCTTGCAGCTCGTCTATGAGTGCACGGTTGTTCCTCATCTCTTCCATGAGATGCGTAGACGTCCAGAAAGGATCCAGTTCGCCATCGGAGTTGACTACCACGGACTCGCCCAGACTGATAAGCGAGAATATACCGTTCGCCAAATCAGTGTCAGCCTGTTTCAGAACCACTTCATCAAGCTCTTTGTGCCTTTCCGCACGGAGCCTGTCAGGGACGAGCTCAAGGCCAGATTTGATATCGAGTTCGCTGTTTATCCTCTTGGCTGGAGGGGCTGAGGTGCTCGAAGACATCGAATTGTGGCGCGATCTCTTCAGATCTTCAGGGTGTCGCGTGGGGGACGACATTGAGGCTTGGTTGTAGTCAGGATTCAGTGACACAAAGACGACGGATGGAGGTGGGAAAGAGGAGGGAGTTCCTATCGTTCGAAATCAGTGTTCCTTCAAGATACCAGCACGTTGCGCGACCCTTTCTGTGAGATGCGCGTTTACACTGACACGCACATCACGTGATTCGGAAAGTGCTCGTTCTGCAAACCGCGGGCCAGGCCGAAGTTTCAGGCGTCGTAAATCACAGATTCAGATCGGCGATGCTGGAAGCCATGGTCAGAAATAAGGCATCACATGCTCAAATCTAAGACCAAATATAGGTCGAAATTGGCACCATGTAAGTACTTATTGCAAAGGATCAATTCCAGTTCTTGGGATTATACACCGGTAAGCCGATTCTCAATATACCAGCACGGCATTGCTCTCTCAGACTCTCACTAACCTGCCCAATCCCTGTCGTTCTCAAGTTCTCGCGACGGTGTCAAGTTAGAAGACGGAGGACCCTCGCATCGCACCCGCACACAGAGGGCCAACCCGTCCTTCCACACCGCCAGCCTTCAGGCGGCCGCTCTTTAACATGTCCTCACCCGTCAAGCTTGACGGCATTAGCCCACGGCCGTCTCTGGACGGCGCACGACCCTTCATATCTCCTCCACCGAACGGCACGAACGGCACCGAGCCTGACGAAGACGACGCCAACCTCGACCCTGTGGAACGGCTGCAGCGCGAGCTCCAACGCACCAAGGAGGAGAAGGACACACTTGCGACCCAGTACCGCAACCTGCTCTCAAAGCTCACCACGATGCGTACAACGCTGGGGAACAAGCTGAAGCAAGATGCCGTACGTGGACTCCTCATCCGTGTGTCCCACAATTACGACTTGACCCTGCATAGGAAGAACTCGACCGGCAGGAGCAGCTCGTGCAGCAGCTGACAGTGCAAAATGAGGATCTGACGGCGACAGTAGAGACACTCAAGGCCGAGCTCATCGCTTCGAACGACGAGGCGGAGCGCGCCTCACGGGAGCTCGAGGCGATGCGCAGCCGCGCTCTGCAGGAGAGTGCACAGGAGTCGTTTATGCGCGAGCGCGAGCTGCATGAGACGCAAGCGGAGCTCGAGCAATGCCGCGTCGAGCGGGATGAATGGGAGCAGAAAGCGATGCAGGAGCACATTGCTGCGGACGAGGCGCGCATGACGATGAACAACCTGCGCCGGGAGGTTGAGGTTGAGCGGACGGCGCGAGAGCTCGCGGCGGTGGAACTGCAGGCAGAGCGCGAGAAGTGCAACAATTTACAGTCTGTGCTCGAGGACTTCCAAGCCGGTAAGCTTATGTTCGGAGCTGGGACACACGTATTGAACGTTTGATAGCGAAGGATCATGAGCTAAGACAGGCAACGAAAGAATACGAATCGCAGCTACAATCCGTCACACAGTCGTTGGCCGAGTACAAACACCGTGCTCTGACTGCCGAGGTGCGCCCTGATCCTCACAAGTTGGTGAAGTGTGCTCACTTGTCCGCAGCTGCAAATAGACGATTCTTCGACACACACCTCGAGAATTCAGGAACTGGAGAAAGAAGTGAAGGAGAAGAACTTGCTCATCGGCAAGCTCAGGCATGAAGGTGCTTTGAATCTGCTGCTTCACATGGCTAGTCTCTTATCCTGCCCAAAGCCGTCATCATGAACGAGCACCTGATGGAGGCGCTCCGCCGGCTGCGCCAGTCATCGAACGAGACGAACGTCGATCGACGGCTCGTCACTAACGTGCTTCTCTCCTTCCTCAACACGCCCCGCGGTGACGCCAAGCGCTTCGAGATGCTATCTCTACTCTCCACGATCCTCTCGTGGTCAGATGACGAGCGCGAGCGCGCTGGTCTGCAGCGCAAGAGCGGTGCGCTGCAGGCAGCCTCCGCTGTGGCAAGCCTGTTTGGGCGGGGTTCACCAACGAGAGGCAAGGGGCTCGAGCTGGAGAAGACGGATGAGACAGAGGTGCGCCCGGAGGTCGGCGATGTGTCTGCTGTTGCCTAATGCGCTTTATAGTCCTTCTCTCGCCTCTGGGTGGAGTTCCTGCTTACGGAGGCTGCGTCAGGGGAGGATGCACATTCTGGCTCTTCAACACCGATCAAGTCGCCGCCGCGCATGAACGGCTCTCTGCCGAGCTCGCCCACTCGTAGCGCACGATTGCCCAGCCTGCTTTCTCCAACAGGACTCAAGGGAACAAGGCGCCTGCCTTCATTCACAAATGCCGCGATGAACAGCACGCCCGATCTATCCTTACAGCAGCCACCATCTAGTAAGGGGAAGGAGAAGGCTGATTTGTGACAATGCTCGCTTGGGACTCCTGTATTTATTCTGTTTATGGATTTCATTGGACTCACTGTGTCGTTCGAAGTGGTACGACGTTTCGTAGCATCTTAGGCAGACTTTGTCATCATAATATCACAAGGTAGGGGATGCCTGTACATACTGAGGCGGGATTTTAAGACCAGCTGCCCTTGGATCGGAAGAAGAGAACATACAATACACATAGACCGCGACCAGGAAATACACAACAAAAGGCTACAATGGAGCTACAATGTTCAAACTAGGAGTACACTCGGCTTCTTCATTTAGCACCAGCACTTGAGAACTGCAAAGGACATGTGAGCCTTGAGCGAGATTCAAATGCGAGACACTTCAGGATCTACCTTCGTGACCGACTTCGTACCCTCGGAAATAGCATGCTTGGCAAGTTCACCGGGGAGGATGAGACGTACGGCGGTCTGTATCTCCCGCGACGAGATTGTCGACTTCTTGGAATACGAGGCAAGCTCTGTCGATCCACATACGATCAGCCGCCAACACCGAGTGCACGATTGGCATCAGATGGTACGTACTGGACGCCTCCGTTGCAATCCGCTCGAATATGTCATTCACAAACGAGTTGAGGATGGCCATTGCCTTGTTTGAGATACCAGTATCGGGGTGCACTTGCTTCAGCACTGAATGAGCGCCACATAGGCCATTAGCATCTACGTTCCCCCAGTTGAACTTGAGATACGTACCCTTGTATAGGTAAGAGGAATACGTCTCCTTGCGGCTCTTTCGTCTCTTTTTCTTCGTTTCGTCACCAGATGCGTGTGCGGGCTTGGAAGTCTTCTTCGCTGCCTTAGCACTGTCACCAGAAGTGGTCTTCGCAGGGGCCTTGGAGGCAGTCGAAGCAGGGGCCTTTCCTGCAGTAGAGGCGGGCTTGGGGGCCATACTATCTCAAGGCGTGGGTGTTAGAAGGTCTGGTGGCAATTGTGGAAAGGACTCCAAGAAACAGACGGTGGTCGGAAGCAGGACGAGCAGCGGCCGACGCGAGACAACGCGTTCAATATATAGCGTCACGCTATGTACGTTAGAATGTCACAGACGCGTGACGTCACGTGTGGCGACGCTGGAGAGCGCTGGAGACTCTACTTACTTCGACGTCAAGGTCAACGCTCAACCCAACGCATCCTGCCGACCCTCGAATTTAATCTAGTGGCGTTAAGAGAAATGGATATCAGTTTGAAATAGAATGAAAACGCAATGTAAGTGCAGCCACATCTTCGACGCTGCGACTACTTCGTCTACCAACCGACAACTTATTATTTTGACCTACTCTGTACTTTGTCACCGTGACTCAACTGTGGACGCACGTCCTGACCTTCAGTCTTCACGTCCCTACTTGATAGGTGAGATCTTTCGGCAACGTTGTGCTTGCTGTGGTGAAGATGCCTCGCTGTTTGGAGTCTTTTCAATGGTCTATGTCGTTGCGATGGCGTGCTTCAGCATATGTTGTTTTTGATGGTCCTCTGAGTCTCGGCATGATGCAAGTCATTCGGATTTATGATTACTCTTGTTAAAGGATGTCCCATATATCTGAATCCTCCTCTTCTTCCATCCATCTCACTGACATCACTACTAGACCTCTCAGTGACAACGGGATCATATCACCGACATGTGTGGTGAGTATGGTCATCTTCAGAACAATACGCAGAATATCCGGGCACGCTTTATGTATTTTTGATTGTGAACATAGATGGTTTGGAGCATTTGCGACATCTACCTCAGTTAGTTGCAATTTATATATGAACTCATGCTTGATATCCATAAATACTGTTCATTTGCATCGCAACATCAGATATCGTGATCTTTGGTGTCTTGCTATCTTGCTACAGCCGCTCAAATCTTCATATCCCATCTTGACAGCCTCAATGACTGGTTTGATTGTCGAACCACACTTCCTAATTGCATCATCAAAACTGGTCAGGTTTCCACACGAATATGCATGGCTGGTGATAGACAACCATGATATGATGAACACTGTATACACGACCACCAGGCTGAGCTGACATGTCTATGTTACCATGACGGTCTGGGCGTCCTGTACGTCAACCGGTGACAAGTGAGTACCGTAGTTTCATCTGCAAGTGGTTACACAATCAATCAACACTGACACTGCCAACTATGTACATATAGTCCCCACCATAACAGGCGTCCTCCTCAGCTTGACTCGCCCCCAGCATACTCATACTGCAAGATCCACCTCAACTCGATACTTAGCCATCTGCTGATAGCAATGTCGTTGACTTCATTTGAAGGCATTGATGCTAGGCCCCAAATTGGACAAAAAATAGAGCAGGTAAGCTGTCTCAATATTGCGCCGTTTGGATCGTTGTCATTTGGCCTGAGTCCTCACAGAACTAATAAGCAGGTTGAGGATAGCAGCACCCAGTCTATTACATCTCCCGCCACCGACTCGTGCGCGCCAGGGTTACCATTGGAACTACACGAGAACATCATCGATTGCATCCGCACAGGGGCAAGATGGGGTTTAGGAGAGGCAGAGCGCCAGACATTGATTGCGTGCGCCCTCACTTGTAGAAGTTGGCTGCCCAGGAGCCTCGCAAATCTCGTGCATACCATTCATCTTGACGAACGCTCTCGAATGATCGCTGTCGCGGCGCTGTTGGAGGCCAGGCCCTTCTTACGACCCATGGTTACAAATGTATCCATTTCTAACACGGGTATAAGTGGCCCTGAAGACTCAAACTTGCCTCCTTTGCCCATCTTCCCCGTGCTGTTCATGCGCAAGATGTCCACCTTGCAACATCTCACAATTTCCTTCCATACATTCCCAAGTGCGACCACAAGGGACTTCTACCAGTGCTTTGCAGAATTCACTAGCATCACCTCTCTGAACCTTTCGTCTGTCGAGTTCTCGTCCGCACACGACTTCGCACATCTCATCTTGATCATGCCCAACCTCCGAGAATTGACCCTCTCCAACGTGAAGTGGTCAAATCACGGCATTCTTCCAGCACTCCTTCCACCGGGCGTGTCTCGCCCGCGACTTGCGGTTCTCAGAAATATGAACTTTCTAACGTCCAAGGCCAGTGCCGAGGAATTCATGGCTGCGGCACTCGTGTGGAAGGATGTCATAGACTTGTTGACCGGTCATCAGCTGCCCCTCCCTCTCGAGGATTTACCCTTCTTCGATCTCAATTTCTGCTCAGGCGGCTTTCGGCTTGTGGATTTGCGGACGATGGACATGGGCCGACTCCTGCGCTATGCCGGTGCCGACTTACGCAGTTTGTCATTAGCCATTGGAGCTGGTGACATGGAGGCAATGTCCGCAAAAGACATCATCAGTAAGTTTGCCCCCGTCGGTGTTATACGAATTGCGTCCTGACGTTTGAAAGGGACGCATGTCGATTTGAGCGAGAATACCCACTTAGAGGTGCTAAACCTGGCTGCCCCTTTCTTAGACACCGAGAACAACTGCGAGTGGATCCCATGCTTGCTCGCGCAAATCATCTCATCACGGCTGCGCAAATGTATGATTGTCGTGAACACCGTTCCTTCATTCAACGCCGACGTCGTACAGAAGACGTGGGACCTGTTCACACCGCAGATCTGTTCGTCCATAGACACCATTCTCACTCATACGAGGTGCTCGGGATTACGACAGGTTATTTTCGTGATGAAGGGCATATCACGATCTAAAACTTGGTATGAGAATGGGAGGATCAAGCACGCAGAATTTGAGCGTTCCCGGTTTCCAAAGTTGTACGACCGGGGAATACTGTCTTGCATGTTTTTCGGAGACGAAAGACACAAAGAGTATCTTGGGGGGTTAAGATCACGAGCTTGTGCATGTAGATGATTATAACGTCAAGGATGGCCGTAAAAATTTGTATGTGTATACATTGCTATGATACGTGAATTTTCACGTCGCTTAGAGGGGATGAATATCTGGTTTGGGACCGACGGGGATGATTTGGTAAGGATTAAGCTGCGCGTGGTCAGCATCCGGGACCCTATGCTTGCGGGAATTGTACGCACCATGGACATCGACGTGTAGTAGCCATCCTTGATGTGCTTAAAATTACATGTGTCCTTGAATGCAGGCACCGTCCAATACAGTTTGCGCAGCCAGCGGTGAATCTCGGGGTAGTCGCCGCGAATCGAGCGTATATTGCATTTGAAGTGACCGTGATACACCGGGTCAAAGCGGATCTGAAGAGCTCGCATTTAATACTGCGACACCGCCGATAACCTGGAGCCTTACAATTGTCACGAATAGTCTCACATCCGCTTCTGTGAGCTGATCCCCGATGAGGTAGTCCTTGCCCTTCAGTATGGTCTCAAGGCGATCGAGTGAGTCAAAGAGGGGGCGTACGGCCGCCTCATATGCCTCCTGTGTCCTCGCAAAGCCGGTCTTATATACGCCATTGTTCACGGTGTTGTACACCCACTCGTTGAGTTCATCGATCTCGTTCCTTAACACCTCTGGGTAGAAGTCGAGTGCGGCCTTATCTGTCGGCAGCAAGTGATCAAATGCACTGTTGAACATCCGGATGATTTCTGAGCTCTCGTTGTTCACTATGGTGCCCGTCTGCTTGTCCCAGAGAACAGGTACCGTGAAGAGGCCTTCATAATCTGGGTTCACGCGCAGATAGAGGTCTCTGATGTACTGCGCATTGAACAACGGATCAGGCATTGCGCCAGGAAAGTTGTCGACCGTGGCGAAGGGCCAGCCGTGCTCGGTCATACGCGGAGAAACGACAGTTACGTCTGTCAGTGACTCATTAGTACAACTAGCGATGAGGAGCACTTAAGTACGTACCGATGAAGTCGTCGAGACCCTTGAATTGACGCATTATCAGTGTCCTTGTGGCCCATGCTGTTGCCATGATTATTTGAGCAAGTGGTTGTGGTTGAAATACCTCATCAGTAGAACTCACGGCAGCCATACGAGACATACAGATGGTAACGACCTAACTCATGCGCATCAGTATGCAAGAAAAGATACAAGAGAAGGATGTCAAGGATTCATTGCAAGAATTGGCGCCTATCTCGGAGGTTGGGCATTATCAACGAGGGCACAGGAATAGTTATGCCTCAGAAAGAGCCATTGTGACGAGCCAGGATGAATTTGGGCGTGTGTTTCATGATGAGGGAGTAGTGAGATAATACCCGCCACTCGCACACATCAGCCACTGATCAGAGGAAGATGAACGTGCCTTTCTCAGGTTCAAATTGGCCGCCTTTTTCAATGAAATCTCGGAATGTCGAGGAACTGCGAGTAAATGATCCATCGGTATTCGACGTCCTCTTGCGGAGATCCGACAGATGGGTGACATCTTTGGCGACCATTATGACCACGACAAAGGGCAAACGTTTCAAGTGTGTTCAAAGATGAGACGAGGTGGGACGGATCGCAGTGAAGTGCTTATGTCCATCCTTCCTGTCTACTTATACCAGACGATGATTTAGTGACTACGTCATAGCTACTGCCAGTGTTATTAGCAAGACACGCTTATAAAGTCGTGTAAAGGTGCTTACGGTGTCATGCTTCTGAGCTCGGGGTGAGCCGAGGTAGCTTGCAGCAGTAGCCGCCGTGAACCTTCCATATATCGTAAAAGGTAAACGGTAGACCCCGTCTGCATTCATGTTCTCATAATGGCGAATATCACGCGACTGCAACGATCTGTGTATAAGGATATCCAGCCGGTCTAATGGACCAAACGCAGCGCAACAACCTACACGGACCGGTTGCTCCAGCAACGAGTATGCAAAACACGTGAACTTGGTACATGCACTCGTTAAGTATGTCTGTGCAACGCACTGAAGACACAAAACCGCTGCAAGATATTCAAGACGAATCACTGAAACAACGGCTGCTCCAGTGGCGGTGCGCGGGATCATCGTCGATATGGGTATATAGGAATGACAGACACACCTTCGCTCCAGACCAGCCAAGATCTGAACAAATTGAAGCTACAAGGTAGAGTGGCTTGGTTGTGATGTGGAGAGCGAGCTTCAGGAACTCACTACCACTAGGCAGATCTCCTAACAGTGAGATGATCGCTGACGATTGGCCAAGGTAGAGCATCCAATGAGTATTCCCAGAAACTAATCCACGAAATATTGCAAAGACCATTAGAGACGACGCTACCGTATAATCCACCCAGTCCGGGGCTAAGTCTAAGCTCAAGTTCCTGCCATACCAATGACGCCAACATGATCGCGTATCTTCGCGATCTCCGAGACACTCAGTGCACCCTTACTCGCGCAGAAGAAGTCCTCCCAGGCCTGCGCCGCATCGCCATAGTTGGAGAATTGAGAGCTAACGAGGCACATCCGGTCAGTCATGAAACGTCAATATAATATGAGCGAACTCACGTCAAAAACGTGTATAATTGCTCCCAGAATGCGGGGTTGGCCAACGTTGCATGGTATGACGTCTGCGGAACGCCCGCAGCAGGCGCCGCCGGTATGCTGGAGGTGTCCAGCACGAGGGGTATATCCACGATCTTCTCGCCGGGCGACGGCGAGAGCGAGGGTGAGGGCGAGAGCACAACCGACGGTATGCGGCTATGCCCCGAACGCGTCCTGCTCTGTGTCGGTTCCGGGAGCAGGGTGATCTGCCCGCCCCCTGCAGGCTTCTGCAACGTGGGCTCCGCGATTGCTGGGGTGGTTTTCGCGGGATCCCAGTCGAAACCGGGCTTGACCATCAAGTTGATAGTATCACCCTCCTTCACGCTATATTCTTGCAAGAGCTTGCCGTCAGCAAGCGCCTTCCCCTTGAGGAGGAGCCGCTGCGCGTCGGCGAACGGCGCTCCGGGCAGCAAAGCGAGTTGTGCTTTGATCGCAGAGATGGTGTCGGTGGGTTGTACGGACAATGTGTATGATTGAGCCGGCTTGACGGACTTGAAGGTGACGTTGATGGAGCCTGCGGGGACTGGATCCTGAGGCTTGCGCTCAGGTGGAGGAGGGACATCAACCTAAAGACGATTAGACTTCATATTTGGCTATTACAGAGCATGCAAGCGAGTGTTCCGTGGGAAAGCCATTTCAATTAATGTCCTCCCTTCAGAGGGTTATTGGCGCAATATTGGAAGCATTAGAGTCACATCGTCGTGCTATGCTTTGGCATGAGGCGCAAGAATGTCTGATGCTAGTCTGCATGCAGGTCCTCCCAGCTGAAGAATTCACGTGTGGAAGGCCTGAAAATGACAACAGAAGCAAGCAAGAACGTCAAGTGTCGCAACCAGGAAGTACCGTATCATTACCGAGCAAAAGCTGCGCAAACAATATTCGCTGCTCTGCGGTCAAGCCGCTCTGAATGGTGACGATGACATTAAAGCAGTATTCTGCACAACATAGCGGAAAGCGCCACCACCAGCGAGGTTGAATGTGGAATACACATTAGATCAAACTCAACTCTCAATAGGGTGGCGAAGGGTCTCTGATGGGAGATCATGCCACTCTCCTACCTTCGCAATCGGCAACACCCAAAGAGAAGGTAAAGGATTCCCCAAATGATGACATTAAGGAAATGATCCACGGAGCACAGCTTACATGCGAGCATGAATACTGACCGGGAGCACGGGTATCTTCTTCAGCGATTTGTCTGGCGGTTGTTGGAAGTCGTCCGCATACGTGACCGGGTGCGAGGACAAATTATTCGCAAACGACTTGACAAACGTGAGCTCTGCTTGCTCAGACATTGCGGCGAGCAATATCTATCAATTCAATGAATAGAAGGTGTCGTCCTAGAGCCAGCGAAATGAAATGGTTGAGAACAAGGAACGATTGATTGAGCTAGGGTGACGTGGGGAATGTCACCGGTGACATGGCGCACCATCTAGCTGTCACATCATGGTCACGACCTCCATCGAGGCCGTGACACGAGTGAACGTCGACCACCTCATATCTGCGTGAACAATGGCGGTATGCTATCACAGCTGTTGGTCCGTCTATGGGATGCTAATGCTTGAGTCATGCATGTAGTCTGGGTTTAGTCCTCATGGAGGTATGCTCTTTGCTGGTGACCGTAGCGATCATGGCTGCTGAACAGCCTTGCAGGTGTCCCCCGGTGTTTCGCATACTGGCAGGAATTCTCGAAGGTTCGTACGCTAGCACAGTACGGTTGGAATTCAAGCTCACAAGACATTACACCCATGCAGTGCTACGCACAGACGGATGTGCCATCACAGTGCCGCCCGCCGGCTGACGACTACTTAGAATGTCTTCACCACACTAACGAGGTACGTGCAATGTCGTATATCGTTCCGCAGCCTTGTAATATTTACTGCGTGTTACTCCCTTCTGTCCAATTAGATTGCCCGTGCAAAGGCGATCAAGGCAGAATTCGTGCGCAAGGCACAACGACAGGCACACGAGGGACGCAAGGCGGCAGATATCCTCGCAGACGGTGTCATTGTCGGTGTGGGACTGATCCAGCGAAGTCAGGGCGAGAGCGAGCACGCGAAGTAATATCGCTGTTTTAACTCAATGGATGCCGTTCACTCTGTTGGATCTGGACGAAGCTCTGAAGCTCTGTTTGCACTGGTCAATGCCGGCCCTCTAGCCGTTGCGCTTCAAGCTTTAAGTCGCATATTCACGGATTCTTAGGCTCAAGTTATAGTTATTCCAAGGCGAGACGTTTGTGCTTGTGGATACAGTAGTATTGTCGCTATGTTTCAGATTACAACCTGGAACTGATTGCGAGTCTGGTGTCGACGTCGAGACGGCAGAGTGCCGAGCGGCATTCTGGTCGGAGCTCCAATATGTCACGCTCGGCCACCTTCACCCATCATCCCTCTCTCTTCCCGTCTTGTCCTTCTCCCTCGTTTAGTACGATGACCGTCCAGGGTTACGGCTCAGAAAACTCGCCGATAGTTGTGTCTGATGATGAAGAGGCGGCCAGCGTCGAGCGACAGCTAGGTGGGTCTTCAGTCACCCACATCCTGTGGATTGGTTCTAGCAAACAGCAACACCCAACACCAGATTCATATGATGCATCCTGGCAAGAGGAACCTTCGTACTCCGACGATGTCCAGGGTGCGTCGTTTCCTTTTTATGACTATTCAAAGATGCGTGTTGCGATCTATCTGTCTCAGATTATGCTTCAGTACCCGCTATCGGTCAGAAACGAAAGCGCAATGGCGGGGCACACCCTGATCTCCCTGCGCCACCACAGTTTGAGAGCAAAAATGCTCGAAAGAAGAGGCGCAAGAAGGAGCGGCTCGTGGCACAGCAGCAGGGGACATTTGAGGTCCCTCCGCCAGCGCCCGTGCCGTTCCTTGCGCCTCTACCTTCGCCCTACACTGTACCGTCTCTCCCACTGCCCCCCGCCAATCTGCTTCCTCTACCTCCTCTACCCCATCGTCCCCCGCATCCAAAGCGGCAGAAGCCACCACCATCGCGCGCTGAATTGGGCGAGTCGGTCATGTTCCCCGAGATACTCCCACCGGTCTTCTGGGGCGGAGGGCCACCGATGAACGCGTCATCGCTACCGAAGCCCTATGTTCCTCCGTTCCTACCGCCAAAGCCCATGTTTGCAACTGTGGTCCCCGACGGTCCTGGCCGTACGTCAGGACCAGGACCTTACCTCTCCCCTATTCTTCCGTATCCGGTGGATGTTCCCGCCCTCCCTGAGCCTGTTGCCCCTCAGTCCACGACGTCTACACAGATAGCAAAGAAGCCTATCGGCATGCCCGAAGACTTGGACGCCAAAGCTAAGCATGGTGTGTATGCTGTTGATCACTTGTCCCCTGCGCCCGACACGACGTGCACGCTTATTTTGGAGCTGCTGCCGAAGAAGTTCCGGAACGTCCACTTTGTGCAGTCGTGGGGGCGGCGCTTTGCTAAGCAGCGGGAGATCCGCGTTGATCTGGATGCGCAGGTCGGTAAGGCCCTGATCGAGTTTCCGAGTGAGGACGTCGCGCAGGCCGCATTTGGCAGTCCTCGCTTGGGTGGGGAGGGGAAGGAGCACATTCGTGCGTACTGGTATCGTGTCGGGGAACGTTTGAAGCAGTCCCAGATTGACTTGGAGGAGGGTGAGATCGAAGAGGATGACGAGGTGTATGAGTTGCCCGTCCCCGTTGTTCAAGCACCACCAAAGAATCGCAAACAAAAGAAGGCGGCAAAGAGGAAGGCGAAGGAAGAGGCGGCAGCCGCCGCGATGTCCATCTCGAGAGACGACGACGACGCTTTGTTCGCAGCACTACTGTTCAGGCCGCGGACGCAGTCCAGCAACTTCCAGGAGCCGCTCGCAGCCCCGACTCCCCCTGCACCACCTCCACCTCCCGTTTATGGTGTAGAATATCACACCCCACAGTACTACGGCGGGTACTCTGCTCAGTACCTGCAACCTGGAGCGGCATACGCTGGACCATCTTCCGCGCCTTCTCATGACGCCTGGGAACCTGCTATCAACGACGAACAACCTATGGATCTTGCGTCGAGCGACGCTGGATACGACATGAAGGTTGAGATACTGGAGCAGGCGACGGCAGAGGCCGTCGACGATATGGACTACGACTCGTATTCCATCGCGTCATCGAGGGCGAGCCCGGTCACGCCTGCGATTGACCTGCCCTACGAGCAGTATCGGAGTCCGTCGTCTAAGCAGCCGGCCAAGGAGCTGTCAGCACTAAACATGGCCCCTTTACCTCCACCCACGTCTGCCGCCGAGCCCGCCACAAAACATCCTTCACCGTACAACGTCCACACACCGCTACCAGGAGTCAATATAAACCCTTTGCTATGGCCCAAGCCTGCACCATTACCGGAGGTCAACACGGTACCGCTGCCATGGCATCTACTTACCCCTACTGTAGCCCAGAAGACGGACACCCTTGGGATGACAAGGGCAAGCATAGAGAGGGACGTGTCTTCGCAACAACCATTGAGGTCTTTACCTCAAGAGCAAAGTTCATCCGTTGTGCAAACGCCTCAATCAGTCACATCCCGGCCACCCGCTGACTCCTTGATAAGGGCGGCGGCGGCGGCTTCCGCCGCTTCGCCAGAGGTGCCAGTCCAAGCTCTGGATCCTACAAGGCTTAAGGCTTCATCGTTGTCCACCTTGACTTCCTTGCCTTCTACTACAGTGTCGTCCACTCCAGCCATAATGCCCGGTGGTATCTCGCAGGCTCATCCTCCCAGCCGCCCTGAAACCGCTTGGCAGCCCTCGGCGCCCAGCAAGCCAGACTTGCTACAGCGACAGCAACTTCAGCAGCGCATCACGAAACTGGAGCAAGAGCTTGCGAGGCGCAATGGAGGCGCTAGCGCGAGTGCAAGTGGGAGCGCCTCGCCTGTCATTGGCACTACGGCATCGGTCACTGAACGAATCGAGAAGAGCACAGAGGATGAATCTGCTACGGCCCTCCGACTTGATCCTGCTTTAGCAGAGTTACGTCGTTCTGTCCTTGCCACCAGAGGCCACGCGTCAGCAGCAACAAAATCAATCGCAGCGTCATCGACGCTCGCAGATGCTGCACAAACAGATCCTATAGATGACGCTGAGATCACAACCACGATAGCCGTCCCCAAGCCTTCGCTCGTTGTCCATGCTGCGTCTACCGTACAGGCAACTGTGTTCAATGGGAACGCAACTTCATCATCAACTCCCAGCCGCAGCACAACGGCCACCCCCAGTACAGCTTCTACGGCCGCATCGTCGAGTGAGAAGAATATCAACCTCGATGACATGGCCGTATCCTTCATAACGGCGACGCTACAAGCTGTACGACCAGCTTTACCTTCACTTTCATCCTCAGTGCCACCACCGCCTTCAACACCCAGGTTGCCGCAGCTTGATGAGAAGACGCGGTTAGCCGCGCATCAGCAGCGTTTGGAAGAACTCATCGCCGAGAGTCAGAGGCTTTTAACACAACACGCACAGGCGCGGTCAAAAGCAGAAAGGCAACGCATCTTAGGAGACCTGCGAGAGTGCACGCGGTAAGCACCGTGTGGCTGTAAACGGGGATTGTCAGGGCGCTGCTCAAGCCGTTGACAGGACCATGGATAACATGAAGTCTATTTCCCTGTCGCCAAGGTTGTCCCCATTAGTTTCCCCCACTCCCATCGCCCAGCAACAACGACAACAGTTGACACTGCAGGCGCTAATGAAAGGATGGCCCGAAACGACACGTGAAGCGACCATCATCATCATTAGCGATGATGAAGACGCTTCAGACGACGACGATTAATTATTTTAATTTTGAATTTGGTTTGTATCCTGATTAACCGCTATCTGGCAGGAGATTGGTGCCTTGTAGACGCACTCCAGAGGAGGCACAATCGGAAGTGTTCTATGTTTCTATCCTTCGAGCACCTAATGCAACACTATCTTTTCCAGGGCGACCGTTCAGGTTTGCCTATGCATGTTGTAAGGTGAGTTGAGCGCTTGCCCATTCGGGATCCTCTCACCCCCTGTACACAGATTTCCGTAGAGTATACGTTCGTTACCCATCCATTATATCTAGATCTCAGACGCGACACTGGGTCCGTTGACATCGGTCTTCGAGACCCAGGGTGATTTACGTCCATTCTCCGATGCTGTGTTCAGGATCTCTTCCTTGCGAGAGATTCAATGAGCATGCTCGGAAGGTTTGGATAATCGCCTCTGGTGCACTACAGTCGACATGTACGTTCCGGCCGATGTTGCGTTTGTCCGTTGTATCACCTTGCTTTCTGTCAATGCTATCGTGTTTGTGTTTTGCGATTTCGCTCTGTGGGAATTTTGAATGGCGGACTCCCGTGTGACGAGTTTACACGACCCTTGCTCCTGTCTCTACGGCAGTTTGTCGGAGAAATTCCTTATGCCCCACAGTCGCCGCTCACAGTAACATTGTGGTCGGCGACATCAATTGATCATGGGTTGGGTATATGCTCATGCTTTCGGCATAGTCTCGCGAAATTTTTGGACGGCCTTGCATTGTATTACAGCAATTCAATTTCTTGATATTCACCTTTGCGAGGATCCCGGCTTCAGGTACACCTTTCTCGTTCTGTTCCAATGAGATCAGATCGATAGCAACACTGAATGGGGATATCGGGCCAAGATAGTGGCAGGGACCATCCTGGACCTCTTTTGAGCCAGCAAAGGAAGTTGGCGCCTTGTTATCAACAGGAGCGCTGCGATGCGAGTGTTCTCCTTACTCATCCAGCGGTACGGAATGCCGAACACCGTCGAGCGCAAACGGTTATATACTCTGGCAACAGAGGGTGGAACGCTGTATAGTTCCCCCACACCTGCCGTTCCTATACTATCCCCCAAATTAGCCAGACATGCCAGCTTCGCAATACGTGACATTGAACACTGGGGCGAAAATGCCCACTTTGGGTCTCGGTAAGTTTCACATTCAATCGCAGTCGACAGGATATTAACAATACCTTCGTTAGGGACGTGGAAGTCCGCTCCCGGTGCTGTTGAGAAGGCGGTTGAGGTCGCGCTCAAGAACGGGTACCGTCACATCGACACCGCAGCTGCGTATGGTACGTCATGATTAATTGATTGATTGGACACTTTGGGTACTGACTGATTCGGGTCGACAGCGAATGAGAAGGAGGTTGGAGTGGGCCTTAAGAACTCTGGCGTGCCGCGCGAGGACATTTTCTTGACGACGAAGCTCAACAACAGCGACCAGCGGGACCCTGAGGGGGCGCTGGAGACATCGTTGAACAACCTTGAAACATCGTACCTCGACCTTTGGTTGATGCACTGGCCTTGTCCGATGAAGAATGGAAAGCCTGACCCCAGCGTCGCCTGGCAGGACACCTGGAAAAAAATGGAGGTGATTTACAAGGCGCACCCCGAGAAGGTCCGTGCGATCGGCGTCTCCAACTTCTCGGTCAAGTACCTCGAGGAGCTTCTCAGCTTCGCGACGATTGTCCCGGCCGTGAATCAAATCGAAAGCCATCCGTGCGTATATCACTGCACAACGTTGTGCGTTAGTATAGCTGACGCGTTCTCTAACCACTTCTACAGATCACTCAAGCAAGAGGATGTCGTCGCGCTCTCGCGGTCGAAGGGCATCGCGATCACGGCGTACTCTCCTCTTGGTTCGGACAATGCACCGCTTGCGTCGAACCCGACCATAGTTGAGATTGCAAAGGCGTATAACGTCAGCCCGACGGCGGTGCTTATCTCGTACCACGCCAACCGTGAGGGCTTCACTGGTGCGTTGCTCATGATGTTGTCCGTCGAGATTTCCATAAGATGACATCGCGTGTATTTATCCTGTAGTTATTCCCAAGTCGGTCACGCCCGAGCGTATAGTTTCCAACAAGAAGATCATCGACCTAACGCCAGAGGACCTGCAGAAGGTCTCCGACGTCGAGAAGGCCGGCACTCTACGTGTATGCAAGCCGTACTGGACCGGATACGGCGGCATTGGTTTCCCTGACTGCCAGGACTGACTGGCTGCGAGATTGTAACGCGTTTTGTTGTACGGGGTGCTCAACCGTAGTCGAACCAGAACGTCGAGAAGCTATGACATTGAATAGGTTTGTCAATCAGACGCAATATTATCGTAACATCGTCGCTTTGTCCTCGATGATAGTCGCAAGCACCTAGTTTAAATTCTTCCTATGTACACATGGGTGCGCGTACAGAATACGAAAGATAAATTAGTGCATCGGGACCTCGCTGCTCACCGGCAATTGCGGTACCACTGACTGGGGGGATATTTTCAACTGTGAAGCTGGGCCGAGCTTGTAGGTAAAGCCTCCGCGCATCATCTTCTCATAGGGCCTAAGCGAGTAGTAAATATCGTTACTCTTCAAATCGCTCGGGCTTCACCGACGACTGCAGCGCGCGACTCATTGAAACACGTGACCGCGTCTGGCTGAAGGCTCGAGCCCTCCGGGGCCAGAGGCTACTTCAAACCGCTCTGACTCTATGCGAACCCCGCCATCGCTCTGTAGAAACAAGATACTAGTACTTGCAGAGCTCCTACACATTAGTTCCCTCCAGGGTTTGGATTGACTACGATGACTGAGCCTTCAAAATCACCTTCATCTCCGCCAACTCATATGGAACCTGATTTTGACTCTGGCATTAATACATCGGCAGCATGGACGGTCTCTCTAGCCGCCGAGGGTAGTGCACGCGCTAGTCTGCATCATGAAGCATCTCTCTCGGACGACGAGCTCGTAGAGGATGAGGACGAGCAGGCGGATTCAGATCGAGGGCCAAGCCGCCCTGCCCGCGCGTTATACAGCTTCGAAGGGAAGCCTGAATTTCGCGAGCTCTCAAGCGTAGAGGCTGGCGATGAACTGGAAGTGCTGAGGGAGGATGTCGGTGAAGGCTGGAGCCTTGTGAAGCTCACAAAATGCAGAGGAGGCCGTGACCCGCGACCTGAAGGCGAGATTGGACTACTGCCGCGGACATATTACACAGTATGTTTCATGCCTCAATTGCTCTGGTGCTTTTCTTATCTATACAAACTGTAGTTTACAGCCGATTTCACGCTTTTGCCTGGTTTTTCGTTGCCCACAACACATGTTCGGACACGGAGCAGACGTGAAGCATCGGGTTCTTCTATCACACCTCGAGGCTCCCCGTCAAGAGGATCACAGCCTCTCCCCATCGTTCCACAGTCGACCGGGGAGTGGTTCCCTAGCTTTCGGCGCAGTCTCCTTGGGGGTCGATCTTTGAATCGCTTCTCAAGTTTCGTCACGAGCGGCGCAGAGGCATGGGTCTTGCAAGGGACTGAGAACGAACCCGCTCCTCCAATTCCGGCACATAGCAGAGAGACATCGGAACAGAGCATCAGTGACGATGCAGGTTCTCGCCAAAGCGTGCTAGGGATGGCGGCAGAAACGGAAAGACATTTTGTCGAGGTGGGCCCTGCGTGGAAGAGCAAGCTGCCAGCATTCCGGGTGCTTGTACACTCGCCGTCCAAGAGAAGCTCAACGCTCACGGGCCCGTTTACGATCTATACACTGACATCCTGCTTCGAGACCACCACCGAGGCCGACTCGCGGTCTGCATCTGAAGAAGAGTTTGAGCCGGAAGACGCGCCTGCAGCGCCCGCGAGTATCACTGTGCAGCGGCGGTTTTCGCACTTTGTCGTACTTCATACTGCGCTCACACGACGGCTGCCGGGCATTGCGCTACCACCATTGCCAGAGAAGCAGTACGCAGGGCGATTCAACGATGCGTTTGTCGAGGCGCGGCGGGGTGACCTGGAGCGATACATCAATAGAGTTGTGCGGCATCCCATCGCACGATACGCAGAGATGCTGACGTTCTTCCTTTCATGCGAGAGTGACTCGGTGAGCTTTCTCGCACGCACTTCACTAGAGCTTAATGTGGACATGTCTGAGATGCAGGAGTGGAAAAAGCAACTGCCATATTACCTTGCGCTGCCACCAAAGGGCCCATCATTCTATGCTCAAGTATATCATCCTGCGTTTAATGTAGATGCGGAGGACGCGGAGGAGGCGCTTGACCGCTTTGTTGGGCACACGCATGCGGTAGGCAAAGGTGTACAGACACTCAGAGCCGTATTCAGCAAGATCCGTGAAGCAAGGGTCGGTGAGAAAATAAGCTTCGCTCAATCCGCATATACGGAGCTTAAATATATCATAGAAATGTCGAAGGCAGAACGCCTACTCTCGTACTTGTTGCTGTCATTAATCACGTCGCGGCCGCTCGCATCCGCATCTCCAAACCCAGAGACCGATGAAGACGAAGATGAAGACAAGAGCAAGGCCAAGGGACACATGAACGAGGACGGGGCGTGGTGCTGGCGGGAGAACTGCGAAGGTGCCCAACATTCGTCGTTCGTTCTAACTATGCACTGACCAGGCGGAAGAGTGCCTCAGGCTGACGAAGGCCCTACAGAAGACGTCTGAGACTCTGCAGAACGTGGCGGATCTATATGACGATCATGTGCGTTGTGTCTGTGCGCTTGACCACTTGCCCGTCGTTGACGAAGTCTATGCTAGGCACGGCGAACGCAGCTCGCAACGCACGAAGCTCTTAAGGGTGTCGCGCATCCCGAGGCGATCTATGCCGTGAGTATGCTCTCACTCGATTTCGCTGTATGTTGCAATGTTCCTGATTTGGATTTCTCCCAGCCAGTCATCGATACGCATCGGTCGACGCTGTCCCGATACCATGAAGCCATACGAGACGGCGAGGTATGATTCTCTTCCGACAATGAGTAGAATTAGGTGATAAATGCAATCACACAGGAGGACGAGGAGGTTGCCGCGCGCTGCGAGACCGTACTGAACACGACTATGGCGGAGATGGAGACATATCACACGCAAAAAGTCGAAGATTTCCAGACTCTCGCCAAAGAGCATCTCGACGGCGAGATCGCGTTGTACGAGCAGGTTTGTGCTTGCTCCTCCTCTCCCCTTACACCTTCCGACTGGAATTATGATGCGTTTGAATAGATCCTCACGCGCCTGCGGACAGCCCGCGCCGCGTTCGACGCGCCGCAGTACACCGCGCTGAGCCGCACGCCGCGGCAGCCGTCGATGCATGAGCGCGAGCTGGAGCACCCGCGGCTCGTGCCTGAGCCCCTGACGCAGCCGTGCCCGCATGTGTTTGACTCGGCGCCGATCCGCCCCGTGAGCGTCGCGATACAGGAAGGCGTGGGCATGCTCCTGGGCGGGGTCGCGCCCGCAGCGCGGGGAAGCGTGTTTGGGAAGCTGTGGTAGGGACTGCATTCGCACTTGGTGAACTCGTAGGGAGGTGGTCGGAAGGGCAGTGGCAATGTACCGTACATACCCGCAAGTCAATTGGACGGACTTCGTTTCGGTCTAGGAGTGATATTGTTCTACGTGGTATCTGTACAAGGAATACTACATCGTTGCCATCATAAGTCATGTCAGCAGCGTAGCCTGCAGAAGGCCAAACTCTAGGCGTAACAAGCGAGCTCGTCTCTGGAACGTGGTGATCATGAACGATGGTACAAATTCTTTTCCAGCGTCGAATATGATCCTGCTCATCCCAGTCCTTGTTCTCCATGGTCGTCAGTATTCGGAAGTGTCAGGACGTCCGGGACCGTCGCCATGCCAATGGAGTAATCCCAAGGCGGACCCTGCGCGGTGAGCACTCCGTCCTCTGAGTAACTGCTTCGGGTCTTCTCCATACATGACGATTGGAGAGTTGAGGGCGATGGCATGGATATAACGATAGCGACTTGTAGTTGGCCTCGCTGAGGCTCTGCTGTCTCCGGATCGGACAAAGCAGGTTGCGAGCCCTCAGTAATCTCCCTGGGACGTCCGTAGTCCAGGAGACGAGCAAACAACAACCGGCGCGGACAATCAGACGGAGCCCCAACGGGGGATGTGGCGTCCGGGTGTGTTGTCAGCTCCTGGGCTAGCGTGCTCTCACCACTCAGGTATGATGGTGGGAGAAACTGAGCCGCAAGAGGCTGTTATGACGGATGCATGCATGCAGGCAACAGCGAATTCAGATCGACACTAGATATAGATTCAGACGCACGCAGATCGACGTACCATCATGTCTTGCCATTTGCCAGGCGGCGCGTGCCATCGATCGCGACTGCTCGCTCTACAGCCCGCGCTGACACCGATGTTGGGCGGGCGCAAGCTGGTGTCCCAGATCTGTGGCTTCTGCCTGAAGAAGCCCTCAGGGGGCTGGGGGCGCGGCGCAGGTTGCACGAAACGCAGACTGGGGTAGAGCCGGCGGAGTGCAAGAATGGAGAGGACTGCGCCGACGAATAGGCCGGACGCGAGGAAGACGAGGATTAGCGGTGGGCCCTCGCCTGTGTGCAGGATGGACTCTGATGTTGATCCCGAGCCCGTACTGGAGCCCGTGTCGGGGATGGACGACATGGGGGCGAGGATGCGAACGGGCTGTTGTGTGTTGCCAGCCGGCGAGTATAAGGACGTGGTGGCGAGCGTGAGGACACCGAGACCGAGGGTGTTACAGGGAGACAAATCCGGAGAAGTAGCGTCATACTGTCTCAGACGTGCGAAGGCCGCACTCGACCAGAAGAATGATGCCCGGGAGAGGACGTTCTCGTGCAGCCCCGTGGGGGAATCGCGGCCCGGTTGTTCCTTTAGCGCAGAGAATTGCCACTCGCGACATCGTGTACGGTCAACTGGCAGCTGGAATCGCCCCGGATTCACTTAGTCCTGACAAATCGTGTATTCAAAGTCCACACGCTCTCATGCAGCCAAGCATGCAGGTTCTTGGTGGCCTACCAAAACCTACAAGCTGAGCGTTCGATTGTAACTGAACTGAAGGTTGAAGTATCTTCAGCTTGCGGTTCAAGGCTAAGAAAACAAGGTGTTGGTGAACGATGTGAGAAAGCAAAGAAAGCGTTCTCAGCTCAAGGCCGGTAGACGCCCCATGATTGGCTCATTGTAAAGCATCACGTGCTTTCAGAGATCCTATTACGTAAGAATGCAGGATTGTCCGGTCGCCGTCGTCGTTGTCGTGGATGAGGTCTGCCACCGTCGCTTGCTGTTAACCATGTTTGTCGGCTGCACTTCATGGTTCTCGACGAACTCTTATGAAAATGCCTTTACTTGGCGGTGCCAGTCAATTCGCGGAACTTTACGGACGCGACATATGAACGGGCTCGCATCGGAACACCGCCAGCGCCCCAGATGCCGACGCTAACCTGTCGAACAGACAAGCTGAAACTGTTCTGGTTAGGCACACCAACTTAGGAAACCCCCAAGGATGCTCCTAAAAAGTCGCGGTCGTGAAGACACGGAGAGAGCGCGACGGAAGGGAGGTGTGCGTGGGACTGGGCGTGACTGTGCTCGGCCTGTCCTCCAATCCGCTCGCGGCGTTCCAGTCATTTCATCTTCCGTCGGGAAGGCGTTCCACTTTTTTTAGTGATCCCACCGCTCAGGGCGGCAACGGCTCGCCCAACATGCCAGACGGGGACATGGGCAGACCATGAGCATGACCGTGGTCTGACTCATGCTTATGTGCCCCCACGGGTAAACCATCCTCGTCCAACTCATATACACTGGGGCAACATATTGAACACTACGTGCAATATCTGACCAGTGTTTCTCCTTTCTGCGACCAGTTGCCCATCCCTCTGTCCTGTCTGCATTGTACGCGGCCTCTAGTCCTCGTGGCTACACTCGCGCCCACACAGAAGTCTGTCCTGCCTCCACTGAGGTGTTGCTAATTGGCAGATCGCAAAATGAACATCGTGAGAAAGCAGGGTGAGTAGTCTCCGTCATACCAGCTACCCGATACGTCTACGTGTCCGGGATGGTGCTGCATGAGAGCGAATGCTGTGGGACGGCGAGGAACGGTGTTGTTTGGGGTCGACACCCCAGGTGCCGGACGGTCTTGGTGTTAGGTCCGAATTGGTATCCCTGTGCCGTCTGTTCTTTCGCAGAAGCGACATTGTGGTACCGACAACCATAGCCTGCGTCAGCAGAATTATCTGTTGCTACGCGACATGCTGTGACGATGATGATTACTGAGCTCTGTGAGATTGCTCTTCGCAGATTGGTGGACACCGGTCGCTGCTCCGTCAGACTGAATATCAGCAGCACGTCCCACATGCTGATCATGTCCAACTGGGTGTGCAGTGCACGCCGACTATTAAGGCGGGGCCCAATCAGAGCTCTACGTACATTCCCCCATCCCCCATCTTTTTGGGCTTATCACAAGAGTTGTCGTCGGCCCACTCTCCCCACCACTTCCTGTCTCGCGCCTCCAATCCCCAACTAACATGACTATAGTCCTCAACCCCGTCTGGGTCAATGGCGTCCAGAAGCTAAAAGTCGTCCCGCAGCGTGCGTGCTCCTCCATCCGCTCCCATGCTCGTCCACGCTCGCGCTCACAGCCTATCTGCATTCGTAGCCCCGCCAAAGCCGCCACGCGGGCTTGTCCCCCCTGCGCTGGACGAGGCGACGCACACCGTGCGCTGCCTCAACCAGCTGCGCTCGAAGGACAAGAGCATCGAAAAGTATATCTACCTCACTCAGCTCAAAGATGCGGACCCTCGCACGTTCTATAGACTCTGTCTGGCTAATATGTCTGTCAGTGCCCGCTCCTGCATCATGCGTGCAGAGGGCTGCTCGTTGATACTCGGGCTTACTGCAGGAATTCACACCCATAATTTACACCCCGACAGTCGGCGACGCGTGCCTGCAGTTCTCGCATATCTTCCGCAGACCGGAGGGCTTGGTGCGTAGATGTCTCGCCCGTGCAGCCAACAGGCATCTGAATCCTGTTGCAGTACGTGTCCATTAAGGACAAGGGCAGCATTGGCAAGGTGCTCCGCAATTGGCCTCGCATTGATGAGGCACGAATTGCTGTTGTGACTGATGGTAACGGCTATTTGTGTTGAGCATAGCGAGTGGATGCTGATTGATGACAGGATCGCGAATTCTCGGACTCGGTGATTTGGGCCTCAATGGAATGCCGATCTCCATCGGCAAGCTTTCGCTATACGTCGCGGGTGCAGGGTTTGTCACTCCGTCATGAGTGATGGTGATTTCCCGCTGACGATAGAGCTAGAATACGACCGTCCTCTACTGTACCCATCTGCCTCGACCTGGGCACGAACAACCAGAAGTTCCTCGAGGACCCGCTCTACCTCGGCTTGCGCCAGCCGCGCGTGACGTCCGAAGAGATGACCGAGTTCATGGAGGAGTTCATGCACGAGATGTCCGTGCTCTTCCCGAAGCTCCTGATCCAGTTCGAGGACTTCTCGACGGACAACGCGTTCGCGTACCTCGCGCGCTTCCGCGAACGGTATCCGCTGTTCAACGACGACATCCAGGGCACGGGCGCAGTCGTGCTCTCTGGGTTCGTGAACGCCACGCGCCTTGCGTCTGCCGCGAGCGGTCGTCCGCTCAAGGACCACCGCATCCTGTTCCTCGGCGCGGGGTCCGCCGGCGTCGGTGTCGCGATGCAGCTCATGAACTTCTTCAAGCTGCAGGGGCTCTCCACAGAGGAGGCGCGCCGCCGCATCTGGCTCGTCGACTCCCAGGGGCTGATTTTCGACAGCCGCGGACCCATGGCGGAGCACAAGAAGTGTATGTTGCGCGATCTAGCTGTGGGACCATATCATGTTGAACGAATCATGCAGACTTCTCGCGCCCGGACTATGAGGGCCCGCCCATGACGAACCTCACGGACGTCATTAACCATGTCCAGCCTACTGCGCTGCTTGGATTGTCGACGATGAAGGTGTGTGCCATGCCCCGTCTGCGTGGTACGAATGCTGAGCCGCGATATCCTAGGGCGCGTTCAACCAGTCGGTTATTGAGGCCATGTCTGCGCTAAACCCTCGCCCCATCATCTTCCCCCTCTCGAACCCCGTCCGGCTGTCTGAGTGTGAGTTCGATGAGGCGGTTCAATGGTCGCGCGGGCAGGTCATCTTCGCGTCGGGGTCCCCGTTCCCCGAGCAGGAGTATGACGGCCGCACACTGTACCCGGGACAAGGTGCGCGCTGAGCGATGCTGACCACTGCGTGCGAGATTGATTGCATGTCTTCTGCTTTTGCGCAGGAAACAACATGTATATCTTCCCGGGGCTCGGGCTTGGCGCGATCCTCGCACGCGTATCCTCTGTGACGGATAGCATGGTTGAGGCGTCGTCGCTTGGCCTTGCGGACTCGCTCACGCCGGAGGAGCGTTCGCAGGATCTGATCTACCCGCGCGTGGAGCGCATTCGTGAGATCAGCGCGCACATCGCCCACAAAGTGATCCGGGCGGCGCAACGTGCAGTACGTCCTTTGTGGCCTACTCGGCATCGTCGGCTCCCTATAATGACTATTGTGTGCACAGGGAGTTGATAGGAATGCGGAGATCAAGGACATGTGGGACGACCAGTTGCTTGAATGGATTAAGAGCAAGATGTGGAACCCATGACAGGTTTATCGCGGAATCAGGTAGTTTCTCGTTTCTGGGCGTTGGATTATGTGTGTTAGTTATATTATATGCATTGCGTTCGTTTACACTTCTGCATACTGTGCTTAGAGTCTATCTCTGCCTTACCGGTTGCTGACTGCTATAATCGGCGATATATAAACAATTCGCGCCTGAGAATATGTGGCTAGCCTAGATGCGGCTATGTCATGTAGCATCCAGTACTGGTGATACCTTCCGAATGACTCCTGTATATGAGAGGACGGACAATAGAATTTTGATACCATCGCGGAGAACAAACCGGCTTCCTTCATAAGAGTGAGGACTACTGATACAATCTAGACCAGGAAAGCCAACATCATTAGTCGCTCGTCCTTCGCAATCTGCGGTGCAATTTCCGTCGTATTTGCCATGACAACCATGACTACGGACGAAGAGAGCGAACAATGAGACTGGACGCCACCGGTTTGGTGGCCGCCCTATATAAGCCGCCTGCCATTGCCAGTATAAATTCGCGCGGAAATCTGTCTCCCCTTTACATGTGGCTCCCTTCGAAAGAAATCAACAAAGTGAGTGGACAGCCGACTCCACATTCCAAGGACCAACTGACCAGGAGGTTACCACGCTGAAGCTTCCTCTCATAGAACCAAGGCCGAAATGACCACAGGCCCGCGACCACTCGAACAGTTACCCGTGGAACTTTGGGCAATGGTTATCGACCATCATAGAGACGATTCCCGGACGCTCAAGAGATGCATTCGCGTATGTCGCCACTGGGTGCCGTTTGCACGCAAACACTTGTTCTTTGGCGTTGTCATCAAGGAGAAACAAATACTGGACGCGTTCACACACCTCAATGAGCAGCGCCCCGCCTTCGTACGCTACGTCCGACGCCTCACAATGGTGAGGGCAGCGTTCACCCCCCATTTCGGCCACCTTTGGTTGGCAGTCCTCGCACATTTCGACAAGGTCGCAGTGCTGATCGCGAGGAGGTGGCCGAACGTTCACATGACAGAACGCACTAGGCTGGAGCTCCGACATCACTTTCCCGCCGTCAAGGTGCTAAGGTTCGAAGACCTTAATATGGCAGGAGTGGACTTACTAGCCCTTGCACGAGCATGTCCGCAGCTGGCCGAAATCCACCTCAAATCCGTCTGCTTAAATATGGAGCCTAATCAGATACCTGCGCCCCCGCATATCGCCCATCCTACTACGCAGGATGAACACCCACATGTAGCCGAGGGGCATATCACCGTGCTCTCGATGTCAGCAGTACCACAGCAGACGGGGCGCCTGGTCTTTGAGAATGCCTTGCACACTCATCTCACACACCTTCAAATTGGACGGCCGGATGGGCAGAGCTTGCCCGCATATACGCTACGACTTCTGAGGGCCACTAAAGAAACGCTTGTGGAGTTGGTATTGGCGATATCCGGTACAGCTACGAGTGACCTGAATGGACTGCCTGCGACGTTCCCGTGGCCGAGCGGGGAACATGTTTTCCTTCGTCGCCTGAAGAGGATTCATATCAAGACCGCTTTGCTCGAGAGCCAGGCGCCCGACGCTTGGAGCCGAGTGACACCAGTGACATGGGTCACTCACTTACTAGAACGAATGTTCGAGGCCGGCCGCCCAGCGACTTTAGAGTGTATCACCATTAGCCTCCGGACCGTCGATATCTGCGACACAGCGGGGCATTTCTCTTTGCAGGGATTGAATGGATTTCTAACAGAGCTTGTTGGCCGCCCCATACCGTCCATCGTCCTCAACATATGTGACAGCGTCGAAAAGAAGAGGTGGACGGTCTCAATCCTCGGTCCCATACTGCGTCACATGCCAATACTCATGCGTTGGGAAGCGAGCGTTGTAATCAAATACGGGCAAAGATGGGATGCCCATGCGGCTTTTGGTGGTTGCCTGGTGGGAAACGTCAAACAACATCAGCTGGAGCATTCACAGTCACTACGAGTAGATAGACGTCCTGTACATATCTTTATGGTGTAAACACTTGGGAATAAAGCACTGCAGCCTCTGCTTGTGGGTGAGACTGGTTCACTAAGGCATGCACTCTACGCGCAAGTCACTCCAGATATGCAGCCTGCTCATTTGGAAGACCACGACCCCACGTTTGGGTTTTAGGTACACTGCGTGCGCGCCTCTGCAATGTCACAACAAGATTCCTACGTCATCTCGTTGTCCGACGTCTATAGATTACAGCTGCAAAGAAGTGGTATACAATAACTTAGCTGGAGGAGCCTGAGGACGAGGAAACTGTTTTGTTCAGGCAGACAGGGACATTTTGCGCTCGATGATGAGGGCTGAGAGTAGAATGTGGTCGAACAACCGATGGCCATCAGGAAAAACAGTTAGAGTGGCATCCGGTAGTGGTGGGGAAGCATCGAGAGGGGGAGGGACGAAAGACGCTATCTGATGGGAAGAAGAGTTCGAGCACTGCACCAATGTAAGCGATTTCAGATGTTTGCAGAACAGCGGAACGGAGACACACTATGCACATGTATGAGCCATCGTCCAGTGTTGTCCGACAGTCCCAGCGAAGACGTATATCTTCATGTCCCCATGTAAATTGTCGCTGGCCGATCGCACCCTGTCAGACCGCATATACGCAGGCAAGCTGTGATATGTGCTTACCGGTGACTTTGGTTCGTTGACCAGCACGTTTTTCAAGCGTGTAGTATAGCTGCCTATCGTAACTGTCGCACGAGGATGAGTGATGCCGAGCCTGCACAATGCAACCAATAGGACGCGTCAGAAAGGCATGCTTGCCCGATCAAAACGCTTAGATGCACGACGCACTCAAATTCGCCCACAAATTCTCCAGTAGAGTCGGATCCTCTGTGCACGGTCGTGACATACGACAGCGGCGCAAAAGGCTGCAGATTGAGCTTGACTGAGATGAAATATATTGCGCCGCGGCCGGGATCGACGTCTCGCGGAGGGACGACGAGCATAGACTTTGAGTTCCATGACACGAATGAGTACATGAGGGGGCTTGTGGGCCGCTCAACGTGCACATAGCTTGGTGACCATGATTAAGCTGGGTCAGCTGTCCCATATCATCATCTAAGATGATCCTGACGGCACATACCGTGGCGGCCGAGACACTGTGATCACGGATGGTGAACGGCTTGCACCAGCAACTTGCGACGAGTAGCTGAACGCGAGGAAATTTTCCGCAAGCGCAAAGGCTTCTATAGTTCTAGTTGCTTACTCTGGCAGGGTATCTGGCGACTGGTCGTCACTGAAGGGGTCTATTCGGGTCCTAAGCTCAGCGAACACGGTCTCACTAATCGACGCTGAACTCACCGGCCGCATCCTCGGGCATGATGTCTAGAATCATTATGAAGTCGCAGTGAGTGGTGAACGACAAGGCATTGACACCACTGGTCGACGGCGCTGGTACATGATGGCGGGCATAGAAGCCGCGCGGCGCTTCTGCCGTGTTTACCCCTCGAGGTCGTCTTCCAGGTTTGATAGTGGGCCCTTGCAGTATCTCACGACGAGCTCGACAACGTTGGACGCGTCTAGGACGCGCATGTGCTAAAAATAGCTTGTGGTCAGCTCACACCTGGACTTTTCCCCGCTGCGCTTGATATCGACTGCCTGGTGGCTCGCAGACTTTGTCGACGGGGCGGACACCGTACCACTCGACTTGAAGCTACCTTGAGCTCACTCAGGATTATACATATACGTAGTGAAGGAGGTGCGTTGATATTCCAAGTGATGGGTCGGTCGCTCTGACATCAAGCAGCTGAGACCGGCGACACCGACCGCGTGGCGATTTGGCCTTCCTTCGAAGCAACACGCTTTAAACGCGCCGCAAGTCTTTAGCCAGGTGGCGAGCACAAGCCACAAGTGGCTTTGTGGCTGTAGCTCCTATCTTTTGTCAAAGCACATACCCAATGCTCTTAGCCCCCCGACCCCATAAAACGGACCTCGAAGCGCACACATCGCCTATTCACCTAGTCTTACACTCACGCATCTAAGATAGTTCCGTAAAAGATGTACTTCTACCAGCCGCCAATCGGCCTGGGGGTGGCACACGCTCTTGGAGTGTTCTTCGCCATCTCCTACGTTGGCTCGCTGTACCTGTCGCGACAGGCGCGGCTGGTCTTCAAGAGCTCCGCGCAGCGTCTCCGCGAGGGAGAGCAGCGGCGCAAGCAAAACGACGAACGCTGGCGCGACGACCCGGACGTCATCCGTGCGCGGCTGGTCGCTGTGGGGCTGAGCACCGCGCTCAGCTGCGGTATCGTGTTGTGGCTGCTGTGGAACCTCGCGCAGGACTTCACCATCGCGTTCGACGCGGCATCCACGCGCCTTGGCTTCAGTCTCCCGCTCGGAGACGTCTTTCCCGTCTGCCTTGTTACGCCGATACTCTTCCTAGGTCCGCTATATGCAGAGTACTTGATGGGTAGGCTGCCCCTGCAACGGAACTGGAGTTGGCGTCGAGACTTGCTCCCGATGATTACGACATGGCAGGGCTGGCGGAATTATCTCATGGTGAGTCCTGTCTCAGATAGATGCTCTTACATTAGATATTGAGAGATGTATCGATGTAGGCTCCATTGACCGAGGAGGTCGTTTTCCGCGCGTGCATGCTGGCCGTGTACCATCTCGCGGGCGCGCCCATTGGCAGGATGATATTCATGACGCCTTTGCTGTTTGGATTTGGTACGTGCTATGACCGCCTACCGCGTCCCCCACTGCTAACGCGCGTATTTAGCGCATATCCATCATGCTTGGGACATCTTTAATCGTTACGGGCGCTCAGTGGCTGCTGCCAAACGTGCTATCTTTGCTACCAGTACGTTACCGCGCTGGGTATGGCTCATTACAACTGCTGATATCATCTTGTAGTCTTACAATTGTCGTATACGTCTCTTTTCGGCTTCCATTGCTCATACCTCTTCCTCCGCTCAGGGTCAATAATCCCTCCACTCACGTCGCATATTTTCTGCAACATCATGGGTCTCCCTCAGGTCAGCTTTCATCTGGCAACATTCCGCTCTCGCCGCAACGGTAAGGCTTTGTGACTGTTAGGAAAAACCGCCTCGCTGATGTCCTTTTACCTTGATTCTCTATCCCCATAGCTATTAAGGCTGCATACATCATCGGTATTCTCGGGTATATATATACCATGAATAAGTGGACACTGGTGGAGGGTTGCTTGTATTGGCGAGCTACTAGTAAAGTAAACGGCCGGCCCATATATTGACTGCTGCAGGAACCACGGGACCTTGGGACTGTGTTTACGTCGAACCATCTCACTTCCTCTTACATTCACTGGTAACATAGGTTATAACATTCGTGTACTTATACTGTAAGTACTGTTTGAAATGAAAGTCATGACGCTCCTGGATCGAAACTCGATCGATCGGGAACTCAGAGATGATCTACAATCTTCTAGTATTGTACTTGCTTGATTCCTATTCAACCACCTCCCTTACTCATTGACCTCTAAGCAGCACATAGAAGATAACTTGATTACCTACTGCATCACACTCAACTCCGAAACCAAACCATAGTAGAAGGCACCTACCGGACAGATTTTACCAAATTAGGGGTAGATGGCGAAGAAAAAACCCGCAAAGGACACTTCCAAGGCAGCCGCAAAAGCGGCGAAGAAGAATAAGGCTGCACAGAAGGTAGAGCGCAGGGAGAAGAAGAAGGTGGGCAAGTCGAGAGAAGAGGAGGAGGATGATCAGGACCTCGAGAGCATATTGGACAAGGTATGTACCGAGCGGCGGATACAAACATTCGCTTTGAGATGAAGACCGACTGGTAAAGTGACGCGCAACATCAGTAGATTCAAAGAGAATGGGAGGAAGCACATCGGGTCACGGAAGAACTCGTGGAGGGCCCACCGAGCCGTCGTGCAAATGCGACGTTGACGCCTTGTCCTAGCGGGAATTATCTCTGGTGCGTCGGTGGCGAGTTCTTCAGCGACGATGGGAAGGCAGTGAGTGGAAATCGTTGTACGAGGCCAATATACTGCGTCGCTGACCCCAACCCCCCCTCCCTCTCCTCCCCCTCACAGTACTTCTACAATGACGTATTCCGATACTCACCTGAGAAGGACGAATGGCGGAAGTTCGTGTCCCCGACCTGTCCGGGCCCGCGTTCTGCTCATGCCGTCGTCGCCTCCCCAGCAGGTGGTGGCAAGCTATACCTCTTCGGTGCGTGTCTCTTCGATAAATATTGGCAATTATCGGCCGACAAATACAGGCGGCGAGTTCTCCTCGCTATACCAGAATTCGTTCCATCACTACCGCGATTTCTGGTGCTTCGACATATCTACGCATACATGGGACCGCATCGATACTAAGATTCGACCAACAGCCCGTTCGGGTCACCGGTATGCACTGCTCCCGCACTTTGTAAGATCATTCCTCATCCCTTGTGCAGGATGACCATGTGGAAGCATTACATTGTGCTCTTCGGTGGATTCTATGACCCGGGACTCAAAAGTACGTCTTGTCATGTTGGTGCATCGTATATATGCGGCTTAGCTCAATGCAGCAAATTACCTTAACGATCTTTGGCTCTTCGATACTCAGGAGTACAAGTGGCGACAGGTAGATTTCAAAGATGCAGAACGCAAACCATCGTATGCTTCTGAGCCGCATGCTGAGTGCCCTGATGCTGATACTCCATACTGTAGACCACGCAGTGGGTTCTCCTTCCTTCCGGCTCCAGAAGGCATATTGTTGCATGGTACCTCCTAATACCTTATTATACGATAGCACGCTCATCCCACCGCAGGCGGTTACTGTAAAGAATATCACAAAGGCAGCCGTCCTGTAGGCGTTATGCTGGACGACACCTGGTTCCTAAGGTGTGTCACCCGACTTAATTTATATCACCCAATCCAACTGAGCTTTCCCCATTCTTCTTCATCGCAGGATGACGCTTAACGAAGCGAAGGACGGAAAGCAGCCTGCAGAGCCTCTCACGATGAAATGGGAGCGGCGCAAGCGACCCTCAACCGCCTTCGCGCCATCACTTCGATCTGGGTGCACAATGGCTCTGTGGACCGCGCGCAACACAGGCGTACTCTTTGGAGGCGTGACGGACGAGGACACAAGCGAGGAGACACTCGAGAGCGTGTTTCATAACGACCTGTGCGTGTACTTGCCTCCGCGCTGCCCTTCCCTTCCCTATCCATGGCAAGGCGAGGGGATGCCAACGACTGAGAACTGATTGGGTGTGCTGTAGGTATGGGCACCAGATTGCGGGGAATGGGCGGTGGATTTCGATGATGCTGAAGCGACCGAAAAAGGGCGCGAAGAAGCAGAAGCCGACGCCTCAGCCTTTGCGCGTGCAATCTGACGACGAGGACTACGGGGCCGACAGCGACACGGAAAGCAGTCCAGTATGTGACATTGCCCAGCTCCTTGGCACTCACTCATCTATGTGATATGCAAGGCTGATAGAGGAGTTCCTAAAAAGAAGCCTACAGGACTGAGCTCAGGAGATGTGGCGCAACGGGACGACGAGATCGATCCGGACGACCCTGAGCTCACGAAACCGATGCCGCGGTACAACGCAATGCTCGCCGTCCTGCGTAACACTTTGTATATGTAGGTCCAGCGTGTCCTTCAATGCCCGGGACGCTTGATTCTTGACGTCACTGGCACAGATATGGCGGCATTTTCGAGCGCGGTGCGAGGGAGTACACGCTCGACGACTTCTACTCTCTGCAGCTCGACAAGCTCGACCGATACACGTGCCTGAAGCACAGCGGGATCACAATAGCGGCGGAAGGCGACGACGAGAGTAGCAGCGACGACGACGAAGATGAGGATGGCGACGAAGACGATGAGGACGACGACGAATGCATGACTCCGTCGACCGTGCAGGGCCAGCCTGTGTCGATCGCGAGCGCACTGGAGGAGCTCGACTTGCAGGAGCAGGAAAGACTAGAAGAGGAGGAAAAGCAGGAGAAGGTGCGAATTACGATGCGATCCCAGCCCAATTTCGCTCACGGAGTCGTGAAGGAAACGGAGGATGAGCTCCGTGCGAAGGCTACCGAGTTCATGGGTGTCGCGAAGGACGCGACGCGCTCTCCGGAGGACGTGATAAGCACGCCGCTTCCGGGAGAGACGCTTGCCATGTTTTATGCCCGCTCGCGTACGTCCGCCATTTTCATTCATCATTGATGAGCCATCTGATCGTTCGCGGTGCAGGGGAATACTGGGCGGGGAAGGCCCACAGCAGCAGCGACAACCGTGGCAAGCAGCTCCGCAGGGACGGCTTCGGTCTAGCTGAAGAGCGCTATGGTGAGGGCTAGCCACATGCGTCGTATCAGTGGGCTCATTGAAACGGTCCATGTCCGACAGAATCGTACAAACCAATCCTTAAGGAGGTTGAGCGGATTTTGGCGGAGGCGGGGCTGGACGAGGAGGAGATGCGGAAGGGCGCTGCGGCGGGCCCGGGAGGGAGCGCGGGACAAAGCCGAAACCGACGGTGACGGAGCCAAGCTGGGACTGCATGTGGCGTTATGGTGTGTTCGAACTGTGTTACCTGGGTTTCGCTCACCTTCGCTCACAATTGCTACGTTTCAGCTTGGCAGGAATTGTATATACGGTCCCACAAGGTCAGCTGAAATACGATTGCGGCGCATTCTATACCATTCTCGTTCAACATTTCGCCGAACTGTGGCGTGTTAAGCGTGCGCAGTATTGTTGATCTCGCGTCGGTACAGATCCGCACATCCTAAGCCCATTCCTGACTGAGGTGCGTCCCTGCACTAAATTGCAGCCGGCGCGTAACACTGATGACGGTTTATGCGTTGCAGTTATATTCATAGCCAAGGACAATGATCTGACCGTCATCTTCAGGGTCCATATAAGTATACATTGGATTACCCAACTTTACCGGATGCCGTCCCTCTGGATGGTTTACACATGCAACCCAGACTCCGGAATAGACATCTCTCCGTGTCGTTTTGCAGAACAAATAACAGCCCGGCAGTTATTTTCGAGGCTAGTCAGATCAGCCATTTTGCCGACATGATTTACAGGATGATCCTATCCTGCAACCGCGTCCAGATCCCTGCGGGAAGGCATTCACTCACGGTTAATATCCTTGACCTGGTGTACTGTGGCCTACCGGACAGTCGGCAGACCTTGAAAGTGGGCGCCCCTTCCTGTTTGTGCAGGAGCTGAAAGCGTTGATCGGACTGCGACCAACCGGAAAGATTCGTTGATCGGACTACGAATATCCCGAGAGATTCCGGGGAACTTTGCTCGCTGATTGATGGCAGGTCGGGGTCTGCCGATTGCATGGTAAGGCACAATACTTGTCGCCTCGTTTGAAGATACGGTGCTTGGGTGCGTCCTCCTGAAATTTGCTGAGAACGGACAACCCGGACTTCGCACGACGGTGTCTGCGGGTGCTCGCAGTTGGTAGTAAGGTGAATACTGTAGAGGTAATGTGCACAGCGTGTGGATTAGATTCATGTATCATGTATCAAGAATTACATCCACGGTCTCATCACTTCGAGATTTCGACGTCGAACGTGCAAGCACTCCTCATCGTGAAGGTGAATCAAGTGAGACCTTGTTCGTAAACTGCACTATCCCCGCGCCTTTACTGACATTTTAAGTGAATGAGTGCCTCATCTCACGGAGGTCTGCCGCAACAGTGTGAATCGGGATTGGCGGGGGCAGGCGCGTCTAGAATCTGGCTGGTCTCCTAGAAGGATGTAGCCGCTGCTTGTGCATTCGTGACTGAACTCAAAGGTACAGGTTATCAAAGAACCGGATTAGGTTCTTCCGCAAGGCGCGCCTTAGCATTTTGGGCGTGATATTGATCTCAAATGTGTATCTTGAGCTCTGCTAATACTGTAAGAGGAACTATGACCTTGCCCGCCGCCGTGTCCAAGGACCCGCGGGATTACCTCGGAGTCAGTGGCAAGTGAGTGTCCGTGTTTAATAATCACGGACACTGACCGTACATCACTGCTTCGCATCCACGAAGGTTCCAATGCCGGCAATCTACAGAGGGCTGGATCCTGTATCAATCGAGAAGGGGGCATCAGAAGCCATATTGTCGTAATTTTGGCCTGAACCTAGTGGAATGCATGTGACAAGGCTGTAGCCCGCCGTTCAAATTGACGCAGATTGGCACACCTTCTCTCCCCTCCCTACACCGAAAGCTGACAGTTGTTGCCAGCGATCCACTCCTTTGGCTTCCCCTGCACAAAGATTTCATCCCCCACGATGTCCGTAGACCAGAATGGTAAGTGTCTTTCTTGATATGGCAAGTCATGCCGAATTTGACAGGTCCGTTCCTACGCAGGATCTTCCTCAAACCCCAAGCAGCAAATAGTTGACTGCACACAGATACTGACCCCAGTGCGACTCCCCTGCGGACGCACTGCGAGAAACACGCTTGCCAAGGTGATTCATGTCTAGTGCAGCCAATTTCACGGCTTATGTATCTTCTGCAGGTCGCGTTATACGAGCACCTCGGCGATACCTATGGCAGTCCTCCCACTGAGCAGCATGCCGCTCTCTATTCGCGTTGGGCGCAAGGCGAATGGGGCATAGTCGTCACGGGCAATGTTCAGGTGTCCCCCGCACATCTTAGTCTGAGCAGGGACATCGTCATTCCGCCACAAATCACCCCTGAGGCACTAGAACCGTTCAAGCGTCTCGCCGATGCCATGCACGGTCTTGAGCCTGGGTCTGTAGACACAACACCCCGGGATGCCCCCAAGTCGCTCGCAATTATACAGCTGTCCCATGCTGGACGCCAATCCATGAACCTGCTTGGGGGGCGTAAGCCTTTCGCGCCTCCCCTCGCGCCCAGCGCTGTTCCGATGCGCACAAAGACGAACGACAGTTCACTGTCGTTCTTGACGCACATGGTAGACGCGTTGATGTTCACGCCCCCACAGCCGATGACCATATCTGACATCGATGTAACCATCGAGGCGTTCATCCGAGGCGCACACGTCGCAGCCCAGAGCGGACTTGACGGCGTACAAATCCATGCCGCCCATGGTTGTAAGTACCTCTTCGTGCTCAATTTCTAGTTGAGACCGAGTATCCCCGCTACAGATCTTATCGCTCAATTTATATCACCCAAAGTTTGTCGCCCTAACATGCTGTCACGACAACGAAGCTGACCATTGTCTGTCCCTCCTACCACAGACAAACCTCCGTGAGGACGAGTATTCCGCACAGAAAGCGCCGCTCCACTTCCTGCACCGGATTGTCTCGACCATCCGCGCCTCTGACACCATCCCTCGCGACTTCGTTGTCGGTATCAAGCTGAACTCTGCAGATTACGTCGACACGGGTCCCGAGCAGCAGACCAAAGACATCGAAGAGCTCAACGCCGAGCGTGAGGCGCGTGCGCTTTCTCACGTGCAGGAAATCTCATCATGGCGCATGATCGACTTCATCGAGATCAGCGGTGGCGATTACGAGAATCCAAGTGAGCCCATGGATCCCCTCACATACCTTTTTGGACAGGTGTACTGACTCCTGCCCTTTTCCCCCGTCAGCGTTTATCACAGGCTTGAAATCGTCTTCCCCGCGCCAGGCCATATTCAACCAGTTTGCGCACAAGGCGATGGGAGTCGTTGACATCCCGCCCGCTTCCTCCGAGCCTTTCCTTCCCTCCCCGCCACTCATCCTCCTCACCGGCGGCCTCAAGACGCCCGCCCTCCTCGCCTCCGCGCTCGCGAAGGGCCATGCGCACCTCCTCGGCCTCGGCAAGGTGGGCATCATACAGCCCGACCTCCCGCGTCTCCTCGCGTCTGGCGACCAGGCGTCCCTAAGCATACCGCCACCCGAGCCGGATGTCACCGGGCTCGGCGCACCACTCCCCGCGTCCGCACCTATCAGTGCACGCGTCGAGCGCGTGCTCCTCGCGCTGCTGCTCGCGGTCGTTCAGCGTATCCCTGCGCAACCGCCCAAGCTCCTTGGCGCGACGGCGGCGGTGGCTTGGTACACGGTCATGATGCGCCGCCTCGCGGAAGGAGACCCGGTACCCGACTACACGATCGGCGGGACTGCGTCGATCATCCGGATGTGGTTCTGGGTGCGGCCCGATAGCACTGTGCAATCACGGTCGTCTCTAGGGTCGTGGTTCAAGATGGGCCTGCTTGGGGTGACGATCGGCGTAATTGTTGGCTGCTTGCATTGAGCATCGATGTGGTGTTTTTATTGCTATTTCGTGCGTCATGGCAGTGAATTTATGGATAGGCCGCGCGGGTTGCTTGACGGCGCGCGACCGTCGCTACAAAAGGTGACAGCAACTTCGGGATACCACCGAATCTATACCTATCCACATAGAACTAGTATTCGATATCTTTTGGAATGATGTCCATGTGGAGTCACCTATTTACTAGTATACTTGTGCGATTACACAATAGCTATTCTTCTCATTTTTGGATGCCTTTAGCGGCATTGGCGCTAACTACATATCCACCCTTTCTCATGGAACCCCAGCCATCTTCTTCAGCATAGCAAACTCATTTTTGCCCGTTGCCCTGCAAAGTGAGTGGAATTTTGACGATGGATCTGCAAGTAACGTTGCGGGCTTGTCGAACTCGGCGATACGGCCTTGATCTAGTAGCATGACCTATGGCCCAATAAAACGGCTCAACGCATGCACTCAGATCGATGGATAGTGGACTTACACGGTCATAGTCGATAACTGTACGTAACCGATGTGCGATAGTGAGGATCGTACTTGCAGCAAACTCACTACAAGAACGCATGCCAATCAGCAGTCCATTTGCGATGAGATGGTATAGCACCTCAAACTCACTGTCGGATTGTTTTCCCGATCAACTCGTCTGTCGCATAGTCAACACTGTCGGGAAAGGTAAGGACCATGTCATGCAGTGCAAATAGTGGGTTTGTTTACCTCGCGGTGGCCTGTCGGGAGTGCGGCAAAGGTCAGTGGTCATGAGTGATCTCAAGAACACGGCGAACGTACCTCGTCCATAAGAAGAACCTTCGATCGCTTGAGAATGGCTCGAGCCATACAAAGTAGCTGCTTCTCTCTGGATTGACAAGCGTTGAACATCAGCTTCGCAAATGTAAAACTTGTGGTTACTGACCCTGTCGAGAAGTTTTCTCCGCCTTCCGAGACAGGCGAATCAAGATTCCTGAAGAGGTTTGCATTTACAGTTTCATTATCTTCAGCCGGAGTATCAGCAGAAGGAATGAGGTGAACACGTCTAAGGGCTTCATACTACAGGCAAGAAAACTGTGAGTTATAGAGTAGCAGTGTGGTGGAAGTTGGCTTACAATCTCTGCGTCCTCATACTCGTTGAACACGTCAAGCGTGGAGCGTAGGGTACCGCTGAGAATCGTTGGGTCCTCTAGAACTCTGATCAGCGGCGTAAGTCACTGCATGGTAAAGCGAAACTTACGAGGAATGATTGTGAGTCTTCCCCGAAGGTCCGTGAGACCAATTTGTGAGACATCCAGGCCATCAACGAGGATGCGGCCCTCTGTAGGCTCAACGAATCGGAAGAAAGAGAGCGCCAGGGTACTTTTGCCTGAGCCCGTTCTTCCAAGTACGCCGACTTTCTCGCCGGGTTCTATCTTGAAGTTAAGATTGTGCAGTACATTTGGTAGGTCGGGCTGAACAATGATGAGCACCAAAGGATGTCGGCTTCGTAATCACCACTTACAGCATAGCGGATCACGAGATTCTCGCACTCAATAGCGCCGTTCTCTGGCCATGAGGCTGGAGGCCGGGGCTCGATGAATTCCGGGGGCTCTCGAGGCAGCTCAGAGAACTCTTTGATTCTCTCTATAGCAACCTAGAGAATCCCAAACGTCAATGACGCAATTCGCAGACACACAGATCATACTAACCATTGATTGCTCCAAGCCAACAAATCGGCGAACCTGAAAATGAACAATGAATCATGGATCGAGATAATGCTCCATGACTCCTTACCAGGAACAGCAACTAAGGGAGTTCGTGTCAGTTTATGTTCATCTGACCAACTTAAGTTGAGCACATACATCATTCAACACTGTGGAGGCAAATGCAAGAGCAAATCCAGCCAAGGAAGCCGTTATGCTGGGAGTCAGGACCGCAACGAAGGCGGTGACACCAATCACAGCACTCGATAGAAGGTTGAATCGAGCGGAGAGCCAACGGTTCACTGTATCACATGAGCTTTCGGGATAATATATGACCTAAAGGGAAACTTACTTCCCCACTTCCAGTAGAAGGGGTTTGTATTCTTGAAGTATGCTTTCAGAATCTGTTATCCCAGCGATATTGAAATACTCACAGTGTCGACGCATCGAAGCATATCTCTCATGAATTTGGTTGAAGCACCGAAGGCTCGCAAAACGGTTACGCCCGCAATCGTTTCGCCGTAGATCGAGTAGAGGGGCGACCGGGTCACGGAGTCTGATTGACGATCAGAAGTTTGCCACGCACTACAGCAGAGGTTTTACAGACCTAGTCTTCGCATGTCACGGGATGTGTGGCCGTAAACCTAGCATACATGAGCATCGCAAACGTTGATTAAACTCACAACACTGATACCTTGCCGACTATACGTGATTTTTAGTCAAGGACTATACCAGGTATAATGCCAGCGCCACATACCGCTGTAGTATAATGTTGCGAAGACGAAAGTTGCAATCAAGAAAGGTACGCCACCAACATAGGTGATGGTAGCAAATGTTGTCGCCGCGGAGAGTGTGTATGCAACACTTCGTCCAAAGTTGTCAGGCAGAGTGCTATCAATGCCTACGACAGCAACAGGTGAGAAAAGACCTGCTTCGTGCGACATTAGCCTTACCCTCGAAATCTGACCCGAAACGATTTAGCAGGCGTCCGCGCGACACAGTGTCATGGAACCGTATGTTGGCGAAGAGTACACCCTCAAGAAGCCCTGAGACACTTGAGCAGACTGTTGAACCCATGACGAAAAACCTTACGTTGGTACAGAACGGTTGAAGCATGTATACCGCCGTAATCTGTACTTGACTGTCAGATGTCATTTTGCGGATAGTGCTCGTCTCAGACACTCACACAGAACGAACCACCGCAGAGTACCTAAAACTACGCCTGAGAGAACAATCAGCGCTCATAAAGTAGGAATTCTCGACAGAGTCGTTACCGATGGCAGTTATCTACAGATAGACTGCATTTAGATAGACGACGAATGAGTACACGTGGTACGACTCACAATTGCATAGACGGTAATATAGAAGAGGGGACCCCGCACTTCTTCCTCTTCAAGCGTAGACCCGGTCCATATGCTGTGATTGCACATACTGAGCGTGAGGCATTCCTCTAGTAGTATCATAAACATACCGGAGCCAGCCATTTTCTGCGACGGGGCTAAGTGCGGCAAGTGCAAGTGCCAAGGCGAACAAGATCCAGTAGATGTATCCGCCACATGCATTGATGTATGTCAACCAAATATCTTTGCTGATACGGCCAACAGCGCGTTTCTCGTCCTCGACGAGTTTCCGAGGGGCCTTTTTCTCTTCCGGCTTTGTCTCAGGCTGTGCGGTAGCAGTTGCTGTAGTGGATGTCGTCTCCGAGGTAGTCTCATCGTTGCTGTCAGGTGTCTCCTTCTCGGGTACCAGCTCCTCGATATCTGCGACAGCGGTCTCGGTCTGCTCGTCTGCGGGGTCAGTAGCACCCGTCTGTACGAGTGTGCTGAGCACGCCGGAAGTCTTGAAGTTATCACGATCGCCCTGATACAAAATTCTACCGTTGTCGAGAGCAACGATGTAGCTTGCGCCTGGCGTGCACAGCTGCACATGGTGAGATACCAAGATTAACGTCCGGCCCCGCATCAGGTCACCCTTCAAGCACTCATAATAGAGGTGGTGAGCGGTGTGCGCATCCACTGAATGTTTATCAGTGATGAGCGTGAGACTAGTGGGATCTTTAAGTATCTTACCAGCAGAGAGAACGTCATCCAACAAGAGTACTGATGCACGAGAATAGACAGCACGTGCAAGTGAAACTGAAGAATATTCAGTCTCATCGTACTCGGTACAATACGTGAGCTGCAAGCACTCTCACCTCTAGCCTTCTGGCCGCCGGATAAATTTACCTGCATACAATGTCAGACAGTTTAGTGAGAGCGCCAAGCAAGGCACCTACTCCTCTCTCGCCAATTTCGGACATGTCGCCGTCCTCCAGAATCTTGAAATCACTGAGTAATGCGCAAACCTGGTGATATCGTTAGCCAATGACGTCGCATGTCAATGCAAGCCTTACCTCAAGTGTCTTCTGGTATCGCTCCTCGACATAGGGCAGATCGAACAGAATGTTGTCTATGGATTCCTCAGCACTGAGCTCTGCCCGCATTGGCGTTCTAGCATACCTCTGATTGAAGCGTTGCGGAGCCAGGCGCTCTGTGAGATGTCGCTATCGGTCAGTCATAATAACTTTTATGCACTACAGCTACAAAAACGCCCACCTGAGGGACGTAAGCGCAGACTCCCTCGACGACCCACTCTTCTTCAGGTACATCCTTACCGGTGAACGACGCGATCGTATCAGGGGGTGAGCGAGGACAGATTAACTGGCCGGCAAGTACATCTGCCTCTCCAAGGAGCGCTGACTCGCGAGTTAATGATGTCGCTCATCATGCAGGGGAAAACGACATCTACCTAGGAGCAATAGCGACTTCCCGCTCCCCAACTTGCCACAAATGAGCGACAGCTCCCCTAGCGGGAAGTTGATTGTCAGATCCATCAACGTGAACTTGTGTCTAGGCGTTGATGCGACAGAAGGTGCAGTACTCGTCCCACGACTGCGGTCCTGTGGCCAGGTTACGGTGGCATTTTGGAACGAAATCGGATGTGGCTGCCCATCAAGCGGATCTACCGGCAGCACCTCAGCACCTTGTAGATACTTCTCAATACGCCGCATCGAGACAACGGACTGTGTCATATATTAGTCCAGCCCGCCACCAGAGCTAGAGAGGACATACTTGAAGCATGTTGATGAACGTTTCCGGGAGAGCGTTGAGAGCGAATTTCATCTCGTTGAATACTATGTATCCCAGGTCAGTTATAGACAACAAGCAGCAAAGTAGACATGCAACGAGCGTACCAGATATAGATGTGAACGCAATGGAGGGCGTGAGGACTTGTTTACGGATAACCGTGAAGTGCCAGAAAGAGACCAGGGTGACCAGGATCGGAGATGCATTCCTATTGGCGCCAAGAAACGTATGAGCCCCACGTCTGATCGAGAAGTAGTTGAACAGACCATATTGTGTTGAAGAGCACCTGAATACACCAACGAGTCAGCACGAAGCTCGGCATGAACCCAGCCTGAGACAAACCTCAATATGGTAGTTCAAACGTTGATATCTGAGCTCCCTTGCACGGATCTTCATGACTCGCTCCTCAAAGCTGCGCTCCCAGGCCATGAACTATGATTTCGACTTGTGAGTAGTGGGATCGATCTCCTAGGGAATCTCCACTTGCCTTAAGCATACGGATGCCACCTAGTATCTACAGCTCGCAGTCAGTAATTTTACGCTTTTCATGATTTATCACACGGTACTAACCTCATTCATGAGGCTGACTCGCTCGTCACGAGCTTTCATGAGATTGTCCTGGGCGCCGACGACGACCTTGCCCGCGAAATGGTTCAGCGGCAGGAAAAGACATGTCACAGCGAGTCCGAAGAAGCACGAGACGCCTTGCGTTCCAGTTTTGTCAATACCAACTTCAAATAGATGGTGCGGCGACATACCGAGTAGGTGATACAAAAAGAGTGTTCCGATGATTAATTCAATCGGTGAGTCTGTATGGCGTGTTAGTATGAGCTACTCGTGTAGTGCGTCGGTAAATAAACAAACCAATCAAAGTGAATAGATGCCATGCGAACTCGCTGACTCGGTCCACGTCAGTCGTCATGAGCGTCATGATTTGCGCCTTGCTGGAGAAATCCGCTTCCTCGTCTTCGCCCTTCGCCTTGCCATCCACCGCGGTATCTCCATTCGCCGTTGCCGTGTCGTTCTCGGTGGCCGCAGCCGCAGCCGCACTGGGGGCAGAGCCTGGAGATGAAGCGACGTCTTTCCTAATGAGAGTCTTCGCGAATAGGATCGAGTTCAATTGGACCTTCATACTGACTTGCAGCGTCGTCGTCGAGAGAGACCAAAGCTGACCGGTTACTACAGCGTCGCTTAGCAAACGACCTGCAATATCTTAAACATTCAAGACCTACTTAGAGATGTGATAGCGTGACTGAGAAACAGTCCCACGCAGTACACCCAGCCCCAGCCGCGCTCAGTCCTCTCCGGGTCCAGTTCGAGGTACTGCACCACATGCTGCAGGAAGTATGCCGGCAAGTAGAATAGCACTGCTGCGATCGCAGCGAGCACGACGACCTGTACAATCACCTTTGTGTTAACGCGCACCAGACGGTACCCTAGCTCCCATCCGGAGCCCGGCATAGGACGCCAGGTACCGATACGCAACTTATACCGGCGCAATCCACTGCGCATGCGCGCGAACAACGTCGTTGCTCGCATGTCCGCGGGAACAATGGGCAGATCGGCAATCTCGAGGCTCTCGGCTGTTGTTCCGAGCATAACGACTTTTGTAGTGTAGGAGAATAACAGTGTGTCCCACATCGATGCGCCAACGATCCCGCAAACGTTGGCCGGGTCTGTGTTCGTCAGCTTCGTGAGCGTCTTCTCAGAGTAGATCTGCTCGGAGGGGTAGTGGAGAGGCGGTCCACACGGTGCCGTGATGGAGATGAAGAAAGACACGAAATACAGTATGAGCGTTGCGTACCACAAACCAATAGGCACAGGGAATGGATCGGTCATTCTCATGTCGGAGAGGCTCGTCGAGGGTAGTATGGCAGTCGCGAACAACATGCCTACGGTAACGCTAGTAAGCGCAAACAGGTGAATGATGGACTCTTGGTGCTCGCGGTCTTGCTGGTTGACAGAGCGCGCGGCGACTGCTAGGATATACAGCACGAAGACGATGTGGATGGCGTAGACAGTCACGTAAGTGCGGTCTTCTTCAATTATCGACCAGCCCAACGAGATGCACTGGATCACCAAAACGGCCGCGAATAACACTGACAAGGCCAGCTTCCGCAGTCGCATCTTCTCTGCAGTCAGTAAAGATGGCCAAATTCGTAATGGTCTTCTAACGCATACCTTGTGCCAAAAGCCTTCGGCATCAACAGGTGTTCCATCAATGAGGTCTTCGGGCCTTGTGACGTCGAAGGGGTCAGGTCGCGAGTTTTCTTCTTCGGCATCCAAGCGAATCTTGCCCTCCCTCGGACGCGAGACCAACAACGCAGCAAGGCTGCATCCTGCGCTCACAGCAAGAACTATGGCCACGGGAAGCTGGTACAGCGGCATAGCAAGCAGGTGAACGTTCCGGACAGAGTTCCGCGAGCTGACTCTCCGGCTCAAGTACCCTCGTGGCACCCAAAAGCGGTGCCGGTGAAAACACTCGAGTCAGGAACGTCAAGATACTTATCCCCGAGATGCTCGGGTTCTATGTTTGTCTACTAGGCGATATCGAGCTGCTTTCAATCAGTGATCTGACGCGTGCACATACAACACACCTGTATTTATATTGCCTCTCCAGCTGACACCGTCCTCTATGCCCTCTCGTTGCGAAGTATATGACGAGAAAATGATGGTAAACAAGAAATGCCGACGGAGTGTGCACACACGTGGTCCCGATAAGGGTGTGATGCGCGCCACAGACGCGATTGTCACTGCGTGACAGAACGCGTTCGTCACGTTGACGCGTTTTGGCTCTAGTCGCGTCGTATGCGTTGACGTTTGCGTCCCCCGTCTTGTCCTTTCCCTCAGATAAATTCTCTAAGCTTTCTAACATGCCGGCCGCTGAAGAAGAGCCTGTTACGCCAGAGGTCATGCTCGCCTTTTACAGACGACTATACCCCTTCAAGTCTGTTTTCGGCTGGCTGAATCACGACCACGCGCCTTCCAAGCTGTTCACGCAGCGAGAGTTTGCTTTCACGCTCCAAGGAGACGTATACCTGCGGTACAACTCTTTTGACAATGCAGACGACCTCAAGAAGCAAATCTGCAAGCTGAATCCGACGCGTTTCGAGATTGGGCCGATGTACAGCGCCAGAGTGCGTGTATAGATTTCTTCCGTGCATTGCGGGCGCAATGCTCACCCGCTATAGCCTCGAGACAAGAAGACTGTGCGCCCTGCTATGTTTACGCCGCAGCTCCGTGAGCTGGTCTTCGATATCGATATGACCGACTACGATTCTATTCGTACATGCTGTTCCGGCGCCGACATCTGCAAGCGCTGCTGGGTTTTCATTGCTGCCGCAGTCCGCGTCCTCGACAAAGGAATCCGTGATCAATTCGGCTACAATCACCTGCTATGGGTCTATTCTGGTCGCCGCGGGATCCACTTGTGGATCTCGGACCAGGAGGCGATGGAGCTGACGGACGAACAGCGCCGTGCTCTGGTGGGCTGGCTGACGGTGATTCAAGGAGGAAAGGAGATGCACAAGAAGGTCAATGTACGGCAGGGGTCGCGGCCGTTGCCACCATCCATCTCGTGCGTCCAGCAGTTCTGAATCTGTAGCCTCTTACAGCAACTCCTCACGCCTACAGAATGGCCCTGGAGACACTCACGGATGTCTTTGGCGACCTCATCCTGGATGATCAGGATTGTTTTGCGTCTGAAGACGGATGGCGAGCACTGCTGCATCTGATAACCGAGAAAACAACCGCAGAGCGACTGGAGAAGAAGTGGACTGCAGAGTCTATGCGTTCATCGGACGAGAGGTGGCAAGATCTCAAGAAAGAAGTTAAAAGCTGGGGAAAGGATTCTCCGCAACGAGTGAGTATTCCTGGTGGATCTATTTCTCGCTTTGATATGATTGTGCTTGCAGGCAAACCTTGTCGCAGCCATGGAAGACATCGTCCTTCAATACACATATCCGCGCCTTGACGCGGAAGTGTCGAAACACCGAAATCACTTGCTGAAAGCGCCGTTCTGTATACACCCAAAGACCGGCCGCGTCTGTGTCCCCGTCGATCCCTCCACAATAGACAGTTTCCGCCCCGAACGCGTGCCGACCGTCGGTCAGCTTCTTCGGGAGTTAGATGAGCTTGCACCCGCGGCTGACAGCGACGCAATAGAACATCACTCAGGTGTGTAAACTGAGACTGACCGCAGCGCAATTTCTCATTGGGAAGCAGATTGGGAAAGAACTTCACTTAAGCCGTACGTTGAAATGATGGACAGACATGTGACTGCGCTCATGGATGAGACAAGACGGGCGACTCGAATGAAACGGGAAAAGGGTGAGGCGCATTCCATCCATCCTCTGCCTGCTCTGTGGCTCATCGTGCATCAGATATATCATGGTGATTCTGGAAGCCATCTTTTGTCGTTGTATCACAGCCTCTTGTCGTATCATTGCTATGTATCATGTGTACGTATACTCATTCTGTTCGTATCTGGAGCTCTCAAAGTACTTCCCTCTCTCATGATGTCGTGTTCAAAGGCGCTGTCAATTGTATATCGCCGCCTTGCTAGACTTGGCTTCCTCCGTTGGGCATTTACGGCCAGTCTGGAAAAGCCGAAAGTGTTGCGCCAATATGAAACTGCGCTAGTCTGGAAGTCCCGGGCGTCTCGTACATAGAGTAGGCAGTGCGCGGACGCGAATAGGATTAAGCGCTGGATGCGTCTTTCTAAAGACTCTGACTTGAACTGGTATCACAGTAGCCAGTGTTTTCCGAGTGTTTCCTGTATCCTCAGCTTTGAACGATATGGTCGATTCGCATCATCGTAGCGAACTTTTCCTTACAAGACACGAAGCGTAAGCTGCCTTCCGTCCCTGACGTACCCTTTTGAAAACGAATCCGACAACACTCGGACGCTCCGAAGAACACTCGGACGTGGGACAACTCTGTGTCATTACCGTACATCGCGCACCGCCCTGCAGACTTCCGATCTATCAATCACTCAGCGGCCTGCACGTTGTTGCAGGTCGTGTTTCGTTGGCTTCCCTGCATACTCCAGCTCAGGCTTCGCTGTGCCAGGCACCGCAGTATCCCAAGTCTCCTGACGAGTACCTTACAAGGCATGGCTTACTGCGACGAAGTCTGCAGCAGTCTCGACCTCTATTCCGTGCATCGCTGGAGAGGCTGACGAATGCTGCGTGTTCGTGTCGAGGGGCTCAGTTTGACAGGTGAGATCCGCGGCAATGATCGCGCTTAGCGCAAGTGCACCGAGTATCTGCGATGACTCAGGATGACTCCTGTGCCAACAAACTCTATGCAATAGGTCAGTCAAATACTCATCTTAGCTGTTAGGACTTGGAACGTGTTGAACAGATGGGATGCAGTGCAGCGAACTTCGGTAAGATACCTGGTCCTCCAACGAGTACACATTGTGTGCGACCGGCGAAACGGTGTTTAAGTCAAGAACCACTAGCGCTGATTATGGTTCCTGTTGTACTGAGTTAACAAGCACGACCGCGCAGCTGCGCGCCTCCTGTCCAAGAACCTGAACTTACAACATGACTCGGAGAAGATCAAGTGATGACTCCAGATCGCAGCACTAGCTTCGATCATCGGAACCGCTCGTTTGGCGCACAGTCAACCCTCTGCCTCAAGTCACCTTGCGTGGCGCCCGTCATCCGCTGGGCTGTACTGCGCCTTTCTATAAGTATGCGCAAGTTTGCCCGCCATGTAGTATCCGTTTCCCAATACCTTTCTACCCCCTTTCCATCCCGCCACACTCATCATACTGCCCGCCACTGCCACCGCCGCCACCATAAACACCATCACTTCAAACGCTTACAGCCCTGCGCCCTCAGACATCGGCTATGCAGAAACCCTTGACCACAACGGCCGTCTTAAAGATAATCTCGAGCCGTTTAGAGCGTTAATCGCCTCTCCCATTTCGCGTCTGCGCGAACGCATACCAGATACAAAAGTACGTAATCATATGGTGGACCTGTTGCCACACAAACTAAAATGATCTTCCGCTGTTAGGCATATTCCTCTTTGCCGTCAGCGAAGTTCCCTATGATCTACGTTCGCTCCCCAGAAGGACGGGGTTTGGTGGGCCCAGGTGCCGGGAACACGGCCGGCGGTACCATCCCATCTGGCCCACAGCCCCCAAAGACAACACCCGGGTCCTCTCCTCGTTCGATTCCATCCACCGTCATCCCGGCCGTCATCGCAGTCGTAGTGCTCGTCATTCTGGTATGCGTTGTCCTCTACCTGCTCAAGTACATGAGACGGACACGGCGCGGCGTCTCGCTCCTGCCGACAATAGCACCCAAGCCGGACCTGGTCGAAGTCCGGCTGGCACCAAAGGCGGTCCTGCACACCGCCGACGCAAAATGGGACCACATTATGGTGTGTAGCGACGCGTTTGGTTCGTTCCACATGTACTGACGGAGTTGTTTCAGCCATTGTCAGCGAAATATATCCCGAAAGATGTCTATGTATTAGAAAAGGCGTTCATCGCTTCCGCTACCTCGTCTCCGGCAGGCAGTCGGCCCTCCAGCATTCATAGCGATTCGTCTCTTTCGGCCACCTCGTCCATGTTCTCCTGGAAGAAGGTCTCACCGAAGGACGATGATGGGCGACTCCGCGTGGCGGTCACGATTGTGATGCCCTCGAACTCAAGGAGAAAGGAAAAAGGCGGGGAGGAACCTGCAGCAATTTGCCTTGGGGTGACTGATATTCCGCTGCATCCTCTATCACTGCCAAACCTCGAACGTTAATTTTTTACGATACATGCACCAATGTTGTAGGGCGTCATACATTAAACAGTATCATCCAGTAGTCTAAGCAGTGCCTAATCTTATCACTCGGTTAATGCGAATGACACAATTTGAATGCTAGCTTATGGTGTGTGAGGCCTCAATGTGGTACAACAACAATCTCCTTCACCGGTACGATGAGGCATTCGGTAAGATTGGCGACAAGAACAGATACATGGAAGTAAAAGAGGTTATAACGCAGTTTCGTGTATGTGTTAGGATGGTACGTAAACTGCTATCGGATGAGAATGCCTTTCCCCCTCTCCTTCGTGCTTTTTTCTGAACGAAGATCGCTAACGCCTATGCCTCCGGAGTCGGGAGTGCGTAGCTGTATTTTCTTCCGCCGCAACTGACACCGGACGTCTCGCTCAAATCTACGCCTTCGGTGTATTGGCATGACATGAATGCGGCTTGACGAAGACAATCGCTGTACGAGAAAACTCGGAGCAGGAGGTCTGCTCGGTTCGCATGTTCTTCACCGCCACCTGTATTTGTCTTAGATACGATGGTATGCTCTAGGACGCTTGTAATAAAGAACGGGGCAGACTAAGAAAAGACGCATTATGTGTCAGGATGCAGACCCCGTCTTGCAAAAAATATCGACCCCACCTTCGCAATCCCAGTTCGCGGGGGTGACGACCTGCGAGCAGTAGCCTGTCATGTTTCAAATAGTATTATGGGCAAGTCAGAATCTGCCGTGCATGAGACGCGAGAGTTGGGTGAAAGGAACGCCTTGTATTATCCGATACACCTTTTGAAAGGTGCGCGAAGCTATGTCCAAACAATGGAATTGCTGTTCTGCCACCGTGCAGCGGCACTGCTAAGGGCTCAAAGTGTAAGTTGAAATTTGAAAACTTTTGCCTTCCGCATTCCCGACTATGTTGACAGACAAGCGCAGCCAAACGCCTCGCGTATTGCGTGCGCAGGATGATGCTATGTTATCGCGTCGGGATCTGCACGACATGTCACGTTGACGCGGCCTTGGTGTTCCTGTACCTATCTTTGCCGTTCCTCATCTCTTCAAAATGATTACCGAAGAAGATGACGACTCACCTTTGCGCAGCTGCTCGTCATATACCCGGAGGACCTTGTGCCGCGAGCCTCAGTTGTTGTTTCCTACTCAAGTGAAGATCTCGGCTCATCAGATACTTCCTCAACCTAGTTCAGAAACTATACTGTCACAAAAGCCTGAATGTTGCTCTTCTGTTGTCTACAGGAAAGCTCGAGCCACAGCGGCTGCTTGAAGTGAAGTTTACCGTATGTAACAGGAGCACCATTGTTCCGATCCGCCATCTAATCTAATCTGATTTGGATGAGCGGCGCTTGAACACAAATAACAAGTTGCTGTGATCGAATATTTCGAGGTACTGCCTCCATGTAGGAGTATACAGATACTCAAATACTCAGTATTTTGGTCGTGCGTTAATTCCTCGAATCCTTCCGTTGAAGCGTGAAGGAAGATTGACCTACGCAGGCTAACCAACTACCAGGACATTTGTGCACTGCACCCAGTCCTTCGCACTGGTCCAACTTAGAGTCTCATTCTCTTCCACCATGCACCGCCTAGGCGGCGTCGGACTTGCTGCCTTTGAACGGCAGAAGCAGCACGAACGCTCCTTCGCCGAGCTCTCAACAGAGATCTCGCAGGGCCAGGTCGACGTGCTCCACGCCCAGCTCGCCCAATTCCGCAGCGCGCTCGCGCATTACGCCTCCACGCATCGTGACTCTATCCGCAACGACCCGCAGTTCCGCCATGCCTTCCAACGCATGTGCACATCCATCGGCGTCGACCCACTCGCAGGGCCGCGCAAGGGTGGCTGGTGGGCGGAAATGCTCAACCTCGGCGACTGGCAGTACGAGCTCGGCGTCCAGATCGTCGACGTCTGCGTCAGCACGCGCGAGCGCAACGGCGGGCTCATAGAGATGAGCGAGCTCGTGCGTCTTGTGAGCAAGCTCAGGGGCGTCGGCGGCGGCGTCATCACCGAGGACGACGTCGTGCGTAGCATCAAGACGCTGAAGCCGCTCGGGGCGGGGTACGAGGTTATCGATGTCGACGGCGGGAAGAAGATGGTACGCAGCATACCCAAGGAGCTCGATGCTGACCAGGCGGTGGTGCTGGCGATTGCTCAGGAAGAGGGCGGGCGAGTCTCCGAAGATCTGCTGGTCAGGCGAAGAGGATGGACCCGCGAACGTGCACGCGCGGAGCTGGAGAACATGCTACTGCGGGATGGCATGTGCTGGCTAGACGAGCAAGATGAGGAGTGGGGCGTCGCCTACTGGGTTCCGTCCGCTATGCGTTGGGATGAGTGACGATTTGCGTAGGCAAGCAATCTGTTCTTGGTCGGTCAAGTACGGTGGGGCTCTGATCGCATCGCATCTCTCGATAGACGTCTCCGTTGACTGTGCCATGTACTACATCTTTCTGGGGCGACGCTGTTGTATTCAATACCAGTTTGCCGAATGAACGGTGAGAGCTAACCGCCACAAGCGTCCGCCGCTCTTCGATTCATCCGATCTGTAGTTCGGCAGCCCGTCGTCTGAATCGACTCACGACTAGCTCAGTCGCAGTCGCATCGCACACCGCGCGCTTCTCCGTGCGGCGACTCACATTGAAGGAAGGAGATCTTCATGTATAAAATACATCTCATTCGATGAAAATTGAATCAGGGAGACATTCGTTGAATACAGGGACGATAGCCTACCACCCTAAGTGGCAGTGCGTTTTCGCTGAACAATTGGAGAAACTCTTGGCCCCAAGGCGCGAATCACATTCAAGGGTCCTAAAGATTGACAAGCGACCGTCTAGATGTTTGACGAGTCCGAGTCTCACTGGTACAGGAACGGACCTCCTCCCTCACAAAGTGGGAACACGAAGATCACGATGACAAGAACCACACGCATACTGCTCAGCGCGCACACTCTATCCTTCCCATGGGGCCGAGCACCCCAGTTTTAGGCGCGGTGGCTGTATAGCAACGAGCCAGACCCGCAGTCAGTAAGAGCGAACTCAGATTACGGAAGATAACGCAAACCTACCGCCCGTACAGCGCGCGCCACCACGGTATCCGCCATAGGTGGGCATTACCGCTCCGGCCTTCCATGCAGGTGAGCACCTCCGATAGTATACCGTCGGTGCATTCTCTTACCCGGACCAGCATGCCCTCTTGAATCGGTGCTCGAGCCAGAACCCGGAAGGCGTGGGAGGTGGAAGATGCGCTGGAAGAAAGGCTTCTTGGGCCCAGAGTGCGCGGACTGGGGCGAGTGCGCAGATTTGGTCGTAGATGTGGCCGTGTAAATAGACGCGGAATTCGGGACCTGAGTGCGTAGAAGACGCGTGTGAACGAACGTGCAGATGAAAGGAGCGGAAGCCCGTGGGCAACTTCCAGGGCTCGAACGGCAAGGAAAGGACTTACGATTAGCTTGACCTTCTGTCCAGGCGTCGGCAGCACGTAGTAGGTGCTGCCGGACGTCCTGCTGCCGCGGTCGCTGCCATCAAACGACTCTGCGGGACTGCTTGCGCGCGTAGGGGCGTTGCGTGGGTGGTCGACGTAGACGACATTCTGGCCCGGCGTCCGGCTGCGAGCTACACTGCCAGAGCGGCTGCGACCGTGACTGCGTGGGCGTGGATTCGTGGGCTCTTCAGGAATGGGACCGGGTGGATAGTGGGTCGCAGACCCGTGCGCCGACTGATAGGCCGCTGAGCCAGCATGCGACCTATGTGAGGGCGGCGGTAAGGGAGCCGAGTGGCTATATGTGAGAGACGGGGCGGCGTGATGTGAATGAGGGTGGTGACTGTTTGACGGAGAATATACGATCGCAGGTGGCGTGTAGCGTGACTTTGAATGCTTCGATGACGGTGCGTAGACAATGGCAGGAGGCGAGTACGCGTATGGGAGCTGAGATTGGACGCGAGCGGATGGAGCGCGGGCATCGAACTCGTGCCCTCTCTGAGGTAGAGGTTGTGATTGCGAGTACGCGATCGAGGGAGAAGAGTTCGGGAGAGGGATCTGGGCCGGATCAAAGGCGCGTTTAGGTGCTGGTGCTACAATGCTAGAATGCGAAGGTTGGTACGATGGGACGTCGCCACGACTACGTTGAGGCGAGTAGTTGGCTTGGTCGAGAGCTACCTGAGATGAGGGCGATCGTGAATGCGAGCGTGAGCCTGAATGCGAGTGGTGTGACTGGTGTGAAGGGTTGCGAGGTGTTGAAACTGCGGAGTGTGGCGGTTCATCGCCTTGCCTCGAGGGCAGTACCACGATGCTCTCCGGCGATCTAGGAGGTGTCGCGGGCTTGAGCGTGCCTGGCACTGCGGGAGGATACTCCGTGACGTAGGACAAAGACTGCAGGTGACGAGACGCCATGTTCGGCGGCGCATCAGGGATGTTTGAACCCGATTTCGAGCGGATATGTGATGGAGCAGGGGCCTGAGGAGGTGCCATGGGCGCGCTCACTCTCGGTCTCAGTCCGGAACGCGAACCGCTGGGTGGGACGGCATGCGTGGAGATGGGGATGTCCGGGCGGCCGTCTCCGTAGCGCAACACCATACGCGGCGGCACAGAGTGGCTGCTTTCGTCATCTGAATCAGGCCCGTAGCTTGGTGCATCCGAGTCACTAATCGCGGAGGGCGGTGAGGACGGCGAAACAAAGGAGGGGTCCGCACCATCTTGCGTATAAGTCTGTACCCACAGCGCTGTGCGCTCACGGGCAGTCATGTACTCCCGTACGGCCTCGGAAGACGTGGTGTACTCTGTCATCGGTCGCGCGAGACGGTGACGAGGACGAGGAGGCGGAGAGGGTGGTCAGGAGAAGAACGGTCAGAAAGGAGAAGAGAAGGAAGGTTCAGGTACTCTTATACATCCGCCGTGTCATTCTGGCTAGATTTCGGGCGTATGAATCGGCCCGTCTTAGATAATTGGAGAGGCAATGTGTAATTATTATCAGGTGTTACACAGAAAGGGATTACGTCGCACATGTCCGTCGCAGAACCTCGATAGGTTCCGGGGTCGAGTCTCAGCTGGATGATCGCGGGAGAAAACGTGTTCACGGTGAGGCGCAGAGCCCCCGGGCGACTCTCTAAATGCTCGCCGTCCCTGACGTCTGAAGTGATGGGAACGTCACTTACGAACTCTCGGATGTCAATTGGACACGAGGACCATTGCCCGACGCAGTGTCACCAATGAATCATGCACCTCAGCGAGGAGGCATCTACACAATGCGTTGCGGGCTGGGAAAGCAGAAGCGGATTAAGGAACGCGCGGCGCAATGGTACAGGCTCACCTACGGATATAATGTAAAGTACTTTTGTCACGTTTGTGCATCCTTTGAAGAGTCACGGATATATCCAGTGAGATATAATGCAGGAGTTCAGGCCTTCAGAATGCTGGCGTTTAGCAAATCCTCAGGGGTCCTCGGGGACGCGTAAGGTGCCTGTGTCCTTACTCCGGCGCGAACATAAAAGTCAAGAGAAAGGTGAGATGATGAGGGTGACTCCCGATAGATTCGAGTTCATTCGGACTCCGAAGAATCTCAGCCGCGTCAGAATCCCTCTCCACCTAAACTCCGCTTGCGGCGCGCAGGCCAAAGCTTCTTGTCCGGTTACCCACTGGTCGACTCTTTCCAACTCCAAGACAATGGCTGCGTCAAGTCTGAATTCATACGCAATACTCTAACGAACCGCGGTCCTGGTATCGTAGATCAACGGCTTGCCAGCTACCACTCAAATGAAGGGGACGGCGGTTGTACATTAAGGGCTCGTCAGATGCACCCTTGACGCCGCGAAGAGACGCTTCTCGCCTTCGGCTTCTGTCAATAGGCTCGCTGACTTTCATACCCACCTGACTCGAGGCGGCCTTGCGATTGCGTATCTAACATCAGCAAATGGCGGGCTTTTCTGGTAGACTGGACATGGGATCGCGAGCTGTATGTTCGTCCGATTGCCTGGCGCGCGTTCCCCAGGACACCGCCCCCTCTGGTTGTAAGCTGACGTTTTGTGCGGCATTCGTGAAGCGTGTGGATGTGTTCGCTCACAGAGGCGCTTGAAGACCTACTGCATTCATGCGCAGCGGCAAACAGAATGTATACGTACAAGCATCCCTACCCGGCGGCAGATTGATACACTTGCCGGTCTTAAAAGAACGCTCGTTCAGCGCCTTGTGTACAGCCCCGCGGCTTGGCCTTGATATCAGATTAATACTGGACAAGGCCGAAGGGGACGGGACACCGAGAACTCCTTCATGAGTGAGCGAAGTCGCTCAAAACTGTGTCGTCCCTACTCGTGCTCGCGCTGCAAGTGCCATGTGATGACTTGCGCCACGAGGTGCCCGCTATGAAGCACAATAACACTTGATAGGTCCTGTGAGTTCGCTCACATTGCGGGAATACCGACCTTTCGCAACTTTGAGGCGTTTGCGAGTAAGTCGGGTTGCCGAAGTTGCATTGCCTCGGAGTCATGGACTAGCTGCAATGTCATGATGGCCGAAGAGCGCAACGCGTCATGGGCACGCGGTTCATCTGGCATTCAGTACACTTTAACTACTTTCTCACTGTTTGGCTCATGTTCCAGCATTGACTCATTTCCTGGCAGCACCCAGGCCTAGTGCCGCACTTCGTTCTCATAGACGTCCACGCCAGACCCTTCTATCTACGCATCGCGAGCTAGAGTTTACTAGATGATCTGCAGATAGGTGAGCATGGACACTTGTCAGTGTTCTGTTCTCATCGCTTGCCCTCGAGCCCATCATTCAGTTCAGCCGCGAACTGGCCAAACGGATCCCTTGGACGCAGGATGCAAGCCCGCAATGAAGCTTTCGGCGACCACGGAATCTTCCTTCCCCATCTCCGTTCCAGAGTCTCCATCCTTCGCGGATTCTATTACTTGGGCAACGCATGCGCGGTGGGACTGGAAGTTTTTCGTAGTTGCTGCGACTTCCGAAGCGGTCACGGACGTTGCGTCACGGGCCTCGTGGTTTGCCTGCACCCGAGGAGGAAGCAGATGATCGTCATAGGTAATAACCCAAAATCGCTTCGGTGTCCTGTTGCTTTTACAGGCAGATAGCGACGCGCGTGGAGAGCATGTAACGGTATATAGCAGAGGAGCTGTCCTGCTGATATGCGGATCTCGCGTAGGGACACATGCACAAAACTTCCCCTCTTACGAAAGCTGCCGTCCTCGGAGACCTTTGCTCCACGTTCAATCTGACCTGGTAACAATCTTTACTCCCATGCTTGATACCTGTTTTTCCGTTGCTCTGGCTGTCGTGTCGCTAAAAGCAGCGAACACTTCAGTATATCATCTGGGAAGTGAACCTGATGGCTAGCTTTGTAGCCGAACATGCTAGACTCGGCTTTCTAGCCAGGAACAATTGTCCATTTCAGGTACGATTCATCATGTTACACTTGAACGTCTATTGTCATTCGTGTACAACAGTGGGCATCCGGGCTTTACCGGCACTGGGTACATATTGTCGAGCAGGTGGCGTAGCCTTTATCTGTAAATTGCCAATATTCACGATCATGATGCGTTCTCCAATGCCTAGTGTGGATGCTCGAGGTCAGCCGCGACCGGAGCACCCCCAAACGAGCACGCCCGCGACTCGCCGGCCAGATCCCCTCCCAAGCGCCGCGGGTTCCTCCCACCTCCCACATCAAGCTCAGCTGACTCCCGGTCAGCAGCCGGGCAACGGGGGCCACAGGCGTTCAACCTGTGAGGCAGTCGAGTTGTCGAGGTCGTCGCTATCATGGACGCTGAAGATACCGTACACGGCAATCTTCTGGACATGAGAACGGGCTTCTTTGGCGTCATCGACCCGCGCCTGGGAGTGGTGACGCCAGGTTCAAGCGCGGGGCTGACTTGGACATCCGGCTTGATGGGAATGTCCGACACTTGTGGGGTGTTCGTGTCTGCGAGGGGCGTCCGGCAACGACGGGCGATGGCGTCTCGGGTTGCAGGTCGTACGATGAGGTTGCTAACGCGGACGGAACCTCTTGCACTCGGATCTCACCCTCGTCGGACCAGCTCTCAGCCTGAACGAGGGGTTACATGCGAAGCCAGTCCAAGTCAGATAGAGTCGGGTGGCCGCTTGGCCATGACATACTGTGTATATAGCCTGTGAATGAGCTTCTTTGACAACCACTGTGAGAACATTTCGGGGACCTGTAAGTTCTCTGATAGTCGTGTCCTGGGTAGCATATGCATACAAATCCCAATAGAAGGACGATTGGTGATTGTGAGTTCGATGTAGTGATTCAGATGAAGGTGACAGTGCGCATGGACCGGCGATGGGGAGCCTGAGATCTAATCCGTGTTGCGTGAACGTGAGGCTTCTGTCAGTCGAGAATTGATAGGCAGATGTGCTAATTTATAAGTATGAAACCCATGCATAGGACTTGTGAAGGCTATGCCCATGCAACATCCCCACTGGCTAAGCAACGAATCAGCTGCCTGATTTGGTCGAGACGACGGGCGGCAAATGCTGCAAGCGTTCTTGATCGTGTACTTCGATGTTCTCTTAGGTGCGAATGACCGAGCAGCGCATTGAACTATGTGTACGGGCCCTACTGCGGATACACTGACCGCGTAGCACAGTCTTTCAGACATTATCACAGGAAGGAAATATCGAAGCATCTACTCATGGCCGTGTATAACCGACGCGTGCTTCTTCTCACACACCGCAACTGCAGACAGTCGACGATTTACCTCAGGGTCTGCATATGAATGTAAACTTTTGTTACTAACTGCAATAATTCAGCGCCAACCTCAAAGCCTTTGAGAGGCTAGAGTGTACGGCTCTACCGTCAGCATTGCATGACGTCATGATGTAGGCAAGAGTGGCGAATACCTCTCGTGCCGACTTGTCGACTCTCGTGCAACAACTTGATTATCTACGACGACCAGCACAAGATGACTGGATTTGCTTCAGCACTTGCATATTCTTCCGACTCGGCAGGAATGCACCCGTCTCATACGCTACCTCTGAAACTAGATGCCATTGCTGTGGCAGGATTCCCCCAGGTGGAGATAGGCTTCCCGGATCTGGAGGCGTACGCGGAGCAGATTTTTCCCGGGTACATAAAGCTGGATGAGGCCGGGGAGGGTGATCTCACTAAGCTCGTGGACGTCGCCGGAAAAGTCAAGGGGTTTTGCCAGGAATTAGGGTTGAAGGTTTTGGTTGTTCATCCGTGAGTGACATGTCAGGTATGTTGGAATAGAGGGTAACATCTCTCCCAGCTTTTCAGGATTTGAGGGATACACGGATGAAAGGAAAAGAGAGCAAGGGCTACAAAGGGCTCGCGCTTGGTTCAAAGTCTTGAATGTGAGTAGCCACTCAGGAATTACGGTTCAGGGACCACTGCGTGATATCCTATGTGGATCTTTGAAAGCGCAGATATCTCATGTTATGCAGTCGATGATTGCTCTCGACGAGCGACACAAGTGAATATTGCAATGGAACTGTCGGATTATCACCATATGCCCTAGCATATACCCACCTTTTTCCACGATGGTTGCTCATATTGACATACTGCAGGCCTTGGACTGTCAAATGTTGCAAGTCGGATCATCAGACGACCCATCTTCAAGTTCAGACTACGACGTGATCGCTCGCGACCTACGCTGTCTCGCAGACGAAGCTGCCGCACAGGACCCTCCCATCCAAATGTAAGGCCTGCATCTACAGTTTGCGAGCGGTCGACTGACACGTTGTATAGCGCATATGAGATGTGGGCCTGGGGTTGCCATGTGTATGTATACCATCTCACATCGAACTTTTCGTGTCGCATTCATGACGTCATATATACAAAGGAACACTTGGGAGCACACATGGGAGATCTGCAAGCGCGTTGACCGCCCCAACTTTGGCTTGTGTCTCGACACGTTCCAGATCTGCGGTAAACGTTCACCATGTCATATATCCATTCTCTGAACATCAGTACAGCACGCACCTATGCCGACCCTACCTCGCATAACGGCCTACTGCAGCACATTCCCGGCGAGTCCGCGCTCACCACCCTCTCCGCATCTCTCTCTGCGCTGTCGCGCACGATCCCACCCTCAAAGATCTTCTACTTCCAGATCTCGGATGGCGCGCGGCGGCACAGCGTCGACGAACTGCGCGCGAGCGCGGCGAAGCAGGGCATTTCGCCACTGTACGCGTGGTCAAACGCGTGGCGGCCGCTACCGTTCCAGGACGAAATTGAGGGCCGCGAGGGGAACGAGGCGGGTGCATATTGCGGGTACCTGCCCGTCGTGGACGTATGTGACGCCGTGCTAAAGACGGGGTGGAGAGGCCCGTGGTCATTTGAGGTGCGTCCGCGATGTAGGTGTGCGAACTGCGCAAGGAGCGGAGCTGAAGGTCGTGCACAGGTGTTCTATGAGGCAGATATGTCGAGGGACGACCCGGAGGTGCCCAGGAGGTGGACACGCTCGGCTAAGGCGAGCTTCGACATGATTGTGGAGAAGCTCCAGGAGAAAGGTTATTGACCTTGTAACATATGTGTCTCGTGGTCTGCGTTGCCGACCGGGACTGATGGACTATGATATCGACAGTTGAGTGTCTATCCTGTACAGAAGTTACAACATATCCGAAGTTGGTGTACGAAACAGCGACGGCAGTTTCAAGACGACATCAGGTGGCAGCGCTCGGCCCTCCCACAATCAGTTCTTCCATATGATGCCCTTTGCCACAACTCCCGTCCTTGTTGTCCAAATCTCTTTTTTCTCGCCCGTGGTGCTCCAAGTACGTGCTGCATCACAGCTCATGGATGATCACATGTGGCAAGCACTGTGCCGCTACGGCGCTGCATTCTTACGGAAGGCGGCGAGCCCTGGAGGACCGTCACCGCATGCTTGGAATGTCTATCGGCAGCGCTAGGGCTCGCCACGACAGTCAGCAACTTTGAATTTTTTCTCAAGTGATGCGCCTTGACTTGTGGGCGACATCGTGGCAAGTGTGATAGCTTAAAGAATAATGCAGCATACTGTAGTTCAACAGACGGACCATAGCTTACAAACAGCCTTCAATGTAACTACGACGTCCTCTGGGATGAAGTTATGCAGAATGCGAACTTCAAGCACAGAATTCAAAACACAGGGTACGTCCCCTCTTTAGATAAAACAGATCAGGCGCTTTATGGCGAACGAAAAACAGGGAGGACAAATTCCTGCCGAGAAACAGAGGAAGGTGTAATCAGCGTCAAGCGACAATAATCATATCGTGTAAGGAGTACTGTACCTCGACCAACTCTAACTTCTTAGGCCTACGACTTCTTCGGAGACTCTAGTAGGGTCCCTGAATTCGATATGACCTCCAGCGCTTCCCGTATTGGCGCATTGTATTCTGACTGTTGTGATTCCGGCTGCAGCATCTGTTCTAGGTCTTTTTTCAGTCCACGCGAGGGGCTGCGTAGGCATTCCAAGAGCACGCCAGAGAATTCGTGGTCGGAATCCGCCATTGTGGGCAGCGCGGCGATCATCCGCACGAGGGTCTTCAAGTAGGAATTGATATCTTCGGGAAGAGATGATTCTGTCGAGGATTTCCGAAGGGAATCAGCAAACGCATCAGCAATATTCTCAGGTGAAATCGTCTCGAGGTCAATGGCCGAACACTCCCTTGGCTCGGAGGTACCCTCTGGCTCCGCTGCACCATCATCCTTATGGGGCGAACTGGCTTGCTGCTCTGGCGCACTGGCGACGTCCTGCTGAACTTTGTGGTCATCATCGCGAGGAGATGCCGCATTGCTGCCGCGTCGAGGCAGATCCGTCTCCAGCGAGTTACGCGCGCCACCCTCCACTAAACCATGTGCCTCATTCGTCTCGTGTTGATCCGCCTCGTCAGCTTGCATTGGAGCTGCCTTGTCGTCCTGCCCGCGATCCGAGGCCGTAACACGGATCCACGATGCACTGTCGCTCCCCGGCTGGGGTGCCATCTGCAGCTGTCCAATGACGTAGACCACGACGAACGTGTCGCGAGCAGTCTTCGATTGGTTGTCAGGTAATATCTCTCCGAAATGTTCGAGGATGTAGTCGATCAAGGTGAAGACCCGAGTTGTCTTTTGGTACAAGCCGCTGTCAGAATCAATGTGTGGCGATGCTTCATTTTTGACTGCGGAAGCACTGACAATGCGGCCATACGCTCGGATGGCGTGCGAGGCTAATTGTATCAAATCTGACCCGTTACGCGCCTTAGTCTGTATTTCCCCCTCCAATGTCTCGAGGAAGGTCGGGAACGCTCCCACAAGAGCAGTACGAAGATGTGAGCGGTCGTTTACATCTTCAGTGGTCCCTTTTGAAGCGGGACACAAAAGCGCTTCAGTGATGGTAAGGACGGTGATGGGGATCGAGGAGTTGGAATGAAGACTGGAGAGGAGAGCGACGATGGGCCGGACGAGATGGTTGGCTGTCTTCATCACTGGAACAAGATAACCACTGCCTATCCTCCATCTAGGCTGTGAACAGAACCAGACTCCCCAGCAGATTTGGCGGAGAACGGGCATGCCCATCTCCGGCCTATGGCGGACAAGTGCGGTAAGTCCATGCATGATCATAGTGTCGTGTTTTAATTCGACGTCTGATTGGTTGTCGGGACGTGAGCTGTCCTCCACCGGGAAAAAGGAGAGATATACGACTGTATTCACGAATGACTGCAAGGCTGTGTCATCCAACGATGCTGTTGTCGCAGCGTCCTCTAGCCGTTGGCAAAAGAGAGAAGCAGACTGGTAAAGCCCGCTATTGTACCATTCGTCCGATGACACGACCATGGACAACCTGAGCATGTTGGCAAAGATCACGGTGTCGTTCTCGTAGGGTAAAACAGCGCCAGGATCGCATAGGTGGGTGGTCTTCAAGGATTCTCCAATGTTGTTCTGCGAGTATTCGGCCAGGCCGAGGACGATGTCAAAGTGTACAGGGACCTCTTTCGTCAACAATTAAGTGTAGGAATCATCTTGCTCTGCTTCCGTGAGAAGAGAGCATAACGCAGTGGACATGCGTACTGCTTCTTCATAACTGGATGACTGCAGTTGACCATCGGCAGGAAGAATAGAACGTAGTTGTCGGGCTAAAAGTGCGACCGCCCCACAATCCGTAAGCACAGACCTGTGCGCAAGGAGACAGCCGTAATGAGTGATGCGATGTGTCAAAAGAGCGTTCCGGGTGCCATCTGCCGACGGCGGGAATTCTCCAACCATCCGGGCAATCGCTTGAGAGTCTATCAGAGAAGAGTATTGGGATATGTGACGGTTTTCCATGGATCGTGTGTTGAGCGCGAGGGACGACATGCCTGCCTGCCACAGCGAGCGATTTCTAAGCGCTTGCCTCCACCTGGAAGGTCTGCCAAGAATTCGAGACATCCACTTGATTTCTTTGGAGAACTCCATAGCGTTTGTATCGCGAGAGAAGACCCGTAGTGTGCCTTGAATGGCGAGCAGCGCAAGTTTTAGCATTGCTACACCAGCTGTCATTACTTCCGCTGTGACTTCTCGTGCCAGAGAGCTGAACAGGAACACGACCAGGTCTGTGGCAGATGACCTGTATGGGCACGTGGGTGACAACACCGAGAGAATGTGAGTGACGGTGTATATCACGGCAGTGGCAGCGGTGAGGCAGATGACGGGAATCGCGACAGTAGTGTTCGTGGACCACAGGAATTCGATGAGGCCGACGAAGAACAGGATAAGGGAGATGTGCAAGAGTATGGGGAGAGACGCCATGATCAGCGACAGTTCCCAGTCCCCGATACCCTTCCATCGTAACTGATGCTGTCGGCCTTTCTGTTCCATGTGCACGGAGAAGTCGGCTGTAATGCTAAGAAGCCACTGCTTCGCCAGGATGACGAGGAATGCCGTGCACAGGCTGAGAACAAGCGCCACGAACCAGCAGGAATTTATCCGGATGGCGGAAGGCGTGGGCTTGAAAGGCACTGAGGCAGTAGCGGTCTGGTTATTCTGAACACTCCCATTGGACTGAAGTGTCGCGAGAATGTCCTGCAGGACCTGTAGAGAGGTTTCGCTCGTATCCGCTTGCAAGCTTCCATACGACACGATGACGAAGGCGGTAACAACGGTGGAGAACAGGGTGGCCTGTGAATTGACGTTCTATGAATTAGAGATCCACCGTCAGGGGAGAGCTCTGACTCACGAAGAGAAGGAGCATATCCATCTGAGAGTTGTATAGATCGACATATTCTTTCAATGCTTTGTTTGCTTCGTCCACATATACCTTCCACTCCTCAGCAGTCAAACCGGACTGTCAACTTTGTCAGAGTGATCAAAAAGCGCAATTGAAGGAATTCATACCGCGTCAGAAATTTCCTCTGGCTGCGGTCTCGGAGGATCTTTCTTGAGGGGATTCTAGCAGATCGTCAAACTTTGATATTCAAAAACAGCAACGAACAAGTTACCTGAGCCTTCGTGTTATCTTCCATCGTCGGCAGCGACTCTTCCTTGGTGGACTGGCAGGTCATGCGTGGTCAATGTTGGTAGTGGAGGACAGGGTCCTTGTAAGAGCACGTACGGCAACCTCATCCGCGTCTCCTGAGCTCATGCCTGGACAACTCGAAGGAATCGTGCTTCTCGTTGTATTGACCTTATCGCGATGTTCGGGAAACCCTATCAGCTTCGCCAACGCAGTACACACTGATAGCGCCCGCAGTGAGCTGAGGCAAAGTCAAAACATGTATGTGAAATCGTACCAGCAGAAAATCACTGGGGTGCGTCTCAAGGTTGTAAAGAAGAGACAGTGCGAGCGCATATATAGCGGAATCTAGCATCCCGCGCTATGCTTGAAGATCTAGTTTCCGGAGTTCTGAACCTGCAGGTGTGGTCGTGAGAGAAGATCCGAAACATGGGATGTCAAGGCTACAAACCTTGCCTCCACGATTCAAACTTTGTTTGCGCCCCCTACTGTAACGGGCTGCGTGGCTGATTCGAGATGGCACCCTAAGCCACTGTACAAGGTAGCTCCGCGAGACAATGACAGTCAGCTGCACGGGAGCTGTTGTCGATGTCTAGCAGATAATACATTGCGTTCGCCCACTTATGGGGATGACCTTCGAAAAAACATCAGTCCACAAGCTTCATCAATCGATGTATGCAATCATTAAAATGGAAGTTCTGCAGGTAGCCGCTTCTTCCGGCAAGGATGCATGATCGAAATGAGACATGCAGATAAACTTCAGATTTATCAGCGACCACTCACACTCGATATAGGACACGCTGAGGAACGATATTCCTCGGATGAGAATGAGGCATTGTAGAAAAGAGATCCAGCAGCAGCATACCACCTGAGTGCAGCAATCGCGGGATTGTTGCGGAAGACCAGCAATAACAGCGCGAGCGTCCGTCGCCGAATTCATTCAATCCTAGCTGAAGGCCGAAGCAACATGTCTCCGCAGATAGAGGGAAGCGCGCAATAGCCAGATGAGCTGTAGTCTCGGGGTATTCCGACGATATCTGTCTAGTGTGAGAAGGGTCCCGCCGTTCTGACATTGCGACTTCGGAGTTGTCTGGCGTGAGCAGCGGGAGCCATTTCGCTGGTTCCGTTGAATACTATAAACATGTTCCCGTGAGTAGTGGTATGCACGTATCGTTGCCATTATGCGATAAACCGTAACGTGTACTTGAGAAGGTGCGCAAATAAATGCGTCCGCGTCAGCGAGTCTTCTCCACGACAGATCACCAAGACATAGTGGAACTGTGATTACTGGTGTACCTCGTTGTGAACATTCAATCTCGCAAGGCATATCTGCATCAGCCCACAGTTCGGAATTGGGTCCGAGAGCGACGAGACTCAGCTGGAACGAAGCCCAAGTTCTTGTAAAGTATGAAACTAGTTCCTGAACTTGTTTCGCGCTGTATTCATGTATGTGTAGATGAAATGAGAGTGATTATCAGAGAGCGGACGCACGAGTAACATATATGCATCTTCAGCACATTGAACGAAGGAAGCAAAAGCGCTCGGCGGGCGCTTTCAGTGAACTAGTCGATCTCAGATCTCGATATGCTCAAGCGCCTAGGCCATTTGCGGCAACGTTACTTACAAGCTACTTCTTTTACTTCTCTCAACGTAGATTACCGCTAGGATGAAGGGTTTTCTCTTGTGCGTCATGAAGCAAAGCACGAAAACGATATCACTACCGGATATGAATTATACTGAAACCAGGAACGCTTCAAGTTCAGCATTTGCTACGCTTCGGGTAAATGCGCTCTTTGCAGTGTAAATGCTAGCGCCTCATTCAGACCAGGGACTTCTACAAAGATCGATTATTAGCACTCGGCCTATTCTCCTTACTTGGTCTAGCCTCAAGAGAAAGTGGTCGGTGAGCTGTGACTACGTCAAAGTCTTCCATGTCATCCGGCGAGCCTGAACTACGGTTGTACGGAGCGCTGAATTTATACCGTATACGGTACCTTCCATGCAATGTCGTGCGAAGTAAGTCGCGCCTTTATCCCGCGAAAACTGCTTACTACAACTCACCGCAGTTTTCGTGATAAGGTTTATAGTGGTTCACCCCCCTGTCACTCCAGGAGTGATTTGGTTTCCTGATCACTACATGCGATGATACCGGTATGAGAAAACACCGACTCTTAGGAGACTACATAATCGAGCAAGCCCGGCCGGCATCTTTCCTTCGTCGTCTTGTTCTTACGGCTAGACTTCAGGAGCTTGGAGGTGAGTTGTATTGTATGTTCTTGTGCCCGCTCTGAGATGATGGTATGTTGTAAGGCGGTAATTAATGGCAAGGTTCAAGGGTCTATCGGCTGCGCCTACACGCAATCGCCATGTCAACAACACACATAAGAAGGAGAAGGCCAGTGAATACAGACCTACAATGCGAAGTAGAAGATCATTGACGTGCTGTGCAGTCTGGCCTTTGTGCTGAAACATGGAACTTATACATCGATCAGGCGACGAAGAGTGAGGAAGAATTTCTCAAGGCTTGTAATATGGAGATGGACACCCTGCTCCTCTTTGTGAGCGTTGATTCTCATTTTCGCGACCACTACTCAATAACGTGATCTATCGCAGGCTACTCTGTTCTCCGCGGTTCTCACGGCGTTCGTCATCGAGTCTTACCAGAGTCTGCAAGTGGACACCGGTGCAGTCACAGTGCAGCTCCTACAGCAGCTTCTCGCCTCTACGCAATCCAACGGGACAAAGGCTGAGAGTGAGACCAATCTCTCCGACCAGCCCTTTCGGCCCACCAGCTCTGCCGTTCGCGTCAATTCGTACTGGTTTGCAGCCCTTGTCGTCAGTGTCTCGACCGCATTTCTCACTATTCTCGCGAAGCAATGGCTGTTCAGCCTGAGCCGCGGTCTAGCGTCCACTCAGGAGATGATGGGGCGGCAGCAGCAATATCGCCACGACAACCTGCGCGCATGGGGGCTCGCCCCGCTTCTCGCCGCTCTGCCGATCTTGCTGCACGTTTCCCTCCTGCTATTCCTAGTCGGCCTCGTCGAGTTCCTGTGGCCGATTAATAAGACCGTTGCCATAGTCTCCGCGAGCCTCACTTCCGCCACTGTCTTCTTCTACGCCGTTACCCACATCCTCTCGCTGATATATCCCACGTGTCCTTATCGGACGTCCGTCACGACGGTCATACTCTCCAGCATCAACGCCTTCTTCAGGGAGGTACTGGCAGACTGGTGGAGCATCAAGACCGTCGTCGGTATACGCCTCTACATGCTCCTGAGGTCGTATATCGAGTCACTCTCCGAGGATGGCCGAGAAGCGTACTACTACACGATCGACGCGTTGGGATACCCAGGGAGATGGCGGAGGAAGAACAAGGTCTGGTGGTCCCAGAAACTCACGAAGGTATTCACGCCGCAGTACTGGGAGGACAAGTACATCTCGAACAATGCGGAGTTGATCGACGCTCGTGCACTCGCGAGTATGGTGGAGAGGTCCGCGCGGTTGGATACAGGTTCTAAATTGCTCGTCGAAGAGCTAGCACACTTCCGCGGCCTGGTATCCCACAGAGACGTTCTCCTCGAGGCGGGCGCCATCGGGTTGATGGTGCGGCACCTTCGGAGTCAATATTCTGGATCCCTTGTGGGTCTGATTGAGAAGGAAAAAGAAGCCATCAGACACCTAACCGGTGCACTCGTACGCATCGTCACCGAGGCAGAAGAGCACGATACACGAACTTCAGTGCACGTCTCGGGGATTCCACTCCCCCTTGATCCAGCGATTGCAAGTGACGTCTTGTACGGCGACAACGGCATCAGATCCCTCACCGTGTCTGGCCTATGTACCCCTGACGCCAGTGTCTCTGATAACGGAGACCTCGTGTTCTTTTCCCATCTACTACGTCTTCATCTTGTCGTCTCCTCTGATAGGTGGTACTGGAGCCCAATACAAACCTCGATCGATGATTTCCATACGCGACTACGCGATCCAAGTCGAACGTCCAACCTCAAAGATGAGGACCTCATCGCTCTTGTTAACACCACGATTTACATTGCCATGCGACCCATACGTGTTGAAGGCGATACCGCCCGCGCCTGGACAGAGGACCGCCCGCAGGCGCAGAATTCTGTCCGCGCCCTCATAACACTGGGCGAGCTCATGCTACACAACCCTCTCATGGGACACGCGGCCCGTCGTCAAATCTGCTGGGGAATCTGGCGCTGTCATAAGCAAATTCCGGAGACGTACATCCAGTTCGGCTCGCTCATCCCGAGGATCGCGAAGACGGCGAACCTTGGGGAACATCTCGCTGACTTCCTATCATCCCTACACGACCACTGCGCAGATATCGGGCCGCCTCTGCAGCTCGCAGTGCTGGTACTCATGGAGGGGCTACTCTATGCGCCTCGTGAGGGCGCGGAAGCCGATCTTGAAGACCAGGACAAGCTGTTTAACACACTTACACGAGACTTTCCGACCTTCTTGTACGTTCTACATCAACAGTTGTGCAAGACGTGGCCCGACGAGCTCCCTATATTCGTGCGGCTGTTTCATCGGATTGTCACGATCTCAGTTTTCTTGCTCTTTCCCCCTGAGGAATGCAGTGAGAGGGTGCGAGTCAACAGGGAGCACCTCCGGCACGCTCTGTTTCGGCTCTTGGAGCAAGTAGCTCGCGGACCCGCTGCCACTATCGAGCCTCCTAGGATCAAAAGTGCCTCTCAAACATCCAGAACACCGTCCATGGAGGAAAAGAAAGCTGTTGAGGTTGTAGACACGGAGGTAGAACCACGCTGTGGTACAGGTGACGATCACGACACCGTGCGTCGTATCGCATACGGTGCAGCATGTCAAATAGCTCTCCGCGAACTCTCACTGCTTGAGCATGCTAAACACACTCCTCCGCCCATTACACAGTACACGTTGGTATTAGACGAGCTTTCAGCCGAAAAGCTCGCCAGGACGGGTTTCGTAGCGGTCTTGAGGGCGGCATCACTGCAGACATACTCGGAGCCTGTGAAGACGATACTAACCATGATCGCGGACATGGCTTGCACATCGAGTCAGGAGAGCGCTGGCGGTGGATATTTAGATGGTACAATCTTGGCATATCTGAGAGATTCAGCGGATGGAGTAGAAGAGCTTATTCGCCAACTTCTCAGCGACGACAAGTATATGGAGGAGGCACAATCTGCCATCAGAGCCATAGGTTATCAATCAGTGGACGTGTAGCAAACTCATATCTCACCCTTGCTAGAGTAGACGAGACATAGATTTAGGCAGCTTACAAATAGAGCACCCGTTTTGATGGTCACTCTATAGTATTGCATGTACTTATGCCATGGCGTCGAATCATCGAACACGGCGGTGGCTGCCTGCATCCATAGCCAGACCTGACCAAGACATCCAATATTCGAGGCTGCTGAATCCGGGGTACAAATTGAGGAAAGACGTACGTGTATAGTAAGTAAATAGTGCATTGTTCCGGTACTGATGTAATATTCATAGCGACGTGGACCACAGTTCGATTTAGAGCCTTTTCCTATACTTCCCCACATATTCGTTCCGGGACAACATCCTGAGAAGGACCCCCCTAGGTTTTACTACGGGTGGCCTCCAAATAGTGATACGCTGCTGGACTATGCATACTCGCACAAGCTCAGCGGGACAGAGCCTGAAATCACAGCATCAGATGATGACGAGCTGTATAAAAGTTCTTCAGAGGAAGAGGGTGAGGATAAGGACAAGAAGAAAAAGGATGGCGAGGATGACGGGAAGGGCCAGGAAGGAATGAAGCATGAAGCAGAAGCTAATCGGAGCGCTTGCAGCAGCGGGAAGCAAATCGGAAATCGGGCCAGAGACTCGTTGACAGTTGAAGAATTGGCGAGCCCGGAGGAGCAAGTCACTGGAACGCAACAAGATAGCCAACTTGGTGTCGCCAAGCAGCCCCGTAAAGGAGACGATGGTCTGGCCATGTTTGCGGCTATCGAGGACATACTCATCAATCTGGGCCTTGCAAGGTACAAACACCTTGTCAATACTGGGAGCACAGTCATGGGTCCTCACCACAAGGGCTCCTCAGTGCTATACATATACACGAACTATGATTTACGCCATTCGCTTCCAACGGACGATACCATCAATGTGATGAAGAATGCTCTTGGAGTTGGAGAAGGAGAAGCTCGCTGGTACCTATCAAGCAGCGGGGGTACATGGGAGTCGAAGTCGGGTAGACGACGTTGGTGTTGGTAAAGGCGCAAAGCAAGGCCGGCATCCCTGTGATTACCTAGTACGCACTGTCCCACATATGCACCATGAATTCGGCATTATCATAAGCATGTGACTGAGAGAACGAATGGAATAGCTACTTCATTGTGAGAAAACCCAGAAATGATGGGGCCGAATCGAGTTCTATGGTCGTCCTAAATGCGTATCTATGAATAGCAAGCGACTGGCATGATCCAGTAGGTCGTTTGGATGTGACATACCGGTACTGTAATTCAGGATATTTGGCACTGCAGGAATCATCTAAGTCCCTTTGTGTTTGCAATGGAATGGGTGAATAAGCATCTCTCCTCAGATTTGGAAAAGATCCCGATAAATCCCATCGTGAGATAAATGTTATTGCTCATAGAGCTAGACATAGCCTGAAAGACAACAGCCCCTTCCGAGTGGCGGTTATGAACAACAACGGCTTACAAATGAACCTGAATATGGCGCATATGTGCATTCCAACGCCCAAAATAACATCCAGCTTGTACTACTTACAGATTTATCCAAAAATGAGTTCGAGCGTCTCATTGATTCGCGTTTTAAGATTGTACGGCCGTTTCCGGAACTGGACTCCGCACTGCCGTCAACGCAGCAACAATCGGGCCTTGGTCGTACTCGCGTGTGCATTGCAAGATACGCTGAAGGGACGTCGCCACACTGCGGGCTGGATCGCGGAGGTATGCCAAAAGCTGGGTGACTGAGGCGGACTTCTCGAATCGCGTTGGTAAGTCAGCGATCATAGACAAGAGAATGTCTTGGTGTCTTGGTGTCTTGTCGGTAGCAGGTGCATACGACGCACTGCGGAGGAGAGCAGCGCAAGCATCGGCGATGTGCTCTGATGTGACTCCTTCGATGGCGACGGGGCGGGGCACTTCGAAGAGATACACGCCACTATCTGTATGAGGTTCGCCAGCCTGTCCAGACCGGAACATAGCAGTCGAGCTCTGGGCTCCATCCGTCGTACAAGTCTGCAGCACGCTGCCGATAGCACAGACTGCGCCGATGGTAACATGGATCATAGTTGACTGGTCGACCGATGGGATGTCCCCGGCGTGCTCAAAAAGGTGGTGCGCGAGACCGAGAAGAGATGCTGTCATATGTTCAATGTCAAGCTGTGGTATATTTGGATCGCGACCCTCAATCGTATGACTTCTCGCGATACAGCTATATGTGCTGACGATTCGCGTCGTCAAAGCAAGCGGGGGAATGCTCTGTTTCTGCGACACGCTGCCCAACGCAGCCCCGACGTCCTCCAAGAAAGTCGCGAATGCGTGCGCAAGGGCAGACGCGAACTGACATCTTTCTTCTTCTTGTTCGGCAGTAATCGAGCTTCTTGTCCTTGGATAAAGGAGTGCTTCGAGTAGCGCTAACACTGCCATGGGAGTGAACGGATTGCGAGCTTTCACCACCGATAAAAGATGGACAGTAGGCTTGATGAGACGTTTCATGTCCTTCAGCACTGGAACCAGCCCGCCTTTGTAAATCACCTCGCCTTGTCTTCGCGAGCAATACCAGATTCCCCAGCAAGCCTGACGCAGAGCTGGGATACTCATATCAGGCCGATTTGTTACGACTGTGGTAAGTACTTCCAGGACTCGGGCGAGTAGGTCTGGATGCTCTTCGGACGAATTCGATCCGTCTCCTGTACCATCGACGGGACGCAACGCAATATAAATGGCTGTGTCGATGACCGTGACGAGGGTGTCGTCTCCCAATGTAGCCGTCGTAGCAGGATCCTTTAGGTCGTCCAAGAACGAGTCGACAGATCGACCGATATCCGTGGAATACCAGCCGTCCGAGGAGACCAGCACGTGCAACCTCAGCATGTTCGCAAAGATCGCGAGGTCCGGATGCGGAGCAACGGCATGATCTGCGACGCACAGCCCAGATCCTTCAAGAGAGTCGACATAGTCGTATTCGGTGCCAATGGCGAGCACCAGGTCGTGGTGTACGGGAACGTCGTCAAATGCCGGAAGGAGGGTATAGCGGTCGTCGGCATCGGCTTCCGTGAGCAGTTGCACCAGCGCATCGGAGATGCGCAGAGTCTCCGCGTGCTGAGCCGGCTCGACCGTCGTCGTCTCAGCAAGCGCTGAATGCAGCTGCTGAGCGAGGAGCGCGACGGCGCCGCACCGCGTGAAGACGGACCTTCTCTCGCGCAGAGGGCCGAAATCGACGAGTTGCTTCACCAGGGCGCTGCTGTCCTCGGATCGAGGGAACTCACCGATCATGCGGGCAAGCGCATGAGCGTCGATGAGCGTAGAGTTGTCGCCAATGTAGTCACGCTCCGCGGATCGCAGACTGAGCATAGGGCTCGCTTGCCACGTCCAGATGCTCTGCGTGGCACGCCTCCACCTCGACGGCCCGCCTATAAAGCGCACCAGACGGCGTAGATCCTGCAAGGTCGTCCTAAGCGCTCGCTCATGCTCCGGGCGGTCGTTGTCTGTGTGTCGGCGGACCCACGACACAACCAAAGCAGCAGCGACAAACGGGCTCATCAAGGCCAAGATGCTGCACAGCCCGACGATGATGACGGCCGTCATGGAGTTGACTAGGAACTCCTGTGCAAGCATGTTGAACGTGCACGACACGAGGTCGGTGGTGGATGTCCTGTATGGACACGTGGGCGACAGGATGGAGAGGATATGCGTGAGGACGTAGAAGAGGACGGTCGCCCCACTGAGACATGCGACCGCAATCGCAATCATGGTGTTCACGGGCCAGATGAACTCGACCAGACCGACGAAGAACAGGGCAAGAGAGATATGCAGCATGAGCGGGAGGACCGCCATGATATATGAGAGCTGCCAGTCCTTGACGCCGTCCCAGCGAAACTGTTGTTGTCGCCCCCTGGTCTCCATGTCCGCAGAGAGGCTCCCCGAAAGACTCAGGAGCCACTGCTTTGCCAATATGGCCAGAAACGCCGTGCAGAGGCTCAGAACCAGTGCGATGAACCAGTACATATTGACGCGAATAGCCGAATGCGCCGGTGTAAACGGCTCAGAGACGGGGACCTGCGTATCTTGGCTACTGCTTTCGTTGGACCGCAGCGTCACGAGGATCTCTTGCAGCACCTGAAGCGTAGATTGGCCAAGGTCCGGCTGGAGGGTGGCATACGAGACGACCACGAAAGCAGTGACAATGGCGGAGAACAGCGCAGCCTACATCAGACTGCGTAAGCCACAGGCGGCGGGCCGACATTCGCAGCAAACGTACGAAGAGGAGCAGCATATCCATTTGGGAGTTGAACTGGTCCACGTATTGCTTCTGGCGTTCTGATGCCTGCTCGAGATAGCTTTTCCACGTCTCCGGGTCCAGTCCAGACTATATATGCCCTGTCAGAACGATCTTGTCAAGAGCACCAGCCGCGTACCATTCCTGCAGCTGCCTTTGATGAAGTACTTTCGGGAGGCTATTCAACTTGAGCTCAGATACACATTCATGGACAAACCCCATGCACTTACGTGTCGGTCGGCGTGTTCTGATGTTCCACCTGGAGAGCTCCCTCGGTGCGGCAGGGAAGCGCTACTGGCCGCGCTACTGGCCGACTGGTACAATGTCACTCAGGACTCCAAGAGCAGGGCATATCAATAGCGGTGCGCACTTTCTCATCATCGACATGAGTTGCGTCCATAATTCAGCACCTAAGATTGACGCGAAATGAGGGCTCAAATTGGGACTGTTGTGTGCGCGATCGACTCACAAGCTAACAATCCTGAGGATAGCTCTGCTCGCTCCGCGAGCAGGGATAGTTGAGCGTAGAGGAACGAGGTCACCTCGCTGCTTTGCGCAGAGGGTGCATAGCTTTGGAACACATGTGCCCCTACAGCTCCTGCAGTTGTGTGATAGGGTTCAATACGCAACGAACGCACGGACGTCCTGAGGCACCAGCCACCTTCGCCGTCTTGCTGTACAGCGCCTGTCTCTCTGCCGGTCCGTAGGCATATTCAGCTGTTTCCGGGTCCGTTGCAGCTTCGCATAGGCGGTCAATTTGAGCCAGAGTGACGCACTGCACATGGCACGTCCCGACGTCCGCACTCTGCGTTCGTATTCAGCTGGCCCCTCTGTGTAGGGGGTGGGCGGTGTTGCGCGAGGAGCCAGGTCCAGCGAGGCGGGCGTGCATACGACGGGCACGGCCTTCGAATGCGCGTTCGTCACAGTGGACCCCGGGATAGTGAGCGCGAACGAGCTGTGCAGGTGCTTCGCGCGTGTCCGCCATGTCCGACGACAACGCGTGCATTCTGGCGCCTCCAACCGCTCGAAGATGAGTTCTTGCTGTAAGCCCGTAGCCGCGAGAGCGCCATATGGTGGCAGCGTGCCAGACACGCGGCTGCGACGCCATGCACTACTAGCTGCCCCCTCCTCATGGTAATCTGAACGTACTGTCATCGCGAGTCGTCTGAGGGATCTCAGCACAAAGGTGGAGACAGGCCAGTCGCAAACGCGCCCCAGAAGAATCCGCAGCTCGGACCTCGGTAGAAGCTGAAGCATCTGTATTCTGCAGAGTTGCTGCGCGGATATGAGCGGAGCACACCACCAAGTTGCAGTGACCTCCAATTCCACGGCATGGGCGCCTGGACATGGTTTGACAGCGACCGCAACCCGTCGGGCATCGAGAAACAAAAAATGGCGCGGCAGGATAAAGCCAGGACGAACGGTTGTGATTGAGTTTCATATGTTACAACGGTCTGGCGACAATCGGTGCAACAACCACCTGAACGTTGTCTCCCCTAGGCAGCCTACAATAGAGCGCCCTTTTTGATGGTCAGAGGATGGGCTCTCTAAAGGTCTGCTTCAATACGCGCCCCCCGGACCGTAAGACAGCATTTCAAGCGTGCTAACGATTGCCGACTGATGGCCGGGCCATGCCGGCTGATGGCCATCTGAACTTACCGTAGTGTTGGTTGCAAGCTTGTCCACCGCCTTTCATGAAAGCTCGATATGTCGCATCCATACTCACTGTAATGCATGATTCTCTGACACCTCGATCTGCTACGGCAATGCCAATTTCATGTCCCGGCGGTGACACCTCCCCCTCTGGATCGCGGCAATTGGAACTACATAACTCGAAGTCCCCGCGGCATAACTGGTATCCGGCAGGAGAGCTGAAGCGAAAAGGAGCGACAGAGGGATTGGATTCAGATATAGAATAAAAATAAAGATATTCGATGGCATTTGCTAGTTTAGATGTCGCCCGGGACAGGTGTATTGTAGCGAGCCCGCGCGATGCGACGCGTCGCGTCGCGTCGAGCAAGATCTTAACGACGCGTTTCGGAGATGAAATAGCTTACGTAAATCCGAAATCGCGTCTTACTGTCGGGACCCCTCAAATTGAACCAGACTAACCTGAACGCGAGATAAACGCGCGTTTGCTACCAACGTCATCTAATCTTATCGCAATCTATGGCGTTCCTGATTGGGACCCATGCCGATACATTCCTTCCTTCCTTCCTTCTTCACTTATACCTCGGCGACACCGTCCAAAGCTCTTCTGGCGGGCTATGAGCGCCGAGCTTACGAAGGGCAATCCTGCAAGCATGTGAAGACTGCAGTATATTTTGTCATTTGTATGTATCACGTCGTGCTATCGTCGCATCTATCATGAAGAGTACGATTTACGTCTGCTCTATCCATATGCATCAATGCGGATCATCGTCTAAGTCGTGAAAGGAACGCAGGTAGGGATGTGCGTGCACGAGGCGCAAGGCGCCCGAACACGATTATCGGGGCATAATAAAAGGAGAGTATGTATATGCTCTGGGGCGATTACAAACGGGGCGCATACCGTACGCAGGGGGCGATGTTTTTGAGGGCGCGGATCGAAGCGATCGGCGCAGCTGCGATGGCACCGATGTCGGCGATGCGCGCGACTTCGAGCGTGGGGCAGAAGCTCCGGAGGCCGGGACGAGCGACGATCCCCAGTCTCAGTGGGAAGCCACGGCCGAGTGCCGACCCGGGCCCGCGTGGCGCTGCAGGGGGTCTCTGCCCGCTCTGTGCAGTTAGAAATGGCTCGTCGAGTGTCGTCGGAGGCGCCGCGGCGGGGCCTCCCGCGCGGGGGCGCCGCGCCCGGAGCTGTACCCGCCCCCGGTCGGGCTGATCGAGCCGAGGAGGCGCCGGAGGAACGGCGCGCCCTTCTTGCTGCTGCTGGTCGGGCTGCGCGTGCTGCTCCCACCGCGAGAGTGGGAGGCCGTGCGTGAGCGGGCACCGTCGCCGTGCTGCGACACGGGGATCCGGGTGCGTCAGCCGACTGCGGGACGGGGAAACAGAGGCGCACTCACGACGACTTGGACGGCGCCCCGGTGCGGCGGCACGATCACGTATGTCTGCCCTGGGCGTGGTGGGGGCAGGACGATCTGGCGGCCGGAGCCGTCGTACGGGTAGGCGCGGTAGACGGCGCTGTGGCCAGGCGGTGCTGGTGGGAGATTCAGCATGGGTGCCGGTGGGAATGTGATGGGTGGCGGGTACGGGATGGGCTGCGGTGGAGGAGGCGCGGCGTGGTGCGGGCGTGAGGCGGACGCCTCGTGCGCGGGATGTTGGGCGTGCGCCATCGGGAGCGTGCGTGAGCGGGCTGGTGCCGGGCGCGGTCGGATATCGCGGCTCGGAGATACGTATCGAGCCTTCTGCGGTTGTGGTAGCGGCGGCGGCGGCGAGGTGTGTGAGCGCCGGCTGCCGGACGAAGACTTTGGGGGCGACGTGCGCGGGGGAGAGCGGGACTCGGGGATGTGCAGGGGCTGCAGCTGCGGCTGGGTCTTGGAGCGGGCAGGCCGCGAGCGCGTGGAGGGTACAACGGAGGGTGGGTTGCTGGGCGGCACACGCGGGTCTGCGTAGCGTGGTCCGCGCGATACCTGGTCCGAGACCCAGTTGGAGACGCGGGTCTGTGTGGCCAGGTACTTTTCGTAGGCCTCGGGGGAGAAGTCGTACTCGGTCATGGCGAGACGAGCAGGGTGATTGTCAAGCTGGGTGGTGGGCGTGTGTGGGGGAGATCTGCACGCTTGCGGGAGCTTATATGGGTGTGGTGAGGTCCGAGCGGGTGGGAGCGAAGCGAAGCAAGAGACGATGGGATCGAGAAGATTGACACAGGCGCAGGGGGGTATATATGTGTGCAGAATCAGCGCTGCTGAGAGGGAAGGCAAGGTGGGGGGCCAAGGCAGCGCACTATGACGGACTCAGTCTGCCTCGCCCTCCCCGCGCCCTCGCATCCTACCACCCTCCCTCTTTCGGAAGGTCCCTAAAACCCACCACGTGACGCGCGGAAGCAATCTGGGTTCCTGCTTCGACTTCAAATTCGACTTGCACTCCAACGTCCATGTCCATGTCCTGCAGCCCAGCCTGCGCTGGACATCGCCTCACCCGTGCCTCTTGTCTCAGCATTGAAGACGGCCTGTGCTCAAGCGGCGCCAATTGATCTCTAGAAGGTGTCTCAGGCCCTCGGAGGCGGTCTGGCAAATTTGCCTCCGTTCCCGTCCTGCGCTTCTCGCGCGCTTGGAGCTGTCTCGAAGCTCAGGTCGCCCGACTGCCTTCCTGCGCTTTCCAAAGCTGTGCCGTGCCGAGCTCCGACCCCTCATATCTCAGACCCCAATGTCATTTATACGCCTCGGTGTCGGCCTGTGCTGCTGACCGCTTCCACATATCGCTGCACCACTCGACTTGTCCCCCCCGCTGCCTTTCGTGTATGTCCTCCCGTCCGCCCGGTCATTTGACAAGCGTTCAGACACATTTCCTCTCACAGCACCGCAAGCCTTCCCGTGCTTGTCCTCCCTTAATGTGCGTCTATCTGCCGCTTCCCAATCAGATCCCAATTGAGCTGGAAGACCGGTGTGAACGCATCCTCGCCCGCTGCCCACTCCAGCCCCAGCTGACGACATCGTGGCTCTGTTGCACTGGCGCCCGGTCGCAGACGCATCCCGCGCAGCCAATCTGCGCGCCCGGAAGCACGCTGCGCGGTCACAGGACCCGCAGTGCGCCCCAGGTCGCCCGCGCGCGGGCAGCTGTGCAGCCATGACGTGCGAAGTTGCCCGTACCAGATGTCTGCGTCTGCGTGCGTTGGGGAAGGTGGGTCTGTGTCTGCCGCACGCTGGGCCAGTGTGCGGATTCGCTCGCGTTCCTTTGCGGCTGCCTCGTTGGCGCGTGGCGCGCTCTAAGCCCGCATGGGCGGCCAGCTGACCTGTGCGGCCGGCAGGCACGCGGTTGTCAGATAATATGATAGCAAGGCGTTGAGGGCCGCGTTCTCTACCGCCACAAGGCACCATCTGCTCGCGCGCTATTTATGCACGGCTGAGTTGAACAGGCTTCTCGGCTTCGCTGTTCGGGAGGGGGGGGGGCCTGCGGCCACGCACAGTCGTCCACAACGCCCTGCGGGTTCTTGTGCTCTTCCTTTTGATGGGACGGACGCTTGCGCGCGTCCTTCACGCTATGTCCGATTTGTGCCGATGTGGGCGAGGGCGCCCCGTGGGGCAATTTGTCCTGCGGGGGGGATGATTGCTCAGGGACGCCTCCATGCTGCGCTCGTTCGAGAACATGCTCGATCGCCTTTGGGGACAAGGCGCGTATCGCGGCTAGACGACCGCAGCGCTCGCGGGAGCGCGCGTGTATCTCCTGTCTTCACGGCCACGCTACGTTGAAGTGGACCCTCTATCCCCGAACCGGAGCGGAGTGCGGTGCATCCATGCATGCATACCAATTTGCCTATGAGACAGCCATGGGACCTTGCCACAATACCTCTGGTAGCATCTGAGGGCGTTCCGTCCACTGGATGTGGCGTGATTGTTCGGGTTACCCTGGCGAGCGATCACGGCGGGGCGAGTTCTGGACTGCGCTCTCACAGAGATACTCAGGCGATGTTGCGAAGTTATGCGCCGCGACGGCCTCTGTTGGCACCGTCTGGGCAGACTCGCCCAGCGGTAGGGCTCGCGTCTCGCATATAGGCCACGATTGTGTTTAACTTGCGTGTAGCGCCTTCCGCCTTCCTTGATCAAATTCACGGCACACATGTCTTCTAGTGGCCCGTGGCACGCGGAACAATTGCGGCCTGTCTGCCCAGAGAATGTCGTATCTGTGCGTTAGAGAGGGCTGATCTCCTCTGTCGCATGTTGTAGTAGTACTACTTCGAGGTCTTCTGTGGCTGGCTTATCATGTGTGGGGCGCTCCATGCCCACATCGGGTTCCGGGTTCTTGTCGCCACAAGGTACAATCTATCCGCGCTCATTAATGTGTGGCCGACCGAGGTGAACGCCGTCGCAGTTCGGCGCACTATTGTCCGCAACGCCGTGGGGCTCCCCCCTTCTTGCATGAAAGCCGTCCGAGAGTCGGTCCAGGGAGCGTTCGTTCAGGGACACTCATGCCTGTCTACTCTTCAAGCTGGCACGATCACCTTCGAAGCTAGGCAAAGCGCTCGTTCTTGTTCCACTCTAAGCGGCACAGTGTGCATGCTGTATCTTTGCACTGAGACTGTCGCAAGGACACTTGCGGCGACACTGCGAAATGGAGGCCGTTAGCCTTTTGATGCTGTTGCGTAGCGAGTTTGCTGTGCCGCCGGGGAACCGGGTGTCCTGTACATGTGTCTGCGCGACAAATTTGTGTCTAATGTAACTTTGCGTACATGTATCCAAGCACTTTGTTTTATATATCAAATGGCTTGTGGTGAGAGCACCGACGCGTGCTGATATTGAGAAGCAAACATCAGTATTTGGCACATCATGCAAGCCTCCTGTTGCCGCGCCTTCTCCCACCGTTTTCCCATGCAGGATGCAGCAAGAGAGGGAGTTCGGCTGGGACATGAGCTTTCGTTCTGGGCGCAGGCACCTGGTCACAGTTCCACCTCGAAACCGTGAGGACATAGCTCGTTTGCAAGGACATCGACGAAAAGTGTTCTGTGGTACAAGAGATGACATTCGTTTACGCAGTGCATTGTAGAAAACTGGATAGCAAGTACACAAGTCTTTATTTCCCCTCGTGCCACCCCTAGTTGCCCTTGTGGCTATCCTCATCCCATTTACAATCTCTGCTTGACATGTACCAACAAGAGACCTCCGACGTGCCGAGTGCCCTCTGGATATCCTTCACAGTCTCCAACGGCAATACCTTGTCCAGGCTATAGTTTGTGAACAAAGTGATGATGACCTTGCTACCGGGATCCAGCGCCTTGTATACGGTGGTGTACAACTTCACGTTGCTGGCATACTTCTCCAGCTGGTTCTGTTGGAGTATATGGGCGATGGCTTTCAGCATAGACGCTGCACGATCGGCTTTGCGGTCGTCCCACTTGGAAAGAGTGCGTGTCGATCCTCCGTCTTCCTCGTCTTCCTCATCTTCCTCGTCTTCCTCATCTTCCTCGTCTTCCTCATCTTCATCTTCCTCGTCTTCGTCTCCCTCATCTCCCTCATCTTCCCCATCTCCATTATCACCATCCCTGCCATACTCTTGATCAGATTTCGGGGGTACCCACCACCTCTCGACGAGCTCATTCTGAACTGCATAATCCAGCAGTTTATCATCATTGGCATGCCAACCATACATGAACAGGGGAGGATATGGCTTGGCATCTATGTCCGGCTTGAGACACAGGGGTAGCATAGTGAACGGTTTGATCTTTGTGAGTGCAAGCCAATCCTAATAGAAGAGAGTGAGAAACGAGTCAGATGGCACCAACAATAATGGACCCGCCTCTCGCTCGCTCGCATAACCAGATAACACTTTCTTGAGCAGGGCTAGGCATTCAACGTCATCATCCGACTGAGCTACATATGGATTCATCTTGGACGTAGGCACTGGTCGAGGATTTGGAGCTGTGTTACTGGGCATGTTAGCACTCGTCTTTTACATACACTAGTTTACGCCGAGACTAGTACTGTCGCGGAAACACTCACGCGACACTACAGAACTTTGGTCGTTAGCTTTATTGACGTTTTGGTGTAGAAGGTAGCGAGTTTGCTGTGTCACCGGAAAGCGGGGTGTCCTATGTCCGCGCGATAGGCTCCTGTTTAGTGTGTGTACATGTATAATAAGCACTTTATCTTATTCTTCTGCAGACGAGTACTTTTGACATTAATACCATATGCTTAAAGTGTTCCTCGCAGTGGGGATACGAAACGAGGAGTATGTCAAATTGAATAGTGCCACTGGAGTAAATTGGCGGCTTTGCACATGGGTAGATGGACATAGTAGTCGGGGCTGTATATTGTCAATCAATTGACAGCTTGTGCCGAGAGCAGGCCATAACTCAGTGTATAAGGGCTTATGTTTACCGTCATCTCAATATTGAATACATTCATATGTATGATTTGTGGCAAGCATATGGAGAGACATTCGAGTTACAAGCAAGGAGTGCCGATGGCAAGCTTCATCGCCCTACCCAGCCAACTCCCCTGTTTATAATCAATCCCAATCCCATTCATTGCTTGACAAGTACCAACGACGGGGTTCCTTGGTCCCTCGAAGAGCCCTGTAAATCTTGTCCACGACATGGTCATCGTGTACATGTGGCAGGGAGTCATAGCTTGTGTAGATAGACTCCGAGATAGAGATCAACCTGCTATCGCCGTTGTACAATGTGCTGTTGATCCTGATGTTCTCGGCATATTCTCCTGTAGAAACGAGTGTCGGCGTCGGGTTCGAATAAGCGAGCGCGAAGGTTTACGGAAGCGAGCGGCGCGGGAAAAGATCAAATACGAAGCGGTTTGTCTCGTCCTCAGGGCGGGGAGGCAAACGCGCGAGGAAACTACATGCGGGAAACTCGACCTAATATAGCAAAACCTTATCTAAATAAGGTACGAAGGAACAAGGCACTATCGCGCCGCAGCGCGGCACGTCGGCGAGCCGGTAGTCGGGCATGTGCTCGTCCGGTTGTTCCAACATCTCCGAGTTCATTGTCGTGCAGAATCATGTCAATTGCCATATTCAATGTCGGAATGAGGCTACCCTTGGGGTGAAGCTTGAGGAAGGCGGACAGTGCTTTGTCCTCCATATCGTTGCTGCTTTCTTCCTCCTCCCTCGCCTCTTGGGCCCTCTCCTCCTCTATTTCCTCCTCGCTGATGTCTTCGTGCGAAAGGCGTGGGAAGTGCCTCAGCTCGTCCTCGAGTGAAGTTTCGAACACGACAGCATTGTGCTTCGTTGCGTATTCCACCAACTTAGCCTCGTCAGGAATCCACCCATAGATAAACATGGGGGGGGCTTGCGTCCGGGGAAGCATTTCTGACCGGGGACGAGTTCGTGCGGGAGTTCGTCAAATGGCTCGACCTTTGACAACACCGATGCACACTGATAAAATAAACCAATATCAATATCTCTCATCTCATGCAAACCTCCCGTACACGCACCTCCTGCAATGTCATACCTATCGTGTAGTTAGGTTCCAGCTCCAGCGGGATTTCGGTTTCAACACGAGCTTCCGTTATGGGCGCAGGCATCTTGGGTGACAGGTCACAGTTCCACCAACGATAAGGACACAGCTCGTTCTCAAGGATGTCGAAAAAAGGTGGCGTGGCTATTTGCTTTTTGATGCTATGGTGGCGTGGCGAGTCTCATGTGTCCTTGCGTGATAAACTCGTATCTAACGTGTCATTACGTACATATATAACACTTCATTTTGTACTTCTTGGGACAAGCAATCTTGATACTATCCTCAAGTATGTCTTGTGGCCATCATCGTGTATGGGTTCGTGGCAACACATAGAGATACAATACATTTACAAGAGGACGGTGACCAACTTCATCACCTCATTCCGACTAGCCGGTCAACTCCCCTTTTAATAATTACCACTTCCAGTCCCATTCCATGCTCGACAAATACCAGCGGCGTGGTTCGTTGGTTCCCCCGAGAACCTCGTAGATCTTGTCCACAACATCATCAGAGGGTGCCTGTCGCAGGCCATAGATAGAGATCACCCTAGTAACTTCGGCGTACGGCGTGGAGTGGATCTTTATGTCCTCGGCATATTTTTCCAGACCCGCCTCGCACAGCACCACGCAAATGGTCTGGTTCCACGTCCGAATAAGGCTCCCGTTGGGGTATCGGTTGAGGAAGGTTGACAATGCTTTGTCCTCCTTAGCGTTGCTGCTATATTTATCCTCCATCTTCTTTCTCCTCTCCCTGTCTCTCCTCTCCTCCTCTAATTCGTTCTCATCTTCATCCGGAAGGGGTGGATATTGTAACAGCTCCTCCTCGACTGAACTGTCAAATATGACAGTGTCATGCTCCGTTGCATATTCGAGCAACTTAGCTTCATCAGGAATCCACCCATACATAAACATGGGAGGTTTAAGTAGGAGATGGTCCGGACTTGGGACAAGTTCGTGGGGGAGTACATCAAATGGCTCGAGCTTTGAGAATGCCAATGCGCACTAATGTCAACAAATCAATACCAATACCTCTCGCGTCGCGCAGGCCTCCCATACACGCACCTCCTGCAATGGCCTTCCTTTGATGTACTCAGGTTGCAGCTCCAGCGGGAGTTCGGTTCTGACATGAGCTTCCGTTATGGGCGCAGGCATTTTGTCCGAGTTGACACGTCACTGCTTCATCTCCCGAACACATGCTTTCAGTTGCACGAGTTTCAGAACACGCGAGTCATTGTGTCAGCGGCCTCCGCCTGCCGACAAATTGTGAGTACTACATCCCTTCTGTGGTATGGTACAAAAGACAATTTGGGGTTACGTAGCGCACAGGCGGAAAGACGCATAGCAAGCACGCAAGCCTTTATTTCCCCTCATAGTTTCGCTCCGCAATGCCCTTGTTAGCATCCTCGTTCCACGCAACATATTTGGTCGATATGTACCAACGACAGCGACAACCCTCCGGCGCCTCGAGTGCCTTCTGGATAGCATCCACCGTCTCGAAAGCCAATTCCTTATCCAGGCTGTAATTTGTGAATAAAGTGATGATGACCGAACTGTCGTGGCCCAAAGCCTTGTACAAAGTGTTGTGTAACTCCACATTGTTGGAGTAGTCCCCCAACTGATGCTTCCCGAGTAAATCGACGATGGCTTTCTGCATGAATTCTCTGTCATGGACAGAGCTCTTGCGTCGTCGAGGAGCGGTGCGTGTTGATTCTGCATTGTGGGATTGTTGCGTACTGCTGTGATCTTCGTTCGCTGTCTCCTTTCCTTCCTTTCCTTTCCTTCCTCCTTTCCCTTTCTTCTCTTTCTTGCTTTTCTTTTCATCAACCGCCGCAGTGAGACCATTCAAAGCGGCATAATCCAGCAGTTTGTCCCTGTCGGCGTACCAGCCGTACATGAACAAGGGAGGATGTAACTTAGAGCCTTTCTCCGGAACGAGACGCAGGGGAAGTTTAGTGAACGGTTCGATTTTCGATATTTCAATGAAGTCCTATGAATGTAGCGTAAGAAATGAGCTGAATGACACCAATAGCGAAGTAGAAGACCCACCTCCCTATTGTCCATATGGTCGTAAAGTACTTTCTCGAGCAGAGGTGGGCATTCGACTTCTTCATATGACTGAGCTATAGTTGCATGCATGTTGGATGTTTGCTTTCTCATGCAGGCACTAATAAAGAATTTGAAGCTGGGATGTTAACGGTCATATAAGCCTCGACGTTCATATCACCTGGAGAGGGCATTTACATCGAGGGCCAACATAGTCTTTTACGAATTTTATCAAGGATGTCCCATATGTTGATGATGCATGCGCACATTCCTCAGATGTAGCAATCGTACGATTGTTGCTAAGGACACTTGTTGAAGCGGGAAGTTGAAGCGGGAAGTAATCTCACTTCAAACACGTTGTCACGAGGAGAACCTGCGAACGGCGAAACTAGACGCCCAGAGGCTCGGGTCCTACTTTCCGACCTTCTGTAGATCTGCGGAGTAGGCGTCCCTAGCCCCTCTGAGTGCTTGCACTGTGCACCGACATCAGTTCTTCTGCTCATTAGCGAGCGACATACGTATTCCGGAATACTCGTCTGATCACCATCACAATGCCGCATAAGCGTTCCAAACGCTCCTTGCGAGAGAAGCAACGCTCGGCATCGTATGTCATAGCATCCATTTACCGTATTCGCTGCACTACATTGTTCCCAGATCTCTCAATCTACCGCCAACATCAACCAATGCAATCGAGAAAGAAGATATACCAAAAGGAGCAGCACGCATTTTGTACGCGAACAAAATCCAAGAAGAATACCGGGATCGCAAGCGCAAGGCACAGGTGGACGGAGCGGAGCCCGATTCGCAGGGCCAGGGATCACGCAAGAAACAGAGGCGGAGCGAGGCCGACGGCGATGCGCGAAAGAGCGGGAAGGTGGAGATGAAAATTCAGCCGGGGGAGTCTATGATGCATTTCAACCGGTATACCCACACCATATTATTATTGTATGCCGATGAGCTCAACATAAACTGACACGGTCGCTCCCCACTCAGGCGGGTGGAAGACTCGATGCGCGGTGTCGTGCGCACAGCTATGAAGCACTCCTCCACCGTGTCGCGCAAATCACGAAAGGAAGAGGAGGAGGCCCTCCGCTCCGCGAAAAGCGCAGGCAAGAAGCCTCAGCCAGCTCGCTCACAAACGCCCGAAGCCCTACCTGCGACTCAAGACAGCCATAGGGCATCTAGCCGAGAACATGGGCCTAAGGACTTTGAGCGCCTCTCCACCTCCGCGCCGAAGCGTCTGAACGACATCGTGCTGGCGCCGCCAGACCTCAAAAAACTCCCCCGCGGCGCGAAGCCAAAAGCACCCTCCACAGGGGCGGGCGAAGTGGCGTCGACACTCAGACAGGGCGCGCTGTCTATGGCGCAGAAGGCAATGCTGGAGGAGGAGCGCGTTAGGGTGGTCAAGCTCTATCGGGAGATGAAGAAGGCGAAGGCGGGCGGATAATGTCGCCGGAATGAATGTTCTTGGTACGAGTTACCTGCACTGCACAATTTATTGTTCAAAGTCATATAGTCATATATGAAGGCCCCAACCACGACAGAGAACACACCGACCCACAGGTAAGTGCATGCGGTTTGTTCATGAATGTGTATCTGAGCTCAAGTTGGACAGCCTCCCGAAACGGCCCCACCAAAGGCAACCGCAGGAATGGTACGCGACTGATGCTCTTGACAAGATTGTTCTGACAGTCTGGCAGGACGCATGTAGTCGGTACTAGACCCGGAGACGTGAAAAACATATCTCGAGCAGGCATCGGAGCGCCAGAATTATCACGTGGACCGACTCAACTTTTCAATGGTTATGCTGCTCCTCTTCGAACGTTTGATGCGAATGTGGGACCGCACCCTGGGGTCCTTACAGGCGGTTTGCTGTTACTGCGTCTCTGAGCCGTGTCTAGCCAGGTTTGTACCGTACATGTTGTTGACGCTGAAGTCCCAAGAACGTTCATATATCTCGGGCACAGTTCCTGATGGCGAGTAAACCTGCAGGTCACTACTGCACCACTTGTATTCAATTTATTTGCCGTACTGCATATAGTCATACTTTCTCGACTGCCTTCGGCTCCGACAATGTTCTCAGCCTCATTTGAGTCGCATGCATATGATGCCTGCTAGCTCACAATGTACGTTTATCCACCACTTCTTATCATATCGCAGCTACGCCAAAGACCCGCTCTACAGGCACACTCGCCTGCGGCCCATTCCGTCCCTAGCGGACGACATCGTGACATTACTACACAGGTACTCTGGCCAGCACGCCTTGTTCAAGTTCTGCGGCCACAGTACCCGCGATGAGCCCCAAGCTGCTCGCGTGCAGGCGGCTGCCCAACCATACCCTGCGAGGACCTCAAAAAGAGACCTCTCGTTACTGTGCGGAGGATTCATCTGTGTCCGCGGCAGGCTAGTCGTATATGCGGTTTCGTGAGAGTTTCCTTTTGCGATCTCTTTATCGCGCGTGAGGCGTCCCAAGCCCTCACAGCTGACACAGCCTAATATGCACAGTTGCCAGAAATGCTTCAAATCCTCTCTACCGGACCATGACACCGGCGAAACGCACCACTTACATGTGGCCAGAGTGGAAGTTTCTTCACTTCGCACGAACCTGCAGCCACTTCATCTATTCACAGCCCGTTGTGTGTTCTGTTCTCGCCTAAGTTGATATGAGCACTTCATATCATACATTTCGGGCGACTATAGAACTCGATTCGGCTCCGTCATTTCTGGTTTATCTCACAACAAAGTGGTCGTTCCATTCGTTCTCTCAGCCACATGCTTGTGGTTATGCCGATTTCATGAGGCGGCAATCCGTACTACCTGTCTTGCCTTGTGCCTCAGACGCCATTTACCCTACTCCCACGCCCACCTGTCATTTGATATGTACCAACGAGCTTCTCCTTCTCCTCCAAGGCCCTCCTTCATCTTCTTGATGTCGTCGTCCGTTGGAAGCGAATGAAGTAGATCATCGTTCGTGTATATGGATAGCACGAAGGAACACCCGCCTATGACTGTGCACCCCACTTTGACAAGGTGTGTGTATTGTTCAAGGCCCAGTTTGGTGAATATGTCATCGATAGCCAATATGATGACCGTAAAGCTATCCGAAGGGTCACCAAGTTGGCCGTCTTGTTGCGTCCCAGTGACTTGCTCCTCCGGGCTTGCCGTATCTCCAACTGTTAACGAGTCTCTGCTCCGATCTTCGATTTGCTTCCCGCTGCTGCAAACATGTTCAGCTTCAGCTTCATCCTTCTCGCCATCTTTGCCCTTCTCGCCATCTTTGCCCTTCTCGCCATCCTCGCCATTCTTTTTCTCTCTGATCGGATCCTTATCCTCGTCCTCTTCTGAATAATGTTCAAACAATTCTCCTTCGTCCGATAGTGAGCTCTCAGGCTCTATTTCGAGATGATTATCGTGTGCATATTTGAGCAGAAAAGCCTCATTTAAGGCCCACCCGTAATGAAATTGGGGGGGCTCTATCCTAGCGCGGTCTTTCGGCACGAATATGTTGGGAAGTATAAGGAAAGGCTCCAAGCCACACAGTGATTTACAATTCTAAAAATATCACATCCGTATGAGAACAATGTACTATTGTATCCCGTACACGTACTATGTTTTTCGTCCAGTACTTCGGGCTTAGCAGCTTTGGATATTGGATGACTTGGTCGGGTCTGGCTACAGATGTAGGCAGTTGTACGGTTTGTTCTCTCCTGCCTCGTCTGTGCTGCATGGGCGCGAGGAAATAACTGGAAATAAGCACCCCGTCTTGAAAGAGCGGGCCGCTGTCCACACGCTGTCGCCTTCGGGTCTACACGGTCCTGCCGTGCGACAGTCACTCTGATGTTACCATATTAGGAAGTACATCTGCTGCCACCCTCTGAAAACCATTCTGCCACCTGCGATAACAATTGCCTGGCGGGCAGAAACACCTGGCAGAGTCAACAACGCTAATCGTTCCTCAGGCTGGACGTGTAATTGACTGTCATTGAAACCTTGCTCGGCACGTTGCACAAGTGTGTTTGCAAGACCATGCTCGCCTCGCTGCTGGCGGGCGTTGCCACCTATTATACCCTGAGTCTAAAGAGTCGTTCTCGCGGCTTTGTGCCAGTACAAGCACCATTCGTTCCCTCACGCTGCACAAATTTTGTGTAGAAGACCTCAACTCATCGATCGATGCAAAAATCATGAACAAAGATGCAGTTGGATCGTGAACGCGAGGCTTGCGAACATGGTTATGAGCAACTCCTCTGGTACCACCCATAGTCAAGGAACATGTGAACTTTGGACGCACAGCCTTGTGACTCAAAACGGTGCGATGCTGTACATCAACATTATGCCGAGACGCTGCCTGTCATCCTGAATATAATTCATATACAGTTACGTCAGATGGCTGTTAGCAGAGTAGCAGGTATATGATGGAACAGATCTTCAGTCTTCATCATCCTTGAACTATCTGCCCCTCGGCATCATCCCCCGAACCGCTGTGTAACTCTAGAATCATCAAATCCCGCGCGGAATGTAACTTCATATTTTGATAATAGGGATAAACGGCTGACTAACATAAACCAACGCAGAAAGGCCGCTATGGAGAGCTGGTCCTCAGGCTATGACACGCCGAGGCCAGATGGCAAGGCGACAACACAGCACGACAAGGCAAGTCGCGCATGGTTATATCTTGGTATTTCATAGAACCTTTGCTCACTGCGCCTTTAGTCCGGTCTTCGTGCTGAAACGTGGAAATTGTACATTGAACAGGCAATCAAACAGGAAGAAGAATACCTCAAAGCATGTAACATGGAAATGGACACAATGCTTCTATTTGTGCGTGACGTCTTTTGCTCAGTTGTATCGGATTTGATTCACGATGCATCGTTACAGGCAACTCTGTTCTCCGGGGTGCTTACTGCCTTCGTCATCGAATCCTATCCAAGCCTGGAGGCGGACACCGGTGACGTGGCCGTTCAACTATTGCAGCAGATCCTCGTCACCCTGCAAGCAAATAGTACCGCGCCACCGACGGAGACCATTCATGTCGACCAGTTCTTCCAGCCCGACAGCTCTGCTGTACGCGTTAACTCGTACTGGTTTGCCGCATTGGTTGTCAGTATCTCGACCGCATTCCTCACCATCCTCGCCAAGCAGTGGCTCTTCAGTTTGAGTCGGGGATTAGCATCCACTGAGGAAATGATGGGGCGGCAACAGCAGTATCGACACGACAACCTGAGCGCCTGGAGGCTGGCCCCGATCCTGCTCGCGCTTCCCGTCCTGCTCCATATATCACTATTGCTGTTCCTCATAGGCCTAGTGGAGTTTCTCCTACCGATCAATAAAATCGTCGCCACTGTCGCCGGAAGCCTTGCTGCGGCCACTATCCTATTCTACGCCATCACGCATATCGTATCTCTCGTTCGCCCTGCCTGCCCATACCGGACCTCCGTTACAAATGTAATCCTCGCCTGTAATGATTCCTTCTTCAGGGAGGTGATGGCCGATTGGTGGAGTATCAAGACTGTCATCGAGATCCGGCTCCCCATGTTCATCCGATCATGGCTTCGGTCGCTGTCCGCAGAGAGCCTGGAGGCCTACGACTACACTATCGGCGCTCTCGGACACCCAGGCTTGTGGAGAAGGAAGAACAAGGCTTGGTGGTCGCAAAAGCTCTCAAGGATATTCACGCCGGAGTACTGGGAGGACAAGTACATCGCGAGCAACGCAGAGGAGATAGATGCTCGCGCGCTTGCGAGAATGGTCAAAATGTTCCCGCGCTCGGAGGCATGCCCTCAGCTTCTCGTGGAAGATCTCGTCCGATTCCGCGGTCTCGTGGCACACAGAGACATCCTGCTCGAGGCGGGTGCAATTGGATTAGTAGTGCGAAACCTCCGCAGCATCTACGGAGGGGCTTTGGGTAACTTACCTGCGGAAACACGGGAGGTGGTTTTGCGCTTGGCCGGCGCGCTGGCACGAATGGTGACCGAAGCCGAAGAAGACGACCCCCGCACCCCCGTGCGTATCTCAGGTATCCCGCTTCCCTTGGATCCTGCAATTGCCAGCGACGTTCTGCTCGGCGATGATGGCATCAGATCCTTGACTGCCTCCAGCCTGTGCGTGCCTGACGCGCCTGTCCGCGACCACGGAAATCTCACGTTCTTCGCGAACATGCTGCGGCTTCACCTCGTAGTCTCCTCTGACCAATGGTACTGGCGACCGATCAAGACCTCAGTCGAAGGGTTTCATAACCGCATACTAGATCGGCTCGAAATCACCAACCTTGGAGATGAGCACCTCCTTACGCTTGTCAACACCACAATTTATATCGCCATGCGACCAATTCAAGTGGAGTCGGACAGTATTCGCGCCTGGGCAGAGGATCGTCCTCAAGCGCAGAACTCGGATCGTGCGCTGGAGATTTTGACCACGATCATGCTCCAGAACCCGGGCATGGGGCATGCCGTCCGGCGTCAGATCTGTTGGGGAATCTGGCGATGCCACAAGCAAATACCGGCCCGCGGCAAATACATACAGTTCGGATCGCTCATTCCTATAGTGGCGAAGACAGAGCACTTGGCAGAGCATCTGGCCGACTTCTTGGCATCTCCTAAAAATCACATTATTGCCATTGGTTCCCCTGTCCAGCGTGCGGTGCTCGCTTTAACGGAGGGGCTGATGCGTTCCTCTTCCAAGGAGACCGTGGAGGTCGACCAGCGTGACAGAGACCGACTCCTTTTTACCCTGACGAACGCATTGCCAGACTTCCTGGACGTGTTGTGTCTACAATACTGCGAAGGGGAGATCTCTTCACTTATCTCTTTTTTCCGACAGACCGCCACCATCTGTGTTCTGATACTCTCTGCTGAAGGCGGCGACAACGCTGAGAGGCCAGTCCTGGACAAGAAGCGCCTCCTGCGCTCGTTATGTGGGCTACTAGTGCAAGTAGCCCGCGGAGCCGGGCAACCCCCGACTCCCACACGTCGCCAGTCTAGGACATCGTTAGTCCAGGAGAAAGATTCAGCGTCACATATCCAGGAGATGACAGCACCTGCGCACACTCTACCTCTCACTCGTACCTCATCAGGAGCCTCATTCACCCAGGAAAATGTGACCGATCCAGTCCATGAAGTGGCGGTCTCGAATCTAGACGGCATGACATTCGATTCTCAGCCCGGTTCGCAAACGAGTGACAATGATAGCCTTCGGCGTATCGCATACGGTACTGCTTGCCAAATCGCACTTCTTGAGCTGTCGGCCAAGAAAATCATTCAGGACGTACCACAACACAAGCCTGCCTTTGAGGCCGTTTCTACAGAGACACTCGTCAAGGAGGGGTTTCTACCTGTTCTGCATGCCGCACCGTCACTGTCCACATATTCAGAGGAGATAAAGACGGTGCTATCTATCATTGCGACCTTATCCTGCAATCGCGATGCAACCGTTCTCGACATGGAGATCCTGAAGGCCCTGCGCGACCCATCGAACGCGATGCCGGATCTACTCCTTCGATTAAACCACATACAAGGGTACAAGGACTGCCTTGATGCAGCGTTACACAACCTTGTGGAAACCCTTGCATGATCAATACTGCTATTGTAATACTGTCGATCCACGAATGAGCACGAGGCACGCAAATACATTAGATGCACGAATGCAAGAGACTTTCTACTAGATCATGACTGAAAGATGTATGCAGGACTCTTGCCAGCTGGGAGATTTAAAAAAAGCACCAACAGAGAACATTCTGATGAGGCGGAGACTGGATGTATACACGACCTACAACATTACTTTCATGGTTAAGGCCTTGCAAACCTCCATATCCCACTGGAGTATCCTGATCAAAGTAAACTTTTTAACATCGTGAAGAGCTCAAGAAACTCGAAATTATCCATCGTATACTGACTAAGGAGGGCACTACTTCATGACACAAAAGCAGAATCGATGACTCGCTGCTGCTGTAACCGGTACACTTGACTGATACCCGGCGCAGGAACGGAATCCATCCGCCTTCCAGCATACGATACCCGCCAGTCATCTTTGATGCTTTGTAGAACAACGTCAATCCTGGACGCGACATGCGTCCATGCTCCTTGATTCTGGGGTTCTTCTTGCAGCCATACGAACTCCTTTGCATTGGAATATTGTTCCAGGATGAGTCGCAGACTCTCAAAGGGGAACGGACAGAGCTCCTCAATCCGGATAAACGCCACGGAGTTGACCTGCCGCTGCTGACGCTCTTTAACCAGATCGTAGTATAGTTTTCCGGAGAGCATGACGACGCGCTGGACAGAAGCCTTATCGGTCAGCGAGTCGCCCAGGACGGGCTCAAAACGAGCACCAGGCTCCATAGATGTCATCGACGACGCTGCCGCCTGCTGGAGATCAGCTAGAACCCAACGATACAATCTGCAGACAACACACCGGTAGCCGTAACAGGCCTTTTGGAGACGCTACGACAAGCGGCTTTCTAAAGTTCCTGAGCATCTGTCGGCGTAATAGGTGGAAGTACTGTGCAGGTGTTGTCGGGTACACAATGTGCATATTGACGTTACCCGCTGTCGTCTCATCGGGACCATAGCGGTCATTCGTAAGCTGCAGTATTCTTATAAGAATGCAGCTTCAAATACGCTTAGATTGCTCACCTGCAACATACGCTCTATACGCGAGGACGAATGTTCGGGACCAGCGCCATCCAGACTAGGTACCCCAAATGATTATGACATCAACCAGTGAAACTGTTAACGAAAGGCTTCATAGATTGATAAAGAAACGCACCCGTGAGGGAGGAGTAAAACAATGCCACTTTGTTTCAGCCATTTGGCTGCGTGACAGTACTCAGTTAGCTATAAGACGGGTCGACGCTGAACAACTCACTTTCAGCAGAGGAGACGAATGTATCGATAATGACCTGCAAATCGTGGTATGTTCAGTTCCAGTGGAGCTGGAATCTTGTCCAATAACAAAGGAGTCACCTGAGCTCCGTTGAAGAAATCGCCAAACTATCGTTGTTGCGCATTAGTTATCACGGCATGTGCAGCACATGTAAGAGATCAGCTAATCACCTGTGCCTCCCATATAGGTAGTATGTCAGGCCGTTCCCAGCTCACGCCGTACTCGTACTGATGATTATGGTATCAACACGTTGACATTTGGGAATAAGTCTGAATAACATACGCCAAGGACGGCCATCTCGCTGAGGGAACCTAGCACAATCGATAGCGCAAATGTCAATGGGAGTTGAGCACGTTATCACTATTCAGACACTCACTGTTCGCAAGTTCCAGTCTACCGGTGGAGTCTAGCCCTGCATTAAGGGGAACAATCACATCCTCCGTATTCTGATCAACCAGCATCGCGTGCCTTGTTGTAAACAGCTTCTGTGAGCGACTGCCGCACATGGGTCGCACAACGGACTTACCGTTGACTGAATGTTCCTCGTCCTACGTCTTGTCCCGAGATCCGGATATCGTACCCCTCCAACATCAAGGAGCCAAAGGCCAAGGCCTTGTGATTTAGCCAGCTGTGTCAGAGCATCCGACCGCTTGTACAGACAAAGCCCTTACTGACCTCTGCAGTCGCCCAATCCAGACCCTCGCCCTTGTCCAGAGCACGGAGACGGCTGCTCACGTGTCGCTGTAGACGTGGGTGGATTTCCTGTAGCAGAAAAGGATCTGGAGTTAGATAGGTCAAACTCAGCACTTGGCGCACGCACAAAACCCTCTGAAACGGAGACGCTGGCCCTTCCTACGCGTAGTAGAACCTCACGGTCGACGCCAGTCTCAGGGTCTCGGACGGCATTATCATCGGCTGGCCAGACTAGCCCTTTCCATTGCTCTTGTAACATAGAGACAGCATGGCTAACCGGATCGTAGCTGTCAGCAGCAGACAGCTCAGATGCGAGTTTTGCTTTGTAAGAGCTTCGCATTGTAGCTGCCTCCTCATGGCTCATGGTTCCATCCGACTAGAGTCAAGGGAGCAAGTTGAGGTGTTGAGGTGAATAGACGTCGAATTCGTCAGTCAAAGCAGGAGCGGTATCACGGAAAAACTCACAATAAGCTGTTCCTCATATAGGCTAGGGACAGATCGCCTTGAGCGAATCTTCTCATACATCAAGGGCTGTGTGAAAGAGGGCTCATCAAGTTCGTTATGTCCCCTAAATAAGAACATCGTATGAGGTTGTAAGGCCATCCATAGGCATAAGACCTACCAACGGCGGTAGACCAACAGATCGACGATGATATCCTGGTCAAAACGCACAGAGTAAACACTCATTGTGTCATGAGGTAAAGCAGGGATGTTCGCACCTTGCGGAAATGGGTCCTGTACTTGAAGGCGACTTCGATTGCTCGAGCGACATCTATAGGAATTTATAGACGTGAGGAATGGTCGCAAAAGTATTCAGCAGCCGCGTTGCACCTTCAGGATGGTCTCCATTCACATGAAGTATCGGTGCATTAATCATCTTGCCGATATCTGACGAGTAAAGCCCTGAGTGTGCCCCTGAAGCAGGTGTCGTGTACCCAATTCTGTGCATGCCGATAGTTCAGCTCAGGTAGTGGTGTGAATTGCCGTGTAGCCTACCCATTGCTAGGAGTCTGGATCAGTGCAAGGTAGTAATGGATTAAACGAGACTTACTTGACAACGATGTGAACTGTCCCGCCGACTGTGAAGTGCGGCAGATTGCCTGCACAATGTCACCTGAGACAGTTGTTTATTAACGACAAGAGGATGCACATACTTAGTCCCAGGCTTTCCATGACAACTCCTTGTCCCGTGAAGCTTGCGTCTCCATGCAGTTGTACGGACAGCACTTTGTCCCCAGGAAAACATTGGTTTAGTGGAGTGCCCGCCTGGAGTAAATCCTTCAGGAGAGCGAACTGCTTCGCACGGGTCTTGCCCAGTGCGATCGGGTTCACCGCCTCTACATTATGTTGTGAGCAGTGAACCTGCCAAGATTCGGAGAAACATACCGAGGTGAGAAGGATTTGGTAGTAGAGAAACCTTCACAGAATTCGGTGCACCTTCATATTGCAACCTCGGTGAAGCGACTACGCGAGCGTGAGCAGGAGGTTCAAATGTTGAAATGATGATATCTACCCAAATGACTAATAACATCTCCGGAGGCACCCAGATGCTCTGGGATGTCGGCGCCACCCTTGATCTTGTGAAACAAAGCTGCATGGGGGAATTTCAGAAGATCGGTCAAGAGGTTGAGACGACCGCGGTGTGGCATAGCAAGTATGATGTCCTCCACTCCAGCTGCGAGGAACGACACGGTTAGTACGGTGTGATGGAACGCCAATGCGTACACACCTCGAGCGGCGGCGGCAAAGAGGACATCAAGCGCGGGAAGCATAGACTCCCCTCCCTCAAGGCCATACCGCTTCAAGTTGGGGAACTTGAGCTGGAGAAACTGGTCGAACGTCTCGCTCTGCGCGAGCAGGGAGTATATGCGCGTCTTCTGATCCTTGCTCATCTTGACATTGCTCGGCGGCTGCGACTCGAGGAGGTGGGAGAACCACAGCCGCTCCGTCTTCGACGGCGAGTGCATGTACTCATAGGCGATGCGGCCAACGTAGATTGAGCGCAGGTGCTGCGTGATTTCGCCAAGGGTCCACTCATCCTTCGTGCCAGACCCCGCGCCTACTGGGCTGGTCCACACAATGCCATTGACGTCGTATTTCTGCTCGTCGTCGAGAAGGCCATAACGGCGCGGGTTCAAGGCAGCAACCTCTTCTCGCTGCAAGAGATCCAGCGGGTCAATACGGGCAGCGCGGTGGCCATGGGTTCTAAGCGCATCGATGTATCGAAGGAGAGGGGCATTGACTGTTCGGTTCTGCAGCTGAGCCGGGCTGTCTGAAAATGAAGTAAGACGTCAGTACATGTCATCAGTGATGTTTCCTTTCCATATACGAGGCAGGTGAAATACGAAGGCCAGTCAGGAAGTACATCGCTTCAATGTTGCCATCACCGGCACGTGTACCACAAATACCATATAGCATTGTTTTCATAGCCAGGCTACAGCTGTCACGTAATTCATCGAGACGACTTACAGTCAAGGATGGCGAACCTTCGCGCCTCTCTGTAACCGTATGACTTGTCGTGGTATAACCGACATGGCGGAAACCGCAAACGCGACTTCGGACTGTGTGAATAGCTCCGGAGTCAATGACCGCACCATTGAAATGAGAGCCATCATCACCTAATCATTCCTAAAGCCCGTAAAGGGAGCTGCGCGAAGGCGGTGACATGCACGTCGTCCTGGTCCAAGTAAAGAGCGGTCCGCTGTGAAGGCCATTTCACAGCTTCAATCGTCTGGACCCTGAATGACAGTGATGCGCTCGGAACTCGGAAGCTGATCATGGGACCCTGGTCAGACGCGTCGGTCACGTGTAGCGTGTCACTAGGACGGACGCGTCGGCAGTTTCGACTCTCCCTTTGTCCACCATCATACATTGATAGAATTCTTCAATCAAGTCCTCCAATATGGACGGAAAGTTGAAAATTCATTCCCTCGGTCATGGACATAACAAGTCATCTAGCAATCGACTATATCTCAGCGACTGGCAACAATATGCAGCATACAGGTGCTGTGAAGATACTTTTTGTCAACGGCTTACAAAGCACTATAATGCTCAGAGATTCACGGACAATGATATGCACACCCTGGGTATACTAGTTCCACTGACGCGCTCTATACCTGATTCGATTAGTGTTGTTCAGAGCCCGGCTCGGGCCCAAAGCCCTACTTTGGACCGCACTTTTGGCCACCGGGCCTGGCTTCATAGTCAATCCAGGCCTGCACACTAGGCTCTATGGCCTCTTGGAGGTCTTTCGAGGACTTGTGTTGAGCTATATGCGCCTCAGCCAGGCAGGGTTCGGCGGGCTTGGGCCTCAAAGCCCGATTGTGAACATCACTAGATTCGATGCCCGTGTGGTCAACGAGACTTGGCGGCGTGCGCTAAATGCAGGCGTACAATGAGTTGCCCAGCCTAATAGCTCCGTTCAACGATGATAGGATAGCTGCTTGCCTTTGGAATTACGGTCGTGAAGCGGAATACCAGGTCTGATGCACGATTTCTTTACAGGAAACCCTAGGACTCCGTACTCAAATCTACCAAGCAGTGTCGACTCAGAACACGCTTTCGAGTCATGGAGACATGCCTTACAACGTTATTCGCATCTGAGGCAGTGAGCCTCCTGTGGAGACAAGTGACTCGAGCTCAGAAAACATGTCCACGCGCCACCAATACGCCACCTGCCATTGTGCTGTGCCCGGCTCTTCATCGGAATAATGGTCAAGCTTCCCCTTCTTTCCGGGTGCTGCGCTACTGATGAGCTAGAACTACTTGTGGTGTTCTTACGCGCAACTGACAGTGCACTGCCTTATGAGCGTTTTTAGCTGCCATCGCATTGTGCATTATGCGGAACATGTCGGGAATGGCACTCCTGTGGTTCCGCTCACATAACGCAAATGTTTGTGGAGATATTAGTGCGCGAATATAGCTGACTCCGCATACCATTGTAGAGAACAGATTTCACTCCGAGACGATATCGCAGTAAGTATTGTAATATTATCGTCGTTGATCGTCGTGCACAGCAGAATTAGCGCCCTTCAGCGCCCGTCGCGCCGGCCCGCGCCACGATCAGACGTCCGCTTGCCACGGGTGACGGCGGTGCCAGAGTCTGCCATCTTCCGTCAAGGTCAACATATGGCAAATGTACAGCATTATTCGCGTCGAGGTGGGACGGGTCTCGGAGCGCTACGTCAGAACGCGCAGCCAAATCACTTGACACCTGACTTGGACTTCTTATTATTGACGGCGGTGACAGCTCGCCCCTATATAAATGCCCGTGTAGAGCCATGCGCTGCACCAACTCACACATACACTCACACCCCAAACCATGATCAAGGACGGATCTAGCGTTGCAGACAGCAACACGGTCGTCAACGGCCCCCACTCAGCGCTTGGCGCTAAGGACTATCTTTCACACGAGCATGACTTTAGCATAAAGGAGTTGAATGACACCCGTGGCAGCCATACGAGCAAGGCAAAGATCCCTAACAACTTCCTCACTTTGCCGGAACACACGCTAGGCGACAGGCCGTTCTTTGTGTTCATCGGGAAGGATGGCCTCATAGCGGCGCTGCAGAAGCTGGACTTACAACTCAAGAATGTACGTCGTAGCTATGTATATGTCGGTCCATGCTCATATATGTGCCGGTTTCGACAGTCCAAGCGCCCGCATATACTGTCTAACAAGGTAAACGACCAGGAGCGAGATGTGTCCGAAAGCGACTGACTGTGCTTCAGCGTCCGACAGATTGGATAGGGAAAGAGGTCACGCCCGGGCGGATTGGACTCATCAATCACGGTGGCCTGCCCAAAGTCTTGACCCGTCCCGGCAGATACCCGGGGTTCCCGCTACGCAACTGGTGGGCTCGCTCTTTCAGCGGCACCAAAGGGCGTGAGTAATTGCAAGGTATCCGCACGACGACGGCCTACTAAGTAGCTACCGCAGTTTCAGACACAGTGATTGAGTTCCGCGGGTTGACTGTGGTACAAGTGTCCCAGAACCAGGTGTGTGGTGTAACTTGCGTACTGTACTTGTAGTGCTGACCAGAAACAGGCCGCAGTAGTGTCAGATCCACAGGTGGCGTACTTTCCATGCGTATGGTACTCGCCACCGTTCGGCTAACACCATTGCAAACTCTAGAACCAGATCTTTGTCATCAAGAACACTGGTTTTGTGTCGTATGCGATTGAGGGTGCTTACAGGGTGCTCTCGGTTGTGGACCAGACACATCTTCCGAGTCCAGTTGTGGACAAGGTCACCAAAGTCACTCTTGGATGGTCCGTACAGATGCACTTTTGCAATGTCTCAGTCTCTGATCCGCTCGAAATTCAGGCTGCACGAGGTTACCATGAAGAGCAGCACGAGGGACGGGGTCGAGAAGGATTACGTCGTAGCGCTTTTGTTAGTCTCACGATATCCGGTGATCGTTGACGCATAGCTCATCTACATTTGCAGTCTTAACATCCCCGCCAACAACTGTGCGATCCTGCAAAAAGGTGACGACCTTGAGCTCCTCCCTGCCGGACAACACTATATCACCAATCCAAATGTGACCTTGCGCGGGATGTTCACTCTCGGTGAGAATCAGATCGAGATGCCCACGAAGGACATGTATGTGATTTGAGCGTGATCATTTTGTGCATACTGAGATGTCGCGGCAGCTTCACAAGAGACCAAGTACCCGTCAGCTTGACGATTTACCTCAAATGGTGAGCACGCTCGCGGTTCTGTACGTTCATAGCTGACGTTTACCTCAGGCAACTTACGGAACCGCTGAAGGTGATTCTCATCTTGCGAATTCTAGCATCCCCCTCACATTTCGAACAGCTCACAACGCATGGCTATAACACTCCTTACGACGCTCTAAGGTATACGCCTCCATCTCGCCTGGCGAAATGCTCGCTCACGTTCTGTTGCAGAGACAAGACGCAATCAATCCTTACTCAAATCGTCGCGCATCGTACGAGCAGTTTCATGACTATTTGCGAATCCGGCTTACTCTAGAGAAGTCGACTATAGTGCCATGGTCAAACAGCGCTCACTGGGCCCGGACAACTTGGATGACGGAACCGACGCCAGCTCGGCATTCCTCGATGCGCTGCGAACACGCGCCATGGACGACTTACACATCGCCGCACTTGAATATGGTATCGTCATGAAGGATCTCGGTGGGTTGTTCATGGCCCAATGGTGGTGAATGCTTGTCTCATTTCCGGGACAGCTGTCATCGATAGGCAATTCAAGGGCGAGATCGCCACCGCGATGCAGAAACTGACTACTCGAGCTCTGGAAGCGCAAGTGGAAGCCGCCGTAAGCCGTGCTCGTTGTATTCTTCAACCATATCCTGACTGCTTGTTGCGCCGTCCAGAATGTTGACAGAGAGAACAGCAACAAGATCAAGCAGGAAGAGGGCGCTTTTGCCGTGGCACGGATCAAGGCGAAAGCTCGGAACGTGAGTGTCAGCATCGCGGCACGAGCTTGCACATATTAACGTACTCCGCACCAGACCACTGCAGATGCAGAGGCATATGGCGTGGTCGCCGCGGCCAAGGCACAGGCGCAAAGGCTCCAAATCGAGGCGGAGGCGCAAGCGCAAGCGACGCGAATGGCGGCTGAGGCGGATGCGGAGGCGATTCGCATCCGAGCAGTGGCTGACGCAGACGTGCGTGATCAGTTCGCGCGGGAGATGGAAATGCGCCGGGTGGAGGTGACGCGGATCAAGGCGTTTGGCTCGAAGACGGTGTTCGTGCCGACCGACGGGATGGGAGCACAGATGGGGAGCGCGCTGGCCACTGGTATGGCCGTCGGGATGGGTGCTGATGCTCGGAAGGATGCAGTATAGCCGCAGGCTTGCTTTGTATGGGTCCCTCACACGCTCGTCTGAAGCTAACACCCGCTTGATGCCATGCTACAAACATAGTGCATGGGTTTGGTATTTTCATGCTTTACCCTCGATGCAGACCAGATATCCCGCTATATTTTACTATTTGATACCGCTCACACCGTATTTATATATTTATGCATTTGGATGGTACGTAGCCCATGAGCAAACAAACTGCCGAAGCGTTCGATGACGCACTGTTTCCCTTTCTGGTAGTTGTTTTGCTTGTTATGGTACGAGCCTACACTGGAGAGAGCTGCACTTCGTTCGATGATGTCATGCCTGTCCTGCCTTCCATTCGATGTCTCTATCCCTCCCTATATATATATGAAAGCTCACCTGAGATGAGGTGTTTATCTTCTCCCTTCCTCTCTCCTGCGATGCTCGACAGCTTGTTCAAGTTCGCCTGAGCAGCCTTGTCGAGCCATACAACGTAGATGGGCCAACGGACAACGCCAGCGCATATAATGACAGGTGTGTGGCAGAGGCTGTTCGTTCTCGTCGAAGCTGACTACGATCTGGCCCCCTACATTAGGACCGTTCAAAATTGCCGCTTAAATCTCGCTGGAAAACAAGCGACATTTAAGCGGCCAAAAGCAGCGAGCAGAATCTGAGCTCCCCTCCTCGAACAGCGACATTTAAGCGACTGCTCGTCGCAAGCGCTCGCAGATTCTGGCTCACGGCCATGTCACGCTTGCATGATTCACCAACCTGATTGGCTGGGTAGCCCTTCGCAAGCCGAGAACGTGATCAAATCACGGCTGCATCACGCTTAGTCATCTGTGACGCTTTCAGCGACCTTTCAGCGACCTTCAGCCACATTTGGGCGCTCAAAAGCAGCGAAAGGTTCGCTTATTTTCCAGCGACATTTAAGCGGCAATTTTGAACGGTCCTATTATTTTCTCTGATTCTGCGGAATACGAAGGCAAGGTCGCGCGCTCCGAATCATAACCGACCCGGAGATCATACATATCCAGGCTGGACGATATCATGACCGCACTTGTTCAGGTAGCTCACCGTCCCGCCGACAAAGTGGGCGCTTCTCCGTCACACCGCACAATGGCGGCGCATTGGTCAATGGATGGCAGTGTCAACCCGGTCGTTGTCCTCGTTGATCCTCGCCTGCCCAACGGGATGACTGCTTCTTCTGCCACATGCGACTATATAACCGCCCCCTGCTGTGCCCACACAATCCCAAATCCGGACTGCCGCCAGCCATTACAGCGGCTATAGCTGCACACGGCCTCGTGTCTGATAATCGCCTTTCTCTCTTCACCCCTCCTCCACCCCACGAGCAATGGCCGGATATGATGATATGCCGCCCCTCGTCGACGGTCCTGCGGGCGCAGGCGCACCGCCGCCCAATAGCTGGGGTCCTGCAGGCTACCCATACACGGGGACTCCCTACATGACATACACGCCAGCGCCTGGCACTCCTGGACAACCACACCACAACCACACGCCGTCTTCTCCACCATGGCCACCACACCCCTCGACGCCCTTCCCGCACCCAGCGGCGAATGCCTTGCTCACGCCGCTGTCGTATCCGCCCATGTTCAACCCGGCGATGCCCACGGGGAGCGATGGCTTCCCGCGCGCGATGCAGCGTGACGAGGCGGACTACCGCAATTCGTCAGGCTACTTCAGCAAGCCGGACGACGATGGCTGGGTCTCTGTGCGCTCGGCGCGCTCGGTGACTCCGTTCACGAATAACTCGAGTCCCGAATCGCGATCGAGCGGGCTCTCACGATCGCGCTCTGTACGATCCGTTGGCTCTGGGGACTCGATGCGGCCGCCAAGAGAATGGCGGCCTGACTTCAGCATGGCGAAATCATTACATCGTGGTGCACTCGGCACTATTCTTACCAAGGCGCGGTCGGCATCTATATCGGGTGGCAGTGCGTTCTTTTCTGGCACACTTGTTGCTTGCTGTCCGCTCACCCTTCGCAGTCTTGGACTCTACCAGACACCCGAAGCTGCATCCGTACCTGCGGTATTCCCTGTCGACGCCCGTGCTGTTCCACGACCTGCGGCGCAATCCTTCGACGATACGATTCCATGCGCTCAACCGTCCCGTGAACCCGTGGGACCTGACGCGCTTTGCGTGCGAGCCGCCGCAGACGCACATGCGGTTGTACAACTCGCATTACCCGTGGTACATCGACGCGGAGAGCGCGAACCCGACGGGCGTGACGCTGCACGAGCTGTTCGCGGCGATCTGGCTGTCGATGATGACGCCGATCTCGAATGCGGACTACTGGAACAACGAGATGAATGGCGAGGTGCGTGAACGCATTGCCGCGGCGTGGTTTGCGCGGTGCGAGGACGATGGGGAGCGCAAGCGAGGCGTGCGCCGGGTCGACTTCTTGATGGATCGGGTCATCCTCGAGGGGTTCGTCCGCGGCAAGGACGGGATGTGGGAGATGACCATCAAGAGACCGACGTGAGCTGCTGTTATCTGCCCTTGGTTTCCTCTCTTGCCCTTGCTATTTATCGGGTGCTGCAGGTCTCATCCCCAGTCTCCTGTGTGTGTATCATCTACAACTGCATTTTGCTTGTGCGGAATTGGTTCGTAGGAAGACTTCAAGGTATCCCCAGACAATGTTAGCGTAGTTCTCTCTTAGATTACTTGTTGTAGGATATAACATCAAGATTTCAGATCGAAGCATATCTAGGCATCATGGCACTTCAGTGTTGTAGTATTCAAATTTTATCATTCTCGCCTCATTTTCTTCATCAACAGTCATTACTGTCATGGACGTTTGTCAAGGCGTCGTGTCTGAGGTAGTGCTGTGGTTAGAAATTTACGGAGGCCGACTTCTGCTAACTGCAGACAATTGCTACCGCTGGCAGAATATAGCAGATTTCAGGTGGAGTTTATGCTTAATTGTGGACGTGGCGACGCCATTTAGCCGCAAATCTTAATCTTCTCAGTTTGGCCGCAATAATGTTCCCAAAAATGGCTGGGTCAAGCTCAGGTTAGGGTCCAAGAGACAGGGGCTACAGCACATGCTTACCATATTGGGAAGTACGACTGCCACCTTCTGCCACCTTCCGAAAGTCATTCTGCCATCTGCCATGGCAATTGCCTGGCTGGCAGAAATACATGGCAGAGCACTTGGTAGACTTCGGCCAACAACACTTGTCTGAGGACCCGCGAGCGGGAAGCATCGGCCACGTGCTTCTTATCCACGTGGGTCTGACGCGCCAGTTCTTCCCACGCATGACGTATGAGGCAAGGTGGCCGACGGTGGCCAGCAACCTCGCGCTCTTCATCTCCATTCATTCACTCCCCGCTCTTTCATGGTTTTTGTATAACATGGTCTCCCTATTTGGCTGGCTCAGGCAGGTAAATACTCAGTTATAATGTCCCACACTGAACACCGACGCCTTGACAGAACAAGTCTGAAGACTACGGGCAAATCCTCGAGAAACTCGTATTCGACATCCAGAAACGCGAGACGCGCCTCTCGGAGATCCGGCTGCGCGAGCGGCGGTCGACTCTCTTCTTCTCAATCTACGCAGTCGCCGCATGGATAGTATGGACGGGCATGTGGTACACGGGGTTCTTGCCAGACATCAGTGGCCACAACCATAACAGTGGTTTTGAGCGCACTGTGAAGGGCATACCAGTGTTTGCGGGGCCGATACTGTGAGCAGCATTTGCGTTACGTTGCCTTCGTGTATGTTGATGCGCTTGGAATTGCAGCATTCTGTTCATACGGCGCATCGTGCAGATATGGTATACGCGCATTGCGAACGCTGAAGGTATGTTCATATGCGCCATTCAATCTCGTTTTCAGGAATTCTGTCGCTTTCCGTGGTCGTCCTGTGGAAAAAGCAAAGAGGCACATAGGGGCTGCTATCAGCCCTATATACCTCAGCTGTGCTTCGAGCGCCAGTACAGTTGTGGGCGAATTGGTTGCAGTGTTCCGTGCTTGCACTAGCATGTTCGGCCTACTTGTGTTTTCGACGGCAGCCGACTGGCTGTGGGTGTGCTGTAAACTGAGCTAGCCCACAGGTTTGAGGTTGCACCCCTCTATCCATTTTACGAACGACGGGCCCATTAGGCTGTGTCTCTTTGTCAACCGGAACCTCATACTGACCCAACTCATATCTAGAAAAGGCTCTTGTGACGTTGCGCAAAGAGAAGGCAGAGAAAGTGACTGAGTTCAAGCAGAAGACGGGCTATGACAAGACTCGCAATCTCATCGAGCGCTATGACGATCCACCCGCTGGAGGTGGCCCCGGTACGCCCCTGCGAAGACGGATCCCCCAGGGCATACCTGCGACCCCTCAGCGAGCCCCTCAATCAACCCCTCCAAGGCCTGGTAACCCGGTGCCGCCTTCTCTGCAGCAACATCTTTTTTGTGCGTCAGACAATCGCTAGTACGCAGCTTGAGTACTTACCTATGTTTGTCTCTATAGCACCGCCCTCACAACCAATGCCGCCACCACGGAAACAATGGTTCGACAAACTCGCAGACGCAATCCTTGGCGACGAAGACGGTGGCTCTGCAACTCCCGCGTCATCACGCTACGCCCTCATCTGTCAAAAGTGCTTCACCCACAACGGCCTTGTGAAGGAAAGTATGTGGGAGGATGCGCGTGAGTGTTGCTTTGTCTAACTCACCTGGATGCAGGACTGATGTACTCATGCCTCCCGCGATCCAGAATACGTCTGTCCGAAGTGCGGTCACTTCAATCCCTCAGTGCGTGCACAGCGTCAAGCCAGAGGGGCATCCAAGTCCCTGTCCCCCGATTCGCGCACCCCAGTATCTGCACACGCCGTGTCGCCTACGCAGAACGGTCAGTCTCATGCGTTCGCATTGTCGGCTGGTGCGAATGGTGCGCCGCGCGGGAGCGTAAGCCCTGTCAGTGACGGCCGGCGGCTGCGCGGTGAGGAGGAGGATGCGAGCGTGATGGATGTGGACTCATAGTTGCGTCGTCCTGGGTTTTCTGTAGGTAGGTCGTCGTCCTGGGTCCCGTGCTTAGTTTTGGTGGATTGCGTTGCGTTCGTATAATATATTGCGCTTTCCCTGTTGTATTTGATTGAGGACGAGGATACAGGACGCCTGGTGCGTGTTCTCGCGAGGGTTTCGCTGCAGTCGGGACTAATCCTTCGGGAAGATATCGAACACTGCCATGCTTGTTCTTTGAGCGCGGAAGTACTTGTGGAGGCATGGCCTACGGCCATCCATCGGCCATCCATCGTCGCCGCTTCGGCCGACATCGGTTATCCACATACCAGGGCTGCGCCGCGGAAGCAAAGTAAGCGATCTCAGGTATGTGTGGCGAGCACGGTTCTTTTTCAGGATGCAGAGTCCGGGATACGGCAGAGAACGATGAAGGTCCTACAGCCGCGCAATTAGAATATATGGATCGTAACAGGGTTAACTGTAGTGCCTATTGATGTTCTCGTAGAATTTTACTCGGTCTGCATTTCGAGCATTCTATCGACACTGACACGCGCGCTTATGTTTCGGGCTCGAGAAGCGCGTGACGGGGGATAGTGGAAGTCACTGTCGGGCGAGGCACCTTCGGGTCGAGTCATCGATTTGCATCTCCTTTTGCTCTACGATGTATGCCCGTGCCCGGTTATGGGGAAGTGAGTTGGTCAGCCGTAGGATATCGTAAGTTGTCCTTGTGCGTATCGGCTGACTGCAAGAAGCTCACATCGAACGTATCGCGCGGTGAGCGCTGGCGCGTAATAGTTTGTATTGACCGAGTGGGATGCTTAGCTTGACACGTACCATCTGAGAAAGCGAGCGACGGAATGGCTGCAGTGCGCGCAGGATTGAGTTCATTTTGCTTGTACACTGTTTGTGCCTTCCACGCGACGCCCTATATATATTGTATTGGGGCCGATTCAAGGCCTGATGGGATTCGAACAGAGTGAGCAGATCATCAGATTGCGGCAGGACGTCCTCAGAGACCCTGTGGCGTATCATCAATTTCGCGATCGCAATTTGATTGTTGATCGGCGTCCGTTCTCAGAGCCAGCCAGAACTCAAACCCGACTCGTAGGCTGCAAAATCCGCGGATAGTCCGTTTCTCGATTTGCCAGCGCAGTAATTGCATATATCGGGTATGCTCCTCCGACGGAGATGCGAAGCAATAGACAGGGGGCTATTTTAGGCAATCTTGGCGGTGCGTCACCATACATGTGTCGTCTGACTCTGATTACTTACTGTCGATTGAATCAGCTCTGCCGTACAGCCAGAGTATTCCTGCATCCCTAAAAGAATCGGCCTCTACAAGTTGGCTCTATCATCCTTATACTAATATGAGGTTACTGATGGTCAAGGTGGTGCCTTCCATAGGCCCGCGTTCGTTCGTGGCACATCGCAAACTTTGGTTTACTGGGATTAACTCAAATAGCAGAGTGTGTGAATCGAATCCCTCCTCGGAGATGCAAGGTGGCTTCAAGACGAGATGATCGTGAGCTACCTCAGGCTTGAGGTGATGTCTCCGTATAAGACATAGATCCTCTATATCCAGTGACATCGACGCACTGCAAGATCAAACTGATCAAGGTAGACGAATCGTCTCGGAGCGTGTGACGCTGAGTGGCCGAGATGCCGTTAACATAAGGTGCATCTTAATCACACCAGTGGTGGTCGCTAACATTGTCGCTCGCCGAAGCATTAACAGGCCGAACTTGATCCGCTCCTCGGCAAAGCAGTTCGGGCAAGAGGATGCGCAACTGCGAATTCCAGCAGGATAGTACGTTAGATTGGTGACATGCACGATGATTACATCCTTCCTGGTCGGCTACACAACTCCAAAAGCGTACACACAGAAGAAGTCATCCTCGCATCATCAACTCTGATCTCTTCCCACGGAGCCCGCAACACCACCGATAAAAGCTATTTAAACGCCTCATCTTCGTCGATCCTTGTCCATCCAAACAGTAGCATCCTCTAGCAGTCATGTCCTCCTCAGGTGAAGTAGCATTGCCCCCCATAGACGGCACAGTGACAGTACTCCCTGGTTTCCTTGACTTTCATGCCGAGCACAATCCTAACGCATCCTGCTTCATCTTCCCGTTCCCGGATATCTCCTCTGACGAGACGCGGACCATCTCTTTCTCCCAGTTCGCCGAAGCAACCCATCGCATCGCGCACGCCTTCCGCCCTGGGCGCGCGGGACCCGAGGGCGCCGTCGTCGCGGTTCTCGTCAACTGCGATACGCTCCTCTACCACGCCCTTCTCGCCGGCCTCGTGCGCGCAGGGCTTGTCCCTTTCCCCATGTCCCCGCGCAACTCGCCGCCTGCGGTCGCGAGCATGATGGAGCGTACGCGTTGTCGGCACATTATTTCGCAGTCGACCTTCGCTGCGTTGACGGACGCGGTGTGCGCCACGCTCCCATATGGAGACTCTGTGCGCGTTGATAATCTCCCGCCGCTTGTTGACGTCTTTCCATCCCTCGCCGCATCCGTCGACCCGCCCGCCAAGTCCCCCGGGCCATACCCGTCCTCGGGGCGCATATCCGCTCCGGACGATATTGTACTATACCTACACTCGTCCGGCTCGACGGGACACCCGAAGCCCATCCCACAGACGAACAAGACGCTACTGCACTGGTGCCATCTTCCGATCCTGGCCGAATGCCGCAAGCGCGCTATTCGCTGGGGCTGCATGGCCCTGCCGGCATTCCACACGATGGGTCTGTCCGCCCAGCTCCTGGCGCCGCTCTTATCTGGACAGCAGACGAGCCTGTACCCCCCGCGGGCCATTTTCTCTGCCCCACCTATTGTGCCGACTCCGCAGAACACCATAGAGACCGCGCGTAAGACTCAGTGCACGGCCATCGAGAGCGTCCCGGCCTTTCTTGAAGTACGATCCTTTCCGCATCATGTCTCCTTTCAGGCTCTAAATTCCCTCTGGGCAGGCTTGGGCACATAACGAGGAGGACGTCAAGTTCCTAGCGTCCCTGGAAGCATTGGTATAATCTTGAATTTCACGCGGTCTAACCAGTCGAATAACACATTGCACATGCCAGATATTTGCTGGAGGCCCCCTGTCTACCGCTAACGGCGACAAGCTCGTCGCGGGCGGCGTCCGTCTTTTTGCTTGCTACGGAGCGACGGAGTTCGGCACGTTTACGTGCGTTTTTGACGACGATGTCGATGAGCCCAGCCCGGTCGGTAAGACGCGTGCAGACTATCAATGGCTGCAAATGCCAAAGGAAAGCAATCCTCGATGGGTCCCTCAAAGCGATGGGACATTCGAGCTTCAGTTGCTGGTAGGTGCTCCTACAGTACACTTAAAAGTTGTCATTCCACGTGCTTATGATCCTTGGATTATTCCCGTAGGCATGCCCGACGCATCAACCGTCCATTGAGAATTTGCCAAATGGCGAGCATGGATATTCGACGTCCGACCTTTTCGAGCCCCATCCGACTAAGCCAGGTCTCTGGAAAATGTAAGCTGTGCGTGTTTCATGCGAGTATTGTGGTTTCTGATAATATGCTGCAGAGTTGGCCGCACAGATGATGTCATTGTACTAGGATCAGGTTGGTTGCTGCCCCTCATAGAGTTGTGTCATAGAGTTGTGTCACCGGGCTCATTAACAAAATCTACAGGTGAGAAGGTCGTGCCGATTCCCCAGGAGAACCACATCAGCGCACTCCCTTGGGTGGCGGGGACGATCATGTTCGGCCGCGGTCACCAGCAGGTCGGGATCCTCGTGGAACCACAGCCTGGGCACGAAGTTCATCCTGGTGACGAGAAGTCGCTCATCAGATTCCGAAATGACATCTGGTGAGCTTGCTTGTCTACCAATTATGTTATACGTATTTCCTTGCTCAGAGGCTAACGCAATCCGAATGTAGGAAGCAGGTCGAGGAGGCCAACGCAGACGCCCCCGCGTTTTCGCGGATATTCAAGGAAATGATCATTGCTGCAGATCCGGATCGTCCATTTGTGCGCGCGGCCAAAGGGACCACCCAACGCAAGAAGACCCTTGAAATATATTCGAAAGAGATTGATGACCTGTACATATCCCCTACTTTATAGCTAACGACATCAAAGCTGACAGAGTTTTAGGTACCGAACCATAGAGGAGGCTAGAGATGCTCATGGTGTTGCTCCGCCGTCATCTTGGTCGGCGACTGACATTCGAGCATGGCTTCTGCAACATGCCGCCGCGATCAATGGCGACAAAATACCGGAGCCAAATAAGGATCTGTTTGAGCAGGGCTTCGACAGGCACGTTCTATAACCAATTGACATGCGCCTATCAGTATTGATTCATGACATCGTGCAGCCTGAGTGCAACATACCTCCGCAACCGCATCATTGGCGCGCTGCGAGAGTCGTCGGATGCTTCGGTGAATGCAGCCACACAGCATATACAATCCAACCTCGTCTTTCAGTATCCCACACTCTCGGCTCTGGCTGAGAGGCTTGAAAAGCTTGTTGGACACGGAGCAGCATCTACAATGTCTCAATCACCCTCGTCACAGATCGACGCAATGACGGGCAAGTATGTCGCACAGCTGCCTCCCCCGCCTAAGAAGATCAGGAACGCGTCTTCTCATGATGCGGTCGTGTTGTTGACCGGATCGACTGGGAGCCTTGGTGCCCACATCCTTGCTCTCTTGTTAGGAGATGCCCGGGTCAAGCGCGTCTATGCCCTCAATCGGGGTCAAAGCATTGCGCAACGTCAGCTCGATGCCTTCGAGTCATACGAGCTGCCGGGGAGCCTTCTACAGGAACCGAAGCTCACTCTGTTGTCTGGTGATTTCGCTCACGAGGACCTTGGCCTCGATCATCAAGTTCTGAAAGAGGTGAGAGGCTTCGGATATGTGGCCACAACTATCATTATAACCCCACGACGAAATAGATCTCAGACTCTGCCACGCACATCATCCACAATGCGTGGAGGGTCGACTTCAATTTAGCCTTGGCTTCTTTCGAGTCTCATATAGCGGCCGCAGTCCGCCTGCTGGCTCTGGTTCCCGAAGCGCACTACATCTTCACTTCGTCTGTCTCGATTGCAGGAGGATGGCATGCTGCGGGAGGACGTGGCCCGGTTCCAGAAGCCTGCCTGCGCGATTCGAAGGTTGCCTCCGCAACCTCAGGATATGGTATGTCGAAATATGTGGTCGAGGAGGTGCGTGTGTACATTTCCAGAGCGCTCGCCACAGCCGTCTTATGAGACGCTCAGGTACTCGCGGATGCGCGCAAGAGCGGTTTCAAGACGACCTCGCTACGCATCGGACAGATCTCTGGTGCATCCCAGACCGGAGCATGGAATGCGTCGGACTGGGTTCCAAGTATTGTCAAGTCTAGCATCGCTCTAGGCGCCTTCCCGGAACTGGACGGGGTTCGTGTCCTCTACTCTTCCCACTGACGTCTTTCAACTCATTGCTTTGTCGTGGGCTAGGTCGTATCATGGATTTCTATGGACACAGTCGCAAACACTGCTCTTGACGTCCTGTTCGGCTCCGACAGCCCGGAGCTTGTCAACGTCGTGCATCCTGAGCCTGTTACCTGGCGTGAGGTAGCAAACGTCATCAGTGCAGAGCTTGGCGACCTGCCGTTCACCCCACTAGCCGATTGGGTCAAACGGCTGGAAGCCGCCGCGGAGGGCGCTACTTCACAGGACCTCCAAACCATTGTGAGTCCTCGTCGGGCAAACATCTTCGAAGCTGTTGTACTCATTCTGCGATAGCCTGGAATCAAATTGCTGGAGTACTTCCGCAGCTTAGCGAGGCTCGAGAGTGACGCTCGGGAGAGTGGTGTCGACGAGATCGAAGTGGGGGGTTTGCCCATCTTCCAGACGTCTGTCGCGAAGCAGGTCAGCCCAACGATTGCGGGCCTCAAACCATTAGGCGAGAAGGATGCTCTATCCTGGGTTAACTACTGGAGAAAGGGAAAGTTCTTGCCGTAAATCGTTCAAGGAGCTCTGGTGATCACGAAATAGTGCCATTCATGAAGTAGACTGTCTTCGCATTAGCAGTTGCTCATGTATAAATACAATGGATAGCGCAATAAAAACCCGACTAGCCGTGCGAGCTCGGGCTCAGGAGAGTTCTCACATAGTTCGCGGACGCTTCGCCTGCTCACATTTTCGGATTTCTATTGCGGGTCCGACACGTTTGATCCAACACCGGCGTCGCGCTGACATGAGCATAATCTTTCGTTCCTTAGTTGTGATAGCACTGGAAAGGTTGACACAGCGGTCTTTTCGTCGAATGCTCGACACGGCGGTCGTGCCTTATGTGGGGCTGCTAGTGAAGGTGATACTAGCTTGGGCGATTGGGGGAGATTGATTGCCCGACCGCGGCCTGAGCAGGTAACTCCTACCCGACGAATGCCGCTGACACTGGCGTTTGTCCTGCACGCCTGCCTTGTTGCGCTCGTTGACATGCTGTCAGTCCGCACCACACCGTACAGCCCACGCTCAGTGCATCCATCTTACGGCAGCCTACGCCTTGTTCCTCGTCCCTGGTCTAGAGGGCGAATTGCCGAGCTGCGCCGTCGCGGCTAGCTATGCGTGCACGCCCACAGAGGCATGCTAATCTCACGATTATGATTGCGGCGTGGCGCATCAAGATGTGTCAATGGTGCAACGGGGCGCCCCCGACCAATTTGGCAACTCTGGATTGGACCTGGCGCCTTTCCTCTACTGACACGGTGAGTAGCTCAATGCTGTCGCGCAGACGACGAATTTCAACCGCCTCCCTGTATATAGACCGTGCGTTGTCCCCTGTGAGCCATGCTCTGGGGTTTTTCAGAATGATAAAATGTCGGCGCAAGGATTGGCCGCCGAAATTCTGCCCGGGGCGCTCTCGTAAACCAGGCTATTCCTCGCAGACATGTGTTGGTGATTCTGGCTCGGCAGCAGTGCACGGACAGCTTGGTCCAGCGGCGCGGCCCAGGGGCTGTCTCACGGCATAATTTCGCAGGGTGCAATATGAAGCCGAAATTATCCAATTATGCGGTGCGTCCTGCACTGGCGAACACCTGCGCGGGGGCCCGCACGAGTCTCCAAGGCCTAGACTAACCTCGCACGCACGCGCAGGGGTCGGCGGCGCTGCTAACGTGATGAAATGAACCGCTCCGCATGGGTTATCGTGCGCCGAGCGGCTGCTTGCATCTTGGTTGGGACACCCGTCCGGTATAGCTGATCTAGCGGGCTGCGCCCTTGCGAAGTTCCACGCAGGGCGCAGACGCACCGCCTCGAGCGGTCCGTGCACTCCCGACGCTGCGTCGTGGCAGGCGGCGGGAGGCTGTCGGGTGATCTCACAGCGAGCACGCCTGCGGTGCGTCATGCACACGTGTCGGCGGACACGTTGTGTGGGGCGGTGCCCACTCCTGCACGCATAATGGACCGCTGGGGCTGCTGCATTATTTCTCCTCTGCCGTGTTGTGCTGGACGACGGTGCTCGCATTGCCTTTGTTGTCGGACGCCCTACGTGGCATACGGCCCAATTATACTCCCGTCTGGTCATATGGTCTCGGCCTATCTCCGTTGTGGGCGTTCTCAGTGGCGAATCTACGGTTCCACTACACGGTGCAGAATACAAGCTGGAAGTTACCCTTCTTCTACCGGCCAGTCGATAAGCGACAGTGAGGCCCTTGGAAGCATGATGATTAAATCTGACGGCGATATTTTCTCGTACGGTGATTCTTGATCATAATCAAGCAATTCGCCCGTTATCTTCTGCAAGCTGCATTGCGTGCAGATACTCACATGGCCCTGGCGAGCACAGATCACGCGGGATAGACCCTACCGAGTTGCGGCGCTTGACCCTGGTCGAGAAGGTGACGTACGCAGTTTGGCTTGCGAAGCTAGATTCGTTCTTTGACCGCCTCCGTCGTTCGGTGCAGGTAGACGCTGCTTCTGCTAAGACCACGGAATAAACCGCGCACGCTATTGGACGTTGCCATGAGGCAAAACGTGCCGTAGTTAAGGGTCATGGCACTACCTAGGACGGCGCTGGAAGCATACGAATATAGGCCAGCGACCTTGTTCTCCTTCACTGAAGATCCCGGATAGCCGCCGCTCCGTGGGTACCCGGGAAGGCTCTCGTGGCCGTGGATACAATCCTAGATCCGTTCCTTTGGCTCGCTATTGCACCCCGTTTCCCTAGCTGTGTGCGTGTGGGGTAAATTTGCTCAGAAATTCGGAAATTTCGTTTCATTTGCTCGTCGCCCACATCTAGTCGCTGTTTGATGAGCAGCCTCGGATCGCGGCGATGGCTAGATGTTCTGGTTCATTGAGCGACCACGGCCCCAATATAATCGATGCACCAGTCCCTTGCCTGGGAGTGGAAGCAGATCTACGTAGATTCGCTGTATTCCATCATCCTAGGGCCTTACAAGCCGGCGAAGCAGGGGCGGCATAGTCATGACGACTTGGCCGGAGACTAGACTCGGGCAGATTATCCCTAGTAAAGCAGTTGTTGTCCGAGAAAGCGCAAGTGCGATCTGAAGAATAAGAGCCGCTGCGTCCGTCTCGCTTACAGCGATCACTGCAGATGTGGCGTTTGGTGAGATGCGGCGTTTGATTTTGTGCCTCGAATTTGTCGATGATGCTGTGTCGGCGGTGTGCTAGTGTCTCTCGATGCGTTGCTAGCAGCTGTGAAGCTCGAGGGAAAGCTCTGCGACACGAGAGACGGAGAGACACTATCTGCTTCCGTTCAGTACAAGCCCTTCTATATCCGGCAATTGACGCCTATCGGGCACGGGATCACCAAGACGAGATCTGGTTCGTTCTTTGACTACTGAAATGAACGTGCGAAAATCAGGCTCGCATCGCAGGGGTCCGACATGCGGATGCGAATTAAACCGCTGTATTCTGCTGGAAATACAGGAAAACCACGGCGCTCGCATTGCCTGTCTTCTGGCATGGCCTGTCAGTGCTGAGCGGTTAACTGGATGAAGACGTAATAACGAAATCAGGCCTCGAATTCCTGATGAGAAAACACCAATCTGTCTGCCCAATCGAGGGCGCATCCCCATTGTTGGGTCCCTCCTTCTCGAACGGATTCTTATCGGCCGGACGGCGTGCCCTAAGCGAGATCACTGCTTGGAAGGAACCGATGGATTTAAGCTCTAGAATATATCGGAGTCGCCCACGAGTTCGCACCCTCACCTGGTATAAGACGTATGTAATCTCCCACTGTCCCTTTTGCGACACCTTCCTGCTACATCCCCTGCCAATCCCGTCCTGTCACCCCTTCCGCGCTCGCCCCTTCTGCGTCACTTCTACACGGCTCTATCACATCTGCTCTTCACATTGAACACGATGCCAGTGAGACGTACCGGAAGGGCTGCGCGACGCGCTGCCACTGGGGGTGAGTGATGTCTTGTCTTTGTGGCTCAAACGACTGATAGACGTCCTCCAGCCGGGTTCCAGCTTACCTGGCTCGATGCGTCAACCCCTCCGACCATCAACTTTGCGCCGAACGTCACTCCGGGGACGTTCAACGATCCCCCGGCGCCCGTCGAGTTCGTGCCGGAGTCAACCCTCTTTCCCTCCTCCTCCCCCGCCACACCGTCGTCAAAGAAGTCGGGGCACTCCAAGAAGAAGGCCGGGGACTATATTCCGAGGCCCGCGAACGCGTTCATCCTCTTCCGGTCAGCGTTCATCAAGAACCAACACGTCTCGTCAGAGGTCGAGACGAACCACAGTACGCTGTCCAAGATCGCGGGCATCACCTGGGCCATCCTCCCCCCGCACGAGCGCGACATCTGGTACGCGAAGGCGAAGGTGCTTGCTGACGAGCACAAGAAACAGTGGCCGGGGTACACGTTCAAGCCGATCTACCCCAAGGAGAAGCCGGAGAAGCGAAAGGTCAAGGAGGTCGGCCAGCGGGATCAAAAGAGGTGCGAAAAGATCGCCGCGCTTCTCGTCGAGGGTAAGAAGGGTGCCGAGCTCGATGCGGTCATCAAAGAGTTTGACCGCCACCACGTACCTGAGGTGGTCACCCGCTTCGAGGAGCCGATCACGGCTCGCGCTTTCCGACGATCGTCGTCGGAGCCCGCCCCAGGAACGGAGCACACCAATCCGCCATTCCTTGTATCGACTCCTAAGGCCTCCAAGCGCAAGTCGAAGAAGGTCCGCTCCTCGAGCTCCCAGCCCGAACCAGCGTCGTCGTCGCCATCGTCTTCTGCACCTACCTCGCCGGAGTATTCCCCTCTGACGCAGTTCGAAGGCAGCTCGGAGTCTCCAAGTGAGTACTCGCCGATGATGATGCCTCATCGTTTCCCTTCTGCGGATCCCGCCGAGATCGAGTCAGCATTCGTGAGTAGCGGCTCCTCTTCATCGCGCATATTCGCTGAAGTTTCGCCACAGGACTTCAGCACTTTCACTTTCAACGCCTGCGCGGCACCGCCTGTACAGTTTTGCGATCCCCTCACGCCGACCTGCGAGCAAACTCCCCACGTCTTCGCCCCGGTGCCGACCGGTCCTTACGTGCCGCAAGCTGGTGCGTATCAGCCGCCGGGACTCACCATCAACACGAATTTCTTGCAGTTCGAGCCATGGGCGGGTACCGCGATGTCATCGCCATCTCCGCTGTCGAGTTCGCCGAGCACGCCTCTTCTTGGCTACGAGGACCTGCCTTCTCGCTCGACGGCGTACACAGAGCAGCCGCGATTCGTCCCTCAGCATCGATACCCTGACCATCGATACCCCGAGTATTATCTCCCCGTCGACCAGGGGGGGATGCTGCAATTCGGCAACTCCTACGCGCAGACATACGAGAGCGCGCAGGCCAATGGACAGGCGGATTATCCCGTATTCGATCCATCTTTTCACGGCGCCCCGCTCGTCGGACCTTCTGCGAAACGAGAGGTGTCATTCAATGACAGGTCACGGCTCGACCAGTTTCTGGAGGACATCTCGAAATCTTTCGCGGCGTCTTCAGGAGTGATGTAAGGGTCTCAGGGACTGACCGTTCACTCACTTACCCTCCCCGCTCCTTGCGCCTTCCCGTCATTTCCGTCGAGCCTCATGGACTGGAAGGTACTCGCTCCGCTGTATCATATCGCGCTGCGCGCCCAACTGTAGCATTAGTCGGAAGCGTCCTACGCGACGCCGTGTTATCGTGCCTGCTTTCCCATCACTAGTCGCTTACCTCGAGGTTATTTACGTGCTATCGGATGTTATTTTGTAGATTAGCAGGATCCAAATGGATTCATTCCTTTTATGTCCGCGTTCATGCCGTCTTGGACGGCTTCTCCCCGGACGTCCACATGCTGCATGAAGTGAATTGCTTTCACGATGCTTGGGCAAGCCTGATAAGATGAGCCGCGCGCGCTACGTAGCTCAAGGTTAAGAATTACGTCAGCATTCTGCAACGAAAATGGGGGGACTCACCCCATGATCATGATGCATCGATGTTGGCGAATACAAGGCTGAATGGCGAGACCGCCGACAATATGTCGTGATGTCGTAATCATCGCGGGAGCAGACCGCAGCCGGACAGCCAACACGCCATGCCCGAATACACTTCAGTTATCTGGGCGGCAACGACTTCCAGGGTTGAACAAGACAGCGCAGGGGGCGCCCCACGGCCCTGCCCATAGTTACAGCAGAGTTGGCGAAGCAACATCATCAGGCACTAGTGTCAGCAGCCCAGCAGGACGGTCAGAGTCTCGGGTAGAAGCGGAGGACGGCGGTAGAAGGCAGCAGCATCAGTCACAGGTTTCTTCAGGGTAGTCGCCTCGATTGTTGCATGCAGACGGCGGCCTCGAAGGGAAAGTCGCAATGGCGAAGAGTCGCAGACACGTGGCATTCGTATGGAAACAGGATCATCGGGAAACATCATCCGTCCACGGCACAGAATGCGGAGCGAAGCCACGCAAAAGGATACACAATGGACGACGGGTGAGGGGTAAGTGTTTCCGCGTAGAGATACGAAAAGTGCGGCGTAGCGGCATCAAGAGTCGGAAACCATGTTGAAAGTCGGAGAAATACACGGAAGTCATCGCCAAAATATATGCACTGTAGAAAAATTATCAAAGAGGGAACATACCAATTACGATCAACTTCGGCGACGTCTAGCAAATTCCTTTCTTGATTGGGATGGGGCTAATCGACAGCTGCAAGTCAATAATGACGATGCCGGCGGGAATGACGAACGCTACGAGCGCGTGGTTATTCAAATGCACGACGAACGAACGTAACTTCACATACCTTCTCAACGATGTGCGGCGTCAGCAACATCTATCAGATAGAATCAAAGTGTGTGCGTGCCCAGAAGTAGTCGCCGTTGACTTCTAGACGAGAGCATAGTAAAAAGGAGCTTGCGTATTCTCTAGCTCCGTCGCGCTATATAAACGTGAGCACCGAATACAAGGGCAGAAAGCTACGCGAGGTGAAGTGTGTGACAGGCACAACGCCCAGGCCGAATGAAGGTGGCGCGAGGCCATACACGAGGCGATTTGTGGGCGCAATATTGATGCATGAGGTACTGTGGGCGCACAAGCGGCGATGGTAGTGCACACGGGGACCTGCAGGTGCCACCGTTAGCAACCCAGAGTCAACACCAACGCTAGAGCACGTCCTGGGGAAGGCAGGACGTAACAACATCTAGAGGACTAGAGGAAATAAGGGATGTAGTACGTCGCTGTTCGACTGGGTCTCGGCGTATGCGAGAAGACCATACGGGAGGTGGATATATAGCGCATCATCGAGGGCGTTTGTTGAATGCTCGAGACACAGGTGGCGAAATCACTCACCAACTTATCATTGTATCTGGCAACGGCGCACCCTCAAGCCGGAGAGAACAGATGAAAGCAAGAGCGAAAGGGAGACGAAGAGAGGTCCAGCTAGGTTATAGGTCTCGAGGGGAGCCAGAGACGCCAGGTGGAGCGCCGCCGGGCCAGCCATCTCCAACGAGGCAGAGAACGAGGCGGAAGCGCAGTAAGCATCTCAACGGATGCGGGTCGAGGGGTGATCTGACCACCGAGGCCGTGCCTATACCCTATGCCTCGGGCTCGCATTCCCATCGGGAGGGCGCAACGTGTTCGATGTGGGTCCACAGAACGCCCGCAAATGATGTGAAGGAGTGACAAACTACCGAGATGTCAGTTGCGGTTCACAGGATCAGTTGCCCGAACGGGAGAGAGTGAGAATCTTACCTGTGAGTCAGGTTTCAACAAACTTAGTTCTTCGCAAATAGTAAAGCCTGGATAGGACACCTCAATACTGACATACCATAGCCGAGGGGTACCGACCAGCAATGGTGCATACATCGATCGCGAGGTCGGAACATGTTGACACGTCGACGAGGGCTCATCCCTTGGCCGTAATGCGGTTCAGTACAGACGAGTGCTACTGAAAGCCTGTGTGACGATCAATGGGTGCTGACAAGCACCGATATGAATGACGTACATCAAGTGTTATGCTATCACATGTTCCCAACAGTAACACCCTTGAGTCTTTGCAGTCCACGAAAGAAGATGCTGTACACAAGCCAATCTGCCTCACAGAGCAGGGTCAGCTAGTCATAAGAAGTTGGTGACCGATGCTATAGCAGGGCGACAACTAGCAGGCGAAGGATGGCAACGATTGCGTCGTCACAAGATGACGTTGAACAGCTGTCGGTACGGATCCAGCCAACCTGGACATGTCAAATGCGTGATCAGCATTCAATCCCTATCGCCAGATAGACGTAGATGGAAGTGCAAAGTGATAGCTCTGTATGCACCCCTGAGTCCGGTGAACAGCGGGTCTAGGAAGTCGAGGGAGCAAAAAGAGTGACTGGCGCTGCCAGAACTGAAACCCGCAACTCACCTGGGGCGTGTTGATGCAGCGCTGACCGCTGCAAAGGTCTATATATGCGGCAAGGGCGAGGCCGCACAGACCACCCGGGTCATGGCTCATCCTTTTCTGTGAGTGGATGACAGGGTCTCCATTGTGGAATGCAGGGTGACGACCGTGACCACTACCCACGAAACGCCTTCCAACGCTTATCGCTAGATTCAGAGCGCGTCACCCAGTCTAATGGGACAGGCTACATTTCAGACTTGAAGTGAGCCAGTCCCATTCAAGCACAGTGACCGCTCGTTGCGTAAGCCGACGCTGTCGTCGTTCGAATTGGCGAGGAAGCGTCGAGGAGCAGACAAGAAACGCATAAGCGCTCGGATGAGGGTAAGCGGCGGCGCGGCCACGTGAGCGTGGGCCGAGAGCCATAACGGTGCGGCCATTACGAAAAAGGGAATCATCATATACACAGCTCTACTTATTTCGAGTTATTCGACCTGTTGCTTCCATGTCCGCCCATTCACCCACTCTACGACTCGATGGACGGAATGCAGATGGGCTGAGGGAGATAACACTTAATTACGAGGGGCTCGACAGAGTAGATGGCTCCGCCAGGTTCGGCTTCGGTGCGCAAACGATCAACTTGTTTTGAGAAATGCGATACTGACATCCAGTTCTTCAATTCTTGTAGGCGAGACGAAAGCCCTGGCATCCGTGTCGGGCCCTATCGAAGTCCGGCCAAACCTCGAGCTGCCATCGCAGGCCACGCTCGACATTCATATCCGCCCCGTCGCCGCCATTTCGGGAACGGACTCCAAGGCGCTCGCCGCTACCCTCAAGGCGATCCTCACGCCTGCGCTCCTTCTTGCGCGGCATCCCCGTACGCTCATACAGGTCGTCGGGCAGGCGCTCTGCGGCAGCGACACCGGGAGCGGCATAGGCAGCGCCGGACGTGGCTGGAATGCTAGCCTCACCGCGAGCCTTGTGAACGCCAGCAGCGCGGCGCTGCTCAATGCAGGCTCGGTTCCTATGCGCGGCGTCGTGTGCGCGGTTTCCGTTGGTCGAATCGCGTCAGGAAATGAGAAAGAAGCCCTGCTGGTCCTCGACCCTGCAGAAGCGGAGCTGCCTCGGCTATCAGGCAGCGGGTGCTTCGCGTTCCTGTTCTCATCTGTCTTGCCGATCACATCTCTGAATGAAGCGGATATCCCTCCCTGCTCTTTGCTCTGGACCAACTACTCCGCCACAACGCCGTTCAACGAGTCAGAACTGCACCGTGCTCGGACACTAGCCGAGCGGGGCGCACAGGTCGTTTGGGGGAAGCTGAAGGAGAGCGTCGCTTGGATGGAGGCTTCGTCTACCGGCAAGGGCACACAGCCGAAAAGGGAAAGAGCGGGTCAGCAACAAGAGCAGTTCCCGGAGAGCGAGAGCGAAGTGGACGACAACAAGATGGAGATATAACGCTCGTAACGACCCGAGCCAGGTCACCAGCCTTCGCCGCTGTGAGTAATATTCTGGTTAGCCAGCCGCGTCCTAATAGTCTGTTGCAGCCCTGAGTGCCAGTCGCTTCGGTCAGCGCCGGAGATCACAACCACAGCATCTCCGCTCCCGCGATGTCCAACTCCCTGCAGTGCTAGTTCGGCTCCGAAGGACCCGTCGCAACACCTCACGTCATGAGCCAAATCGGACAACGCTGTGCTCGTACGGTATTAGTTTTGCGATAGACTGGCCGTCAGATGGCATATCATCTAGTGGTTCATCATCCTGTAGAATGGAACTATAGGAATTGATTGGAATCTTGACTCGTTCCACTATGCTTCCTGTGTGGTCAAAGTGAGACACTGTGAAGGCGCGCCGCTGACTTGTATGTGTTCTCGTTGATGAATGTGTACTGACGGCGCTCTTCGTGAGAATCAGGATTTGAATAGAGTTCTCCAGTACTCTTCGCTGGAGGGCGATTCCTGAAAGTTCCAATCTGACGACGAGGCACAAACAGCAAGGCTACGAAATGTCTGTGCCGTATGCGTCTTACTGGAAACATGGTACCAGCAAGTATACCAACTGACAGAATGCTCCTTCAAGGCGACTTATAATAATAGCCTTGCTTGGAGCTGCCATCATGCAGTGCATATACACAGGCCTCTGTAAGTCCCTCCGAGCTCTCATCGAAGCATCAACTGTTTGAGACAACATTGTGCAGACAGCATGTTTCGGAGCACCGCAAGACACCGCGCCACGTCGATGACACTGTGCATTTGCACATGTCCATTGTCGAACAAACGATCATTTTGGCGAAGCATTATCTCCCAGGGCTCACAGCCATGAGACCACCGCTTCCTGACCCTCCACCGTGCTGTATCAACCGCACGGTCGGTTCAGAACCAGATATCGGGAGCGCTCCGTCAATGGTGCGGCAGCGTGGCAAGAGGCTCGACTTGGATAAGAGCAACACAGGCCTTTAGGTCAGTAAAATTGGAAGTCCGACGCCTTCAAGTCACCTTCCAGCATAGACACAGCCTCGCCGACGGCACTAAATGACGTGCCGCATGACAAGCAAGTAACGCTTGCTCTTGGCTCTGGAAATGCTGCAACGCAAGTGAACGTTGCTTTTCCAACGTCGCTTTCCGGACACTGAGTCCCCAGGGACTCATAGAGCCAGCTGGGAGCTGCTAAGCTCACTTCGAGACCGCGAGCAGTCTCCCGCAGGCTTGAGTAGGCGGGAGGACGTTAGAGGACGTCTATGCGTGACAGTGTGTCACCAAGTGTGACAGGCGGCTGCCGTGGCCACAGGAATATGGATCGAGATTCGAGGCGGTGCCAGTGTATATCTGTCATGAACAGGCTAATCCACCCTGACAAAAAAAACCCGGGCTGTGAACCGTACATAAAGGCGAAATTGTCGTGGGTGCGGGACATCCATCCATTCCGAAAACCAAAGAAGAATGCGTATTCCTCTAATAGCACCCTCTGAGCCTAGCCTCAAACAACTCTTCCCTCGCAAGGGAGGTGGCGGCGGTCACGGCGGGGGGAGCAGTGGTAAGGGCGGGAGTGGGAGTAGCAGCGGTAGCAAAGGCGGCAGTGGAAGTAGCAGCGGTAGCAAGGGCGGGAGTGGCAGCAGCAGTGGCGGCAAGGGTGGTAGCAGTGGCAGCAGCAGCAGCGGGAAGTCTCAAAGCATCCCGCTAAGTGGCTCCACCGGCGGCAAGAAGACTGCCACGACGTATGGCTCTGGCGGGGGACGCGCGGTGACTATCCCTGCCGGCCAGCCCTTCGCTGGGCGCACGTCCGGTGGCGGAACGCGTGGTCAAGTCTATGGTACATCGTGGGTTTTCTTTACAGTATCTCTTTCTACGAATAGCCTTACTTACTGTTCACCAGGACATATGGCAGCGGCTATCCAGGCCTTGCTGCCGGCTCCGTGCTCGGAAGAGGCTTCCCATTCATATTCTGGCCAGTCGTCTGGGGCGGAGGATTGGGGTTGGGCGGTGCCTACCTCCATGACCACGAGGTCAGTGCTGCTCACCTACCACATGTCGCTTTCTTCACGCTCACCCGCACCAACACAGTATGGCTCACCCACGAACGCGAGCAGGCCAGGCGGAGCCCTCACACAAGCGACGTTCACGTCGAACAGCACGAACAGCACCTTCTGGGTGGTGGCTGACAACGCCACCGTCTCCGCCCTCATTACCACCATCTACGACAATTGCACGCTCGGCAGCAATTCGTCGACCGCGCCGACACCATTCAGCGGCAATGCAAGTCAGGCGCAGCCAGAACAGGTGATCCAATACTACCGCGCGAGCAGTGTCGCCCTCGCTCTCGACGGCTACAACGACACGGCGAAATTGACGAACCCGAATGCGACCGACGTACCTCTGCCGAGCTGGATGGACACCCAGCTCGAAGGCTGTCTGAACGCGACGATTGCCGCGAGCGTTCCGCTCGTCAGCGCCGCTGATATGCGGTGGCAGCCACCGGTAGGGATTATCGGGCTAGTGTGGCTGCTTGTCCTCTTCTGGCTCTAAATTTGCTGCTATGTGTAAACTGTGACCTTTGCAGTCGGATGCTTCGAGTTATGGACCTGCAGCTTCCGTTATGTACGCGACTAGCTACGTTCACTGTATACCCACCGCTGTAGCTATACCCTCTTTATATACTTATTGGACTGTACTTGATGTTTTTTCTTATTGTACAGCCTAGTACATCTATTGCACCAGTCCCTTGCTTGAAGCTTCCTGACTGATTTCCACGTAGCTTCCAAGCATAATCAATGCTAGTTGATATCAGGACGAAATCGCGGCGAACATTGCAGCACACGGCTCGAACTCATTCGTGGAGCACCAGGAGTGGATGCAGAGCCGAGCGAGGCGTTCGGACACCCGCTGTTTTGCAAATCAAGCTGTTCTTCGGTGCAGTACTATTAAGTTTGAACCTTAACATTGGTTGATCATTCAGACGTAATCGTCAGCAAACTCTAAGTCCGAATCGTATGAGGCAAATTTCCATCTCAAGTCGTCCAGCCGAGACATCACACAGGCGTTTGGGAAATAAGTGTTTTATTGCGCAAGAGAGAACAGCCAATACAGCCTGTAGACTATAGAAAACCCGACACGACAATAACAGCAGTAATAATGAGACAGGCAACGGCGCGCCGTTAACGGTACTAAGCCAAGATCAGTATAGTAAGTACAGGCTATGCTACACGGGTGATGAGTATAATGAGACAGACGTATCGAAGCCAAAAAAAACAGAAACACGGAACACAGCAGTCGAGTTTAATGCTACATCAGGACGACGATAAACCAAAATCCGGAGCAAACCTATGCGATGCGTTAATTCAAGTGGTGTCAATGCGGAGTCCGTGGGTCCCCCCTCGGCGGGTATGCAAAACGGATCGGTATCGTGGTACTGTAGCGAGTGGTGGTGGTGCGGTGTGGTAAAGCCTAGAACGCGGCCTCAGCGGGGTAGCTATAGGCCGCGTCCCCAGCGTACGCCTCGGCGAATATGCCCTGCTGCTCGTACTGGACGTACGAGTCGACGACGTCCGCGGCGCCGTACGCATCCAGGTGCAAGTTGAGCGCGCCGCCATCCTGCACGAAGGGCTGCTCCGGCGTGATGTACTGCTGCTCAGGGGAGACGTATCGCTGCTCGGGGGAGACGTAAGAGTCCGCCGGGCCAAGCAACTGCTGCTCGGTAAAGTGACGTGGGGGCGAGCGGTAGGCCGGGTCCTGCACGACGTAGAGCTGCTGGTCCGGGGTCGGCGCATCGCACGCCTGCTCGACGAGCACACCCTCCTGGGCCCACTCGGGAAGCTGCAGGTGCACAGGCTGCGGCGCATACACGCCCTGGATGTGGCCAGCGGGGAGCGCATAGTCGGAGCCCGAGGGCGAGCCGGTGAAGGCAGACGACGGCCCCGAAGTTGGCGGAAGCGCGTTGTCGTAGCCGAACGCGGACGCGGGGCTGGGTGCGGACGACTGAGCAGAAAAGTACTTCCTCGCACCGGTCAGAGGCGAAATGTCGGCCAGAGGGCCAATGTCGAGCGAAAGGTGAGGCGGCTGTTCGCACGGGGCATAATTCTGGACGAGGAGCTTAGCCACGGCGCGATCAAACAGTAGAAAGAACACTCACATAAGTCTCCTGCGGCGCACACTGCTGGAAGGAGAACGCGCCATCACCGTTCACGAACGCGGGTTCGAAGAGCGACATGTCCGCCTCAGGAAGCGGCTCGTAGTACGAGAACATCGATGTCTGGTCGACAGTCGCATACGAAGGCTCCCTCGGGTACCACGGGCGCGATGGTACCGGCTGTGCACTAGACACGCGCCGCTGGCCGAGGTAGGAGCGCTGGGAGCGCGCAATGGTGCCGACAGGCGACGGAGAGCGAGTGTCCGGGGGCACCTGCGCCCATGGGCTCATGGGGGGAGCAAGGGGCAGCGCGATGGGCTGCGGCTGGTACTGCTGCTGGTGGAAGAACATTGCGCCCATCGCATGCAGGGGCACCGAGGAAGAACGACGTTGAGCGTAGAAGGGAAGCGCGAACGGGTCGACGAAATGCGAAGACGAGGCAACCGGCGCAGGAGCGGCGACCTCTGGACTACGCGTCTTGCGGCGCGCGATGTCGAGGTCCAGCTTACGGATAGCCTGTGCGAGGTCGTCGCCGGTCTTGCCCGCGAGCAGGAATTGCGCAACCTGCTCGACGCGCTCCTCGTCCTCAGGCGACTCCTTCTTGCTGTTCTTAACCGCGGCCTTCGCCTGCCTCTTCTCCTTGTCGTGCTTCGGCTGGTACTTATAGCCCGGGTACTTTTGCTCGTGGGCCGCCTTCACCTTTTTTGCTTGCTTCTCCCAGAAATCTCTTTGCGTGGGCGGCAAATTCTTCCAATACGTGCCTGTTAAGGAAATGCCGCATGATCGGACCGATTATGTCAACAATCGGCGGTCTAGCATGACCTGGAGGTGCCTACCTAGTATCTTCGAAAGCGTGCCATGGTTGGTCTCGATAGAACCAGGCAGATGCTTGCGGCGGACAAAGTCCGACCGGAAGAGCATAAAAGCATTGGCCGGACGCGGAATGTACCCCAGCGATGGTCGCTTGTTGGCCGGAACGCGTCGACGCGGTTTGGGAGCGAATTCTTCCTCACCCTCAGGTGGAAGATCGAAAGGATCGGACGAGGACGGCGCATCCTCGGCTGAGGGGGAGTCCGCCTCAGCGTAAGTAGTGGGTGTTACGTTGGGTGCAAAGACAACCGGGCGGGCACTGCCTGCCTGAGAGGTACCCCAGCGACTGGGCAAGCCAGGGTAAGCACCTTGGTCGAGAGATGATTGTCTTGCACGACTGTTACGTGCTGGAGCCATTATGATGACGGTGTAAAGCAGATGTAGGCGATGTTGTAAGAGCGATGTGTAAGAGCAATTAGCGCGATGTCTAGTTGTGGCTCGAACGCGTGGTCGAGGAATCCCAATGCGAGGGGGAAACAATAAGGGGGATAAGGATGTGGGAGAGGGCGAGTTTGAGAAGGGCTTGTTGCGCGCTTTATACACAGGCAGATGGCGGGGGTAGCGTGTGCGCGCTTCGCGGAGTCCGAATGCGATCACTGATCTCCTCCCATTTGCGTCCGCTCACTTGTCGCCGCATTTGGTATGCTCTTTGTATCGTTCCCACTCGTCCTGGCCATGTGCTGAGAAGGCTTCGCAAGGAATTCCACGGCCCTCGCGCACGCAAGCGACCCTCGGTCTTGCACTGCTGGCCGCGACCCTCGCCCCTCCCGACGTGAGCGCTTTGGCGAGCCGTCTACCACAGCGTGTCCTGCAAACATGGAGGTGGCATTAGCCAGCCTCATCGGGTGCGCGCCGTGTCCAAGTCACTCACGCTTCGGCGCTAGGGTGGTCGACGATATCTGGCAGGGAGCGCCAGCCAGCTTCTGCGTCCGGTGCGTCGATTTCCCTGCACGGAGATCCGCAGGCAGCTGTGCTCGATATTCCACCTAATCATGACTTGCGCCTGCGCTCCCTAGCATGCCGCACATCCCGCGTACGCGTACAGCAATGCGCACCCAGGCCATGCACGTGGGATTCATTTCGGAGGGGCATTCCGTACGTGCACGGGGACACCCGCGAGCCTATCGCCGTGCGCTCAGCCCCGCTTCGATCAGAGCCCAGGAACCTTCTTACCCAATTCTGAGCGCTTTACCGGGACACGTCACGCACGCGAGAGGCACGAGCCACGAGGGCGATAGACTCTTGTCCGCATATGGATAGCGTTGTGGGTGCTGCCTCTCGGTGCCTCTTGTAGGGAGGGCGCACCGTGCGCCGTTGCCGTCCGCGGCCCTCTAGCGAGGTCTTCGCAACCCCTAGACGGTCCCGGCGCAGATGTGAAACGCGTTTCGGGGGTTGCGCACCGTCGCGGAAGCTCTTCGCCCCAAAGGCCAACACGGAACAGAGCGAAGAAGCTATCAGTCCGGACTTTTTGAATTTGTACTGCCGGCAGTGCAAATGCATAGGTGTGCTGCTACTGCGAAATCCTGCAGGAAAATGATGCTGTTCGAGATAGACGACAATAACCTCGGTTTTCCTACCCAGCCTACTGCAGTGATTTTCGGTTTACAGGTCATTCCTGCTGATGAGAAGTTCTGTCGGGACTTAGAGTGCGTTCCGGCCGGCCTGCGGGATAATGTTATACCCAGCGTGTCCTCGATATCGTTGGAGTCCCCATCCAAGCTTGGGTGAAGGTGAGAGGCTGACCTTTCCTTCCTCCGTTTGTAGGCTCGCAGCGACAGAGTGCGAACGCACCTCCCAAGCGCATCATTTCAGTCACATGTCGGTCACGCAGTCCGCCCGCACGTCACAGTACTCTTCACTTACATCCAAGTGCAGGACTAGGAGATATTGTGACGGCATATTTCCTACTGCTCAGGTATCGTACGGCCCAATAATTAGCTTTGTGCAATCTATCTCAACTATCTCCCTGGAAGGTTGACATACAAAAGTCTAGCCAGCGAGAGCCTGAGTCTGACCACCGAGGATATTCCAGCCGCAAGGGATGCATTGAGAGGGTGCTAATGTGCGCCGTTGAAAATCAATAAAGTTAACGTTCATGGTGTTATGGTGTTTCGGTTGTGTATATGACTGCGCGGAGTGACTATATGCGCGCGCGCTAAGGAATATGAGAGCTCGCGCTCTGGGCCCCGGTGCGCGAGACTTGTGCGCTGAGGCAGACGGCGTACACCGTCACTCCTCAGTAAGCCCAAGAACCACCTGACTCAGATCAGTAAGAAGTCATCAATCTATCATGTGCGTAGTCTTCCGTATTCCCCTCAAAATTGCGAGACAATATAATTCTCCATCAGGCCCTCACTGCACTCCTGCTATCAACCAGATCACGGAGACAGAAAGCAGGGAAGAAAGCTTACTCCGGGGATTCCCCACTGCATCGCCTAGCTGATGACTCCAAGCCCGAGCTTCCGCATCCCAAAGTTCTGACACTGACAGCGTCTGGAAACCAGCTGGTCATCCACGGAAGCCTTGTTACAAAAATATCGAAGCGGCCGCAAAGCTGTAATGCCCACGCGCCAGAAGGCCCGGCAGATCGCAGGCGTCATCGATTATTTCAGAACTCACCCCGAATAGGAGTCGTCCAGCTCCGCGCCTACTGCCAAAATTCAATCTCAATCCCAATAATGAGCGGAAGCGATACCCACGCATCTCCCTGGATGGGCAAGCAGAGGCACCGTGACCGGCGCCGTGGCGAGCCACTCACCGTGATCGGCGTGCACGCGGTCGATCTCTTGCGTCGCCATTGTCCGCCCGCTATAGATTCACAGCCCCTGCCACTACCTCACGAATCACCCGACTTCTCGCCCCGCGCTAGCCCGCATGGAGTCTATACGATCTGCCGCGGCCGACAAGTTCTCCGAAATTCAGCATCGACATCGCTACCCCCGTGGTCCACTACTAGCCTGCGAAAAAAAAACGATGGAGCTGTCAGGGTCTTAGCGCCAGTGTGCCGCTGGTTTCTCTGGCCCCGCAGCACCCCAGAAATGACCAACGACCTGGGCCGCACGGCGGAGCGGCGAGGGCGGCCACGTCGTTCCATCAGTCCTGCCTCCTGGCTTCGTCTCTCCTCCCTATGGCCGGTCCATCCATCTGTCCCTCACTTCCACCCTGGACCAGCCATCGATACCCCAGAACTTTCCAGCGGCCTGGAACAAAATACGAGAAGAAGAGGCGATGACGCCCTTCCATCAGCCTTCCCGCTCGTGCATTATCTGCACGCCCATCTGCCGGTGCGGTCTTGGAAATCAGCGCAAGCTGGATGCCCGTCCGTCCGTCTGTCCGCCGGTCGGCCATGTTCCCGCACCCAAGCACTGGCCACCAGAATTCCGAAGCTCTGGGTGCCATGCGCGCGGTCGATGGACGCTCCGACGCCCCAAGCACTACGCCCCACTCGGCTTCCGCCTGCCGCCAGTGCCCACGCGATCAATGGGTGCGTGCCCTCCCCGTGCAACGGGCAGCACGGCCACAAGGAGCCTCCCGGAACGACAGACTAGCCAGGGACGGCGGACGAGGGCGCGCGCGGCCGCTGCGGTCGGCGATGCGACCATACTGTGGCGACGGGCTGACGAGTCCTGTCTCTTCGTCCGACTATCCGCCAGCCGCCTCGCCTTTGAACGCTCGGGCCACTTGCTTTTGCTGCATTTATTCTGTCTGCTTTCATGTCGTACGGGCTACTGTCCTGCTCGACGAGGCAATGGCGGTGTGGAGGGCCCCTCTGGCTTGTTGACGACTTCCTTCTCTTATGGACCTCAATAATGAGTCGCACTCCGGCCCAATGAGCCGCTAGACATGCTACGCACACCGTTCAACCGCTAGGTCCTGTCTTATTTCTCTCTCAGGCGGTCCTGCAGCGCGACCTTTCTTTACCCGGACGGACTGTTGCTCTGAAGCCCGTACAACCTTCAGTATTGACTGCGGTGCCACACTTGACTCCCACGACGACACCCCATGTGCAGATCCATATACATCGTACATAGAGGCAATTGTATGCAGAATAGCTCGCATGCGCTGACTTTCACGTACGAGCCGGCAGCATCCAGACATATTTCATGATACCGTTGCTTTGCTTCTTTTCTCTCTTCGGACAACGAATGAATCACACTTTCCGTCTGACTACGGCGATGTAGAGGGATGATCAAGAGCTGCCAAGATCGGATGTGGGATCAAACTCTCCGCTACTCGGAGGTATCGAAGACTTGACGAATACACGCCGGACGACAGTGGTAGACTTACATACACGTACTTCTACCTGCGAAAGTCTTCCTATGTCAGGGAGAGTACACAATGAACACTCGATACCTCGAGGTGAACGTAGGACGGGAGAGTATGATCACTTGGTTTTAATCTTCATCGTGGAACCTGGCACTTCCCAGATCACGTGATGTGCGTTTCATTGTAAACGCCGTTTAACGCGCCGCTCGCGGAGCAGCTAGCAACATTGTACACAACTCAATTCTGTGCTGATAACCTGATTCAGATAGGATCTCTCTCCTCTCTACCACCACCGTCAGTCATCTTCGTGTCACTGAAATCCGACTACAATCAGGCCCCAATGTCGTCTCCAACGCGACACCCCGAAGACTTGAAGAGGTTGCGCCACAGTTCGATATCTTCGAGCGCCTCAGCTCCCCCAGCCAAGAGGATGAACAGCGGACTCGATATTATTGAATCTGGCCTTGAACTCGTCCCTGACAGGCTCCGTGCGGAAAGGCACAAAGAGCTTGATGAAGTGGTTTTGAATAAGGTCGACAGATTTTTTGAGAAGGGTGAATTGAGACTGGTCGAGCTTGGTATTCTAGGCGAGTCCGTGGTAGTCAACTCCGACGGCATACTGGATCCTTTCTGGACGGCTACGCGTCTCGCAGAAGAGATGAGGGAAAATCCTGCACTCGAAGACGAGCTGCAAGCAGCGTGGAAAGGGGGAGATTTTCAACGAATACGGTTGCTTAGTACGTGTCTGACCGTCAATCCTGATACATGATGACAGACCTTGCTGAAATCTGTGCTGAAACTGATTCTTTACGCCAAATTATCCGCATATAACCCCTGTACGAACCTCAGAGCTGCTCAGCAGGAAACTCACAACGGTTAACCCATGTTCAGATCTGTCTGAGCAAGGTGAGCCTTCTTCAAGACTGCATTCGTCCTGGCTAAGGGACTGGATATGTGCCCTCTCCTTCCTTCAGATAAAGGTGTGGACCGTCCACCCTATATGCACTCAATCAAAGTCGTTAACGCTTTCCTGTTGAACAGCAATGGCTGAGGCTTGGCAAGTCAAATACGTTGGGGATCATCACGAGTGTTTACTGCGCGCGATCGATAAAATGACCGATCCGGAGAGGGTACGAGGGAAAATCTATTGGAACTACCTTCCCATAGTTCAGAGCTCTGGCATGGGGAAGTCTCGTCTGGTGGATCAAGTCTCGACGCTGATTTTCACGATTCCCTTCAATCTCCGGACGACGAATGGTGCGGACAATGACGATCCTACTCGTCGTAGTGGAAGCTGACTCTCTTTGTTTTTAATCCTAACACAGAATATCCCACCCCAGACGAAACTGTCCGAGACGAAATGCTGCGTCTTCCCCCGGGCAGTGTGAGCTTGTACAAGGGGTCTGCGGTGCAGACAGAAGGGTTTGCTCACTTGGCGAGTTCACCAGAACACAAGGAAATAGCTGTTACGATGTACTACCTGCGGGCGCGTTATGCCGCAATCCTCGCTGGTGTCGTTGGAGTCATTCACAAGGAAGTAGAGCGGCTTACGGAATCTGGAGCCTTGTCGGTGAAGAATGACGATTCGGACCTGGATTTTGCTAGCGAGTGGCGTAAACACCTTCTCAGCGTTCGATCTGACTTGTACGCACGAGGAGTAACAGAAGGATTGAAATTGGTAAGCATCTTTATATCTCAAAGCTGATTCGAACCTGTATCTAACATGATTGTAGCTAGAGACGTCTTTGAGGAGTGGAGAGCTGGAGGGCTGGAGAATGACAGACGCGTTCTCCCGTGCATGTCAAGATCTGTGCAAGGTGGTCCCGCACAGAGAGCATCAGCCTTGGATTCTCTTTTCCTTCGACGAAGCCCACGAACTTTCGGATATGGGCTTTTTGTCCGAGGACTTGAAGGATCCATCAAGTGAAGTCTTTCGAACTCCACTAGACGCCCTGCTCTACGTGCTCGATTATGTGAAAGATGATCACGTTTTCGCTGTCCTTCTCTCCACCAACTCCAGCCTGTACAAGATCTCCACTAACTCCAACCTGCACAAGATCTCCCCATCCCGAAGCGTGGCAGCGTCTATACGAGTGGTTGCCGAGCCTAATCTTAACAGTCAACAGAGTGCCCGCCAAGCCCCATATGTCGAATTGCCGTTTGATACTTGGAACGGCAACGCCATCTGCGTTGTGGGGTTAAACACTCTGAAAAGTGTCTGTGAGCCTGAATATGTTTGTCGCTTTGGTCGGCCTCTGTCAGTATTCGTTCCTTCGCTTACAAATGGGCAGACCTGATCCTGGTGTCTGTTTTATTCTCGCTAGATGGTGGACGCGCGTGCAGGACAAGCCCAACATGCTCAATGACATCTTCTTCTTCGCTCAGGCGAAACTTCTCTGTATGAGTGCGCTCCACTGGAACCCTTTGAAACCCGCGGGATATTCTGCTCTAGCGATACTAAGCAACCGCCTCATTCTCGATATCGAGCCTCAAAGGGAGGCGAATCGCATGCTGGAGGACAAACTTGTGGCAAGCCACATGCGTGTCGCCTACTCGGCACCTTCCCATCTACAGTACTTGTACTCGAGTTATCCCTCTGAACCTCCGCTGGTCGAAGCCGCCGCGATTTTGTGGAACACTCCCGGCTTTGACGCTCTCTCGCACTTGGAAAAGTTCCTTGAAGACGGCCTCATCTGCAAGAGCGACCGCGGAGAGGCGGTGTGCCAGTTCCTCTTCATACGGGCTTATGACGAGTGTATCCATGACGACGGGATTCGGAAGATCGGAAGTGAGAAGGCGCGATACCACCAATTCGTGCCCGTCGTGGATCTCCTTCGCAAGTTGTTTTCCGCCGAAGTGGCCGGAAAGATTCTTTCCGCACCTCCCAGCAACGATCCTAATGGTTCGGACCTCGAAGCCGCCTTTTCTACGGCTTGGATACGGATCAGCCACTTCGCTCGTGCGGGGGATTCGTCTATCCTGGAACCCAACTTGGCAGGCGCTATCATAGCGAGGGGCGCAGCGTGGCAATGTCGCGATGCTCAGCAAGACATTGCTTTTCTCCTTGAGTGCGTGCACGGCGACGAAGATACCCCTATTGAGAAGATGGCGGTCTCTAGGATCGCGGTTCAGATGATGAATACACCCTGGGAGCAGGCGGTGTCTGTGTCATCGAATGTCCTCTATGGCTCCCCCAACGTGCCGTTCAACGAGAGGCCTCATATGATCATTGTCCTCGATTTGGGTGTGTGGGGCGCACGTAGTAGGGCAGCTCCTCCGGCGCAGGCGTCAGTGCTCAGTACTGGTGCCCCCAGCAGCTCGCAAACCACGGCAATGTTTCTGTCATCTCCGATGAAAGTGAAGCAGGACCCCATCAATCCAGCACGCCAGACCCGTAGCAGTCCTCGACCGACGAGCCCTCGATACTGGATCTCTGTCGTTGGGTGTTCCCCGCAGACTTTCAACAAACATATCGTCCCGAGCAGGGACCGAATCAAGACGTTGCTGACCTCGCAACCTTTACTGGCAGAGCATGCCAGGCAAGGAAGGCCATACGTAGAGAAGCTCCTTCAGCTCAAGCCCTATTTCGTAGAAGGCGCGCGGGGACCTTGCTTCACGTGGAAGGAGATAGAGAAACCACTTGCTGCTGAAGTTCGACGTGAAGGACGTGACGAGGTACAAGATTGGGTCGAGATACTTGTTGAAGGAGATGAGGTACTTGATGAAGATGAGAAAATCTCTAGTCTCGAAAATGACTCTGACCCGAATTGAACTGTCTGGCTGAAATAGGGTATTCATGTTGTCTCGATGGGAATGACACCACTTCTGGGCTGTGAGATCTTCTGCCCGAAAGTCGAGACGAGAAGTCTCATGAACCTCGTACTTAGAAAAGGAATGAAGTCGATACCTTTCCTCCGAGTGCATCTTCAAGGCGGCAAACGGGATGTGGTCCCTCCGTCATGCCAGGTCTGGCCACGGTATGCACCGGCGGGATACGGCAGGACATGGTGTTTTTGTCTGTAAGTCTCATCGCCCGCGCCGCAAGAGGCCTTCCATGTCGAGGTGAGTTCATGATGATCGCCAGAACGCCCTCCTAAACTGACACGTCTCATCAAGGCGCGGTCATTTGCGACATTCGGCAGAATGCAGGCGAGTAGTTCTTGGTAGCCTCACCACATGGCTCGATTTCGTCCCTCAGTGGAATCACTTCCGCGGCAGTCAACACGATACTGATATTCTCTAGCCGTGGAATTTACAAGCGGCGTACATCGTCTCAGGAGGTCTCTTATTGCTGTACATCCCCTCACATGAATATATGTGGTATTTTCCAACTTGCGATGTGTTTGGGTCGAGAACCGTAGCCTACAGAAATCTGCAAGACAGGCTGCACTGTCTCGATGATTCGCAAGCTGTGGCAGAGTGCCTCACGCAAGGAATAATAATTAGGAGGCTAGCATTCGGACACAGCACGATTTGTCATTCAGGAACGAGGCAATACAACACGAACTCATATGTCCTTAGGGAGAGGTAAGAACAGCAAACCAAGAACGTACGGACGAAGCAAGGACGATCTGAACACAGGGAATACTAAAGCCACAGGAGAATGGCCAGGCACAATAGTCCAACGAGCCCGACCGGTGCCTGGAACTGCGCATTGGCCCCGTTGACGAGCGGTACACTCTCGCCGATGGTGCTATTCAAGCACTTCAAGAACGAATTGTCCACCCATCCAGGAAGAGGGATCGCACTAGCGTTGGGGTTGTTTAGCTTCGCCGTGTCGTTGTAGCCGTCGAGAGCGAGCGCGACACTGCTCGCGCGGTAGTACTGGACCACTTGGGTCGGGCGGACGGTGGAGCCAGCGAAGACGGACGGATTAGTCGAGGAGCCGTTGCCCAGGGTGCAGGAGTCGTGAACCGTCGCGATGAGCGCGATGACTGTCGCGTTGTCTGCAACAACCCAGAACGTGTTGTTGGACGTCTTCGATGTGAAGATCGCCTGTGTGAGAGGCCCTCCCGGACGGCTTGTGTTGGTCGGGCTACCATACTGTGCAGGATGGGTTAGTGCGCATGGAAGGAGCACTGAATCTATCACCGACCTCAGGGGCATAGAGGTATGGTGCTCCATACGGCTGCTTTTCCCAAACCAAGGGCCAGAAGCAGAACGGGAAACCTCTGTCAGTGACGCTACCCGCGGGGAGACCGGGGTAACCGCTGCCGTACGTCCTGACAGAAGGTAAGTACTGTGGAATGCCATTAATGATGTGTGTACTCACGACGTTCCGTACACCTGTCCCCGTGTCCCGCCCCCGTATGTGAGTCCAGAGAAAGGTTGGCCTTGAGGAATCACGACTGCGCGTCCTCCGCCGCCACTATACGTCGTGGCCGTCATGCGGACGGTGGAGCCAGGCATAGTGATACTTGAGGATTTCTCACCGGTAGTGCTGCCGGTGCTTTCACTGCCTGTGTTTCCGCCTTTGCTGCCACTGCCGGATCCATGCCTTCCACTGCTGCCTTCGCCACCGTGGCCGGAGGCACCACCACCGTGGCCGGAAGCACCACCGTGGCCGCCACCACCACCCTTCCTGGGATCGAGGCGGTTAACCTCGGAAGGGGCTAGGGGGGAGTCTGAAGAAAAAGCAGCCATGGGAAGAAGAGAGAATGGATGCTCGAGACGGACTTGAGGAGCCCCTTTATACTATACTCGAACTGTGGCGTCCATTGTTCAAGCGTTGCTGTGGTTAGGCCGTCCTGATAGTAAGCGTATATTTAGCACCGCCTTTGTGCATGTCTGTGGCGGTTCCGTGGCGGACACAGTGGCTAGCCAGACCGCTTGGACCCGCATGGTGCTGCAGGACCGTCAGCACGTGTACCCTACAAGCTTGAAGAGACTGCCTGATGGAAGCGGCGTGCTGGTTCAGTCTCGGAGCGTTCCGAGGCTCCGAGGGATGGATAACGCGGGAAATGGCGGATATTTAACAGATATGCAGGTATCATGGGCGTATGTCCTGATAGGACGTAAGCATCGCAATACATGAGCAGCAGAGTCAATGATGCGTGTATGTAGTCATGACGTTCCGCGTACCTGCGACGCGTTCCCGCCACCATAGGTGCGTCCAGCGAGTGGTTGACCTGCAGAGACCACTACCATGGGTTCACCGCCCCACATATACTCGCCGGTGGTCTTCTTTCCAATAGCGGAGGCAAGAAATGCGATGTCGAAGGATAGCCAAATATACGGGCTACTGGTCTTTCTATCGGGCTCGGGCCAGCATCCCCAGGATACCCAGCGCGCGCCACTTGTGCTATTGTGACTGGTGCCACCGTCACCATCTAGTTCACGACGCTCTTCACAATAGCATAGGGTGTACATGTTGAGATATAGGCAGGAGACCCCTTGTATACCCGACTCGAGTTGAGTGTGGTTTGTTTGAACTAAAATAGCTCGATGGCTCATCTTGATAATAAGCACATTTTAAGCCCCGCCGTTGTATACGCTAGTAGCAGTCAAAGCACTCAAATATGCCTGAAGAGGCTCGCCACCCGGGTTATCCACTTCGCCGATATTCTCTTCGCTGGGGCACCTATTCACGTTACTTGTTCAGCGAGTGGTTTTGGGGATGACGCTCAGGCACGTGACCGGTGACGCCGGACTAGGGGGAGAAGACCACACATGAGCTATAATCAATCTTCATGCCTAGCACAGCCTATAAAACGCTTGTATGAGCGCGATGGCGTCAACTGTGATAGCATATATGCATACGAGCGCAATATGGAGACTCACGATGGACTGTTAAAGTGCAACAGCGTCAAGTGAATAGGAAGGTAATCAATTGGATGGTTGGACTCACTGTGCCAAAATAGCTGTCGTGAGGTCATCTACGAAGCCGATTGCACAGTGAAACAGCGCCGCAGGAGTGTGCCTGCGGCACTGGTGTAACATATAGCCCGTCTCCGTTCATGACCCCAAAGATCTATACAAGCAAGTCCGCGCTTCTCTCGCCGAGCCGAATCAACTGCTCACGCTATTGACAAGCTTGTTTAGCGAGCTAACGCTCGACAGTGTACCACGTATTACAATATGACTATGACTAAAGGATCGTCAGTGAGATGTCGCTGAGGTGAACCGTACCGTGTAATGCTGGCTAATCTCCCCTTGTTGCTTTCATGATCAGTGTGTCGCTTCATGACAATTGATAAAGAAAAAGGTCAAATGCGTGCCAATATGCTCGTCTACATTCGCTCTAGGGGCTTCAAACTTAACAACCGCATCGCCGCTCCCAGAACATCCCTGGCGCACAGGTACATCCACATTCGCGCGCGGGCCTTCTCCACGTCCGACTCGCCCTTCACAATGACCGTCTCCCATGCGCTCGAGATGGCGTGGGCGAGGCGATAAGCGAATGTCACAACGCCGCTTGGCTCGTGTGTGCGCAGCGCGGTCTTGACCACGTCGGGATACGAGCCGAGCAGGAGCACGATCTCGCGCGCCGCAGGTTCCGTCAGGAGCGTCGTGTCAATCTTCGCGGGCGCAGGAAGCGGCAGCAGCTCGGGATTCTTTCGAGAGATCGAAGAGATGCGGACATGCGCGTATTGCAGATACGGCCCGGTGTCGCCCTCGAACGAGAGCATGCGCTCCCAGTTGAATGTGTAGTTGTTGATTCTGTGGCAGCAGAATGGGTCAGCGCCGGGCACAAGGGAAGACGAAGTATGCATACCGCTTGGCAGCCATGTCTTGGATCTTCACACCTGTGATGCCGATCTCCTGCGCCGTCGCCTCTGGCTCCTCGATGTTCTTGTACTTCTCCTCGTTCTTACGCATCTGCTCGTGCATGACGGAGCCCGCCTCGCGGATGATCTCGTCGAGGAAGACGACCGTGCCTTTGCGCGTGCTCATGCCCTGCACTAGCCCGTAGTTGACGTGCTCGAGCCGCTCCGCCCACGGGAAGTCCATCAGCTTGAGCACCTTGAAGAACTGCGCAAGATGCAGATCTTGCTGCGAGGACACCACGTAGATCATCTTGTCGAACTTGTACTTCTCGTATCGCTCAATGGCACCGCCAATGTCGCGCGTTAGGTAGATCGACGTCCCATCTACGTCATTGTGAGTCCCCATTCAAAAAAGAGCAGCGATATGCATACCCTTCTTCCGTACGACGGCCTTGCCGAGCTTCCATTGCTCCAGGTTCACGAGCTTCGCGCCCTGGGACTCATCGATGAGGCCCATCTCCTCCAGCCGCTTGAGCGCCATGTCCTGCGACTCCTTCCCGACCTGGCTCTCGCCCGTGTACACCTCAAAGTGCACGTTCAACCGCGCGTACTCCTCCTCGTATTTGCGGACCGAGAGCTCCCGCCAGACCCGCCAGTCTGCCAGCGCCTCCTCGTCGCCTTCCTCCATGCGCTTAAAGAACGCTGCCGCCTGGGACTTGACCTCAGGGTCCGCCTCGGCGTCCTTGTTTATTTTGACGTAGACCTCGAAGAGGTGCTTGATCGCATTCTTCTCGAGCGCCTCACGCGAGCCGTACTTGTTGAAACCGACTGCGATCAGACCGAACTGTGGTACAGCGTCAGCTTCCCGCCAATCATAGACAATGTATGCACTGCACCTGTGTCCCCCAGTCGCCCAGGTAGTTCATGTTGATGACCTCCCATCCGCACGCCTTGTAGAGGTTCGCGATGAAGGCGCCGATGATCGTACTGCGAAGATGGCCGACATGGAACTGCTTCGCAATATTTGGCGAGGAGTACTCGACAATGACGCGTTTCCCCTCGCCCGAGGTGTTCGTGCCGTATTCTGGCTGGCCTGACGGTGTCGCGTGCGTGAGCGCGTGCACTTGGTCCAGGACTTGCCGGATGAGTGTCGTTGTATTGAGTGTGAAGTGAAGAAACGCTTTGTCGTGCACCACGCTCTCGATCCATTCGTCAGGTTGAAACTAGGGAATCCAGGCCATTCAGTATCTTCGTTTGAGCACGCCAGACCAAACTCTAACCCTAGCACGATACGAAGCACAATCAATCCCCCAGTGAAAAGATCAAGGTAGGCCGCGGAATCGAGCTCCTGGAGGAGCTTATAGATTGCCCACTTCAATAATCCTCCCCCACACGCTCGATCACAAACCCAAGGAAACATGTGAGACCCACCTGGTTCAACACTTTTTTCGCGAGCTCGTCCACCTTCCCTGGCAGACGGAATCGGGGCAACGCGACCGTAAAGTCGACGCCTTTCTTGCCATAGTCCACGCCCGTGTACGCTTGCTCAACCGTGAGCGGCGGCAGCGCGTCCGCGACCCGCTTGGCGATCGCCGTGCGGAAGGCATCCAGTACACACCGCTCGGGATCAGTGCCGGGCACTTGCGGCAGCGGCGGTAAGTTAGGCGAGATGACGAAGGGCGAGCTCGGGCCTGCCGTCGGTGTCGGTGTCCTGATTGTGGACATTTTCCGGAGATGCTGAGATCGGAGGAGGAGGAGGCGGGGGGACGAGTATGGTACAGATAATGTTACAGGAAGCAGGGGGCGTAGCCTCAGCAATGTAGCCACAGTTTTGCACCGGAAGCACTAGACGAATCCAGTTTAAGCGAGTAGCTCTATCGATGGCGATTTTACAAAAGTCTCGGTCGAGTCAGAGACAAATATTGTGAGCGCTTGCAGTCGCAGCCACTGGCCGCTGCACTGGCCGCCCGATTTAGCAGGTGCTTAAGAACCGCAATCGTCACAGCAATCCAGATCAACCCGAATGGGATCACAGAGTTCGATTAAAAGCGAGATTACAAAGGTGCATAGGCATGAGACATCATATCACAGTATAGTAAGTAAGGAGCAAACGCATCGGAGACAAGAAAATAGGATAAATTACGCAACGCCACCTCTATTAGTAGAGCCGCTTAAGCGAAATGTACGATCCGGAAATGGCGTTTCTCGTGCGACGAAGCAGCACATTTTCACCACTCAATGACATCGGGGAAGAACTTTGCGATCAAGCCTTGATAGTAGGGCTTGAGCTTCTCCGGGTCGACCGGGTCGTCGCTCTTGCTGTACAGATCATATGGGTTGAAAGCGCGCACTGCGGCCAATGCACGTTCATCGGCAGCGTTTGTGAGGTGGGAGTATGCGCCCTCACGATGCCACCTGTCGCGTGGAAACATAGTGAGGAAAGCCGCGTGCCTGGATAACAAGGAACACGTACGGGTAAAAGCTGTGGTATCGAATCATATATAGCGCATCCTCGGGCAGGCTGCTTTGGTTCTTCAAGACGTTGTAGAGGTACTGCGCACGGCTGTTAGTACGTATTATGGTAACAAAGTAAAGGGTAGTACCTCGTCGTGCCCCCACGACAACATTACGTTCTCGAGGCCGCAGTTGGGAGCGTACACACCGTACTCGGTCGAATAGACAGGATCGTGAGCGTCAGGGTTGCCCTCGAATGTCGTAGGATAGATGTTCTTCTCGGAGAACTTGCATCCGACAACGAAGGTGTCCTGGATCAAGGCATTGTCAACAGACGGTCAATTGAGCAGCTGCATCAAGTCGACATACACCAACGACATCCCATTGGCCTCTACGGTGAGGGCGTCAGCAGCCCATCAAGAAGCAAATCGGTGAATGACGTACTCAGAGCCGAAGAGATAGAGCAGCTTCCCGAGGTCGTGCACCAGACCGGCGGCCTACAGGGCGTCGTTTCAGACAGGCGATTACAAACACACGGACACGTGGGACTGACCTGCATCCACTCGGGTTTACCGTCCCTCCGGATGGCCTCCGCCGTTTGCAGCAGGTGTTCAATTTGCGTCAGGCTCGTCTGCAGAGTTACTCAGCAAAGGCACGTGTAGCAGAAAGCAGCGTACACACGTCGGGATCAGAGTCGTCCACCAAAGTGTCGAGCATCTCCATGGCCTCCCAGATGCCTATTGGCGCGCAAGGCGAGTCAGCACACGTCCACGCCTCATACTTGACGCTGATGCGTACCCATGCGCGCCCGGACAGTCTTCTTGAAGTTCTGGCGCACGCGGAGATTGAACTCTACGGTTTGCTTCTCTGGGTCGTCGAGGATTGTCAGGCGGCGGAAGCGCATCATAGAAGGCTGCGACGAACCATGCTGCTCGCGATAGAAAGTCTTGACGCGTTCGCATGCGTCTTCGTACTGGCGGAAGGCCGTTTTGTCCTTCTCCGAGTCGAAAGCAGACGATGCGCTCCATTCGGTCTTCGACACGGCACCCTTCAACTTGTTGACTGCAAAGCCGTGATCGTTTAGTAAAGGCAGGCCCAGCGTAGTGGGCCACCGACGAACCTTCGTCCACTGCATCGGAGACGGTCTCGAAGGCTTGGGTACCAGCGATGTGCACCATGGCGTTAGTAGTGTTGTGGATGGTCTGGGAGAAGTCTGAGTGTGTGTTGTGGTGAAACCGAACAGCCCCTCGTACCTATATATATGAGGAACACGGGAAGCAAATTTTCCAAATGCGGTTGGCTGTGCGTAACAAACACAAACCGAGCAAACTGTCTGGTCGCTAGACAATTATGTCAGACGCCGATGGCAAAGTGGCGCTGTGCTGTCAAGGGGGAGACGCTGGTCTGGGGAGGGGTGGCAACGCCGAATTGCGCCTTGTGTAAAGGGGAGGAGTACTAGAGCACCCCATTGCGCATCTACGGAGCCTTTGTATGTCGCGGTGGCGGTGGCGGACACGTCCGAGTCGGATCTCTGCATGTGTTTTCCGTGGCAGCGTTACCCCAGAACACACACCTGCCGCGTTTGAATGCCCTAACAAGCGCGGCGATCGCTTCCCAGATGAGATAAGATCACAGGAGAGAAGGCGGTCCGGTATCCGTATCAGGAAGAAGTAGCCGGTTCACCATTCATAGACGAGCTTTCTCAATGGCAGGCCATTCTCGACCACCCCTGGCGCATGCTGACATCACAGGATATCCACAGCGACGTCGATACCGCACAAACTGATTGCAGAAAACGGTCAGGCCATCGCACGAGGCATTGCACGGGACGAGCATCGCTGTACTAGCCCCAGTTGGCGGATGGCCTTCGTCTTAGGCCTGGACATGAGATCTCTCACGAACATTTGAACTGCTGATGGGTAGTGGAAGCACGATTGGCGAAGACCGTCGTGAGAGCCGGTGCGAACGGAAGGTTAGGGTGACATTCACCTGAAGAGGTTAGCCCGGTATTCGGGTGGGTTTCAAATAGTTCGAGTGGACCACCCACTACATAAAAGCGATATGTGCGGTCCGAAGGATACTGTATACAACGAGTGCACTGGGTTGATAATCAACCTGAACACGTACCTGACTATGTCGTGGATTATGCAGTTACTATATTGTATTCTGGGTGGCTCCTTGTTAAACATAAAGTCTCCCCGGCCTTTAGAAACATCGCTGTCAATTTATGGTTGAGGACGACGCGTCGCGATCGAGATTTGAGGCGTCGATCGCGTCGTAATATCAGAGTCACGTGCTTAACGCGCTAGTGGCGGTCGGTAGATCCCGCGCGCGCTATCGTCAGTACTGTCGCATTGTCTCTTCGCAGCAACCTCTGCGCCAAACTGCCATGTCCGCAGACCACACACATCGAGTCCATGATGCCGATACTCAGCACCAACACTGGAAACCGCCGGTGTCGGAAGACTACCCGGACTTCCGAGAGTACCCAGAACTTCACGTACCACGAAGACGCCGTATCCCTATCATTCCTGACCTCCGGCTCGAGCAAGGCTTCTCGAAAATGATGCAGCCATACATTCACGTACTCCGCGACCCCGCAAATGACAAGGGACAGGAAATAGCATCCGAGGGTCTGGGCGGAGCGGTATCGAATGAGATTATTGAAATACAGTGGGGAAGGGTTGCTTGGATCACAGCGAGGGAGTCTATTATCAGTCCGTTGATACAAGGGTCCATCAGGTATGTAAACTTTTGGCGTGGTTTACGTTCTGGCTTGGTCGTTGCAATCCGTCTCAGACATGACCCAGACGCGTTGACGGGGCCCTCCTAGGCCGCTCAGATAGCGACGTTTTCATGTTATCTTCGCACTTGGTTGTTGTATTCACACAGCTTCCTTTGTGGGGGATGCATTCTGGCAGTTTGGTAAACAGGATACAATTCCCTGTAAGCAATTCTACCACACCGACGGTAACTGCCGTGGTAGTTCGCGTGGTCTCTGGGGCAGCGCGCTGAGATATCTGGCCATTCTGTCGCACGTAATGCGATATCGAATGCAGGGAGCCCGGTCCGTGCAGTTTGACCAAATGGGTTCGAAGGCGTCCCGATCTTGAATAAAGTTGGTGGCGTTCTGCCATGAGCGCGATGCGATCTGAATATTTTTGAATTGTCGTGTGGATTCGAGGTGACCGGATCGTGGCCCTTCCCTCCGTCAGGGACCTTGTTGCGTATCGCGCTTACTGAACCTTTGACATGTCCAGAGGGTTGGCTGCTGCGGTATTGGTACCATTTCTCAACGAATGGCTTGACGCACCAATCAAGGCATGGTGGAATAAAGGCCGCACCCCCAACAACGGACAGCACAGCGAGGGGTATGGGGTGGGATGGCTGCGTACTTGGTTCGCCGGTCTAACAGCCGGAAGCATAGGAGGAAGCAATCAAGCTACCAGATAGATGTAAGTAAGTTGGTCATGTCTCATTTCAATGAGCGCCACCAACGGGTTTTTGACATAGATGCAATTGACTTCGTATCTCAGGGCCCGTGCGAGTACTGTTCACGTACACGGCGCTAGGGACTTCCCGTACCCGCAACGTCCGTAGGAGCCGGAGGGAAGACCTCCCGCAGCTCGTTTACCCACATGTACCTCGAGAACGCAACATACAGGTAGCGGAACCAGACAAGTTGTGAGCGGTGCTGTGCCATCGCGCGGAGCGCCGTTACATACTCGCGCAGCCCTGATGCGAACACAGGCATCTGCCGCGCCCCCGCGTCGACGTCGGTCTCCGGTATGGGCGGATCTGCCTCCCGGGTGGGCAAGAGCGACGCCAGAAAAGGCGAAGGCAGCCCCGCAGCAGCGGCGGAGAGCAGCCCGGCGGTTCTTGCGTGCAATGCGGCGAGCGGACCGGTGTACTTTGCTAGCAAGGGCACGGAGACGAGTGTGAAGAGGCGGGGCGCGGGGGCGTGCGTTCTATCTGATCCTGATGACCGTAGGGTGGCGAGGAGGTGTGCGGCACCATGCAGGAGCGAGATGTGGTTCGGGTGCCCTGATATGCCTCGGTCGTCGAATGTCAGGATCTGAATTGCGTGCTCAGCGGGATGGACGCGCCGATGGGGAGGAGCGCGGACGGACCGTGGTTATGTTGTGCTGGAGGACATAGGGTCTGACGACGTCCGCGATGGTTTCGGCATCCCACGATGCGGTGAAGTTGTCCTTGAGGTCACTGAGTGGAGAGCGTCAGCGCACAGGACCCCTTTGATGTCTGAACTACTGTTATAGAACGGCTGATGACTGATATGCGATATCTTTATGTGTAGAGTCCATTCTAGGCTCTGGCAGTGGGTGCAAAATGCCGAGCAGACATCGGAAGACGAATGCAAGCAAGGCATCAATGCTGGAAGGTCTGGTGACCTTCGATAGCGGGTGCGGGACGCCCTCCGTTCTGAGCTTGGCGGGGAAGCTCACTGCATGTCCTTGGGCACAATACATGGATTTGTGGAGGCGGGGTTGGGAGCTCACGAACGATGCGCTCGAGCAGCACATATCAGGCGCGACACATCTTCGCACCGTTTATCATGTGCATGTGCAGGTTTATCTACACTTACCCCGCCAAAATTCACCAGATGTTCTAGCAGTCGGTGTTTTCGGAGTTTTTCTCCATGTCCACCCGGCGTCTTTTGCGGCCCAGCCACACCCACTAAGAGATCGTCCAGGGAACGTGCCTGCCTTATGGGGTATTGAGAGCATTGTGTAGTCAGCCTCCGCACTGCGAGATGGAGACATATTTTCGACCAATGATGGACCCATGTCTCGGTCGGAGAATTCTTTCCATATGCCACTGGTCTGCAAACCAGCCACAAACGCAAAGTGGCTCGTGCGCCTCAAGCTTGTGTCTCCATCGCTCAGTCAGACCGATGCTGTATACAGTCAGCCGAGCGCGAATTATCACTATCGGCACATTGAAGCACCTCAACTTCGCTCATGAGCTGAGGGGGAGCGAGACACGCACAAGCGATCCATACACCACCCCAATCCCATATACTGTGCCTTCCTGCCGATCGTGAACAGTTCAAGTAAGCAGAGTGACGTACGGTCTGTCTTCAATCCACCGTCTTCCCGCATGTATTCCGAGCACATCCAGACTCTTCTTCAGCTCATTCCGCCGGACGTCTCCCAGCCCATCGGCGTCGCCTATAGACAGGCATAAAGAGAACAGCTCAGGAATCAGCCCCGTGCCCGCAAGTTCGTAATTATTGAGGCCAGTCAGCGAGGGCGAAAAGAACATGCACTCGTCATCGGGATGTGCAGTGAGTAGCAAGATCCTCAGGGGGCTTGAATTTACGGCGATGTTTACTGGGAGCAAGACATTGACATCGGAATAAAAGGGCTGCGCGAGAATCACAGCGCAGATGGCAACAATCAGAATCCCAGCTTGTAGAGAATTCATAGACGTAGTGTGGCCGCAATATTGAGCTAGTCAGCTACAACAAGCTACAACCGACACCTCCGTCCGAGTCGGTGGTAACGTCGTGCACGTGGTCGATGTCGATCCCATAATCATGTTTTGATGCGAATTTTGACGACGGTTTGAGCGCCGTTCGACAATGTTTCACTGGGCCTCACTCACCTTCGAATCCGAACCTCGAGGTTACGTACCGCCTGCACACACACTTGACTTGCAAAGCCACTCAATACAGGCCATCAGGACGAAAATATCTCGTGTGGGAACCCGCAGTCAGTGCCGGTTACCAACCTTCTTCATGTGTCATGAATGTGGCCAACTTGAGGTTGCCAGAGCGGGTTCCTATGATGCGTCCTACGTTCTAAATGGCTTGGCGTTTTATATCTAGCGCGTTGCGCCGTAAGCGGTGACAGACTGTGTCTATGAATCAAGCTATATCCGTCGCGACTCGCGAGCTCAACCTCGCGCCTTTGGGCTTGTCTCGTCTGAGCTGTGTCGCTCCCTGACCTCGTTGTATTCTACGTGAGTGAGTATACTGGCACTGCTAATAAGACTTGGTGCCTTGTGCACCGCACAGCAACCTGGTCGGGTATCAGGTACGCGATGCATGCATGCATAGCGCTCACCCTTAACGTTAGCTCGGGAATGCTGTGCATCACAATTGACACGCGTAATGAGCATCGTAGATCCCGCGCTGCATATAAGGCCTACGGCCCAGACACTGACCATCCGTCTTCTTCGATTTATTTTGTTCTCATTCTATTTCACGTCATGGTTGCTGTCTCCTCCCCCATCCGCGCACTCATAGCAGGCGCTGCAGCCACCGCCATGCAAGGCGGATGGTCGAGCTCTAGCTCGGACAACGTAACTTGGGGCCAGACGGCAGACTGCAATATCGCGAGCTTTGTGCCCCAGTTCCCCGCCGGCCAGACGCAGCTCGTGGTACCCACGGATATTAAACCTCATTTCATCGGCCTGGCATTTGGGGTGCAAAATTACACCTGCAGCGAAAGCGGCACTTTCTCGTGAGCCTGTCATTTTCTCACACTAGATAAGTGAAGCTGACTAGCCGGTTTAATCACAGCAATATCGGGGCGGTCGCGGAGCTCATTGACGTCTCGTGCTATGTGAACGAAAGCTGGTTCCCCACGATTCAAAACGAGCTCTACGCCGCGTGGACGGACGCCGACTTCAACGACTTCTCCATCCAAGAGATCATCGACTTTGTGCACTTCATCGACCCGCCGCAGAACCTTGCGCAGCATTATTTTGTGGAAAACCCGATCACGGATAGCGGCGTGAGCCCGAAGTGGGACTTTACGTCTTCCGGCAAGTTCAAAGGGAACGCGGACGCGTTCGTCATTGCCAAGGGAAACGGCACGCTCTCCTCGCCGAATGACCCCAAAGACGACGTGACATGGTTAGAGGTGCTCCAGGTGAAGGGTGACGTCGCGGATGAGGTGTTCCGCTTCGATACGGTTGGTGGCCAACCGCCAGTAAACGTAAGTAACTTAGTGATGATATGAGGTGTCTATGATACTCACCTACTCCATCCAGTGCTCACATGGCCAAAGCCTGGACGTCTCGATCAAATACACCTCGAAATACAGTAAGCACTGGTTGATCGTTGGACGTCTGCTGGTCTCTGATACACTTCTCTAGTTTTCTATGGAGGGAGTATTTACTGAGCTGATAAATGACGCCACTCCTTCACAAATGACATTTTACGCAAGGACTGCCGCAGTATTCATATAGCATAGTATTACCGATGATGTACTACTGCGTGTGTATTAACACATCGACGCACATAATTTATTATCATATTGGCGTGTACACGCTTATATTTGTGCCCATTGCCCGGGTGAGGATGGCAAGGTACTTGGGCGCTTGACGCGATATGTAACGCGTGACCACACGCGTCCATAATTCTATCAAGTGACACGTTCCTCCCTTCACTCCTTTCCTTGCTTCACCATTTTCACAGCACAGCAACTACAAACGATCTAGATGGCGGAAATAGCTCCACGCGTGAACTCTGCACGCCTTGGTCAATACGTTTCGCGCACCGTTAGGCTGACATGCAAGACTCTGAAGGCATTGCTGCTTTGTATCCTCGAGGCGCGCCCAACGCGCTGATGATATTCGAATTCACAGGTTCAGGGCGACACTGCAGTCGTGCAGGCATCTGATGGTGGGGAAGTACAGGTTCGCCTGCTGCGGGTACGTCTTGCGGGTCGTAGTTTTTCGTGATCCATGCATTAACCATGGCACTACGCGTCAGGAGGCGAATATGACCACAGCATACATCGAAGTGATTGGTTCGGTTATCGACGCGTCGACAATCAGGATGATGGCATGCATAGACCTAGGAAACGAGCTTGGTATGTCTACACGCTCGTAGCGATTCTGGCTGCTGAATGGATATTTCCGCAGACATGAAGCTCGTCAACGACGTCGTCGAGCTGTGGCACGACCCCCGATTCGCAAAAATGGTTGGACTCGAAGCTTGACAGCTGACGTGCTGCATCGACTCCTATCCCTCGACTCCTCACTGCCGCATCTCGTCGCATATCCAGTCTTCCTGCTATTTGTTCCTCACGTCGCAATGTACAGTATACGCACACATCTGTCTTGCTAATATCCTGTCGCTCTCTCAATGTACCGTTAGGTCTCTTCGAACGAACTACAATGATACATCATAGGTGACTACTTCTCTCGTTAAGGCGTCGCTCGGCTCTCTTCTCCGGCGCCGATTCTCATGGCCAGTTCTCGAAACCAAGGTCGACACCTGCAGAACGGTGAGTACCGGTCAGCCTTGACAAGTATCTGGGTCAATATTGCATCTTACCCCAAGGTGGTGTGATCAGTCTTTGTGGCAGTGAACGGCACAACATCAGTGGCAAATAATTCAATTAAGAAGTAAACTCTGACCGTTTCTGTTTGCCAGACGTAGCTACGCCGTCCAACTTCTCGACATCCTCCTTACTTAACTTCGATGCGGCACTTAGGGCGCCAGTGTAGTTACTTGCGATTCGCGTGGGTGTGACGGATTTCGGCAGTGTCACGATGTCCTTGGCCACTGCGAGCAACATTCAATCAATTTCTCGCAGATGCGGCCTCTGCTATGGCAAAGCTCACCAAGGTATCCGAGCAACACGTCTGACGGCTGCAGGTCATACTTGCTTGCGATCGCGGCTGCAGTTTCGTCGCTGAGCAGGGGAGAGTTAGTCGAGCCGAGCGGGGAATATGCTTGCGGGACGATGCCCTTCGACTTGAGGTACGACAGGAGCTTGTGCTGGGGGTTGTACAAGTGGATCTCAAGCTATCGAATGCCTGGTGAGCAGCATGGCACCTAGCAGATGCATGGAAGCATACCTGATTAACTGCAGGGACCACCGTCGTGTGGGGAAGGATGTCCTGTTCGAGGACCCGCTCGGAGAAGTTGGACACTCCGATTGCCCGCACTTTCCCTGTGATGAAGTCGACGTTCAGAACCTCGCCCCGGTGATGTGCGTACGGTCAATGGGCACCTTTCTTGTAAACAGTCTCCATCTGTGCCCATGTGTCCTTGATCTTCCAGTCGGGGAGGATATCGCGAGTGCCGTCGGGACGCGTCGGAAACGACGGATGGTTGCCGTTCGGGTTCAAGTGAAACGGCCAGTGGATCAGATATACTGCAGCAGGCTCAGCGTGAGGTTATGTTTAACGAAGGGCTCCTACGCACAATCAAGGTAATCGGTGCCGAGGTTAGCCAGAGTCTCCTCGAGCGCTGCCTCGACACGGGAGTGGTGCGTGCACCACAGTTTACTGGTGATCTGTCGCACTCTGAGTACACACAGGCATGGATTTCCCTGGCTGAGGCACATACGAAGATCTCCGATCGCGGGACGCCAGATTTACGAATTCCCTCGCCAACCTCTTTCTCGTTTCCGTACGCCCTGTTTACGCATCAACAGAGCGGAAAATGCTTGGATCAACACGACACAAACCATGCACAATCAATATGCCTGTATCCCACTTCCTTGAGTGCATACTCGACGGCCGTCGCCACTTCGTTTGGCTTCGATTGCCACGTCCCTATGATCGACAACGTGATGTCAGCAGTCATATATATTGTATTGATGTGCCATTATGTACCGAGGCCGAGGATGGGGATCTCCACGCCGTTGTTGAGCTTGACCTTGAGGGACGCCATGACTCCAGTAGTTCCGATATCGTTCTGACTCAGGTAGGCCGGTGGCCTTTATATAAGGTATCATGGCCATGCACGGGCGGACCGGCGTTCCCTATGCTATCGATGTGGGATGCCGTCGGGCGGTTTCATCGGGAAGTTCACACTCATGACCCTGGTGTCTCTTCGGCATATAAAGATAGCATACAAATTGTAGGATAATCATCGCACATACGCACGCCATCGAATAATGCTTGCGGTACAAGTTGTGAGACACCGGGCCGCCTTATTCCGGTTGGTAGGTTCGCCGCCCGCAGGCTTCGACTCCGAACTAGCCACGTCCGTCAAGAACAAAGTCTCGCAATAGTTGACCTGAAAATGAGTACGCATTATTCATGATTCGCGGCATGGAAGATATCACCGTCAAGCACTTGCCTACCAGAATAAGGTTGCTTACCGATGGAACCATGTTGGGTTTCCACTCGCAACTGCTCACGAGATGACACCGGTATTATGGCTGGTTCCAAGGCATTTTCGTACTGCTACGCAGCGGCCATGAGCAAGAAGAGCGTAAGAACTCGAATCAATCAACTAAGCGTGGCAATTTCTCCTTCACAACGGTAGATCTCAAAAGCGGCTCTAGAAAATCGTTACCCGCCTGCACTACTTATGAAGTTTGTATACTGATTAACAAGATTTGTAGGCGAGGCCAATTAGCTTAAAACAGACGTCCACAAGACAAGATAGTCGGAATAGGCGAAATGCAACGTGCATACGACTGCAAGGTTTGATGGTATAACCCAAATACAAATTGCTGCCGAGTAAGTTATCTGACCATCTCTTCCACCTCTCTCATACGCTCGACCAGAGATGGATCTCGATGGATTTGAGAATGATGCTGAGCTCTTGTCGTCGTCTCTCCCAGCCAACCCCACATCCAGAGATGCTCTAAAGTATCTCGACGAAGAGTGGTACTTCGGTACAAACAGAAGAGGGAGATGGATGGACCTCATTGGAGATTACGCTGGATCCGAACTCTTTCTACTCGACGGTACTGTAGAACATGCATTATGTTTCTGCGACCGCTACTGAATGTCTAGGCAGGAGAGGCCCTCTTCCAATCAGTGCTCAACGATCCGTTGTTAGCACTAGGTCGTCACGATGGTAGTTCCAACGACTCTGAGAGCATAGCGCCGTATTCATCATTAATCTTTATAGACCCGAGTTTCCAAAACCTGCATGCTGTCTGGTTGCTCGAAAGACTTTTGTACGAATTCAAGTTTCGGGATGCGACCTTTGAGATCGTCTTCTGGCAAGGTCATCGATCCCGTCAAGTTGTTTGGCTGTCCTATACTCATGCAGAGCTTCCGCAGATGGTCGCCATCTGACTCAATCGACAGGGTCTGTACCTTCGATGACTTCCGGCGACTTCGTTGTTGCGTCACGGATGCTGGCGCGTTCGATGATGTTTCGTCACCTGCTCAGCTTGACTATACCTGTGCGCATCTTCGATAATCTAGCTGATGCAGAGTGGATAGCCTATCTTGACGGGAGAAAGGTGCTGTCTAAGAAGATCTGTGTACAGGCGAGAAAATTTACATGTCCATCAGCCGATGTTTGTGATGACCACCGATGGAGGAGCTACAACGTATGGTGATGCACTCTTGACCATGGACGCAAATCGCATTCTGCTACAGCGTGTATTTATATTTGATCTCTTAGCTCAAGGTTGTGCTGTATCTTTGCTTCAAGGTGCTGAGTATCGTGATTCAAAGGTGACTATATCAATGCCTTGAGATTCCTTGGCGGACAATATTGACGCAAAATCGTGCAGATCATGACATTCATCTACGAACAGCGATTGAATCCAAACGCCCGGAGAAAATTGCACAAGAAGTTGTGGACTGCATGTGATGTGGCATCCAGGTCACTGGAAGCTGAAGAATCCCGCGTCAGACGTGGCATTCCGAAGGTTTTCCTGTCGACCCTCGCGCCGCAGCACCTGCACTCCCCTCTCAATCAACAGTCGTGGATAGAGCATGTCGTTCGTGACGTGCTCGCCAATCGCCGTACCGGTATGGAGTTCACGGGCGAACTGCTATGGATCTTCGTGGCACATATACTCATCTTGCCAACATTATCACTACAAGAACGAGCAAGACGCCTGGATATACTTCATCCCAAGCTCCAAAATATCCTTATGACGGCATTCCTGCCCAGTGTCTTCATCGAGCTGGAGCATGCTCTGCCCAGCATCGGCGATCTTGATCTCGACGGACATGTGTTCGTTGCATTGCTCGCCTTTCTCCTCCAAAGCCCTCCCACGACATTTAGTGCGCTCCTTGGGGAGGATGTCGTGACGCAACTAGATGCGGTCTGGTCGAGTCTCGATCTCCCGCCCATCGATTTCCGGCCACTTGCCGCTCGTTTTCCATGTTCCTTAACGACAACACAAGTCAAAGCGTCTCCAATACAAGTACGAGGCCTGCTGCCGTTCACACATCCCTTTTTCGATGATCAACTTGCGCCCGTTCATGTCGATGCCGTTGTCGAGACCGCCCCCACTACTCGCATGTCGTTCAATACCGTCTTCAACGACAATTACCATTGGCATAACAGCCGACGCTCCATTTTGCCACCTCATCTAGGAGGTGAGGATTACAAGCCGATGGACGAGCGCCAGCGCCGCAGGAAGCTTCGTAGTGACCAGAGATTTATGGCATCTCTGGAATGGCAGGCTCAGACCTTGACAGGCGCCTTTGGTACTCCTATTCAGCGTCAGATCATCTTGCCCGTACGGTCTGGCAAGGGGGGCTCGAAGAGTACTACCTCCACGAAGCGGTTAGAGGTGCGTGCAATGAACATTTACTCGTTTCGACTCTTCTTAGATACAACTACGATTCAATAGGCAGACGTACCTAGACCAAACAAGAAGGGCAAGCCAGAACATGTGTCTTCTGCGGACAAAATTAGGCAGGCCAACGCCGCTAAAAAGCAGACAAAAGATGACGAGTCAAACCAGGGCTGGTGGCAAGAGCAGCTGAAACGATGTTTAGAGGGATCCGTATCGCACCAGCTCAGCTTGATTGACAATCTTCTCCGGAACAAGCGCACACAAACTGGGTGGTTAGCGGTGGAAATTCGGCTCTACCTGTTGCATTTGGAGTTCTCCCAGTGGATCGAACGCTCAGATCGGGAATCACTAGTTGTGCGTGATGCGACCGTCGTTAGAATCTTATGCATCGCCAAAGACGCGTATCGACAAACTCACTTATTCCCGACCGCGATCACCCTTCTTGATTCAGCTCTTGCCGCTGTAGGCTTCTCTGCGCTCTCGTCCGATTTACGCCTCTCTGCTACCCTGGTCAAGGACAATAGAGCTCTGGCTTTCAAATTCGTCAAGGTTTTGAGGTCGAAGACAGGGTCACCGGTCCATAAGTATATGCGCATCGATGAGGATCTATTCGCCTGGCAACTACGGCACTTCGGCGACTACATGGACAGAAGCATGGACAGTCAAACGGACCGCAGAGTCTCATTCAAACCCGATGCTTGGCAACGTGAGGTATTAGACTGCTTAGACAGAGACTACTCAGTGCTCGTCGTCGGTGAGTGATATAACACAGTATTTTATCGTTTCATTGTTACGGATGACTAACTTATGTATTTTGAAGCTCCCACAAGTGCCGGCAAAACATTTATCTCATATTATGCCATGGAACAAGTGTTGAAGACCTCTGACGATGGCATACTAGTATACGTTGCGCCAACCAAAGCTCTCGTCAATCAGATTGCTGCAGAGGTATACGCCCGTTTCAAGAAGGACTTGAAAGGGAGTAAGTATTCTGGTCTCGACTACTTCAACTATCTATTCATATTGAGGGTCGTAGAGAGCTGCTGGGCAATTCACACCCGTGATTATCGCGTACACGACCCGCAAAACTGCCAAATTCTAGTCACTGTGCCTGAGATGCTTGCTATCATGTTGTTGTCGCCTCCGTTAGCTCGTTCGTGGACACCGAGAATCCGACGGTACGAATGTAGTCTCACCTAATGATAGACGGTAATACTGATGTTCAAGACGTCAGGATCATTCTTGACGAGATTCACTCTATTGGCCAGCAAGAAGGCGGTGCGGTATGGGAGCAGATCCTCCTGCTCGCTCCTTGTCCAATTATGTACGTATTGATATTATGTCGCTTGTGCACAATTGTGATAATACACTGCAGCGGTCTTTCGGCAACTATCGGGCACCCGGAGCGTTTCAATGCATGGCTTCAATCCGTGCAAGAAGCGCATGGCTTCAAACACTCATTCATCCACCACCCGCACAGGTACTCTCATTTACGCAAGTTTACATACGTCTTACAGAACAAAACTGAATCGCCCTTCGCCGGACTCGCAAAGTATTCCGACACAAAGCGTGTTGCCTTCTTGCATCCAGTTGTCATGCTCTCGTTTGGTGTGACTGAGCTACCTCCCGACTTCTCGCTAGAGGCATCGGATTGTCTGTCTCTATTCGAGGCATTCAGAAAATTCCACAATGATGTGCCATTTGATGTAGAAGAACTGGATCCGTCGAAATTCTTTGCGACATCCGAAGTCAAACTGCTGAGGCAGCAAGACGTGTTGCGGTATGAAGGGGCTTTGAAGACTAATCTTGCACATCTTCTCCACTCTCCTCTGTACACATCTGTCCTCCACTGCATCACAGATCACCTCACAGATCCTTCGGTGAGAGAACTCGACCTTCAATTCGAACCAACCGCCCGTGAATTCTATGGCAATCTCATATATCTCGTAGCTGATCTACATGGCAGTGGCGATCTGGTGAATAATATAGTTGACTTGCAGAGTGTTCAGAGGCTGATAACTCCTTAGCCGGCCATGTTGTTCAACTTCGACCGCAAAGCATGCGAACTCATGGCACAGGTGCTATTGAAAACGTTGCAAGATGCGGAGAAAACTTGGCGTTCACAGGATGCAGCGTGGAAGCGCAAAATTGAGCAATGGGAAGCGTGGAAAAATCAAGCAAAGAATCGTGAACGACAAAGGGAGCGACAGCTCCGGCAGAAGCGGGACCCTGACGATGCGCAATTCCAAGACTCCTCGACTTCGTGGGAAAGCCGCTTCAATCCGTCTGACCCATCCCCGGAGTTTTCGTTTGCTGGAGTATCAACCTCGATATCGAAGGAGGAACTGGAAGAGGAAATGGCAGACCTTGCTCGATGGTCATCTGTTCCTGTGTGGGCTCTCATAGCCTTGCGACGTGGAATTGGGGTTCATCATGCGGGTATGAACAAGCGTTACAGGTCCCTCGTCGAGAGGCAAGTTGTGTGATCATGACTTAACTTCGCGAGACTGATTTGCATCTAGCCTATATCGCATTGGTTTCTTGAAGGTTGTCATTGCCACTGGTATGTAGCCTGATTTAATCAGACGAGAGATCAACTGTGACGGTGGAGATGTTTATAGGCACGCTCGCGCTGGGCATCAATGCACCCACCAAGACATCTATTTTCTGTGGGGATTCAGCTTACTTGACTGCTCTAGTGGTAAGTATTCTCTTGACTGTCCACGGTACCAAATTTACCATGACAACTCACAGTACCGACAATGTGCTGGTCGTGGTGAGTGCTTTATAACCGTCACTTAATAGAAGGCTGACTGTTGTGGGGTAGCTGGGAGACGTGGCTTCGACCTACTAGGAAAGATCGTTTTCTACGGTCTGCCTATAGATCGATGCCATAGACTGGTATTGTCGCGGCTGCCATCCCTTGGCGGCAATTGGCCGTTAACAATCACCATGATTTTGCGTTTATTCAATCTCTTGCAAGGATCCGACAATGCGCCCGTTGCTGTTAATGCTATACGCGGTCTCCTACAATTGCCCCAGGTCGGCTTCTCATCTGACTTTGGAAAACAACAAATCCTGCATTTCACGCGCTTCAGCATCGACTACCTTCGGCGAGCAGGTCTGCTGGACGACAAGGGGAACCCTGTTAATCTGTTCGGCATCGCGTCTCATTTATACTATCATGAACCCGGCAATCTTGCACTCGTCGCTCTAATCCGCCAAGGAGTCCTTCACAGGATTTGTGGGCAGAACAGCAGGATTGCGGCCCAGAGGGAGTTTGTACTCCTTATGTGCCATCTCTTCGGGCGGCGTTACCTTCCGAGATCTTACGCGTCGGACGAGAATCTCCAGCAGCTTATCAAAAAGTCACCATCGATGGTGATATTACCTGCGTTGCCCAAGGATGCGAAGAAGGTGCTACAACAGCATGATCGCGACATCTTGAGCGTTTTCTCCGGCTACGCAATGACATACGCAACTCAGCATAGCGATACCCTGGGCCCCGACACCGAACTGCCATTGAGCGGAAGCATTCGAACTCGTCCATCGTCTTCGTCGACTCCCTTCAATATACATCTGCGACGATCTGCCATCGACGTCCGTGTACGCTCCTTGTTTACCGCTAATTCAGGACACGAGGATACATTCAACACCGTCGAAGAGTTGTCGCAGACCGCTCGGGACAAGATGCATCTCAATCGATATGCCATTCCTGCGATGACCAAATTCATTCCCTCCAAGGAGAAAAGCAGCCTCGTGCTCAATGCGTACCTGCTGGACTTCTTCATCCATGGCCAGACCGCTGCGCTGAAAAAGGCCAACGGTATCAGAGGAAATGACGTCTGGTACTTGCTGGAGGACTTTTCTCTGACGTTGAAAACCATTCGGGCTAACGTCATCAGGCTCTTAGAGGCAGCGTCGAAACTCACCACCACTGATGCTGGTCTCGAAGAAGATGACGAAAAAGATGACGAGCTCGACAGCGGATACGGAACTTATGATTCGGGTGATATTGGAGGGGAGGCCGAGGAACAGAGTCAAGAGACGCATTTGTTAGCGCGTCTTCCTGGCGTGTCGGACGAAGACTGGCGTGTTTACGAGGTTATACATGCAGTCACAGAGGAGTTTGAGACGAAATTCAAGGCAATGTGGGCGTAGTTCTCTCAAGTCAATGCAGATATTAGCTTGTTCAAAGAGAGTATACGTTTTACATGACCATCGCGTTTTCATCTTACACACACATTGTAACATGCTCAAGCTGTGGAGGATTAAAGGTCAAAAGCAACTTGATATATATCAAATATCTGCATGCAGACTCCCATGTGGACTACCGTCAGCGCCAACTTAATGAATAGACAGGCTACACCTCCAAAGCCATAGGTGACTTCGACGGAGCTGACCTGACAAATGAAGTAATGCCGCCGTAAAGTGACCTTACAGCTGCCTCGCTCGCGCTCCCCCACGACGACCGTACCCGCTAGTTGCGTGCCCAATGCGGCTGGTCCGCGGACGACGTCCTTGAGTTCTTACGGCTGAACCCTATGGTCTCTACCTTCGGGTGACCGCGCGGCCGGGCGTCTCCATTCTCGGGCGAATGCACGGCTGCAAGCTCATACCACCGAGCGTGTGTTCCGGTGGCGTCGGTTCTACTAGGATCGTGGTAAAGTCCCGGAGCTCGCCTATTCTCGCAGTGACGACTTCAACGCTTTCACAGAGTGGTGCGCTGTGGAGACATGCGCTGTTAATATCCTCATTGTCTGGGAGGAGCGGGATGCTCGCGACCCATCGCGCGACCCCATCGCATATCGCGCCTCCTCAAGCTTGGCGCCTCCCCAGGAACCGACGGGCGGGTGGTAGATGCCCCCCCGCTGCCTCTGTGTTCTCTCGCTTACAGGACCCGCGCGCCGCACGCCGCCTGCGCGTCTCGAGGCTAGCTCGCGCCCCACGCTGTTGGTGGTGTGCGTCTTGTCCGCCTGAAAACCGTAGGGCTTTGACATCTTGCGCTGCACTCACGTTTGAGTGTTCCCGTCCGAGGGCGCGGAGCCCATTGCTAAGAGCTATTGGAGGCCTGATTACACTCTACATGTACCTACGCTGTATGGAGTATAAACTCGTCAACTTATTAATTATTAAAAAAAGACCTTACAGCTGATTCCATATCGATAGACCTACCTGAGATATTTGTGCGCAAGCGGAGTTGACGCGGAATCCAGAATCAACGCTCGGGACCATAGACCTGACTTGGCTGGACCCGGCAAAGTATCTTCATAGCCACAAGTTACCAAAATAGGCCGTTATTTCCAGGGCCCGCCTATTCCCGCCCGAAGTCCGCTTACGCGGCGCACATTGAGTCCAGCAAGTCTTGCGATACGGAATCATCTGTAAGGCGTCGGACTTTCAATTTATTGACCTTAAGGTCAAGTATCAAGTTTCAAACTTGGCTAGCTACACTTCGTTGTCAAGGACACACGAGTACTAGGCATGGCAGGAGGAACGCGAAGGGGACACAGTTCCGACGATTGGTAGCTGGTAGTAAGTGATTGTGATTTCAATATTCTGTATACGCAGTCTGCGGATGCCGAGGCCAGGCCTAGGCGTGGATACCAGCCGTCTATAAGGCAAAATGGCGGGTTGCACAACGTGTCCGGCCCTTTGCATGGTTTGATGGCATCCTAGTCTTAATCGAGGATATAAATTTTCATGCTTGCTCCATCACCTCTTGTTCTGTCTTGTACCAAGGCTTAATCAACGATGGATCTTGATGGATTTGACGGTGAAGCTCAGCTACAGGTATCATCGCCTCTACCACCGGCGCCCACCTCGAGCGATGCCTTGAAGTATATCGACGAGGAATGGTACTTTGAAACGAACAGGAGGGGACGATGGATGGACCTCATTGGCGACTATGCCGGTTCTGAACCGTTCGTGATCGATGGTACGAATCGTTTGACAGTTGTCGCGCAGACACCGGCAACTCATTAGCCTTGTAGGAGACGCCCTCTTTCAGCAGGTTCTCAATGATTCACTTCTGGCATTGGGCCGACATGACGGTACGTGGTTCTCACTCTGGGTTGGTGCAGTGATCAGTAGCTCATCCTACACCAGAACCAAGCTTCCAAATCCTACACGCCTTTTGGTCTCTCGAGCGAGTGCTGAAGGAATTCCAATCTCGTGACGCAAACATCGATGTTGTCTTCTGGCAATGTAAGACCAACTCGAACCAAATTCTCACTAATGCGTCGTTCATAATGCTTTGTGTCATTGACAGACAATCGACATCCGACGTGTCGGACTGGGTCATCAGACATCGTCGTTTCGTCACGCATGTTAGCGCGTGCGATGCTATTCCGCCATCTTAACGCTTTGGATATTACAATTCATTGTTTCGATAGCTTGTCTGATCCACGATGGATCGACTACATGAGTAACACCAAGGTAACTATCGAATACATAAATTTTCATCACAGCCGCTGACGTTCCTTACAGCCAATGTTTGTCATGACGGCCGACGGAGGAGTAGTGCGGTACGACGATCCCGACTTCGCGGTCGACGCGGACCGCATCCTGTTGCAACGTGTCTTCATCTATGATCTTCTATCACAAGGCTGCTCGGTGTCATTGCTCCCAGGTGCCGAATACAGAGACTCCAAAGTACGTTTGTCGAGCCAGCTCTGAGTAGTATGTGCCCTAATCACCGAGTCTCATCAGATTATGTCATTCATCTACGAGCATCGGCATGACCCTGATGCCCGTAGTCACCTGCGCCCAGAGCTGTGGGCTGCAAGCGATGCGGCACTCGGGTCACTGGGAGCTTCGGAATCCCTCGTCAGACGTGGTGTTCTGATAGTGTCCCTGATGACCCTCACGCCGCAACACTTGCAACCTTCTCCTGATCAAGATGCTTGGATCCCTGAATTTATACGTGCTATGCTCTCTGATCGCTACGTGGCGCATGCAGCTAGGCATGAGATGTTATGGATCTTTACGGCGCACATCCTCATCCTCCCAGCGCTGTCCCTCCCCGAGCGCGCGAGACAGCTTGACAAACTCCATCCCGATCTGCTGAACATCCTACTCACTTCCTTCCTGCCGAGCGTCTTCGTCTCGCTGGAGTACGTTTTGCCTCGGATCGGCAAGCCTGATCTCGATGGACGTGTTTACATTGCGTTGTTCGCCTTTCTTCTCCGACAGCCAGAGGTATCTCCAGCTGAAGTATTAGGAGCGGAAGCCCATGTGCGTATGCAGGCAATCTGGTCATCGTGTGGTCTTCCACACGTCGATTTCGCCTCCATCTCCCGATCCTTCCCAAATCCGCCTGTCGGTGCGGAAAACCCGGCGCCAGCACGCCCGAGGGGTCTCCTCCCCTTCTCACATCCCTGCTTTGATGATGAGCTCGCGCCTGTACACGTAGACCTGACCGAGGATAGTTCCACGTCCTTGGTCCCCCGCATGCATTTCAACACTGCCTTCAACGATGTGTACCATTGGCACAACGATCGGCGTTCGATACTGCCGCCGCATCTCGGAGGAGACGATCCTCCGCCCATGGACGAACGACAACGCTTCAAGAAATTACGTAGTGACCAGAGATTCATGGCGTCGTTAGAGCGGCAGGCACAGACATTGACGGGCGCATTCGGCATCCCGCTAGAGCAGCAAGTAATCCTGTCCACGCGTTCCACCGGTCGATCCAGTTCGAAAACCGATTCTAAGCCTCGAGTGATCACAGTGAGTAGGGCAGGCAACGCTACACACCTTTACTTTGCTGAATATACCAGGATCATGCGACTAAATCTAGTAAAAAGGCGAAGGCAGAACGCCTCACATCCGCGGATAAAATTCGACAGGCCAACGCGGCCAAGAAACAGTCAAAAGAAGACGATTCGAACCAGACATGGTGGCAAGATCAGCTCAAGATTTTCTCTCAAGAATCGGTCTCAGGCCAGCTTGTCCTTGTAGACAATCTCCTGCGCAACAAGCGTACTCGTGATGGTTGGCTAGCCGTAGAGATCAGGTTGTACCGGCTACACCTACAGTTCGTCCAGTGGGTCGGGCGCCCGGATCAAGCAGAGCCAGTCGTACGCGACGAAACCATCACTCGTATTCTATGCACGGTGAAAGATACGTACCGACAACCGCACTTGTTCCCAGCGGCAGTCAGTCTGCTTGACTCAGCGCTCACAGCAGTTGGCCTTTCGACGGTTGTAACTGATCTAAAAGCTTCGGTTACTGTCGTAGACAGCGACAGGACCCTGAGCTTCAAGTTTGTCAAGCTTCTGAAATCCAAGACGGGATCACCGGTGCACAAATTCATGCCAATCAACGAGGAGCTCTTTACATGGCAGTTGCGCCTCTTCGGAGAATACATGGACCGAAGTATGGACAGCGAGGCAGACCCTAGGGTTCCTTTCTGGCCTGACGCCTGGCAGCGAAAGGTTTTGGATTGTTTAGATGCGAACGAGTCCGTGCTTGTGGTCGGTGCGTGATGTCCGCTTCACCGGGCTGATTCACAGATCTATAGCCTAAATTCATTAGCTCCGACCAGCGCGGGCAAGACGTTCATCTCGTACTATGCCATGGAACAAGTGTTGAAGACATCTGACGATGGGATTTTAGTCTATGTGGCACCAACCAAAGCCCTCGTGAACCAGATAGCGGCCGAGGTGTATGCTCGATTCAAGAAGGAATTGACTGGAAGTAAGCTACTTGCATCGTAGAGGGGTCAATAGTTCCTGACGTCTATGTTCCCAGAAAGTTGCTGGGCGATTCATACAAGAGATTACCGCGTCCACGATCCGCAAAACTGCCAAATCTTAGTCACAGTTCCTGAAATGCTTGCCACTATGCTTTTGTCGCCCCCGCTTGCACGAACATGGACGCCGAGGATACGGCGTATCATCTTGGATGAAATTCACACCATAGGTCAGCAGGAAGGTGGTGCCGTTTGGGAGCAGATTCTCCTCCTCTCTCCTTGTCCTATCATGTGCGTAGCTAGGTTTGGCTATGCAGTACGAGGAGCTAACTTTGTCACGGCAGAGGATTATCAGCGACTATCGGGCATCCAGAACGGTTCAACTCATGGCTGCAATCCGTGCAGGAAGCTCACGGTTTCAAGCACTCGTTCATTTACCATCCACACAGATATTCGCATCTGCGGAAGTTCATGTACGCCCTACATGTCAAACCGCCCTCGCCTTTCACGGGACTGCCAGCACATTCCGATACGCAGCGTATCAAGCTTCTGCATCCGGTCGCGCTGCTGTCTTTCGGCACAAGAGAACTTCCTCCCGATTTCTCCCTAGAGGCCTCAGATTGCTTGTCGTTGTTTGCTACCTTGCAGCACTTCCGTGCGGAGATCCCATTCGACACGGACGAGTTACATCCTGCGAAGTTTTTCGCATCATCCTCAGTGAAGCTGCTGAGGCAAAAGGACGTACTGGAATACGAAGCGGCGCTGAAGGTTGTTCTTGCGCGACTGCTCGAGTCTGCAGAGTGCGGGCCTGTACTTGCTCGTATCACAAGTCACCTCACAGATCCATCCTTGCGACAACTTGACGCTCAATTCATACCACCCATGCCGTCATTCCGTAGCAATCTGATCTACTTCCTAGCCGACTTGAGATCGAAGGGTGACCTGGTGAGTAATAAAGACGTCTGTGTGGAGATATTTGACTGAGCCATATGGTCTTCAGCCCGCGATGCTGTTCCACTTCGATCGCAAGGCTTGCGAAATGATGGGTCAAACTCTGCTCGACGACTTGGAGAAAGCAGAATCGAAATGGCGCTCCAAAAGTTCGGACTGGAAGCGCAAGATAGAACGTTGGGAAGTGTGGAAGTCTCAAGCCAAGGTCCGCGAGCGTCAGAAAGAGAAAGACACTCGTCGCAAGAAAGATGGTGATGAAGAGCAAGGAGGGACTACATCCGCTACGTGGGAGAGCTCATTCGATCCGTCGGATCCATCTCCAGAGTTCTCCTTCGCCGGCATATCGACAGCCTACTCCAAGGATGAAATTGAGTATGAGCTGGCTAGCCTGGCTCGCTGGACATCCGTTCCTGAATGGGCCTGCAAGGCTCTGCAAAGAGGGATCGGGATCCATCATTCTGGAATGAACAAGCGTTATAGAACCCTAGTGGAGAGGTGAGCCATGTTCTCGCATAACAAGGCCCGCCAATTAAGCACATCGTCTTTCAGTCTATATCGCGTAGGATTTCTGAAGGTCATGATTGCAACCGGTACGTAGAGTTGAAACCATGCGTTTTGATGTCATGGCTGAGGCTGGTGCAGGAACACTGGCGCTGGGCATCAACGCACCGACGAAGACATCCGCCTTTTGTGGGGACTCGCTTTACTTGACTGCGCTTATGGTATGTAGCATGCGAGTGCCCCTGTGGATCATCAGCTGACCTTTGTTGTGGGCTCACAGTTCCGGCAATGTGCAGGTCGTGGTGAGTGCATCTCTAGAATGCTGAACGAGGATTTGAGCTGATCAAAGTGGATTAGCTGGACGACGTGGTTTCGATCTCCTAGGAAAGGTTGTCTTCTACGGGCTCTCGATGAGTCGATGCCAGCGGCTGGTTCTGTCGCGGCTTCCGTCTCTGGGCGGCAATTGGCCGTTGACGACCACCATGGTCCTGCGCCTGTTCAATTTACTGCAAGGCTCTGACAGCGCACCTATTGCTGTCAACGCCATACGCAGTATCCTACAATTGCCCCATATCAGCTTTACCTCCGACTTCGGGAAACAGCAGATCTTGCACTTCATGCGTTTCGCCATCGATTATCTTCGACGAGCTGGACTTCTGGACGAAGGCGGTAATCCGATCAACTTGTTCGGCATCGCTTCTCACCTGTACTACACTGAACCTGGAAACCTCGCGCTGGTCACCCTGTTCCGTCATGGCATCCTTCATAAAGTATGTGGGCAGAAAGACAGCATCAAAGCACAGAGGGACTTCATCTCGCTCATGTCCCACCTGTTCGGGCGGCGTTACGTGCCAAAGTCCTACGCAACGGACGAGAATCTCCGTCAACTTATTAAGAAATCACCCTCTATGGTGGTGCTTCCTCCGCTATCCAGGGATGCGGAGGCAGTGCTCATGCAGCACGACGGCGATATCTTGCGCGTATTCACGGAGTATGCGTTGGCGTACACGACACAACGTAGCGATGACCTTGGGCCGGATACCGTGTTGCCTCTCAGCGGGCGCAGCCATGATGCCCTAACGTCGTCGGAGACCTCCTTCCATACCCACTTGCGACGCACCGCTACCAACGTCAGGGTACGTTCCTTGTTCGCAGCTAACTCTGGTCTTGGCGACACATTCCGTACGGTGGATGAATTGTCCACCACTGCTCGGCAGGGGCTATACCTGAATCCCTACGCCATCCCTTCAATGTCCGGGTTTACTTCCTCCGCCACCAATAAGGACAGCACCGCGCTGAATGCGTACCTGCTGGACTTCTTCATACACGGCCAACCCGCTGCGTTGAGAAAGGCGAACGGTATCAGGGACAATGATATGTGGTATCTGCTAGAAGACTTCACGTTGACCCTCAAGGCCGTTAGAGCTAACATATCAAGGCTCCTGAAAACGGCGTCAGATTCCCATGCAAAGCGCGGTCTCGACGGGGATCTCGAGGGGCTTGACGAGGATGACGTCGATAGCGGTTACGGGACATACGCGTCGGGAGATGTCGACGACGAGACGCAGAAGGGCGCCGACTTGCAGTCCTTGCAACGTCCTCCGGCTGTGTCAGATGAGGATTGGCGAGTATTTGAGGTGATTTACGCAGCCACCCAGGAGTTCGAGACAAAGTTCAAGGCAATGTGGGCTTGATCAGGGCGAGATGCGAATGATTGAGATGTAATAGCATGTGTAGCTTCTTAGAGGGGCTGCTCCAATAGTACTATCACCACAACCTCAGAGACAGCCTTAGTGATCTTCAACGCGACTGTCACCGGTACATGCGGTATATGCTTGCTGCCACTACCTTCCAGACGTATAATGCGAAAAGTCAACGAAATTTGATAATTCAATCAAATTGGATCACTCCGGCCCTGGACCAGTCATACAGTGCAACGCCAGGACAAGACCAAATTCACGTACACACTTACTAATGTTTCCTGTTCTCTTCACCCAGGAGGGACTTGTGCAATCATACAACCTGAGCGATGACGGTCGAATCACTGCCATAGATCACCATAGGTTACATGGATGCATTGCGAACGAGAGGTCGTGAAGAAAACATGACTGTAGGTAACCATAGAGCAATCGACCGCATAGAAAGAGGGGATACCCGGCGACAGGTATTTTAGGCAGTTGCCCTGAAGTTAAAAAAGTTAGACAAAACTTTAACGGACGAGCGACGAAACCTACTTCTTGTGCGATGCCCTGACGGCCGCAACCTTCTCCTTCTTCTCGGCAACACGCTTCTGGATGAGAACGCTGTATACGGTGTCAGAGGAGGATGTCAATGAATACATCTGGCACGTACTCGAACTCCGTCTTCTGCTCCTTCTGGCGTTCGAGACGACGACGCTTGAGGGAATGGAGGTGACGGCGGCGCTGGAGACGGACGGGGGTTACCAATCGCTGGATCTTGGGAGCCTTCGTATAGGGCTTCGCATTCTCCTTCTTCTGGCTCTTCACCTCCCGGCGCACGACGTACTTCCTGACGTCGTCCTCCTTGGACAGGTTGAAGAACTTCCGGATCTTCGTCGCACGCTTGGGGCCAAGACGCTTCGGCAGGATGTTCTCTGTGAGGCCGGGGATCTCGCTCTCGCCCTGCTTGATAATGACAAGGGAAAGGACGGCGATGTCGGGGCCGACGATGCAACCGCGCACGGATTTGCGCTTGCGCTCACCAGTGCGGCGGGCTCGGTAGCACGAATGGCCGTCAGCGAGCAGGAGGCTGACACGGTAGGGGACAAGGACACCCTGCTTCATAGGGAAACCTTGCTTATCGTTGCCGCCGGTGATACGGAAGATGTAGCCCTTCCACTCGTCGCCGAGCAAGTCTCCGGGGACTTCCTGTGCGATCTTCTTGTCATAGAAGATACGGCTGGTCGACTGTAAGACAATCAATACCCCGGAGCTGAGCAAGCCGCACGCACTATTTCCTCTCATCGTCAAAATCGAATGTCTTTTGCTCGCCAGTCGCGAGGTCTACAACACTCCGCATTAATGGCTATATTCGAGGTTGCCAGACCAAACTCACTGGCGATGTTGAGCTTCATGCTAGCGGGACAGCAACGGTGTCAGAGCTTTACAGAGCTAAGTAGTAAGAGCAGGTTGTGTACCTTCAGGTGAAGGGCGTGATCTCCGTCGACGGTAACGACGGCGATAGTCTTGCGCGCAATGTCGGTGCAGCTTCACGCCTATACAAACACGACCAATGTCCACCGGTGGCAATAAGGTTTGCAACTGTATAGTTCATCTCAGCCACTGCCGCCCGCCGGCACGTGGGCGCAATCTCTCGCAACAGAACGAGCCCAACGGCACAGACGACGACCAAGCCTCAAGACTCTCCCCGGCGCCGCAAAATCTGTGAGTGCCGTTTCCGTGCGCATGGAGGTGGAAATGCTGACGGTCTGCCTGCAGAGTCATCATGGGTCGTATGCACGCTCCCGGAAAGGGCATTTGTACGTCTCAGGTCTCAGACTATCGCAGACACCACGGACCAATGACCTCGTTTGACTAGCGTCCTCTGCCCTCCCCTACCGCCGCGCCCCGCCGTCCTGGCTCAAGACCACCTCCGAGGATGTCGTCGAGCACATTGCCAAGCTCGCCCGCAAGGGCCTGACCCCCTCGCAGATCGGTGTTACCCTCCGTGACTCGCACGGTATTCCCCAAGTGCGCTTCGTTACCGGTAACAAGATCCTCCGTATCCTCAAGTCGGGCGGTCAGTGCTAACTCCATAGATAGTCCCCTATCTCCGAAACTCAGACTGTTGTACACACAGGTCTGGCACCACAGATCCCGGAGGATCTCTGGCACCTCGTGAAAAAGGCCGTCGCCGTGCGCAAGCACCTCGAGACCAACCGCAAGGACAAGGACTCCAAGTTCCGCCTCATTTTGATCGAGTCCCGCATCCACCGTCTTGCTCGCTACTACAAGACGAAGCAGCAGATCCCGCCAACGTTCAAGTACGATTCGGCGACTGCGTCAACCCTCATTGCATGAGCGTGCTGCGTTGTACAGATAGGTTGGGGAGGCTCGGTGTGGTGTGCGGATGCCGGGCAGGTCTGTTATATGGTATATTGCCTTTACATGATGCTATCGCAATGCAATATAAGGCTATGCATTTCTTTCCTCTGTATTGTAAGACCGAATGCCTCGGTCGTCCCATCGCAAGACTGCGGTCCCTTTCCACAATCCGACTCTGAGCCGCAATCATGGTGATCTATAAACGAAGTCCCATGTTTCTACTCCGCAGACTGCTCCAAACATCTTAGGCGTCTATACCATCAGAATATGGTCTTCATTCTGCTCTACCAAGGGCCAGTGCTTCCTTCACCGTAAGTCTTCCTTCCACGACATTCTTCACAATCTTCTGCGCCTTGCCGAAGTCCTCGAAGAGGATGTGTGGGATCCCCTCGCGCGTGCAGTACGCAGCGAGATCGTTCTCGCCATCGCCCTTCTGCTTGACGAAGAGCACATCCGCGTGCCGCGCGGCGGACATATCAGACACCCCGTCGCCGAAGAAAAAGATAGTCGGCGGGTTGGGCAGCCGGCGATACGGGAGGATTGCTTGGCTCTTGTCATGGCCGAACCCACTGAAGGGATTGTGTGAGTGATGCGCGGCCGACGTACTCATAAGGGGCATCGTACCTCGAGGGATGGCGGTACTGGATCTCCCATTTGCCGTCCGGGTGGATGATCACTTCGTTCGAGACAATTTCGATCTTGTCCGCATCTGTCTCACCAATCAGGTTCGACAGCACCGCGCGAATGAGGGGCGCCATTCCACTGGGTGCGATACATCAGTGTCTGCGTATCGTTGAGACGCGATGCGCCCACCTGGAGATGATGACAACAGGGATGTCGGTCGCTTCGCAGTAGTGGTAGAACTCCTTGAAGCCAGGGTCGAGCTTGATGTCTATGACACACGAACGAGCGTTTATTGTCGCGAGCGATGGTGCAAAGACTCGACGTACTCTTCTTCAGCTCTTCCTTGCACTCCTCGAAGCCGTGTCCCTTGGCGACGACGCTCTCGAGCATTTCTCGGAAGGAGTCCCTGATATGCCGATGAGTTGGCCTTTCACAAGCGCGGAAACCCGCAGCAGCTTACCTGAAGGTGACTTCATCCTTCAGGGTGGCAATGTTCAGCTCTCTGCGCTTCTCTCTGCCGAAACCGAGCTCATCGGTCATATCTGTAGTGAAACATAGTAAAAGTTAGCCTCAAGCAACAGCCCACGTAGATGACTGAAATTCCGATCCGCCCACTCTTTCACTCTACAACTAGTCCTGTATAAGACTGAAGCGAGATCACTCACAATCGTTCGAATCGCGCGTCGTGATGGTCCCATCCCTGTAAATGCCGTTCAGGCAACGTTTCCCAGCAAGATACACGAGTTACGATGGGGCGACATTGATGCCCATCGCGCCCACCGCAGGAAGTCTGCCCGGAAGGCATGCGTGAAGACAAACCAACCAACCAGTCGGAAAGAACCACAAATCTCTTGTCTTTGTGGATCGGCGGGTAGGGCAGCGTGCTCTCCGGCGCAAGCTCAGTGGACATTGTCGTCGTCGGTCGTTGTGCGTGGACGGCGAGAGTGGTGGTAGTGGGAAGTCCAAAGTAAATTTGGAAGACTTCAGAGCTCGAGAGCGCTCCGGCTCTCCGGGAGGCAGCGAAGGCTAGTACGATCTGATCTTATTCAGTCAGCGCTGATCTGCAGTTTTGATAACCGCGGTAAGCAATCGAAAGGCCCTTCACTACAGTCACTGAAGTACTGAAATCTTAGACTGGAGCACCGTTTACTGACACGCGGTTTAGTCAGAGTTCGGCCTCTGGGTCTCCGATGAGACTGTCCTTAGTTCTACCTGTCACACTACTGACCTTAACCAAATGAAACGTCGTAGCCAGCGTTCTTGTGGGCAGTCACCAGTGCCTTGTGTTTGATCGGAATGCAAGCTACTAGGTGTGTTTGTGGCGTAGCGGCTTGGCCCGAGTACACCGTGCCATTTATAGCAGCACCTTTCTGCATTATCCGACTGTAAAATGCTCACGATATATTTCACAGAACAGCAGGATGAAGAACGTAGTATGTAACAGTGATACAAGCTTACAACGACTTCCATCATAGACCATCTTTGGTATCAAGCGGCCGTGACTACGATCATGTTCTCAGAATATTGACGTACAAAAGACACAATACAAATCTCGCTAAGTATTCAGCACAGTAGTTGAGAAGATGGTATTTGATCTGACCCTCCTTCTCGGACACGATCGGGTCAGTGGACGCAACGCTCTGTGTACTCTAGACCTTTCGAGGCGACGGTGCGGGACCGGTAATACCATTCGACACCGTGCTAATGCCTGCATAGTTCTGATGATGCGCGTCGAAGCAGCGCCGTTGCAGGCCGTTGCCGACAGTTCTGTAGCGCGTTCGGTGGCCGCTTTTGCCTGCCAACGGCTACTCCGCGAGGTACGGGCACACGCAGCATGATTGTTTACGAGGAATCGAGAAACCCCATGGTCTGGTCAAACGCTCGCACCACGTATAAATCATGGCCGTGATGAGCAGAAATTATAAACAACCACCCGTCAACCGTACTCCGCCTGCTCCTATACCATGTCCCTTGTTAAGATACCCTTCATTGCGGCTGGAACGCTAGGCACCTACGCCTGTCTGACGCCTCCCCAACCGAAGGTCTCTGCCGCAGAGCGACCAAAGGACGCGACCACTTGGGAGAGAGTGTTCTCGGCCACTGTGCGGTTCTATGTGGGAACTTTCAAGGTAAGTCGTGTTCAGCACCCACCGCGTTGCAGGACAAGAAAGCTCACGCCGATCGCCCCAGGCCCTCGCCTGCTCTGGAGGCATCCTAGAGATTGCCGTCATCCTTGCGAGCAGATTTCCTGCGCACCCGCTGTCCCAGAAGATCCTGCGCTCGCTGGTCCGGGGACACATCTCCCTGACGGGCCGCATCGACTTCTCGCCGCTCTTCTTTGCTGGCTGCGGTCTCGCGGCCATCGGGGGCTTCATCCGCTACCAGTGCTACCGCACCCTCGGCCGATTCTTCACGTACGAGGTGACGATCCGCAACGACCACCAGCTCATCACGGAGGGTCCGTACGGGTGGGTCCGCCACCCCAGCTACACGAGCGGCATCGCGTGCTGCGTCGGCCTCGGCATCTGCTACGGCAGCGCGGGTTCCTGGCTCAGGGAGTGCCGTATCCTGGAGACTCTGGGAGGGAAGGTCGCTTCGTGGCTGTATGTCGCCTTCGTCGTATATGGGACAGCGAGCCTCGTCGTTCGCGCACCGCTAGAGGACAAATTATTGAGGGAGCGCTTTGGCGAACAGTGGGATGAGTGGGCAAAGAAGGTTCCGTACCGTATGGTCCCCTTCATCTACTAGACAGTGCAGATGTGATTGTACACCATCATATGTATCTCAGGAACATGATTCCCGGGACATGCATGTCTAAAATGCTGAGAAGCAAGTAGGTAGTTTAAACTGTACCTGTCCATGCAGAACTCTGAAGGCTGTGACAATTGTCCATTTTTAAAGGGCAGGCTGTCAGTCGCTGGACTTCCGGATCGTGAGTATAGCTTTCAGTTCATCGTGCATTCAACCTTCGGTGCCCATTAACATCGACAATGAGCGACCCGAACCGGCCACAGTTCAAGTTATGTCTGGGCTTCCGCAGCACTTGTGCTACGATGTCTGATCTGTTACATATTCGTCTTATTCCTTCACTCAGCATCGGGTGCAAGGATCGACTTTTATGTCCAAAAGAGCAAGTAAAGATTGAATTCCTCGAGTGGATATAAAACTGAAATTAATAAGCATGAATAAAGATCGATTGAGAAGTGAGTGTACCCAATCAGTGGATGCCTTCCCGCAGAGGTCTGGACGCGACTGTAGAAATAGAGTTGAGGTTTAATTGTCGGCAAGCGGGCTGATTTGGTAGTACTGGCCTTGGAAACAAGCCTAAATTAGACGCTGGACTCGGTCTGTGCCGTTTGGTATAAGTAAAAGCGCGCAGCCGTTACCGGGAATGGATGAGGTAAGCAGAACGATCCTATTCGAGCTCGAGAGCAACCCGTGCAACGCTCGATCTGGCTTGAGAGAGGGGGAACCATCCGTAGGAGGGAAAATAACACTCTTGGATTAAGGGAGTCCGCGTGAGTCTCACGTACAATGAGAAGACATCAGGTTGAGCTAATACTATTTGTCGCGGCCACCCCAACACACGTATGGGATACATGGATCACCGACAGACGGACTGCTCGCAAAAGAGCTCGCGATACACTTCCTGAGCCAGCGCGAGTGAAACAGAAGGCTAAGCCGAAGGGTGCACGAACATCCGCCGTCCACACAATCAATATCCCGCCTATCTGACTCTGTACCCTTGAGACCATTTGTGCGAACTCCGTCATAGCCGTCCAGTAAAGCCATCCATTCAAGGACGACAGTCTGAGTCCTGGATTGAAGATCTAACAGGGCTGTTTTGGCTGTGCATACATGGCCTGTTAGGAGTGAGAATGAGCTAGGATCGCAGTAGATTTGTTGGACATTCGGCTAAGTCGACCAGCAAGATGAGCGGACCAAGTAAAGCAGAGCTGCTAAGCGCTACCAAACCGATCGTCTCCTCGCGGCCGTCACCAATCCCCGCATTGCTACGTTTGCTTAGGCTACAAGACACTACGCAAAGACGACGAACCAGGCAGAGTATTCCGAGGGCGATCCAGGAGAAGAGACAGTTCCAATGCAGGCACAGGAGGTCAGACTGGCAAATGGAGTACCTGGAAGTGGGCGCGCACTGCTGACTCTGTATCCCAGCTCCATGCTATCCAAGAGCGACTGGTGGGCGCGGATATCGTTATCGAGCAGCATGGATATCCGACGACTGGCGTTGTCAGGAAGCCGGTCTTGAACGTTAAGGAAAACAGCGGCTGCGGAATGCTAGGAGGGGAGGACACGGAGGGCAGCGAGGTCGTGGTGGGCGGCGAGGTCGTGATGGGTGAAGAGGGAGGGAGTCATGCATCGTCCACGACAAACCTGCGACAGATTGCACCACCAAGTCAGATCAACAGCCAACCTGAGACGGACGCTGCGACAGAGGCCTCCACTCAATCGGTCATAAACGCCAACCCCGAGTGCATCGTGGACGATGGACAAAGCCGCGGTGGGACTCTTGAAGCAGAACTTGCATCCAGGACGAGCGATGTAGCGATTCAAGGGGCGGAGACGACACACATAGCTCCGATACTCAGACAAGGCACTGACGATCAAGCCGAAATCGGGGTGCGTAGTCCAGCGACGGTCGAGTATATCGCACAAGAGCCCGGCCGTGTCGAGCAAGCAGCTGCGCAAGCTGAACCTGTGCTGCAGGGCAATGTAATCGTGCTGAGCGAGAGCGAAGTACTAGTAAGTCGACATACGATGGGTCGCATTTGTTGGCATGACCCACCATGACCCATTAAGCTCGGCATTCTCATCATCCTCGAGGGCGTTGTGATCCAGCGGTTTTCTGACCCGCCATCTATCCTCGACGCCGTCGCCTTCGCCACCTGCAACATCGTCTTGCTATGTCTCATACCTGCAGACCGGAGGACGTGCTTAATGATGGCCACAGTTGGCCTCGCCTTCCAAGCATGGAAAATTGGGATGTTGCCCCTCGCCGCGATCATTGTGACGGGGATAATGAAGCTCGGCTATATTGCCAGGAGATCTAGAGGAATGGCAGGCCAGCCATGAATTTGCTAAACAGGTAGAGATACAGGGAGGACTAGTCAGGATCACGATGTGGTCGGTACGCACTTGGATGCTTGTTATATATATGGGCAACCTCATGGAAACAAAGGCGTTGCCTCCGCAATGCCGCCAGTGAGTTTTGTGTCAAAACATGGCTGAGAGCCAACAATCGTGAACGGCTCGCCAAGGAGTTCCTACATGTCTTACGAATGACACGTTTGCTGTCCATTCCGTGGCAGTCTGGGGCGTGGAAAAGGATATTGTTCGAACAACTCGTGTTCGTCTCCGTTCAGGTGGTGAAAGTAGAAACAATCGCAAAGATCACTGGGAGGTGTGCCAGCTGGGACGAACTTCAGCGACGAACGCCGTGAGAGCTGTTGGGGTTTCTAGGGTCCTATAAGCGAAGGCTTACATTTGACCCGATAATCTCTTACAATTCGTGTCCGACACAGCTGACTTTTAAATAATGTGCGTAGACTAGACCGCTGTGCCGCACCAAGAAGACTCATAAAAGTCTAGTAACATATGTTATATGCTCTCACTGAATGTGTCAAGCTCGATTCAGCCTGTCGGAGTCCGATACATCCCCCCTCTGCACACTGAACTTCCGGCGCTACGGTCTAGCGGCCTGGATATCCATATATCCTGGCGCTAACAGTGTCGACCACACTGTTAGCGTCAGGAT